TGCTGATTCAACGACAAGAAAAAAAAAGCAAACAATTCCTTTCTTCCGAACTCAAAGATCTGCCATGCCATGCGCTCGTGGCCGATCGATCTGGGGCTTGACTTGACTTACTCGCCAAACACTGAGGAATCAGCCCAAATGAGAATGTCTTGTATGACACGACAATGGCTCGCCAAAAAGATAGTCTGTGTGGGTTCTTGACTCTAGATCGTGCCCAAGGATATTGTTGAATGAGTCAACACGCATCATGTCTCACAGAGTTAGGTTGCTGTACAACACTACGCAGCACTGACCTTGATGAGAACCCTGTGCTTTCTTGGGCACACCAAGATGGACTCATTCAGGAATTAAACTACAGAGGGAGAAGAAAGGTATGTACAGCAGTACAGCGTAGCATGATTTCCCTGTTGCTCGGCTTGTCGTTGCAATCCTACACACAAAGGGAAAGCGACTCATAATGATGCAAAATGCAATGTCAGTCTCGCAATTCTGCGCCGTTGTACTTGACTCGTCGCGTGCGTCTTGTTGATAGGGCTTGACTTGGTCCTGTGCCCCAATCCTACGTTGCAGAATTTATCCAACAAGGACAACAGTCTGTCAGTTACCTGTAAGGATCCAAATGCCTGCTTGACAAAAGACGCCGTTGAAAACCTAGGTTATCGTTATCCGTAGGGCTACACAATTTACATGAGACGGACGTCACACCGTACATATCACATTGCAGGGACAAGGTATACACTCAAGAAAAGAGAAGGTGCCTGTCAAGCGAGAAGGTATAGAACTCACCCCACGCCCATTGAGTTTGTCAAATCAAGTACCGAAGTGTCATTTCAACATTAATATTTGGTGAAGCTGTTAACCGAAGCCAAACAGCGTGCAAGAAGTGATTTAGCGAGGTCGATCCTTTATCTGAAACGGGGTTAAATAAGGTTACCTTGCCTGAAAGGATTTGGTAGAATGAATGAATGGCCTTGTCAAGTGTAATGGGACCCATCAAGACTGCTACGCTGTGAGCGGTGACATTCAGGTTGTACAGATGACTTTGCAAATTGTTTGTTAATCTACCTGGCTCCGGAGGATGAAGCGATCGAATATTACAGTTAAGTAATTCGCGAGTGTTATTGACAAGGTAACAAACCAAGCATCTGACAGACGATGGAGGTGGTAGGATGAGGATGAGGAGGAGATCAATTTAACCCCTCACACCCACCTCGTACTCGCCTTGAATCCTGGAATGTTTCCAGAAATATTCTGGAATGATTCCTGTTTTGGATTGTATGAACAGGGGGTTTCCTCCCTGTCATGATGTTGTACGATGCATACAGATCGTAAACGGTGTCTACACTCACTGTTGAGTGTGTCTGTTACCTATACAGGGTTTAAGATACGACTTCCTCTTCTCCATACTGAACTTCATGGAACTATTGGGCTATTCGTGACTGATGACTTGGTTTACCGTATTTCAAATGCCCTGTAAGTAGCTCCAAACGCTTGCAGGGCGCACTTCGGTGCTTATGCGGACCAGGCTTCTTTTAGCACTCAAAAGCCATACCCTTGTCTTTTACCACTGACACATATTGACTTGGGGCCCAAGTACGTACCCGGAAGGCCTTGTTCGTTAATTCGAAACAATCACATGCATTTTACAAGGATGAAATAGAAAGAACAAGAACAGAGCTTGCTCCTGCGGAGGTCCGCACTCATTATTCCATTTCTCTAACACTGTCTGTAAGGCTTTGACCAAGATCTCCATTCGGTATAATTCCGTCTTGGTTCAATAGCGGAATACATAAACACTTACTAGCCTGAACTATAGTCCTAGTGTTGGTCCACATGGCTGAAATGCCCATCTTTCCGCACCCTGTATCTAGTAGAAAAACGGGACTGATGCCGCGTGTCTTGCTCTAGGCCTCCTCGATCTAGTGAATCCGAGAGCTTGGAAGATGAAACTAGCCAAGTGCAAGTACATAAAGTAATTATTGACAACTCACTCACGACGCAACGTAACAAAACGGGTGAGAGGAAGACCAGGCCCGAGCACTGTTTAATATCACTACGCCTCATGAATCCCTACAGTTACCTACATGTTAACTACCTAATTAGGATAGCATGTTTTCACAAGCTTTTTAGGCCTCCGTCAACCAACACGTTCAAAAGTCAGATCATGGAGATAAAGTCAGCATCAGTTTTACATCCTTCCAAAAGACCAAGAAACCTTCTAGAACGGAGATGTTTACCTTTCCCAGACGCCTCTTCCGTTAGAGCAATCAATGAGGAGTCCGAGGGTCCGAAAGGGGTCGGACGGAGGCTATTATGTGTATGTTCCGACTACTGACGTCGACACCACCAGGCCCAAGCTCATCTTTTTAGGTTTGTATCTAGTCTCCATAATAATTCAGCCCTTGGGTCTTCCCCTGGTAGGGCGCTGGCGGGGGAAAGTCTTAAGTACCGTAACGACACCGTGACATCCAGAGGCCAAAGTGCCGTTTACATTTTCCGCCAGCGGAACGGCAGTCGGGGAATGGAGCCAAATTGTTCAGGTTGCACTAGACTCCACTTGTTGCAGTCTAGTCCTGATGATCGAGATATGTCAAGTTGATACACTTCTCCTGTGATTCCAAGCTGTGCCTCATCGCAATCTAACTCAAGTCCTTTCTGATCAACATGATATGATGAGCTTTTGGTCTATCCATCACAAGCAAGCAGTTTAAATCTCCGGCGGTGTTTCTTCTGGCTCATCCTTCTCAGTGAACGGATGTAACCCTGGTCCTGCAACCCTCGCACCCCACTGCTTGTTGTGGCAAAAGATGCCGTAGACCTCCACCCATGGAAGTGTCAATGAGGGGATCTCAACTCTGTTCAGGGCCCTTGGCTTGGAACGGGAGGTGTTTTGACTTGTGTGGGGTGGATTTTTCTCCTTCGAGATCCATGGTTCAGGCTTCGAGCGGTAAGGCAAGCCCAGATCCAGGGGTAAAAAAGTTAGCTAGTTATTGTAACATCGATGCGAACGCGAGATAGCGTTCGGTCGTTTGACATAATCGGGAAACGTCATACGGCATTACATGACATGGTGCTAGATGATCTCCGAAGCTATTGACTCAAGTCCCCTCTTTACCTGGTCATATTCCCCGTGAGTTAAGGATCCTTCCATGGGTAGGTAGCTCATGACGGTGATGAGGGACGATGCAACGCAGTCGGTAGGGCTGGCCTTGAGGAATCTCCGACTGTGCATGTACCAGTACCAGAAACAGGAAAAAGAAGGCAAGAGAAAAAAGAGGAAACCCTCCGAAGATGGGCGGAAGAACGTGACTGGATACTTTGTTTGCATTAGTTTAATCTGCACATCCTGATCAACAAGTTCTCTTTCCGTAATAGAATGACTACTTGCCATCATAGCGTATGATTGTATGTACGGTACATGTTCCACCAACTTTCGGAGGTTTAGGCAAAATAGGCACAGCACATACAACGGGCTGAACGGAACGGGTATTTTGTCTGAACCAAGCGAGTTACAGGACAGGACAGGAAGAAAAGGGTGCTTTTTTCCTTTTCCTGTATGTGAACGGCCCGTTTTTGTACCAGACTGTCGGGTCTCGTTGTTGGTTGGTTGTCTGATATGCATGATACGGAAAGGACGGGGCATGTTTGGATGGCATGTTGTGTTGGGTGTTGGTTATGGAACAATATATTCCGATGCATGTCTCGTTCTAAAGATAGGGCGAGGCGAAGCAGGTAACAGGAAGGCTAGATTGTTGTAGAGAGGTCTCGATGTTTTTTTATTTGAGGCAGTGTGGCCCCGGGTAGTGACCGTGTAAATCACAATGGAGATACATGTCTTCCTTCTATGCAGTTGGTGACGGCCAAGCCTCGTATTTGAGGGTAGCATATCAAGAGGTCGCATTCAAAGAAGTCTACAGGCCAAATGGCATATTATCCCTGGTCTTTGCATTTACAATTGAGGCCTCCCTGGAACTGAAGGGCTTGGGTGGCGGGCCCTGTTAAATGCTATTCACTCAGGACCAGAAGTTGTTAACAACGCTCTAAAACACATCAGATCTCTGATTTGATCTGTGAATTATCTAACTAAACTGACAGAGGTAGCTGTTGCCTCTCCAGGATGAAGCAGGATGTACATGAAGGCTGTGAGATTGAGCTGCTGTAGATGGTTCAATTGAGCCAAACGCAAAGAACAAATGTTGGTTAGATTGCTAGACACATAGCTAGAAAATGGAAGGGAATGGAATGGAAGGAAAGCAAAGAAGAACCTTAGATTGAACAACTTAATCGTGAGGTGGACTAAGCTAATCGCGAGTTGAACTGAGCTGAACTATGATATGCTGCGACTCTGCTCTACTTCACGCTCCAGGTGCTTGTATTGTCGCTTTCGATTCGGTGAAGCGCGTGTAGCTACCAGATCATTAAATAGTTCCATCCGAGTCTGGCATCTATATTCAACTAACTTTGCATGTCGTGAAATCCTCGACTGCTTCACCAAGCGTCCGATGGAACACCCCATGGCCCAGGCCTCGAACCGCAAAGTCACCCATGAGGATGCCTAAAGTTTAAAACATCAAGCTTTCATGTCTATGAAACTTGGAGTTTTATTTAACCTTTCAATTGGAGACAGTATATCCATCCTCTGTCCTAGAGAGCCAGGCTCAAGGGAGTTGGTGTATATGTTGATGTGCCATATCGTTGTGAGAGCATGCGGATGTATACATGTTTATTGCTATTGAACATCGCTCTCTTAAATCACAAAGAGCGAGAAGGTATAGAGGAAGTATATTATCATGGCTCAAACAAGTACAATTCGTCCAGTAACCACAAACTCTAAAGCTTCTCGTGGGTATTTTGTATTTACACAAAACTCTACCAAGGCAGATATAAGGTGCGCCCACTCCATGTTCAGCATTTCTTTATCTTCATCTTTCTCTCTCCTTTCACAGTTCGAATACTGCTTCTTATTCCTCCCCCTTCTGCACCTTACCTATCATCACGAGATGGATTCAACCGCCTCCCCATCAGAGGTGGCTCAACTTGCCCCTGAACTCCAGTTTCCGCATGGGTCATGGCCGGACTGCAAAGGATTGACGCACTTCTACCATCCGACTCTTTGCATCTATTGTCATAATCCCGTGTTGATACCGACCACGACAAGGGCTTTGAACTTGACGGTGGACATGAGCCGTGCTATGGTGTCAAAGGTGCTGAGTGCGTTATCTACGAAGATGGCCGTATTGACTTTTGCAAGATGGTTGTTCGCATATTCTGGCGATCCGAAAGATTACCTCACGAACATGAAACCTTGTGCTCTCTTGTACTGCAAAGATCCTCATGTCGGTACCTGGAAGCTAATTTGGGAAATCACTCGTGATATGGATCTCTCAAAATACGAGGATGAGGGTATCTGCTGGTGTAAGGACAGTGATATCAAGGTATCACATGGACTTGTCACCTTCCATCAAGAATGCTTTATGGCTATCAACGGACCTGATTTGTCTACGGAAAAAATGGATCGAATGGGAAGAGCATTGTTTTGGACGGACATACGCCGTCTCGATTTCTCTCCTCACAGTCGCCACTATCTTCTCCAAATACCCGATGCGCAAGACTACCGTCACGATTCCATTTCCAGCGCGGGTCAAATATTTGGGCTCTCGCTTGATCGTCTTCCGCTTGAGACACTACGGCATATTCAGTCATATTGTCGAGATGCCCCGTTCTGGAAAACGGTAAAGTATTTGGACCTTGCAACCTATATGGACATGGGGCCAAGGACGGAGATGCTGTCTACTTCTCTTGCCAATGTTTTGCAATGGACACGTGGAAGCACATCGCCAGTGCTTTCTTCAGCAGATGCCATCTATGGGCATATGCGTATCACGATTGATAAGCAAGGATTTTGCGAGATCGACCGGCTTTCCGAGTACCCGTGTGTATGCCTGGTGAAGCGGCCATCCAAAAGGTTTATTATACTTGAAGCACACCATGCCGAGAACATTAGTGCCTCCTTCAAAGTAAGTTCGATCTCTACACCAGTGTTTACTTCACCGATACTTATTATTGACCTATCTAGGACGGAATGTGTTGGCTCGGGTTACGGAATACTCATTCCATCTCAACTATCTGGGACATCCCAACGCCCCCTAGTGGGCTTTTGTCATGTATGTTAAGAAACAGGCGGTATAACAATCATACGCATCAAGAAGCCTGCGGAACAATGGTAGAGGTTCCAGGAAACAGACTCGAAACCATTAACCTCGACGACATTGGTGGTCTGACCTTGCGCTTCACTCTCTACGGATTTGAGGCCAAAGGATACAGCAAACCCGCGCCGTTAAGGCAAGCCATGCAATGGGACTCGTGGCAAGGGACAGCGTATATTCCGCTTGCATCCAATGATAGAATTCTATGGATGCAGGTCCGAAGGTACAGTGATCATACCTCTTGCATAGGTGTACTGGTATGTGCTATCCTCCCTCCCCTCTTCGCATTTTGACTCCTGTCTAACTGACTACCTATGTATCAGGTCAAGACTGAATTGTCAGGTATAATCCACCTTGGAAATCACGGCGGAGGACTTAGCGAGATAATCGCTTTCAGCGAATCTCCACGTGCCATCTTCCAGTACCCAGGCGGCGGAAATAGTGCACAACAAGTCGTCGCCATTCATCCAAAAAGCAAGTCTTCCCTAGACCACGAAGTTTCCGAGCTTGTAAACATTGGCCCTCCTATCCCCGGTGTCATACCTGTATATTTCGATCACACTCCCATCTGGTCCTGGGCTTCTCTGCAAGACATAGCGAGCGTACACGTCTTCAACGCACTTGGCGACGGAGGTTTTGTGGGAATGCACATCACTTACAAGAATGAAGGACAGCGGTTTGTAGGCGACGCCAATAGAAGTGCGCCTTACCGGATCTCTGGGTGTCAACCCAAGGAGGTGCGAGTTGAGAATCCGACTCGACTGTACGTAAATGCCAAGATGCATCTGGATTACCACGAGAAAGTTAGGTTCTCTATTGGTGATGATGACAAGTTGGAAAATTCTCCACAATGGACGGGGTATGATATTGCAGGAGACTTGGGCTTTTGGGAGTTGCACTTTTGGTGTGACCCTACGGGCTGCTCTCACAGAAGTAAAATACAGGTTCTCCGTTCTGGCAGTTGGCGGGGTGAAGTAGAATGAGGTTGTGCATCACAGACAGGCAAAGTAGAAAATACAAGCAATTGTTAACCAAGGTCAAGTGTTATTGTGTCCATCTAGTGCCCCATACAAAAGAGAAAGTGAAAATGATCAACTCCAAAAGCCCAGTATCCCATCGCCTATCCGTATCTCCGCGCCATCAAAAGATCCTCTCCGCCGCCCATCACCCCTTCAGTACCAAATGTCCTTAGAAGAAATGCGGGTAGTCGATGTCGAGGAGGTCCAAAAAGTATCCCACATAGTTCCAGTCATCGTAGATATGGTACTTGACCAGATAGAGAATCCCGAGAATAATGGCCAAGAGAAGAAGAAGCTTGTAGATGAGCCACAAGAAGCTCAAGATCTTATAAGACGAGCTTCTGTCACGAACTATTTCTTGTTCCGTAGTAGCTGGTTTCTCAACAGTATCCTCCTGTACTGCGTCGATGCGAGCGATGCGGTCCTTGAGATCATCGATCTCTTCCTGTTGGTGGTGGATATGAGAGACCATCTCTTCATGTTGGGCATTTGTACTATCGAGTTGCCATTGCTCGACGCCCCGCCGGTCCTGGTTGTTGTTGGGGGTCGCCATGTTGACTTTATGAGTAGCGAAACGAAGGGGAGTGGCGGTTGGGTCAAAGAGACGCTCCTTTTGAGAGCCTTGGTCATTTGGGATGTCGTGGGTTGGGCCTCCGTTGGACATTTTGACGAGTTGTTGTGTTTGACTCTGTAGAGTTGTACTGAGATGAGAGTCTGGTTGAAGATAAAGACTTGTTGTTTTGGTAAGAGACGTTGATCGTGGTTGGAGAATCTGAATTAAAGATTGAAGTGGTATTTATGTTCGCTATAGCTCTATTGAATGCGCTATATCGCATTGCATGAAAGGACCTGCAACTGTCTGGGAATACCTGTGTCGCCCCTTTGTTCCGACGACACTCACAACTTCTCAAGTCGAGCAACTCCAAAGGAGGCTTGCAAGAAAATATGCATTCATATTTTAGAGAAAGACTGATGCTGTTTTTGCGATATGTCACGTACAGATGGACCATTGCACACCATGTAGAGTTTTGTTAGAGATGCATGTCTCCGTCAAAGAACAAAGACTCCAAGAGTGGGAAAGCAACTGACGCCTTTCACAGGAGCGGCGAGTTATTAAATGAACTGTATGCATGGCTGAAGGATCTCCAATGGTCTTTGAGTCCGTTTAGTTGCGCTTGCTCAAGCTGGATGTTTCCATTCTCACGTATATCCATCGGACTTCCCGTTTAACAAGGCGGCCACTCTCAAACCGAGCCTTGCAGAAGATTGTGTGTTACAGCGTAATGCTAGGCTGAGCTGCTGAAATCTTTGATGAACCTCCAGGGCTCTTAGGGTAACAGCGTCTTTTTGCTTGAAGTGAGGCTTCAATGGCCACAAACTTGCGCAGCCTCATACGCCTCTCGACCAGGTCCATCATGGACCACATCAATCCACATAACCTCCCTCACGCGCACCCTCACCTCCTCCCAACCCTGCCTCCCCGCCAAACTCCGAATACACTGCACAAGCCACTCCTCACTCCCCTCAAAAATTATCATCGACCCAACAAGCAAAAGCCAAAGCTTAACATTCGCAGCTGCTTCTCCCTGAACAGGTATCCCCTGTATAGCCTCTCTAAACTGAAGCTCAAAAGACTCCGACTTTAATTTAGTTCCCAGCATTTGTAAAAACATAGTCGATTCGTATGCTAAAAGACCGATGCGGAGTGCTTCTGGCAGCGGATCTGAAGAGGAGGAAAAGTCAAGCTTTAGTAATCTGTATTGAATCGAGAGCATGATTTCTTGAAAGGCTTCGGGTTTGAGTTTTTGAGCTCCGGGAGAGAGTTTGTTGGCTAAGGCTGAGAAGTCGCGGAGGTCTTTAAAGGCGTTTTGGAGGCGCCAGTCCCAGGTGTAGTACATGTTCATAAAGTTGAGGGATGGCTCTTGGATCTCGAAGGAGCATGCGACGGTTCCAAAAGCTTCGAGGAGGGGTTCCCATGCTGGTCTGCCGTCGTAAATTTCGGGTTTGCAACCGTTTCTTATGGACCATCCGAGATCGACGCTTCAACGATTAGTAACTATACACAATGTTAGACTTGGGCAGACTCACCGACATAGTTTGATCTGTAGCTGACGGTTATGTGTGTATGCCTGCAAACCACCTCTCATTCCTACAATCCGCCTCAGCCCATTAGAGTGTGCCTCAAAAGCCTGTGCATCTTCCATGGCATCAGCCATCGTGGCTAGAGATATAATAGTAGCAGTCGTAGTATCATCCATCTGCTTTTTCGGATCTTCCAATCTATCCTGCAACAGCTTGATGGTATGTCGCAGCCGGTTCCTCGTCGAGGGAGAAAACTCTCCACCCCAACCCTCATTGTGTTTTCCTCGGCCTCGGGCCGTGATGAGGTCTTTATAGGCGCTGACCATGAAGCAGACGCAGTGCAGATAGGCTGGGTCTTCTAAAAGCCAGTGGAACCAGCTTGATTTTTGGTAATCTGAGTCGACGCACCATTCTGCTGGGTAGAGCGTATCTTTTATAGTGGTCAGAACTGGGTAGTTAGTACATAGTGTCACTGATGATATGGGACTCACTTACATCTGTAGATAAGGTATTGAGAGTTTTGATCAAGTGGAGCAGCGAATGTAAAGAGTTCTAGATCAGGAGGAGGTTTGATCAGGTGGGCGATGAGAGATGGTGACTGAATCCAAGCTCTGTCACCACGGGAGTGGGTATGTCCGACAGTCCATAAAGAGTCTTGTGTCAAGTTTGTAACGGCCAATGTAACAGGGCGATGGATCTCTTCAAAATCGTCTTGTTTTGGTTGTATTGTCAAGGTCTTCTTGGTATTCTTGCCGCGCATTACATGGCTACGGATGAACTTTCGGGACTCGGGCGCAGGTTTACCAACGGGTCCCGAAGACACAAACTCAAACTTTTTAGCTAAACATTTTTAGTCAGGTCCAAAGTGGTTTATTATTAATAACTCACGACCCTGTTGGCGAGGACCTGGTCTACGAGCTCGTGGCTTTGTCTTGACTATCAGCGGCTGCGGGTCAACAGGCGCGGCAAAGAAGGGTTCCAGCATGACTAGCGAGAGGTGCGGGAAGATAGCTTAGAGATGATAGATAGGAGATTGTGTTCAGGTTGGAGATGAAGCATTTACTCCTTTAGGAAAACAATCTCATTATCGTAATGACAGCGACAATATCACCATCAGTCAGCATAATCCTCAATCTCCATGCCAAGACCACGATTGTTTTCCTATTCAGGTTAGACTTTGTCACTTTAAGGCTTAGTGTCGCGATGCATGGGGATAAGCACTAGTTAATGCCGATCCTCCGTTGCTCCTGACAAAATGACTCGAGCGCTTACTGTGGTCTATATTGAGACAGGTGCTGTTTTATTGTGTCTCTAGGATTGTCACCCTTTTTGGGACAAGGGTCGGTGCTTCGTCTCGCCATTACTGGCTTCGGTGTTGTAACTTTGTCCGACATACTCCAACGGGCTTGTAGATGATCCACGACGATGCAACGTCTAACGGCTCGGATTTAACAGCTTCGTGTTATTGTTTTCCTTTTCGGGTGTATTGCGAATATGCTTAATTGTTTAATTCTCCGTCGCAAAAGACATAAAAGAGTACAATCTCTACATCATTGAGGATGTATAGCTTATCAATACAAACATCAGCTTTAGCAATACTACCATTGTAACATTTTAATACATTTTATATAAGTCCAGTACATCATAATGGCTCCCAAGTCTCTTGATCTTGTCGCCGACGACTACCACTTTCTCGGTTCTCAATTCACAAAGCCAGTCCCCGTACCCAAGGACCTGTCCCTCTCAGAAAGCACAATCATCATCACCGGCGCAAACACAGGCATCGGCTACGCCACAGCAGAGAAACTTCTCTCCCTAAATCTCAAACGTCTCATCATCGCAGTTCGATCTCTCTCAAAGGGTGAATCCGCCGCTGCCAAACTCCGCACACAGTACTCCACAGCTGAGATTCTCGTCTGGCAAGTCGACATGCTCTCTCACAAGAGTGTTCAAGATTTTGCCGACAAGTGCAAAACTCTCAATCGAATTGATTCCGTCATCTTGAACGCTGGAACTCAATGGACTAGATTTGAGCTTAGTCCTGAAGGTCATGAGTCTTCGTTCCAGGTCAACTATTTATCCACTGTTCTGCTCGCAACTCTTCTTCTTCCCACACTCAAGCAAAAAGCCCCCGCTGGTCAACCTGGACGTCTTACAATTGTCAATTCGGGGACTTCCCTGATGGCTGAGTTTCCCAACGCTGACGATGATAATGTCCTGGCGCACTACGACGATGAAAGCAAGTTTTCTGGCGGTATTAACCCCGTACCCTCATACGCCAAGCAAAAAGCTCTCGCGCACTTTTGGGTTTACAAACTTGCTGAGCGTTTGAGTTCTGATGATGTGATTGTCAATCTCGTCGATCCAGGTCTGGTAGGAAACACGGATCTTCAGCAGCAGGGCAACTTTGTGATGCGGCGAATCTTCGCTGTGATGAAGTGGCTTGTTGCGCGGAGCTTGGAGCAGGGTGCAAGTACTCTTGTTCAAGCTGGTGTTGTGATGGGGAAGGAGAGCCATGGCTCGTATGTCATGGATTGGCGGATTCACCAGTGAGTACCTGATATACTTATTTTTTGGAGCGATGAAGACTGACAAGTTGTTTAGTTACACCAAGTTCTTGCATACCAAGGAGGGACAAGCCTTTGCTGACAAGGTTTGGTACGATACGTACAGGGAGTTGTCTTTTGTTAATGTTGATGGTATTCTCAAGTCTTTGTAAGGTAGCCATATTAAGGAGTTGGTCTTTGTCTTCTGGGTTTAGGTAATTGTGTATCATATAGAATAATGTCCATTTCATTTTCGGCCCTTCTGCACCAGCCGACTAACAAAGAGCCGTCATGTTGTAACTAGTGGGTAACGAACGGTTGGCTCCCAGGCTTTAAAAAATAAACAACCTAAGAACTCTAATTCTAAGAAGCATAAACTGACCTACTGATTTCATCTTTTATGCTTTAGTAGCCAAATAAGAGATTTACACACGATGATGTTCATTTCATCTGCAACTACCCTATACCAGCTGACTAACAAGGGAAAGTACCGTTGCAGTACAGTGCGGTAGAGGCCGAATCAACAAAATGCCTGCTAGATCTACAGCCAGGTCTCGGCTGAACAATTGCCAAGACGTCAATTCATGGCAGATGGTTCTTGGTGTCATCCATAGTCACGCAGGGTAGCATATAGTCGATAGTCAATACTACCTCACGAATACGCAACTCAACACGAAGCAGTAACAACATTGCTACGAGTAATAAATAAAGCCTGACAGTGGATTCAATTGTTTACATCTACTGCATGTCGTGTCGTGTTGTGCCGATAACCGCATTATTGCATCTTGACTCTGAAGTGGTTGACGATCAAAACAGAGATCAATTCGTGGGATATTCCGGTTCAGCCAATGATAATCGCAGAACATGTTTCGTCAAGGTTACAAGTGCACTGTAGATTTGGAGAGAGTCCGGGTAATCGGCCTTGACCTTTGACGTGGGCAGAGAAGAAGAGAGAGAGGACAACGCCGAGACGAGACAGGCCGGTAGCCGTGCCGTCACTTCCGAGAAGCGGTACGTACCGGGACATGGAGTCAGTCAGACAACACTGACAGGGCTGAAGAAGGGGGATATCTGGGGTATTTATATGATTATCATATGAATGAGTACGGTGAACATGCTGAATTATTGTTTGACAGATTGCCATCAAGTAATAATAATTGCTTGATCAAATCTAGAAGCTGGGGATATTAATGGAACTAGGCTAGTGGTGGTGGTGCGTGGCTGTTGAATTCAGTTCTGTCCTGTCCCACAATGCCAAGACATGGAGAAGGGGACCAAAGGCCAAGGAATGTACATGTACTCTAGTAGTGACTGATTCCTGTCGCCTTATTCGTAGTTGATGCCAAGTGTGAGGACAACAAGGAACTCTTTCGACAAGATATGCTAGTGTATTGAGTACTCTTAAGCATTTTATGGTAGGCATTGTTTATTGTTAAATTAACCTATTCAGTTGCTACAGGTACTCAATCGCTGTAGGTACTCACCGTACTCACTGTAAACTGTAAATAAACTGTAAACAAGTCCCGCGGCAACAAACCTGCCGTCTTTGCCGTTGGGTTGCTTGCTTTTGGGCTACCGGCTCCCTAGTTCCGAGCCCGAGCCTTTTTTTGGGGGCATTCAGGTTCCTTCGTAAGGGAAGCCCCCCCAGTTTGAGTTTGACCAATAGAGATCCCCAAATAGTATCCATAATAAAATCTTGACCTACCAAAGATCACAAAAGGGCCCGCCACTCACTGTGAGTGAATACAGTACAGGTACAGGCGATACAGAGGCACCTTCCATTGCATTATCCGTCATTTCTCTCCTTCCTTTTTGTTCTCATCTCGTATCGTCTCGACTCAACTCCAAATCGGACTCCGATTCTCATCCTCTCTTCTTCTCCTCAAATATTGTCCCTGCTTCTCCTTTGCGACACGATAGCTTGAGACATTACCAATCCCATCTCCGACGGCTGCGCCACGCACGCGTACCTACAGCACAGTACATTGGTCTACTCTACAGTGCTCTCTCTCTGTACAACCCATTCTGTCTAGACTCCTCGCCTCGCCTAGATTCGATTTGTCCTGACCACTCACGCACCCACTGGTAACCAGAACTGTACTCAACCACCGGCCTCCTCCGTCGTTGCGCTTCTCGTACTCTCTACCTTGGATCCTGTTTTCCCTCGCGCCATTGTCACTCTCTTGTTCCTGTCAACCAACACAATCGACCATCACGAATACTTTGGCCCCATTTCGGCTTCATTGACGCGATTCGAATTACTTTATCAAACTCTGTCGCTTGACCACCACCGACACCTCATTAATTACTTCAGCGCAATCGATTCGACACGCAGAAAGAGCGACCACAGGCCGAGGGAAATTGTCACGGGTAGTGAAACTGGAGGAATAGAACGCCCTATCGCCTGAAAGAGGCCCCTTGGCCATGGCCGACAACGAGAAGAGGCCCTCCTCTTCCGAGGCTCAAGAGATCCCTCTTGAGCCGCTCCCCCCGACTCAACTTCCCATCGCCGGCGATTCGGCTTCCGAGTATGACGAGGTGAGTTGCACTGCTTTGCGCTACTTTGCATCATTCATAAACACCCACGCCTTTACCACGCATCAATCAGACTAACGCATAGGCCGACAGTCCTTCTCCTATGATCAGGATGACATGCGCGATTACCACACCACCGAGCAGGACCTTCACGTTACAGAAGACGACTTGCTCGAGGCTCGCGAGCTTGCTTCAAAGTACACACTCGAAGATGTGCGCCACATAATGGCTCGTGTCTACCGCATCCACGAAAAGGATCCCAACTTCCCGCTCACCGTCATCCAAAAGATCAAGTCCTTCCTCGAAAACGATGAACTATTCACCAACCCCGAGAAACACGAGAATTTGGTACAGGAGATGAAGCTCGAGGCCGCCCTCATCACCAACAACAGCCCCTACGCCGAAGTTCGTGCCGTCGTCGAGAACAAGGATGACACGTCGATTCCTTCTTCAACAATCCGAAGTTGGGCTATTGGCCTCATCTTCTCCATGCTCCTGGCTTTCACCAACCAGCTCTTCGATATCCGACAGCCTGCCATTCGAATCATGGCCAACGTCGCTCAGCTGCTCTCATATCCGATTGGCAAAGGTTGCGAAAGGTGGCTACCTGACTATGGCATCACTCTCTTTGGAGTGCGCCATTCTCTCAACCCAGGTCCCTTTTCCAAAAAGGAGCATATGCTTATTACCATCATGGCCAACGTTGCGTACAACACCCCGTACACCAACTTGATCATCTGGGTTCAGTACCTCCCACAGTACTTTAACCAACCATATGCTTCCCACTTTGCCTACCAGATTCTGATTGCGCTGAGCACCAACTTCATCGGTTACGGAATGGCTGGTGTCTGCCGTCGATTCCTCGTTTATCCTTCGTACTGCGTCTGGCCCGCTTCCCTGGTTACTATTGCGCTCAACTCGGCTTTCCACACTGACAACAACTCTGCGGTACAAGGACCCTTTGCCAAGATCTGGCGCGTTTCTCGCATCAAGTTCTTCTACGTCATGTTTGGTGCCATGTTTGTGTGGTTCTGGTTCCCCAACTACATCTGGACCTCTCTCTCCAACTTTAGCTGGATGTCCTGGATTGACCCCTACAACCGTGATCTCAACACCATTACTGGGTTTAACAACGGTCTTGGCATTAACCCATTCCCTACCTGGGATTGGAACGTTCTTCTGTGGGACTCTGCCGATCCTCTCATGGTTCCATTCTTCAGTACTTTTAACCGATTCGTTGGCGCTTTCATTTCTATGTGGGTGGTCCTTGGTCTCTGGTACTCCAACATTTACAACACTGGATACCTTCCCATCAACAGCAACCGTGTCTATGACCGCTGGGGTCAGCTGTACAACGTCACTCGAGCCATCAACGATCGCGGCCTGTTTGACTCGGACAAGTATGAGGACTATTCGCCCCCCTTCCTTGGTGCTGGCAACGTTGTCATCTACATCTTTTTCTTTGGCATCTACACATCGACTCTTACTTACGCCCTTCTGTTCCATCGCCGCGAAATCGTCACTGGTTTCAAGGGTCTGTTTAACAGCATGAGGAAGAAGTCGAAGCGTGCCGAGGAGGTTCACGATCTTGACGTTCACACTCGCCTGATGAAGGCTTACCGTGAAGTTCCCGAGTGGTGGTACATGGTTTGCCTTCTCTGTGCTATGGCATTCGGTGTTTCTGGTATCGCTGGCTGGGATACGCACACTTCTCCTGGCGTCATCTTTTACGGTCTTGCCCTTTGCTTGGTCTTTGTCATTCCTGTCGGAATCATCAAGGCCATGACTGGTATCGAGGTCACTTTGACTGTCCTTGCCGAGTTCATTGGAGGATCCTTCGTTGAGGGTAATGCGTTGGCCATGAACTACTTCAAGTCGTTCGGCTATGTTACTTGTGCTCACGCTGTCATGTTCTCCAACGATCTGAAGCTTGCTCACTACGTCAAGATCCCACCGCGACACACCTTCTTTGCTCAGATCATTGCCACCTTTATCAGCACCTTTGTTTGCGTTGGTGTTCTCAACTTCCAAATGACACAAATCCCTGGTGTTTGTACCGAGGATGCTCGATGGAAGATGACATGCCCCAGTGTCAACACTTTCTTCACTGCCTCTGTCCTCTGGGGTACTGTCGGTCCCAGCAAGATCTTTGGCAAGGACGGACTTTACACTGAGGTCTTGATTGGTTTCCCACTGGGTGTGGTCGTTGTGCTTGCTGTCTGGGCGATCAACAACAGGTTTCCTCACTGGACCTGGACCCGACAGATTCACCCCGTGGCTATCATGTACGGAGGTATTGTTTGGGCTCCTTACAACATGTCATATGTCTGGCCTTCAGTGCCTATTGCATACTTTTCCTGGATTTATCTCAAGTCGCGCTACCTCGGCTTGTGGTCTAAAGTAAGTTGTCCCTGTCACTTTTATTGGGATCTACTAACATTCTACAGTACAACTTTGTGCTCTCAGCAGCTTGGTCTTGCGGCATTGCCATTGCAGGCATCATCATCTTCTTCTCCCTCCAGCTCGAAGGTACCGAATTCAAGTGGTGGGGCAACACCGTTGGTTATGTAGGATGTGAAGATGACGCTTGTTCTCTTCAACCTCTGGAGGGCAGCGACTACTTTGGTCCTCGAGTTGGAGAGTTCCACTAGCCAGCCCCTGGCTTCATGATGAGATGATTTTGGCGCAATTTAAAATGGCAAAATGTTTTGAGCGTGCGTTGTTTGTATTGGGAGCTGACTTGGAAATGGAGACTTTTTTATATATACCCCGATTGCATTGACATAGAAGATTGTCGTATTGACAGATATTGTATAAAACTTGTTATATTGTCAAGGGTAGAGTTGGTATTAGAGCGGTGATGTTAAATTTGAAGGTTATTTGTTTGTGATTTATGGCGTGGCATCTGCTTTGAAGATATGAGATTGAGACTCGAGTGGGTAGCAGAAGTTGACCTTTAGGCTACAAAAGTAAATAGCCTAAGCATAGTCCAAGGAGCATAAAGTGGTCTACTAACTTAGTCTCTTATGGCCCTCAAGCATAATTGGAGTTGATTGATTGGGTATCTTTCCTTCATTGGTATCTATCCATACTATTTATCTGATAATTAAGAAATAAGTGACATGAGTATCATAATCCATCATTAAAAAAAATAAAAAAATAAGAAAAAATGCACATCATCTTCGTGCCAAAGGTGACGTTTTTCTTGGTAGCTCAAATTTACTTCCCCACGTCGACATTCTTGACGGAGGCGTACAGCTGACTTCATCAATAACCATCCTTGACGAACCACCGCTACTTCTCCGATCACTCATACTTCGAATTGGGTTTAGATAAACTGGTCCAGCATCTAGCTCAACCAAATGATGGTTTATGCTCACAGGTGTATCTGATGATCCTATCTCAGGAATCACAATTGTCGGGATGGGAGATAGGGGTGTTTCTTCCATGATTGTAGAGGGTGTTTCATCAGAAATTTCTGATGGGGCGCGTTTGGGCTTTATCCAACTTGTTCGTAGACTCAGCATGCTGTTTCTGTTCTTGAAACTGCGGAGACTGGCGCGTAGAGATCGGTCTGGAGCGGGTTTGGTCTTTAGGTGGAGGAGTGAAGATAGGCTTTCGTGTTTGGGTGGGAGTGCGCCTGCTATGAGATCTAGCTGGGCGTTCATGCTTGGATGAGCGATGATATCCTCTGTGGTGAGATTTAGAGAGAGTGTGTTGTTGAGCTCAGAAGCGAGAGTGTGAGCAGGGAGGACTGTTTGTGAGATGCTGTAGAATGGGGTGCTGGGGAGTTTATTCTTTGGGATGGAAGGTGATGGGTTTATTACTTTCGTCCATACACTGACAATAGATTCTTGCAGTTTCTCTCGTTGCGCGCTGTTGAGATGGGATTCAACGGGAGGGGATGACCTCGCAGGGAAGGGAATCTTGCGCTCTGAACGGGCGATTTCTTCAGAGGAGTGTACCATCGGTTGATGGATCATGTCAGGATGTGTAAGCGTTTCCCAAGCTGCCACAAGAAGACTCAGACATGATTGCGCGAAAGAGTGAGGGAGTCGTTCTTCAGAGTATTTGATCTCGAGGGTTACACAATCATTCGCTTCAACTGTTGACCTGACGAAAAGATCTGGAAAGTCTTTTGTCCAGGATTCTATCATGCGATACGTAAATGTCGCGCCGTGGACATTCATCGTTGAAGAACCATCTAGTAAACCAGGAACGTAGTTCTGTACGATTGTACTAAATCTCGTGCAGGAGCGCCAGGGCGTGCATTTACTAACGAGTTCCTGGATCCCAAAGGTTTCATAGCGTGCGTGAGATTGGCGCTGGAGTTGGATACAGTTCATCAAGTCGAGAGGTGTACTATGACTTGTCGGGAATTGTACACGAACAGGAAGAATATTGGACATGGGACCGATGATATCGGGACTGGGAGATTGACATTGGATTGCTTCGCCAAAGAGAACGTCGTGGGTGCTGGAGATAGTAGATAGGACAATAGCCCATGCTGCTTTGAGAGCTGCGTCGGGTGTCATTCCGTAGGGAGCGAGATGGCCTAGAGAAGTTGTTTGTTTGAGGGTTCTGATTTCGGATACTGATGCTGGAGGGGTGGGACGGGTTGACGCGATGATCTTTGTCATTTTTGCATTGTCGAGTTGGCAGTTCCAGTATTCGAGGCCTTGTTGGTAAGATACCCTCGAAGCGCGCGTGTAATCCAGATATGAAGACCGAGGAATATCCTGCGTTGAATCGCCGTCGTATAGAGATGCTAGATCGTGGATGAGAAGATGGGCAGATACATCGTCGGTTTGTGTCTTGCTTAGACGAATTACCAAAGAGCCTTGTGAATCACTGTTCAAAAAGGTGAATTTTGTAACAGGGACTGTAGGATCGAATGATAAGTTCTGGTTCTCTTTGATGATGTTTTGGGTTGCGTCGTCGAGAGAGCCAGGGGGACACGAGATTGTCATGAAAGGAGGCGTGGAGGAAGCGCAGTGGACTTGATACAGTCGATGTTCGTGTGTGACAAATGCCACGTTGAGGATAGCATGCATCTTCGCAAGAGATCTACACGCTGTTTCGAGACGAGATGGATCAACAGGACCATTAAAGCGAAGCGCAAGACAGACTATATCCGCGCGTGTCCTAAACATACCCAACTCAAGACCTTGTACTTGCTGCGAAGATGCTTCAGCAAAGTCAAGAACATCTGGACTTGAGCAGTGAAGTTGAGGCACAATGACATCCTTGACAAATCTCATATCAAGTTTCTTCGCAGCAAGTGTTTTGATCTTAGTTTGTTTGCGAGTAGATGACTCTGACGAGCGACATATCTCTGTAAGACTTGCTCCGCTGAGAAGATCTGTCAAAGAGAGGTAAAGACCTGCTTTTCGACATGTAACGACTAATTGAGCAGCGAGGAATTTGTTTCCGCCAACTGAGAAGAAGCTGCTGGAACTTTTGATTGCAGAGACGGAAATGCCGATTATGCTCGCCCAGTGTTCGCGCATGGTTTCTTCGGGACCAGTCATGGGGAGAGGTTTCTGTGAGATGATAATGCGCTGGATCTCGCCTGGATTGGGAACGCGGGACATGTGTAGAACATCATGTGTTGAGAGATCAGATACCATGCGCTGTAATTTTCTCCTGTTGACTTTAAGAGAGGTAGACATGGGAAAGGACCGAACGGGGATAAAGACTGAGGGTATACAGTATCTTGGAAGACGATCCCTCGCAGAGGAACTCTCAAGGGCTGTTTCGAACATTTTCTTGGCGATGTACGTCTTTTCTTTCGTTTCAGGACTGAGATCCCGCAATGTTTCGTGTTGCTGGAATGCCTGAGGTCCAAGTTCGAGGAAGGCAGCTAGCAAAGGTCCTGAATCGCGGGTAGTTATAGAATCTACTACCACGTCGATTCCTGTACCGAGACAGCGCCGCATGATTTGTTCGACTTGAGCGACATCGACGTTTGATCCACTGACTTTGACTTCATCGCGCACGCTGGAAATGAATTGGACTGTTCCATCATCGAGATAACGTACGCGATGCCCTGTTTTTAGATACCGCGCGCGAGGTTTTTCATCTGGTGATGAACATGTCTCTGGTGCGAGGAGGGGTTTATCCAACGCGAAGTGATGAGGTGTAGCGAGAGGACTGTCAATGGCTAACTCGCCGATTGCACCAACAGGCATGAGTTTCTTGGGATTCTCAGGATTCAAAACCCAGAATCTGCCTGTGACTGGTGGTGAGATAACATTGAGATTACTCTCCTTTGTGACTTTAGTCACGGAAATGCCCAGGGGACAAATATCCGGTGCGCCATACGCGACCAAAACATCATGGTCCTCAAGCCAGGGCATGTACGTATCTGGATCAAGTCTTCTTGTGCGAAAGCATAGAGTTCTTAGACTGGGTACTGAATCAGGGTTGATCTTTCGCGCGAGAAGACTTGTCATGTATGACCAAGTCACATCCATACGTGCCATTGCACCAGCTACATCATGTGCTCTGTCATGAGGATGAGGAACACAGACACATCCACCATGAACAAGTGTACCGAGGATTTCCACAAGGGAAATATCGACGTTAAAGGCGGAGAGTTGTAGAACGCGGCTTTCGCTTGTGAGTTTGAAGGGTTGGGCTTGGGCGATAAAAGTTGATAGGAGAGAAGCATGAGTAAAAAAGATACTCCTTGATTTCTTGGGCGTGACAAAGATGCATGCTGCATGGTCGGGAGTAACGTCCTTGCCAATAGCTGACACGTATGGTGTAAGCATGGCGAAGAATGTATCGTTGATGATGACCAAGTTAATAGCCAGAGTACTCAAATCCTTCCAAGCAGTTTCTGTGGCGAGAACGACATGTGGATTAAGGTAGTCAATGGTTGATCTTGCGGTCGCAGGGTCTTGACAATCAAGCGGTGCAAAACTAGCGCCTGCTTGAAGAACGGCGAGGATAATAACAGGTGCCCAGTGATTCTTTTCCAAAACAACAGGGACAACAGTTCCGGGACCAACTCCGAGGTTGACGAGATATGTCTTTAGTCGCTGTACAAGCGTTGCGAGTTGAACATATGTAATATCGCCATCCCATGAACACACAGCCGGAGCGTTAGGTCTGGTAAGACTGTGCTGAAGAACAACATCGTGTAAACAACCAGAAACCTTTTGTGACTGCTGTACCAATTCCCAGTCTTGAACAACCAAGGAAGCATAGTCCTTATCTGTGAGAAGATCTGCTTCAACGATGGATTTATCAGGACTGGTGAGGATGTGGTATAGCGCTGCGTGAAAACTGTTCATAACACTTTGAACCTGCGTCGGAGAAAGACATGGCGATGTCAAGTCCCCACGAAGATACTCATCGACAAACATCAGCGTAAGACTAACATCACAATCCGTCTTGCGACCAGAAGTAACCAACGAAGCAGTCAATTCATCGCCCGTGTCAAGATCATCCGGAGCCTGAAAGTAAAGACAAGTATTGAAGAGTGTCTTTTCCTTCAGACCCAACACATGTTGTATTTCCGCCAAAGTGATATTATCGTGCTTCTTTGCATTCGAAAAAGTCTCATTCATAGAAATAAGACATTCTTCCAAAGACTGTGACGCAGAAAAGTCTACAACACAAGGTAGGATCGTGGCAAAACTTCCAACCAGAGATGTAATTCCACAAAGGAGATCTTCGTCGCGTGCGTTGAATTGGTAGCCGAATGTAACTTCTTGTGTACCGACGAATGCGCGCAGGACAAGGGCCCAAGCAAGTTGGAATATAGCCTCTGCAGCGATATTGTTCTGTTCGCAGAAGAATTCGATCTGAGTTCGCGAGATGTCAAAGTCATAGGGAGACGTGTGGGAGGTATTTGTTGATAAGGATGGAAAGATGCAGGGTTTGGCGTTTGAGAGACTTGTTTTCCAAACTTCGAGACTGTAGGCTGTGTCGATGGAGGAGATTTGGTGAAGATATGTGTTGTTCAGAGAAGAGTTGTCTTGAGGGTTTTGCGAGGAGAAGACGCGTGTTAGTTCTGCGATGAGAAGATGTAGACTCGGCAACTGTACAATCATTAGCATTTGCAGATAATGGTATTTATAGTACTTACGTCGCAGATTGCTTGGCTTGCGTCAAGTCTCATAACCATCTTCATAGGGTTATAACACACTGCCAAACGATGTCTCGGTTCTCCAAAAGGTGTATTCATGACTGGCAACGTAGCCACAGCATCATCCGGGTCCGTCGTTTCGATGAACAAGATACTTGGTGATATCTTTCTGAGAACAGCTTGGTCGAATAATCCCTCTCGTGAAACAGCGTCGATGAAAATACTCCTCAAAGCAGGTGTATTAGACACTATGACTTCCCACGCTTCACACAATCGATTTACATCGACGGGGAGTTGAAGGGCAGTCATCTCGTAAAAAGCATGGCAGTGATATGACCCTGTGTTTTGCGCTTGTGCGATGAGGATTTCCTGCTGAGCTGGTGTCACAGGGTATATCGTCTCGATATCCTTGACATTAACACGTCGATTTGAGCAAAGACGTCCAAGAGACTGATAACTTGTTTGAAGGAGGGGAATGTCGGAGAGTGTAAGTTGCGGTTTGTGAGTCCTCAATCTTGTAACAGCGTCGTGAACATGATACTCAAAAGTCCGAATCCAAGCCTGAATTTTATCCTGATACCTGCACGTATTGTTATACACAATATCGATTTGCGCTCCGGATGTACCCAACGCCGCAGAGATTTCGAATAAAGCGATCCGTCCAATATTAGGTCCTGCGGTGCTTTTGAGACCTGCTATTTGGCCTTTAGCTGCGACTGGTTCAAACAAACCATTCTGACGCTGGAGTTGTTTTGCAGTGTTGACCAACTTGAAGACGATTTCGAGGGGGATGTTCGTTGCTGCGCTTTGACTTGTTGCGAATTCAGATGTAAAGAATGGAACACCAAATCTTGGTATAGCCCTGCGTGTGTCCTTGAGTAAAGTAATGACTTGAATCAAATCCGTTTCTGAATCGATGGATACGCCGATTGGACATAGTGAAGCGAACCATCCAACGGTTTCTAAAATGTTAAACTCGCTCTCTGCGCCATCTCTTCCATTCTCTCGCTTCCACAACGTCGGTAGATTTCTCTCTGGGAATACTTGACAGAAGGATAGTAACAGCGCAGCCAAGAAGATGTCGGAAACATCTGTTCTTAAAACTTGAGCAGACGATTGTTCCAAAGAGTACGCTTGCTCGGGAGATAGATTGAATGACACTCGTGATGAGTTTCCAAAAGTGTTGAGTTCTTGTGTGAGAGCCCAGTACTCCAAATTGGCGGAATACACTTCAAAAGGAAGCGTTGGCTCGAATAACCTTTGTGCCATCTGTCGACCCTGACATTTTGTCCAGTACTTAAACGATGCCGATCCTTCGGACAAAAGGGTTCCTTTTTGGAGCAGCTCGTCCAAATCGCTCAGCACAATCTTCCACGATACATCGTCCAGAGCTAATTCGTGTGCTGCAAGGTACAGAATTTGTCTCTCCTGGTTATGGACGTACATTGCCGCAAAAGCAGGTCCTTCGGTAGGATGAATGCTCGCTTCCATATCGTCAATCAAGTCGCGTATCTCATCCTCAGGGGTATCAACATGATGCGTAAGTAGATACGAACTCGGCGCCGCAGGCAAAATACACTGCTCCCATTTTCCCTCAGTTTGCCGAAATCTGACTCTGAGCATGGAATGTCTTGCCACGACTGCATCAACAGCAGCGTCAACATCAACCGGTTCCGCACCGCCTTGAACATTGAGAATAGCACTCCTCGTCCACGTCCCCTCAATTGTGTCGCCATTACCCTGCAAATAAAGTTGTTGCATAGGCGAAAGAGAAAACCCTTCCAATTCATGGATATCCATAGGCGACAAGTTACTCCTCCTTCTCGTGATGACACGACTGCGACGTGCGGGAATCTGAAGCTTCATGACCTCCTTGTAAGTAAGCGAATCCATATTCTGCACCCATGTTTGCAGCGCCCTTTTGTTTTGGGAGTGATCAATTGGGATCCAGATTTTGGGGTCGTGTTCCATACGCAAGAGAGAAATCTGCGACTTTGCGAGATGGAACTCGTTTGCTGATAGAGTGTTGTTTTCTGATGAAAACCCAGAGACAGAGTCGATCCTAATAAGAGCTACTGATTGACCGTCAAATGGGCCTGCTCTGGGGGTAAGGACCATGTAGCAGCAGGCTAGGCGGTCGCTGACGGTGGGAAATGACAGCCGTAAGCTCGACAAATTAGACTCCACAGCCCCTGCAGCCCTACCGCCGCTTGTTGTTTCTTCTGTTTCTCCCTGCGTGTTGCTGTTGTCGGACAACTCATCACTCGAAAAAGTACCTCCCGAGTCGTCGCTGCATGAGGAAATACTCAACCCGCGCGGCGTAATGCGCGTCTGTAGCTCGGCTAGAGTAGGACAAGTCAGGATGTCTTTGCCGCTAACATCCAAACCCTTGCTTCGACAAGCGAGACAGACTTGTTGTGCGGTGTCTTGATCGCCGCCTAATTCGGCGAAGGAATCGAATAGAAGGATATCGTCGAGGGGAATGGAAAGGGTTGATGCGATTGCTTGGATGAGATGGTCTTGAGGTTGAGCAGACTCGAGATTTGTCATGACCTGAAGGTTTGGACGTTGGGACGACATGTTGGAGATTGATACTGTCGATGGTTATTGATGCATACTGTACAATTAATTGTTCATAAAATTAATCAATACATGATAACCAAAGTCCCATTCTCCCAAAACGAAAGAGCACCATGATTCTTATAAACCAACCCATAATTTAATGACATCTCTCTGCATCCATGTATCTCCTCTCTCCCAATCCTTCATCCATCGTTAACCTTGAATCCTGAATCCGGACACAGCCCATCTCTAGCCCCCAAGATCCTCTTAACCAATAGCAGCAAACATTCGTACAGGGTACCCCAGAGAATGCCCAGACTGTGACGAGGAACGAGGTACCGGTGACCAGACTCGAGAGCGAATAGAGAGGTCAGTTGGGGTCATCCTTCAATGGGGATGACGTGCCATTTGGGGGAATATGCGTGTCTTGACATATTCTTGTTTTTGTTTCATCTTGGCTGTGAATCATGATTTCGCAATAATCACTATCGTAGATTCAGTTCAGATGTGGCTTGGGATTGATGTCTAATTAATTCATGGGATATCAAACCTGAAACAAATAAATATAGCAGCACCTCGAGGCTTATCCCAACTCACAGCCACATCCATAACCATAATTAGTTGTCTTAATCCAGACCCTAGTCAATCCCAGCGCTTCAAAGTCTTGGCCAACTGCAAACATCATCACCGTAGTAATCTGCCTCGCAAACATCACCTCGCACGCAAAAGGTAATAGACAGCCCCAGAAGCGGCAGTGCACGACAAAGTTAGACAAACTGCAATTATCCGAAATTACATCAACCCAAAACTTTGTCTATACCCCTGGACTAAACTAGCAAACTCCTTGCCTAAGACCCAACCAAACTGACTCAAAAAGAAGAAGAAAAGAGATCCACCAAGTAAACAATCACTCTTTGATCAAAACATGACCAAGAGTAGACCGAGTTCAACATTACTATTACTACAGAAGTATCTCAGCTCCAGCAATGGCCACTCCCTCATCCGGGACCACGGGACGCTCCCCTTCGGCTACAAGCGAAATAAGGCTATAAGCGAGATTAGCTAGGCGGTATCCATTCTCTTGTTTAGTGCTCACTCTTGAGCTCAAGTCTGAAAGCTTGGTCTTACGGAGCGAGTCAGGAATGAACTCCTATTGAAGATACAAGTAAAACCACTACAGACGTAGTTACAGAACATCGCTTTAATCTACCCTTTACTCGAATACTTGACCTAGGTAGTTATTACTAGCAGTTATGTTGGCTATCATGGGTAGCTTCATTCAACACAAAGGGGGCGGCACAAACACAATCGATCGTCTTACATGCATTTCTACCTACAACAAACCATGATTCTGATTCCATTCCAATTCCTATATATCGTACACCCTTGATTATCGCCCCTCGTCTCATAGCAAACTCTATCGAAAAGCCCACTGGTATTCGCTAAACAACAACCTCATCATCATCAGGATCCTCAATACTCGTTCTTCTCTTCGCCTCCGTGACTTCCACCGCCTTTGTGTCATCACCCGCCGAACTTCCATCTTCCTCAACCGTCGACTTATTCCCTTCCTTTTCCTTTTCAGCCTTTGACAGACCAAAAGGCCACAAACCACTAAGTCCGCGAGTAGAAGCTTCTTTGGCGGGATTCACAGGCTGAGGCCGTAGAACGGATTGATCACCTGCGTCGTCTTCGGGCATTGCGAAATCTCCAAACTCATCATCGTCGTCGTCGTCGCGTTCATCATCTGATTCATTCCCGTCTGGTTTACCTCCTCTGTCTCTAACCACGTCTCTCCACCAAGCACCGCGGCCATCATCTTGAGGTTGGTCATCATCGTCAAAGTCCTCTTCCGTGTCTGCGAAAGGATCTGTGGGGTTATCGTCATCTTCATCATCATCATCATCGTGGTTGCTAGATGATTGTGCTTGGTTGTTCTTTTGATGCATCGCCAACCGAGCCGCTAGTTGAAGTCTTGCCCGAGAAGGGGGAATGTTCAGCGGAGGAGGGGGTGGAGGTGGTGGGGGAATCGATGGAGGATCCAAAGAACCTCCAGAGTTGTTCAGAGGGTCCGTGTAAGCTCGGAACTAGAAATGTCTCGTCAGTACGAGGTGCCCATGAGTGATCAGTTGACACTAAGAGATGTGATGTGATGAGATGAGGATAGGCGTCCGTGGAAAACTCTGGCATCGAAAACATGATCCCCCATTCCATTTCGTTCCTTCGTATGCGGCATGCACTCCTAACTCTTTGTCTCCGTTGCCAAACACAATTCTATACAAATCCCAAAATTGGGCCATGTTCTAGACCCTTACATGATAATCCTGCTTTGCCCATCCATCCACCCAATCTATCCCACAACGCCTGGTATAAATGCCTCAAAACCTTGCCAACAATTGCCTCGTGATCTCCTCAACATCAAGTTCCTCGAATGTTTCAAGGTCGTCAAGTTGTGGGATCACTCGACCTTGCCTGTTTCGCGTCTCACGTCTTGAGCGGGGGCGACCAAGACTTCCCCAGTAGGCTGCATTGTCCTAAATGCTGTCTGCTGGCTTCGAGACATCTTCAACCTGTTCCGCGTGCTGTTGCTCTTCATCCTCAGCCGATCCCCGAACCGATCCTCCAGATCCATCCAGATCCATAGGGGAACCTCTTGTAACATCCTGTAGATCCTCGAAATCGGGTGAATCGGCTCGGTAAGGCTCTGGGGAACGCATGATCACATCCTCGAGAGTTTCCGTCATGCCAGGGTATCCAGGGATTCCTCGTTCCTCCCCATCTTCAGCAGAAGCACCACTCACCTCAGAATTGACGTCTTCCTCGTCTCCGTCTCCATCTTCGTCCTCCTCGTCACTGCTACTGCCGAAGCCAGACATTAGTGTTCCGGCGCTGATGGTGAAGGGACCGATGCCGTTTCCGCTGTCCTGGTTGAGCTCTATGCCACCGTTCAAGCCAGCCTCAGCCAGGGCACTGGAGCCGCTGTTTCCGGAACCTCCGCTCAATCCAGAAAGGCCGACGCCTCCAAGTCCACTGCCTCCGCCCATGGCTCGATTGCCCATGGCAACCTCTGGTCGTACACCTCCGAGAATGGCGTTATCTCGCTCGCGAGTTTCGGCGAGTGATCCCTCAACGTAGCTGATCCATTCCTGGCTCATAACCCGGTCAAGGACCGTCTCCGAGAGGAGCTCCGGGGGGTGACGTTCGGTAAACTTAACAACCTCCTCGGCAATCAGGGTAAGGTGACCCATGTAACCCATACGAGTCTTGGTCTTGGCCTGGGACTCATCGCTGACCTTTTGGCCGTTGATGATGGCGCTTGTGATGTCGGCAGCTTCGAACAGCGAAACAGCCAGTGTGGGGTTGTGGCTGCGGTCCATGGGGCCGTTAAATACTTGTTGAACAATGTCGTAGACGACGTTGTGCAAAAAGTTGTTCCATGGGTAGCCAAAGAAGAAGTTCTGCAAGGTTAGAATACATTCCACAAGTGGCGCAAATGACTTACAAGAATCGTGGGTACAACACGGTACTCTACGAACTGATGTTTGAGGAAGTCTCCCACAACAGGCTCTTCCTTCTGAACAGCAGGCTGCTCTTCTGTGGGTTTAGAGTCCTTGGTATCGTCCTCCTTGACCTCAGATGTTGAAGCCTCTTCAGCTTTGGGGGCGTCAAACGATGGCTTCTCGGGGGTCTGAGGTGGGTGATCGGCTCCTGATTCAGGCGCAGGCGGAGCAGAGAAGAGAGGCGCTGGTGTGTCCTCGGGTTGAGGAGAAAAGCTGCGAGGCTGTTCTTCACCCTTGGCAGAGGCATCGCTGGACTCAGTCTTAGCCTCGGGCTCAGAGAGAGCAGGAGTCAAGACGGCCGACGAGTCAGAGGTGTCCTCCTTAGGAGCATCTTCTTGCTTCACATCGCTTGGCTTTTGCTCTTCGACCTTTTTGTTGCTGGCCTCCTTGGGTTCAGTCTTCTCTTCCGAAGCCTTTGCTGGGTCCGTGGATGTAGACTCAGCAGACTTGACCTTTGTGGGTGACAAAGGCGCAACCATCAGATCTGGCTCGTCAAACTTTGTCTCCTCTACTTTGACGAGTGTCTGGGGAGGACTGAGCGGCTCATCAACAAAGTCATCTTCATCCTTAGTGGAAATCGAAGTTGTGGAAACAACCGGGATGTCATCCTCGGCCTTGACGAACTCGTGAGAGGTATCCTCGCTCATTTCCTTGCTTGGCTCAACCTCCTCGAAACCATCATCGTCTGCGTTGGTAACCTCGAGGCGTCGCTTCTCCTCAGGTGCAGGAGTTCGCATGGTAAGGTCGTCGGCAGAGTGGTCCTCCTCCTTAATCGGGCCCAGCTTACCCTCCTTACGAAGACGTTGTCGTTCAACATCTCGCTGGGCTGTGATCTCTTCGGAACCTGGTTCGTTCAACAAGCCCATGTTACTGCAGTGCAGCAGCTCGGCCATGAGCTCGCATGTCTTAAAGCGATCAAAGCCAAGGGGCTCGAGCTTGACACCAAAAGTTGAGTCAATCTTTTCCTTCTTGGAAGGGACATCCATGATAAGGCTCATGAACTTGGGAACGTTCTCGGCAAAAAGACGAAGAAGGGTGCCCAGGTAAATGGGATCGCGACTTGAGGGCGCAGCGGTGGATTCGGTGCCCATGTCGGGATCATAGTCGGAGTTGTTCTTTCGGATGACCTCGATAATGATGCCAACACCAACAGTCAAAGGATTGCCACCGCCAAGCATGTAGCCGATCAGCTGCTCGATGCATGGTTTGGAGACAAGTTGACGGGTGAGCTCGTTGGGACCGATGCATTGTTGCTCGTTTTGGGAGGCGTTGGCCGAGATGGTGATGATGGCTTTGATGAAATCACCAGCAGCGGTTTGAACAACCCAGTTGTTCTCAGGGCCAAGGCAGGAGAGGAGGCTCGGGATGATGTCTTTGGAGTACAGCCACTAGAAAATAATGTTAGCATAGATGCATCTATTTTGGTGAGGGGTGCGCATACCTCAACCACACCCTGGCCACCATCGTTACGGTCCAGGGCAATGATCTTAAGAAGCAGATCCATGACCATGGGGCACTCGACATGCTTGAGTAAATTGGGAACAGCATCAGGAAGAGTGGTCAAAAGTTCCATCATCTCCTCGGTCTTCTTCTCAAACAAAGACTCGTTGACCTTTGTAAAGTAGCTCGCCTGGAGGGGATCGAGCGGGGCAGGGCGGGACAAGAACTTCCAAAAACCGCGAATCAATTGTCGATTGTCAGCGAGAGCCTCGTAGATTGACCAGGTATCGGAGCTGAGAATCTCGCAAGCTACAAATGCGTAGCGATTGCGCTTCTTTTCCTGCTCTTCTTCCTCATCGTTGCCCGGGTCGGTGGCGCGGGAGGATGCGCGCGGTCGCGAGAAGGAGAAGCGGTTCTTGGCCTTGGCATCTTGTTCTGCGGTGGACTCGTCGGGGGTCTCGACGGTCTCGAGCTTGGGAGCGACTACATAATCGAGTAGATTGTCGAGGACGTTATCGCTTCGCAAATATTCGATGAGTTTTGAGTTGTGCTGCTTAAGCTCCTGGATCAGATCGCTCTCGTCGAGCAGCTCCTCTAAAGTGAAATCGGGCTTGTCGAGGATTGTGTCGATAGTGGAGATGTTGGCGTAACCGCCAAACCTCCAAAACATGGTGAAGGGATGCCCTAGGCGCAGTCGCAGTCGCTATCGCAGGACTGGAGCGTTTTGGGGGAGCAAAAGGGTGAAAGAAGGATTGATGGAGGTGGAGGAGTCGAGATGGATCATGTAATCAATCAAATCCGGTCAGGTCAAGTCGAATCGGTCGAGTCAGCGGGTCGGGCGTTAGCAGTACTTTCCTTTACTGCAGCGCTTCACCAAACGTCGAGTAGACCTCAGCTCAGCACAGTCAAGATGACGAATGAAAGAAAATAGAGGTACATTCGATGAATAAATGAATGGTCAGTCAGACTGTGGCATTCCCGGAATGTCTGCAGTCACTGCCTTGATTGTGGGAAAGCAACAGGTACGAATGTTGTGACGTCGCAATCATTCACTACCAAAAACAGGGCAAAATATAGGTAGTATAGGTAGTGATCTAGAGAGCAAAAACACTGTCATTCCTCAGTCTGGAAAAAGGAAAATTCGAACAGTGATACAGTCAAAGGTAATGTCAGAAAGGTTGTCACGATGAGAAGTCAAGTCAAAGCATGGAGGAGGCGATCGAAAGCGAAAGCACGGGCGTCACAGCGAGCAGAGGGCCTGGGCGTCAACACTTTAGCGAGCGGCAGCGGCAGAGAGCGCCAACGAAAAAACAGAGCAGCCCGCACCTCACAAAAAAAGCAAAAAGCTCGAACGGTACGCACGCGACACCAAGGTTCGTTGGGCGTCAATTCGCCCCTTTGGACCTTGTTTTCACTGCACTTTAATGGCGGCTACAGCGCTTTAAGTTGAGGCTCTAATGTTGATGCTTTTTTATCTCAATCTGAGACATGAAGTTATTTTAATCAAATCAACAATAATGGCTTTGCCCTTTTTCTCTGTTACAGCGAGTGTTTCTGTGCCTGGCTGACAGTACTGTGCATATCACCATGCATGTGCTAGGCAACTGTGGAGAGAATAAAAGGGGTGAACCATACTGCCTCACGTGGAGGAGGTTGTTTACCTGTACATCAAAAGGCGAGCGAGTAATCTGGTGACGGTTGCACAATCCATCCAAAATGCTACTATCAAGAAACCAATCGATCGAGTCTTGAACGTTGACACCATAGATCCCCTAGAACCGGCTATCTCGTCACGGACCTCCTCTTTTCCTTTTTCATCATTTCCACCCCTGTATTGCCACGTTGTCTGTGCTCACCAATCACTGAGTGGACACTCACCAGCAAGCACGCATAGCACACATGGCACGCATGGCTTTAGCATCATGGTTATCTGAGTCGTTTATCATGAACCCTTGATTTTAATTCTCATAAAATCACTGGGCTCAGGGTAGAAAGAATTTATATGTACCAAGGTGTCAAAGCCCATAATAAATAGTGCGATCTGGGTTCTGTAGGTTGACTCTTGCTCCACTCCGCCAAACAGTTTACCCTACACCTTCACTTAATTATAGAACTCGGCTGTCCCGACGCCACACCCTGTCAGCATCAATAACACACTCAAAACGCACATGCTTATGCTCCAAGGAATCGAAGGTGTACTCAAGAAGTAGATCAATTTCGAAACGAGTGTATCTAAGAAATAGCGAGTGTCCAGTCCCCACAATCCTCATCCATCTCAAAATCATCTCCTCAATCAAACACCTTTCAATTGACAACCGAAACGTCAGCCTCCCAGGTCCCGGGATACAAAAATAAAAGGCCCAAGAAGCCTGCTCTAAATAGCGTAAGCTGACTGACTAATCTCGTCCTTTAGACTCTCTAAATGTTGCCCTCGTAGGAACACCTCCATTGTAAGCCAACAAATTCGGGCTTCCAGTGCCGGCATTAGCAACCACATTCTTCGTCGCTAACTGCTGAATCCTATCCTGCACACTCTTAACAGTCTTTAAATTCTCCTTTGCCCTGAGGTAAAGCGACAGACCCGCGACATGAGGACATGCCATGCTCGTGCCGCTGATTGTGTTGGTCGCAGTATCACTACTAATCCAAGTGCTTTTGATATCAACGCCAGGCGCAAAGATATCCACAAGGGGACCCCAATTAGAAAAGCTGGCTCTGTTGTTGTTTCTGTCAATAGCGCCGACCGTGGTTGCGTTCTGGGCAGATGCGGGTGATGTGGTATTCGCGTTGACGTTGTCGTTGCCTGCTGCGACAACGGTGTGGATGTTTTGACGATAGGCCATTTCTACGGCTAAGTTGAAGGCATCGGACTTGCCACCGCCGAGGGACATGGAGATAACGGATTGCTGGTTACGACCGGGCGTGTTGGTGATGTTGTTGACTGCCCAATTGTACCCATCAAGAACGATGGCAGTCGTTGACTATCATTTATCAGTAGTGCTCACAGTAAACCTGAGACCGGGTGGACTTACACTACCAGTGTGAAAGACCTTGACCGCGATAAGATTCGCTCTCTTGGCTACACCGTATACTTTACCGGCGATAGTACCAGCGCAGTGTGTTCCATGTCCGTTGGCATCGACGAAAGGAACACCAGGATAAGCATTGTAACCAGTCGAGGCTCGACCTTGAAAGTCTTGATGACCAATGTTGATACCGGTATCAACAAGATAAGCATACATGCCATTTCCAGCAGATGCATCATAGAGATACTCGCTTGACCCGGTAGTCCGGTGCGAGATGGAAGCAAGGCCCCATTCTGCATTGCGTTGAACGGTAGTGAGCGTGACTTTCTTGACCGGTTCAACGGCGAGGACCTAAAACGCTATGAGTACTTCTCAATGAGTTAAAAGGGTAGCACCTACATCCTCGCTTTGGTTGATCTTCCTGATGGTATTCTTATCAAACTCGCCGCAGTACCCCTTAAAGGTTGAGTTCCAAACCTTGTCAACGCCGTCTTCGCCACGACGAATTAAGCTTGCGGTATGGATATCGTCAACCCATTCAATGTGCTGCTCTATCTCAGTCTCGTTGACCTTTGGCTTTAGAGTAATGATATAGTTATCCTCGACAACCTCGCCAATTGTAAACTGGGCGAGGGCCGAGGGGAGCAGAGCTAGGAGGATCTTGAAGGAGAGCATCTTGAAAAGAGAGTGCAGTGTGATGAAGATTCTGATGAGTGGAAATCTTTAAGAAACCTTCCCTTCTTATAGGACATATCTCGGTCCTCGCCTCTGGGTAAGTTGAAAGGGGCGTCGCAGCCAGACTCGACTCTCTCCAATCCTTATGTCTTGGCTCATCCTCAAAGCTCATTACTCGTCACATAATAGAATTTGTGCACCACTCTGCAACTAAATGTCTTTGATTCAACTTACACATTAATCTCCAGCCTATACATCAGATTCTGTCTAGCATTTGAGACCCAACCCTCTCAACCGTCGTACCAACTTCACCAACCAGGGGTATCTAGTCTGGTGATGGGGGCATCTGTGGCAATTGAGACAGTCACGCTTATGAACTCGTACAGGGTTTTTGGCTTGGGATGTATGATGATGAGAGGGAACTTCTTTTTCGCTTCCACATAGGACTGGAGGAGAAGGACTGAAAGAGGCTGTATAGGGGCATGTTACTGGACATAAGATCATTGTACGGAGGTGTGTGCCGTATGCCACACCAGTCCTTATCAGTTGGCCTGAGATCAGACAGGAATCTGTATGGCCATCATTGCTGCCCCGGATGTACCGACAAAGATCTCCGACATCATTTCACGGAGCTACCGAAGCTGAGGAAATCCAGGGGCGAGACAAATTAAGGACGTGAGACGTCCGTCCGGATTACCGATTGTGTGATTCATGTCGAGAACCCCTATTCAAATCTACGCTTTTCCACGCTCTCCTTGTAAGACACTCTATCTATACATCCTCCAATCCAAATAGTATTACGCCCCTGCAACGGCTTTCGCCATAACTCTCATCCCCTTGTCAAACTCTGCTTTAACGGAGCTCACCTCTGCGAGCTCCTTCAAAACACCCCCTCGCCACCACCCGTACCATTCCGCAACCTCACCCAAGTCAACCTCGTCACGAGACAACCACTCCACGAGTATCTTGTGCCACGTGGGAAACAGGTGTTGTAAGAGCACCTCGGCGACAACCCTCCGGCCGAGGATGTACCTCCAATCCAGTACACCCATGAGGACTGGAAGGGTAGGCTCTTGATCCGAGGGCTCGACATTGAAGTTTCGGCTGAGATATTTGCCCATTGAGGGGAGGACGTGGGACATGACAAGAGGACGCCATTGATCGCCCAAGACACCCTTCCAGTCCTTGAGCCCCGGTAGTTCGCCCTTTTTGAACTCCCACACATCGATGAGTTGTCTGAACTTTCGTCTAACGTCCGCCACGAGACCAGTACCCCTGGGGTCGAGGTGATATGATGGTAGGTATTGAAGCCAGGGAAATAGCCAGATATGCGGTAGGCGATGGTTTTGGCGTCTGCTCTTGGGGTTCCAGTCTGAAACCGCTGTCTCTAACTTTCGGACAATGTTGTCGATAAATTGTGCGCGAACAAAGACTGGCAAAAGATCGTGCCAACCCTCCATGACACTCAGCATTGGTGTTGGATCCATGACATCCCATGAGCGGACCGCGGTAAGGGCTTTGGGGAGCCAGTTCTTATACATCATGCTTTCGTAGGGGGTTGTTGACTTGTGATGGCGACGGTAGATGTCGTCTGTATCTACCGACAAAGAATCCCACTTACCGACAGTCTTGCCGTTGGAAGTTGCTGGCATGAGAAGTGGTAGTAGTTCTTTGAGTCCCGAAGCGAAACGGGTAGGCTCTTGAAGAAGATCCCATTCTGCTTCCCGAAGGAATGGATGGATAGCTGCGACAGCAATGTCGGCAATCTCTGATGTTGTGGCCTTGAGTTCAAGAGCTTTGTGTAGACATGCAATAAGCTGGTCCCAGTCGGCTGTCGCAAGCTCGCCACTAACCAATTCGGAAAAGACCTGTAACCTTTCAAAGTCTGATCGTAAATCGTCCGTCTCTTGCTCCTTCTCCTTCAATTCCAGATCGATCCAGGTTTTTCTTTCCTGCAAGCTCTTCCATTCGTCGGAGAAAGCCAACAAATCCGCTTGCGCTCTCTTTACGAGTTTTCTCGCCTCGATGACTTCCGTCGACTCTGGTGTAGCGGTTCCTGTTGTGGGTGTCATGATACCACTTGTCGAGGTGAGCATCTTGCTACCCGGCCCTGTCATGTCCAGAATAGGAGCAAAGGCATCTGGAATATGAAGACCTGGCGCAGTGGCCTTGAGCTCCTCTGCTGTAAGGTATTTCGGCTTTTGTCGTCGTGGTGTACTCGCAGCGCTGTCGAATGCACCTCCCAAGGACTTCTTCTTTGCCCTTTTGCGCTTCTTTTTCTCTTCCTCGTCTGAATCAACCACCACTTCTCCTCGTAACTCAGCCTGTCGCTTCTCTTCCTTTCTCTCCTGTTCGGACTTTTCTTTCACTGCACCCAAACCAATACCCTGCGGTCGCAAGTTTGCTTCGATGATGACGTTTCGACCCTGTCCTTCTTTACCCAAACCTTTGCCCTCCTCGTAACCCATCTTGGCCATCATCCGAGCACCGAAAGATTTGGGGTTTGTTTTGCCCTTTGCGCTGAATGCACTAGGCTGTGGTTTGTTGCGTGGTGTTGGAGAACCATTATCGCGTGTGTTCTTGAGGACTGGGTCGTTCGCTGATGAGGGAACAAAGCCCATACCGAGAGGGTTCTTTCCATCGAATCGAGTTCGGAAGGCTGGGCGGGATGGTGCTTCGGCGCTTGCGCTTCGACTTGAGTTTTGGGTATCATTTTGAGCGAAACCGCGGGCAACACCTGCGAAGCCAAGTCCGATTCCACGGGTATTTCCTTCGTCCTCGTCCTCGTCCTCCTCATCCTCGTCTTGATCCATGGCACTTCCTAGCATTGGGGGATTGTCGTCGGACTCTTCATCGTCGTCTTCCTTCTCGCTGCCTGCGCCTGTAGAAACAAAGTTCATGCCTTTGTTCCTCAATGTTGTTCTCTTCCATTTCCTGGCTGGGCCGTCGTCCTCGCTATCAGAGCCAAAGATGCCTAGCGCTGCCTTTTCCTTGTTATTACGACCCGTGCGACGTCTCTTGCGAGGGTTAAAGTCACCGAAATCGTTGTCGGCGTCGAGGCCTGGTGCAAGATGTTCATCTTCGGATTCGGAGGCTGATGAAGAATATTCGGCTGCAGCGGCTTTCGTTAGACGCGAGGGATTGAACGAGGATCCTGTTGAGCCGTTCATGATCGCTGTGTAGTTTGTGGTGTTGCGAGCAATGATGGGTTTCGTGTGCGCGAGCGCACTTGGCTAAAGATTACAGAAAGATCTCGACGCGATAGGCGGAAGCTAAACATGACGATGCTGGCTGGACTTGGCAATCTTATCTTCACGTGCCCCCACCATATTGTCACGTGCATGGTCATAGCGTCGTATCAGTGAATGAAGCTATCACCACGCCGTGTTGGTCTGAGTAAAAAGAGGGACGGTTACAACTATTTCCTCAAAATACAATTTTTCTATCTCGCACTTTATTTCGGAAAGGTAGGCTATCGACTTCGTGAGGGACTCTGTGAGCATGGACTTATTTGTATGATGGCCTTCCCATCTTCCGCAGGTACCTTCAGGCTCGATTTTATCGTCGCTGAAGAACCTGCCGGGCACGACAACAATTTCGAAGTCAACGTGAACTTTACAACAAACCGCCATCGTGAGTGCTCCGAAATGGTACGTAACGTGGCATATTTAACGAGTTGGAAACAGATGGTCCGAACCAGTGTTCTGAGCGATGCGTTGACAACCATCAACAATGCGGAGAAGGCAGGCAAGCGCCAGGTCCCTCCTCTAAGGTTGTCATCAAGTTCCTTGGGCTTATGCAGGCGCAAGGATTTATCGGGGAGATAGAAGAGGTCGACGATCGCCGGTCTGGCAAGATCGTTGTTCAGCTCAACGGCCGGTTCGTCCCACCATTCTCATCAGTCCTGCGAATCATCAATTGCTAATAATGTCTCTAGTCTGAACAAGTGTGGCGTCATCAGCCCTCACTTCAACGTCCGCCTCGGCGAGATCGAGAAGTGGGTGGTTCCACTCCTGCCTGCCCCGTCAGTTCGGGCACATTGTCCTCACCACCTCTTCCGGCATCATGGTTCATGAGACAGCTCGCCGCAAGCATGTCTCAGGCAAGATTCTCGGTTTCTTCTACTAGATCCTGCGTGATAGCAGGGCTGGTCTCTGGGTATCGGAATGTGTCTGACGTGTGTCTACGGTTTACTGTCGTCTTGCGTCAACGTTCTTTGTAACCCCCTAGGCTGGGTACCGATATTCACATTTGAGATGGGATAAGTTGGAACGATCACAGCGCCAGGCGTCAGGCTATTTACATAGAAATACGCAATAAACAAACAGTCAACGGCGATCAAGAATCTGCATTCTCTTTTTTCCATGACCTGTGATATGAACTGTGTTGAGCACAACACACTGGATGGCCTGTCATCCATATCATGATGGGAAGGTGTTGTACATGAAGCATATAAGACGTAGTCCATACCACAGCATAAATACCCCTAGACCTGCGATCACACCATTCCAGCGGCATGAGAAGCATTAACTACCACTTGGTCCACATCTGGTCACAATCTAGAAGACATGTTCGTAATCCAGTCGTGATGCAAGTAAAGCTTTTCCCTGCAGCCTCGCGTCTTCTCTTCGCTGCAGTTGGACTAGATCCCTACACCTAGCTTAGTACCCGCACCCTCAGCCCAGCTAGATGTGATGTATGATCATCATTGAGACCCTACGGCAAGGTATTTGGTGGAAACTCTTGGAATACCCCTCATTACCTACCTTGATTTGTACTCGACAGACCTCACTCACCCTGTATCTAACTAACAGGCCAATACCCTTCAGCTTGAAGCATGACACGTCAACAACTTGTTGGTTGCTGAGCAATTGAATGCAAGGCGAAACATATGCAACTATTTCTTGCATCTTCTATTTGGACTTTAACGAGTTCATGCCATTTGAGCTTTGACCCAGAGGCTGAAAGCTGAAGATTTCTATGCATTATTGAATTAGGATCCACTTAGGAAAGAGGAATGTAGGAACCCGAAACCAGTAGCTGTGGCTTGAATCCCGTTCCTGTCTATCTGCAAGGGAGTTAGACCTGGGGAAATGACAGAAAACGCCAATTTTAGTATAATTTTTAAACGTTTCACAGATTCATCTTGAATTAATCGAATTGTAATATAAAGAAACATGGTTGTTGATGTTGATCTTCATAGCGTTTTGACATCGGTCAGTGTGTGTGGCTAGCAGGTACTGCCTATGTCTGTTTCTGGGGCAATGGCGGTAGATTGGGCGTCAATAAAAGAATCTACACTTGAATGACAACACACAGGGCAGCCATTAAATATCTGGGGTCGGTCTATGACATACATTTAACAAGTTGGATATCCCTTGCCTTTTTTCCTTTTCCCCCCCTAAATTTGTCATATATCTTTAAAAGATCAATACTTACGACTCTAACGAAGCAATTTGTAAGTCCCTGAAAACCCATTTCCGTCCCGTCCCCGTATTTTGGCCCTGTCCAAGTTCATTTCAACCCCTGCTAAATCAGGTGACGGGCGCTTGTTGACTTTCCCCTCCAAAAAACGATTGTTTCTAGACTTTGTCCAAACAACAAGGATCCAGGAACAAATAAGAAGTCGCTTGCCTTGCTTGTTTTGCGGGTGCATCTTCATCTATTTTGGTCGTTGTTGCTCTATTGCGCATCCTTCCTTCTTTACATAATTATTAGCATCACTAACATTGCGCCGTCTTTTGTAGAAAGAACAAAGCATCTTCTTTGTTTCCTCCTTTAGCATACACGCGACAACCAACACTCTTCCCGCCTCTTGATACCCATCTCTCTATTCGCTTTCACTCGGTATGTTTTACGAAGCTCTCCAACATCATCAAGGCTGGCTTTGCTCTTCTAGAGTACTCGGCGCGCCCATCGCATCTGAACCCCAATAGCCTTACGATGGATCCTCCGAAGCGCTCCGGCCTATTTCATAAGCTAATTACCCGCCTAGTCCAGGTTTTACGACCCAAGAAGCGACATCATACACTCGAAAGATACCCCGTCTCAAGCTCTCCTCAATACCAATTCTCCCTAGAAAACGCAATCATGGCCGACGAAGAAGATTTTAGCTCCATACCCCTGCCCGACCGCTTCGCCCACAAGGTCTGGAAGGTTAGAAAAGGAGCATACGAAGAGGCTACCAAGCAATTCGAAAAGTCCCCCGACGAGTCAGATCCCTGTTTTCGACCATTTTTGAACGACCCAAGCTTGTGGAATAAAGCTGTTCTCGACACAAATGTTGCTGCACAGCAAGAAGCCGTCACCGCATTGTGCGCTTTTCTCAAATATGGTGGAAGAGATTGCTGCTTAAGGTCGCGGAACCAGACCATTACCCCAATGGTGGAGAAATGTCTCTCTTCGACCCGAGCCGTGATCAAGCAGAACTCCATCGAAGCTATTCTGCTCTACATTGAACTTGATGTCCCTGGACCTGTCATCGAGGACATGCTCCCTGGTCTGAACAACAAGGTCCCAAAGAACGTTGCCGCGACATTCCACGCCCTAACACAAATCTTCCACAACTATGGTTGCAAGGTTGTCGACCCGAAACCTGTGCTCAAAGCACTCCCCAAAGCCTTTGGTGCTGCCGACAAGAACGTCCGTGCTGAGGCTACAAACCTGACGGTCGAGCTCTACAGATGGTTGAGGGAGGCTATGAAGCCCATGTTTTGGAGCGAGCTCAAGCCTACCCAGCAGACTGATTTGGAAGCACAGTTCGAAAAGATCAAGGCCGAGGGCCCGCCTAAGCAAGAACGTCTGCTCCGATCCCAACAAGAAGCTCTCGCCGCTGCCCCGGAAGGTGGTGAGGATGGCGAGGAAGGCGAAGCAGAGGGAGAGGATGGCGAAGAAATGGATGCTTTTGATCTGGCCGAGCCTCAAGATGTCAGCAAGAAGATTCCGCCCAACTTTAGCGATCAGCTTGCTTCGTCGAAGTGGAAGGACCGAAAAGAAGCCGTTGACGCTCTGCACGCGGCAATCAACGTCCCCCGCATCAAGGAAACCGATTTCAATGAGGTCTGCCGTGGCTTGGCCAAGTGCATGAAGGACGCCAACGTTGCTGTCGTTGTTCAAGCCGCCGTCTGTATCGATCTTCTCGCAAAGGGCCTCCGTAAGGGCTTTGGTAAATACCGCGCCACAGTTATGCAGCCCATCATGGACCGCCTCAAGGAGAAGAAGGCTTCTGTAGCCGACGCTCTTGGAGCCGCCCTCGACGCCGTTTTCGCCTCAACCGACTTGTCTGAGTGTCTGGAGGATATTATCGCCTACCTCAGCAACAAGAACCCCCAGGTCAAAGAGGGCACCATGAAGTTCCTGATTCGCTGCCTACGAACAACACGAGATGTGCCCAGCAAGCCGGAGCAAGCCACCATCTGTGAAGCTGGTAAGAAGCTTCTGGCCGAGTCCACTGCTGCTCTTCGAGACGGTGGTGCCGAGATTCTCGGTACGGTCATGAAGATCATTGGCGAACGTGCTATGTTACCTAACCTGGAGGCTCTGGACGATATTCGCAAGAACAAGGTCAAGGAGTTTTTCGAGGCCGCCGAAGTCAAAGCCAAGGAGAAGCCCAAGCCCAAGGCTGCTGCCCCTGCACCCAAGGCCGCTCCCGCTAAGAAGGTTATGGGCGGAAAGAAGCCCCTTGCCAAGAAGCCAGCTCCCGCTCCCGCCGCTGCTCCCGTTATGCCTGACGAGCCTCTCGCTCCTCAGCCTACGCCTCGAGCAGCCCCTAAGCTGACGAAGCCTGGACTGGGCGGATTGAAGAAGAAGACAATTGGAGGTCCCGCTCCTCCTGGCTCTCCTCGTCGAGTACCCACAGGACCTGTCATGCCCGATGATGATGAGCCAGCCCCTCCTCCTCAACCACGTGTTGGTCTCTCTCGTGGTCTTGCTGGACGCTCTCTTGTCAAGCCTACTGCACCCTCACCTCCCATGGAACCCGCCTCGCCACCTCCATCCAGCGGTCTTACTGCTGTGGAACGAGCCGAGATTGAGGAGCTTCGGGCAGCTAACGACCGACTGACCCGCCAAGTTGAAGAAATGCGACAAGAACGCAACAAGTTTATGTCGGAAATTCAAGAACTTAAGAACCAGAATGCTGGCCTGATTGAGGACCACACCCGTGACGTGCTGAGTATCAAGGCCAAGGAGACTCAGCTGGTTCGTGCAAGAAGCGATGCAGAGGCTACGGAGCAGACCAACGATCGCTTGAGACGTGAACTGGAAAGACTTAAGAAGGCTTTGAGTCACGCCGAGAGATTCGAAAATGCCGGAAGCGGCATGAACAGCCCTCGTCGCCTTGCTTCGCCCACACACGAAGACGTTTACCGAGATCACGGACCACCATCTGTCAGCCGTCATAGAATGAGCATAGCTAGCAGCATGTCTGAAGAGAAGGAAAACGGCGATCACATGGCACCCCCTCGTAACAAGTTCAGTCCTGAGATGCGATACACTGGCAGCGGAAGCTCATCAGGTCGCGGATCACCAGCACGAGGTTTCAGAAGCGCACGACCATACAACGATGAAGAACATGTACCAGCACCCACCCAACGGCCCATGTCATCACTACCTCAACCAACAGGTAACGGTGCCGAGAGCTGGAGAAGAGCGGCCGAGGTGACGAGTCAATTGAAGGCTCGAATTGAACAGATGAAGGTATGTTGTCCGTGTTTTCTACTGCAGATATCATTATAACTAATATGTTACAGGCCAAGCAAGGACTCGCTCGCCCTTAGAATTGTCAACAAAACATTGTGCAATGACTTTTTACTACAATACTTTTAATGATGATGATGCTTTGGGAGGTTCATCGCGGAAAAGCTGGGATGGGTATACCTGGGACAGAAACAGACAGCCCCAGTCCGGTTGCATCTTGACGGCGTTAGAACTTGTGCCACCATCTGCTTTGCTTCGCTTCAAGGGGTCTGATAGAATTATACATGGGCCACGGCTGTCTTGGGATTGTACGGAGCAATGCCCGCGGCGGGTCAAAGATACCTAGTTGTTTAATGCATGAATGATTTCTATTCACTTTAAGAGTGTCTTGTCTCATAGGCGTCAATTCATTAACTCGGCATATAAATAATTAACAGAAATTCCGAAACTCCTTTAATCGCCAGTGCTCATGCTTGTCTTGCTTGGTCTTTATGCCAGCATATTACTCCTTCTTGTCCTTCTTCTTGGAATCGTCCTTCTTATCCTTGGAGTCACCCTTGTCCTTAGCGTCATCCTTGTCCTTAGAGTCGTCCTTCTTGTCATCAGACTTGTCATCCTTCTTGTCCTTGGAGTCGTCCTCCTTCTCCTCGGACTTGTCACCCTTCTTTTCTTCAGACTTATCGTCCTTCTTGTCGGACTCTTCCTCAGAGTCCTTGTTCTCAGACTCGCCCTTCGTGCCAGAGGACTCTTCCTTGGGCTTCTCGTCCTTGCCCTCATCCTTAGACTCGGCCTTGTCACCATCATCTCCCTTTGACTCGGACTCAGCCTTCTTGCCCTCGTCCTTCTTATCCTCATCCTTCTCCTCACCCTTCTTCTCGCCATCCTTAGACTCAGACTTCTTGTCGCTAGCCTCTTCAGAAGCCTTGGCCTTGTCATCACTCTTCTTCTCCTTGTTACCGCCCTTCTTACCCTTCTTCTTTTCCTCTTCCTTCTTCTTCTTCTCAGCCTCCTTGGCCTTCTTCTCTTCTTCAGCCTTCTTCTTACGCTGACGCTCCTTCTCCTTTTCCTCAAGCTTGGACCAGTCGGTCTCGTGGTCTGCGATACCGCTTCGGGAGAAGTTGTTGCTTAGACCTTGAGCGGTAATGGCATCTCCCTGCTTGATCTTGGCTCGGCCAATAAGCGAAATGAAGATTGCGAATCCGACCATGGCTGTGAGGAGGAAACGGTAGGATCCGTACCAGCGAGGCGCCCAGCCTTTGGTCGCGGCGCGAGAATCGGCAAAGTAGAGACCGACGAAAGCCATGAATTGAGTAGTGAGAGCGTACTCAACAGGGAGCATCACAGTGGGCCAAGCGATGACCGAAGAGGCGAGACCCATGCCATAACGGAAGCGGGTTCGTTTGAGAGATGGCGACTTTTCGGCGTACTCGAGGCCCTGTCGTATGGTGGTTAGCCATATGAGCAATATTTCACAGTTCAAGGACTTACCCAGTGGATGGCTCCAAGGAAAGAGATAATGACAGCACCGTATCCGAGCTGGAGGGGCTCAATGACACTCAACAGGTACTTGGCAGTCTCGTGGTCGACCATGATGGCATCGTAGAAAGAATTGCCTGTGGGAATATCCTTATTCAAGTCCCAAGCGAGAAAGACAGTGGAAAGCGAAGTTCCGAGATAAGGAAGTGTACCGGCAAGACCGAGGATGCGCGACTCGCGGGGTACATCTGTGAATGTGAATGTGTCTTTCACAATACCCTACAGCCACTGTTAGAGGATTGTTTTTGGTGCTGCACTATTTGGAAGCTTACAATATCGTGCTTGAGCTCGTTGCTCATGCCTTCCTCCTGGGGAGGGCCTTGGACTCCAATTGTGTTGGGGAGTGAGCTCTTGCTCGAGACATGGCTGGGGTCGGATTGGAGAAGCTCCTGTCCACGTTTGCGCTCGGCCTCATAGTCAATGGGTTGCTTTGGAGGAGGAGGGTTCTCTTGATCGGATTTGCTAGAGTAGACAGCTCGTTGTTGGCGTAGTAGAGGCGCAATTGATGCGCGGGGTAGAGAAGTTCTGGGCGAAGCTCTCGCGGCGAGTTGCCAGAGGGGACGAGAGGAGGTACGGAACATGATGGAGGATGACGCAGTAAAAGTTAATTGGGAGGCACGCGAGTAGACAGGACAAAGCAAAGCTCAATGATGGTTTAGTTAATGATTACCGAGAGAAGATTGAAGAGGGAACAAGTTCTGGAATGGAAGCTAAGATAGAAATACCATTGAGATCGATGGAGCTTTCGGAAAGTTCATGTAATCATGGAATCTTCTTCAGCTTCTTCCAAGATCTGGATCAAGATCAAGATCAGGATTAGAATAGGACATCTACGGATGAGCTACGTAATCTGTACCTGGACGGCAAGACGGATATAGAAAGTCATGAAACTCTGTTGCATGTCAAACAAGGTTAGGTCCAGACAGGTACTGGATCGGAAATTGCGTGTAAATAACCCGTTGACTCTAAAATTTACCTGCTCTTGTTCTCTTTATTTTTCTCTGTTGTCACGTCTAGACTACATCATCGCGATCCAGTCTGAAGCTACCTCTCAATGTCGTGACGTCATGAAAGCGTGGGAGCTCCAGAGCTGAACACCTCCATAGGTCCATCAGGGATATCAACACCTGCTTAATTGTAGCATGTCACTCCCAGACTGCACTGAAATATTGACGCATATTCGAATAAACGTTTTCAATTAATGGATGGATATAAATAAATAGTCATGGCTTATCACTCGACTTTAGTATAGCTGATTACCTCTTGGCCCGATGCCAATGCTACGGGAATGATTATGGAGAACATACCCCCACTGTAACCTGCCCTGTGCTTTGATGTGCTCCAGGGCTATAAACTGCCCGAACGCGTTGGAACGTGAAGCAGAAAGCCACTGGCAGCTCCTAGCCCCGTTCGATACCTGATTCTTGGTCAGTCTGTCCGCAAATAGTAAGTACCTCCAACAGCATCGTCATACACGCCACACCATTCCCAAATGCCAACCCATGGTAATTCCCACTTTTGCTCCGGAGAGGTGCGTCACTCACTCACAGGACGACACGCCCGATGGAATCCACCTTTTCACATCACCGCAAAGCTGCCCATCTTTATTCAAGAGGCATAATCGATAATACCCTCATCCACCAAATCCCGCTTTTTCTCTATCTTCTGTCACTCCCATTCCCAGGGATACCCCGTCTGCTGTACCTACGAGATACAGTTTCGATTACGACCCCGCTCTGACTTTGAAGAGCACTGACTGCTTCCTTCGACGTGGGCAGACGGACGATTCAACGGTCGAGCCTCGTATGGCAAAATAAATCCCGTCGACAAATGACTTCCCAATAAACTACATCAACAAGAACCCAACCTTAATTCCCCGGCCCGGGTTACGGCCACAATACCGCCAGAATGCTCGAAGGCCTCGTTGCTGGCCTGCTTAACCGCTTCCTGGGCATGTACGTCAAGAACTTTGACCCTGCCCAGCTCAAAGTCGGTATCTGGTCTGGCGATGTCAAGCTACGCAACCTCGAGCTGCGCCGTGAGGCTCTCGACCAGCTCAAGCTTCCCATCAATGTTATGGAAGGCCACCTTGGCGAGCTGACTCTAGTCATCCCCTGGTCCAACCTGCGCGGCGCTCCTGTCAAGGTCTTCATCCAAGATGTCTTTCTGCTCGCCAGCCCTAAGGAGGAGGCCGAATACGATCAAGATGAGGAGGACCGCAGGAAACAGCGTCTCAAGATGGAGAAGCTGGATAGTGCCGAGTTGCTCAAGGAGAGGAACCAGGAAGGTCTAAGCCAGGAGGAGCAGAAGAAAAGCCAGAGTTTCACACAAAGTCTGGTAACAAAGATCGTCGACAATGTACAAGTCACGGTCAAGAACATACATATCCGATATGAGGACTCCATCTCGGCGCCAGGACACCCATTCGCTCTTGGTGTTACCCTCGAGGAGTTCAGTGCTGTCAGTACCGATGGCGAGTGGAAGCCCGTCTTCATTCAGGACTCAAACACCGTCACTCACAAGCTGGCAACCCTCGGCGCTTTAGCTGTGTACTGGAATACCGATTCAGATCTTCTCGGAACCGGTCGTGAAGCGTCAGCCTCATCCGAGGGAGTAATGTCACACGATGAGATGGTCGCCAGGTTTAGAGAGATGATTGGCAAGGATGCACAAAAGGACTCCAACCACCAGTTCATACTGAAGCCTGTCAACGGTCAAGCCAAGATCGAGCTAGACAAGTCGGGTGACATCATGGTTCCCAAGTTCAAAGCCAACCTACTATTCGAAGAGATTGGTGTTGTCCTCGACGACGATCAGTACCGCGATGCCTTGATGATGGTCGATCTATTCCACTACTTCATCCGACATCAAGAATACAAGAGATTGCAACCAAAGGGTGTCCGACCCAAGGAAGACCCCCGTGCCTGGTTGGAGTTTGCGGGTAATTCTGTTCTGTCAAAGATCCACGAGCGCAACCGCAAATGGTCCTGGGACTACTTCCGTGAGCGACGCGACGACCGAAAACGATACATCGAATTGTTCAAAAAGAGGAAGCAAGGCCACCAGATGTCGAGCGACGAAACAGATGCCATCAATAGTCTGGAGTGGAAGCTCACATACGAAGACTTGCGATTTTGGAGATCTCTAGCTCGTAACCAGCTGAAGAAGGAGAACGCCGAAGCTCTCAAGAACCAGCCACAACAACCCCAACAGCAGCAAGGTTGGATATCGTGGGTGTGGGGTTCGAAACCCCAGGAAACGATTGAGCACAATGAGGAGAATACTCAAATGACCGAAGAGCAACGGCAGGAACTCTACGAGGCCATTGACTGGGACGAAAAGAACGCTATTGCGGATGAAGTTGACATGCCTCGTGAAGCCATCAAGATGTGTATCGAAACATCCCTCAGCACTGGTAGTTTCACCCTGAAGAAGAGCCCGCATGACAATGCTGCGGATCTTCTTAGTTTACACTTTGACGTGTTCAAGGCCAAGGCGCTGCAGAGGAAAGATTCGATGCTCGCAAATGTTAGCCTTGGTGGTCTTCGTGTCAACGATGGCACCACGCCGGACTCTGTCTATCCCGAGATTGTGCGAGTCAAGGATGCGCCCACCAACAATCAGCGTAAGCGACTGTCACTGGCCGAACTTGAACAACCCGAGGAAGACCCCTTCTTCCAGTTCGAATTCGAGCAGAACCCAATTGAGCGGGAGGGCGATATTGCTATTGTTGGAAAGATGAAGCCCCTCGAGGTCATCTGGAACCCCAACTTCGTCGTTGGTATTGCCGACTTCTTCAGACCTCCCGAGCGACACATGGAGTCTATTACTGCCCTCATGGAAAGCGCTGGTGCAACTGTCGAGAGTATTCGTGAACAAACTCGAGCCGGCCTTGAGTTTGCATTGGAGGAGCACAAGACCATCAACGCTGAGCTAGATCTGCAAGCGCCTCTGATCATCGTACCTGTCAGCATCACCACGGAAAACTCTACCTGTCTTATTGTGGATGCAGGTCACATCCACGTCAACAGTGAATTGGTCGACCAGGGCACAATGAAGGAGATTCAATCCAAACAAAAGCAGACATACAGCGATGAAGATCTCAAGAAACTCGAGTCTGTCATGTACGACAAGTTTATTGTCAAACTGACATCTACTCAAGTTCTCATCGGACCCTCTGTTGACGAGACCAAGGCTCAATTGGTTGAGAAGAGCGACGAGGCTCATCTTCATGTTGTTGAACAGATCAATGTCGACTTTGTCGTCGAAACATCCATCCTACCGAAGGCGCCCAACCTGACCAAGTTCAAGGTCTCAGGACATCTTCCAATGCTTCATGCGACAGTTTCTGACACCAAGTATAAGAACTTGATGAAGGTCATTGATGTGGCCATTCCCAAGTTTAGTGCAACTTCGGCGCAGAAGATTGAGCAACACAAGGAAGCTTCTCGTCCTCGCCTAAAGAGCAATTCGTCCAACCGATCTAGAAGAAAATCTCAACGGGAGCGAAGACAGTCCACACCATTCCCATTCATGCAATCCGAGACCGCAGTCGTTCTTGACGATATGGATGAAGATGATGATGACTTTGAAGACGCGACAGACGGAGGTGATTCCGAGCAACTCAAGGTCCAGCAACGCATCTTTGAGTTCAAGTTCAAGGTCGACACACTCAAAGGTTCGCTTTACCGAAGCGACCCAGATGGACAGAAGCCTGATGCGCTGCTGGTTGAGCTGGTTGCTGAGCGATTCGACTTGGAGTTCTACACCAGACCTTTTGACATGGTTGCGGATGTTTCACTTGGTTCAGTCACGGTCGACGACTTTGTGGACAACCCTTCGGCCGAGTTCAAGTCAATTATCTCATCTGGGGACAGTGAAGATCTCAAGGAAGGCCGCAGTCTGGTCCACGTCAAATTTGTCAAAGTCAATCCCGCTTCCCCCGAGTTCATGCCTGTCTACGAGGGTGTCGAAACCAATATTAATGCGGTTGTCTCTACAATCAATTTGATCGTTACCCGGAAGACACTACTTACTCTGCTCGACTTTATTCTTATCACGTTTACAAACAATAACAACGACAACCAGTCAAACAACAACAAGGCGATATTGGACAATGATGATGATGACGCCGAGAGTATCAACACTGCAGTCGCAGTTGCTAATGAGCCTCAATCAGCCTCCAGTAACGGGTCTATCCGAGTCAAGGTTGACTTGAAGAGTATCAGGCTGATCCTCAACAACGATGGCATTCGCCTTGCTACACTGTCATTTAACAAGGCTGACGCCGGTATCTTCCTGCGCGGAAATACGATGCGCATCTCAGCCAAGCTTGGTGATCTTTCACTCGTTGACGACGTTAACCTCGGTGTCTCGGAGGATTCCCATCTTCGACAACTCGTCACCATCCAAGGAGATGATCTGGCCGATTTCCGCTACGAGACATTTGACGCTAGCAACCCCAAGGCATACCCGGGATACGACAGCTCTGTCTTCCTTCGTGCTGGTTCCGTCAAGGTGAACTTTATCGAAGAACCGTTCCGCAAGATCGTTGACTTTTTGGTCAAATTTGGAAAGATGCAGGCTCTGTACAACGCTGCTCGCCAGGCTGCTATGAACCAGGCCAATCAATTGCAGCAGAGCCCCAGTCGCTTCAAGTTTGACGTTGTTGTCAATACTCCCATTGTTGTCTTCCCTCGTGTGCAACAGCCAGGGCAAACTGAGAGAGATGTTATCACTGCCTACCTTGGTGAAATCTACGCCCAGAACAAGTTCACCCCTCTTGATGACAGCGAGAATTCTGACATCGCTATGAAGTTGTCAGCTGGTATCCGCAAGATCAAGCTCACTTCAGACTTCCACTACTCTGGAGGAGTCTCGGAGGAGCTCGAAATGATCGATCACGTCGACCTCGGTTTTAATATTACATACGCTGAGCACAAACATGGTGCCAAGAGACCCGAGACCGAGATTGAAGGTACCATGTCTGACTTCAATCTGCGGCTCACACAATACCAAGTCAAGTTCCTCTTGGAAATCTCAAAGTCGGTGCCTGCAGCCTTTGCTGGCGAAGGTGGCGATAAGGAGGAGGAAGCTGCTAAGGCTGTTGACGAAGGTACTCTGCAACGCGCCCGAACTGCCAATTTTGAAGATAAATCTGCCGACGAGAGGACGTTGGTAGACCTTGGCCCCGAACTTGGATCACTTGGTCAAGAATGGACTAAACTTGATCTTGTCTTCCGTGTCAACACCATTGGTCTTGAGCTTATCAATGCGGAAGAAAATGAGCCTGTTCACGATATTGCCAAGTCTAGCTTGTCGCGATTCTCACTCGATGATACCAAGGTCAAGACAAGAATGCTCTCAGATAGTTCTCTGGAGGCAGAGCTGCTCATTCGATCATTTACAATTTACGACAGTCGACCACGCGACACTAACAAGTTCCGTCGCATCATGTCGTCTATGAACAAGGATGTGCAACAGCTCATGGCCAGTGTCACGATATCAGGTGGTAAGGAAAAGAGCTTGATAGCTATGGCGACCATGGACAGTCCGCGGGTCATCTTTGCGCTCGATTATCTATTCTCGCTTCAGAAGTTTGCTGTCGAGGCGCTTGCTGTTGACGAGAGTAGCCCGATGGACGATGAAAGCATCATGGACAACACACCCGATGAGTCGGATACTGATTCCATGCAAGTGACTCTGGCTGGTGGCGCTTCCAGACCTCGATCAGAGCTCTCGCGACGCCAAAGCGAGGACGTGTCCAAACAAGGAGACAGCAAACAAGAGCCCGCCATGAGCATTGCGTTCCGAGTCAACTTGGTTGATGCGCAAGTCATTCTGATTGCCAATCCTCTGACATCCAGCTCCGAGGCAGTCGTACTGTCTATCCGACAAATGCTTCTTTCACAACAGCATGCTTTGACATTCCAGATTTCCGAAATTGGAATGTTCTTGTGCCGAATGGACAAGTTTGAGACCTCTCGCCTTCGCATCATTGACGACTTTTCAGTTCAATTGAGCATGGACGGTTCCAAGCCTCAGACCACTGACATACATGTCGATATCGAGCCTCTTGTCTTGCGTCTGTCGCTGCGCGACATCCTTCTTGTGCTTCAAATTGTTAGCAAAGCAAGTGAGTTGTCTGGCAACGAGCCTAAGCAGCAAGTCAAGGAAACCCCTGCCGAACAGAAAGCGCGCGAGCTCCGAAATGCCGGTATGAAGCAACGCTCTGCCAGCGGTCGAGGTCAGTCTACCATCGCTGGTAGAAGCAAGGTGACAGCAACCAGTCACGCTGTCACTCAAGGTGCCGATACCAGAGGTGGCAAATCACCGGAGCAAGTGGCTCGGCAGAATTTTGAGACCCTTTCCGCAACAGTGGAGGGCATTCGTGTTGTCCTTATCGGAGATGTACACGAACTTCCCATTCTGGATATTGGCATTAAGAACTTTACAGCATCTGCCGAGAACTGGTCTTCGAACCTCAAGGCCGAGACTGCTATTGACCTGTACTCCAACGTCTACAATTTCGCCAAGTCTAGCTGGGAGCCTCTCCTTGAGCCATGGCAAGTTGGTTTCGGTGTCGCCAAGGATCCTGTCTCGGGACTAATGTCAATTGACGTTGCCTCGAAGAAGGTCTTTGACGTGACTGTCACAACAGCATCAATCGCTCTGGCTTCCAAGTCATTCCAGTTCTTGACATCTGATGAAGATGTACTGGACAAGCCCCGTGGTGTTGAAGCACCATACCGCATCAGGAACTACACAGGCTTCGATGTTCTCGTTCACTCTAAGAGCCCAACCAGCGAGGAGCCTATTAACCTTCGATTGGAAGATGGTCAGGAAGCGCCTTGGAGCTTTGAGCATTGGGAAAAGATGCGTGAGAACTTGCTCACCGAGTCAAACCAGAACAATGTCTCCATTTCTTTGGAAGGCAGTGGTTTTGATCCTGTCAAGAATGTTAGACTCAACCGAGAGGGCGAGTATCTGTACGGTCTACGTCCCAAGGCCGATGATGTTCTCCATCGTCTTTGCGTTGATGTCGAGTTGGGTACCGACAACATTAAATATGTGACATTCCGCTCTCCACTGCACGTGGAAAATGCCACCGAGATTCCCGTCGAATTGGGTATTTACGATGCACAGGATGGCCATCTTCTCAAGATCGAAAAGATTGCGCCTGGTGACTCTCGACCCGCTCCGGTCGGCGCTGTATTTGAGAAGCGTGTACTTATTCGACCCGACAGTGGCTTTGGCTACCAATGGAGCAACGACCAACTGTACTGGAGAGATTTGCTCAAGAGGCCTACCAAGCAGGTGGTCTGTAAGGGAGAGAATGGCGACCCGTTCTACTTTCAAGTACATGCCCGTTTTGACAAGGCTAACCCACTGACCAAGTAAGTTCACCAAAACCTGCCAATGAGTACCGTACTAACGATTCCAGACACTACCCATACATGAAGATCAAGCTCTCCGCACCCGTGACCCTCGAGAATTTGTTGCCCTACGACTTCAAGTATCGCATATATGATAAGGCGACCAAGAAGGATTGGACCAACTTTTTGCGAAAGGGTGGCGTCAGCCCGGTTCATGTTGTTGAGCTCTCACACTTGCTTCTCCTTAGTATCGATATGCAAGATACAGTGTTCAAGGCGAGCGACTTTTCCATCATCAACCCGGGCAACAACGAAGATTTCCGCAAGGAGGGCAGGATTGTCGTCAAGGACGATCAGGGACTACCACTACACCTGTCGCTGCACTACCACAAGATCCCCAACAGCGGTGGTGCATTCAAGGTCACTGTGTACAGTCCTTATGTTGTCTTGAACAAGACCGGCGTGGATGTTCGAGTGCGTGCTAAGAGCTTCCTCCAACAAGCCAAGGCGGCAGCAGGTCAATTCCCTCTGATGGACACGTCAAACCAAGACCGTCCCAAGGCTTTACCTTTTATGTTCTCTTTTGGCAATGATGATCACCGCAACCGAGCCCTTCTCAAGATTGCTGACTCTGAATGGAGCAGGCCTCAGAGTTTTGAGGCCATTGGAAGTACTACCGAGGTTGTGCTGAACTCGGCGACGAAAGACAAGGAGATCCACGTTGGTGTGACTGTCGAATCGGGCCAAGGCAAGTACAAGCTCACCAAGGTTGTGACGCTTGCACCTCGATTCGTTCTGCACAACAAGATGGAAGGAGAGATTCTTGTCCGAGAGTCTAGTTCCTCTGGCTATCTCACCCTGAACGATGGTGCCCTCCAGCCTTTGCACTTTATGCAAAAGTCAAAGGTGAAGCAGTTGTGTTTGTGTTATCCTGACGTGAACAGCCAGTGGACTTCGCCTTTCAACATTGCGGATATTGGTACGCACTATGTCAAGATTGCTAAGCCTGGACAGCGCCAGAACCTTGTCAAGGTGGAAGTTCTTATGGAGCACTCCACTGTCTTTGTGAACTTCAGCATGGAGACAAAGAGCTGGCCCTACTCTGTGCGCAACGAGAGTGACATTGAGTTTATGTTCTGGCAGGCCAACCCCAATATTGATGAGGAAGTCGAAGATCGCAGTGGCTGGAGACAGATCCGCTATCGTCTTCCACCACGAAGCGTCATGCCCTATGCATGGGACTTCCCTGCCGCCAAGTTCCGTGAGATCATTATCTCTGCGAATGGCAAGGAACGACATGTCAAGCTGGCTGAGATTGGTAACCAGATTCCGATGAAGTTTACCACATCCACTGGCAACCAGAAGATTGTCGACATCAATGTTGCTGCCGATGGACCGAAGCAGACGCTGATTCTCAGCAACTTCCGCGCCAGCAAGAGTATGTACAAGCCAAAGGCGCTGTCAAGAACCAACACCGGCCTCGAAGCTTTCGAAGTCAAGGATCAAGATACTGGTGCAACTTTCCGCGCCCAGCTTAAGCTGGCCGGTATTGGTGTTTCTCTCGTCAACGCTCAGATGAAGGAGCTTGCCTACTTGACATTCCGAGACGTACAACTGCGATACAGTGATTCTCCATTGATCCAGACCATCTCCATGGCCATCAAATGGATACAGATCGATAACCAATTGTATGGTGGTATTTTCCCCATGATTCTCTACCCGACTGTCGTGCCGAAGAAGGCGCAAGAGGTGGAGGCTCACCCATCGCTCCATGCCATGGTCAGCCGTGTCAAGGATGACTCGTATGGTGTGCTTTACGTCAAGTACGCAACAATTCTACTACAGGAAATGTCAGTTGAGCTTGATGAAGATTTTGTCTTTGCTCTTCTTGACTTTACCAATGTTCCAGGCGCTAGCTGGACAGAGGTTGACGAGTCAGGCAAGCTGTGCGACGAGGATCTCGATATTCCAGAGCCATCAGGCCTACAGGCTGGAACAGACATTTACTTCGAGGTGCTCAACATCCAACCCATGCAGCTTAACCTCAGTTTCATGAGGACGGAACGAGTCAACGCCGAGGACAAGGCATCATCTCACAACCCCATCATGTTTTTCCTCAACGTCATGACCATGGCTGTTGGAAACGTCAATGAAGCGCCACTCAAGTTTAACGCGCTCATCCTTGACAACGTGAGGGTGACCACGGCGGTACTCATTCAGAATTTCTCTAGTCACTACAGCCAAGAAGTTATGTATCAGATTCACAAGATTCTTGGATCTGCTGATTTCCTCGGCAACCCTGTGGGTCTGTTCAATAGCATCTCGTCGGGTGTAACGGATGTGTTCTACGAGCCGTACCAGGGCTTGATCTTGTCAGATAAGCCAGAAGAGTTTGGCTTGGGTATTGCCAAGGGTGCTGCCTCGTTTGCGAAGAAGACAGTCTTTGGCTTCAGCGACAGTTTCTCCAAGTTTACAGGCAGTCTCAGTAAGGGACTTGCTGCAGCATCGCTAGACAAGCAGTTTCAAGACCGCCGACGTATCACAAGAGCTCGCAACAAGCCAAAGCACGCCTTGTACGGTGTCACTGCTGGCGCCAACAGCTTCATCACCAGTGTCGCATCGGGTGTAGGAGGTCTTGCGCGCAAACCTTTGGAAGGCGCCGAAACAGAGGGTGCTCTGGGATTCTTCAAGGGTGTCGGTAAGGGCTTTATTGGACTGGCTACCAAGCCTGCCGTCGGAGTACTAGACATGGCCAGCAATGTCAGTGAGGGTATCCGCAATACAACAACCGTGTTTGACCAAGATGGATTGGATCGCACACGATACCCACGATACATCCCACAAGATGGCATTGTGCGCCCGTACAACCCCCGGGAAGCTCTCGGCCAATATTGGCTTAAGCAAGTGGACAACGGAAGATACTTTGACGAACAGTACATTGGACATTTGGAGCTACCAAAGGAGGATATGGTCGTTATGATCACTTATGCTCGTATCTTGCTTATCCGATCACGACGTCTTACCAGCGAGTGGGACGTGCCACTGAAGGACGTCCAGACTATTGCTAAGGAGAGGACTGGCGTGAGTTTGTCGCTAAGAGGAGGAGCAAATGGACCTTTTATCCCGATTGGAGAAGGTAGTGAGAGAGGGTTCCTCTATAAGATGATTGGTGTTGCGGTGGAAGAGTTTAACAGGAGGTTTAGGAGCGGAGAGTAAAAGGAGATTGGGGATGTAATTATAGCACGAGTGAGTGCGATGGTGTTAAGCGTTGTTTTATTGGTATTTAATACGATGAATTATATACTATGGCTTGTCTCGGTGATACTTTGATGTTGTCCAAACAGAGTACACAGTTTGCACAAGGTGACCCAACGAAGCATATCCGATCACGATGCGCTTATCTGTCGATCACGCCATGGTGGGCCAATGTAAGCTCTTTACCGAGTTGATCTGAGTGCTCTCGCCTGAGATACGATCTAGGCTGATCCTGGTCCCGCTGTGGTCTGATATGTTGGATGCCGAAGAGGACAATGGCCTGTGCCTCTGACGAGCGTGGAGATGTTTATACTACTGAGGACTGACTCGTTCGTGTCAATCTCGGCATGACAGAAGTTATCCACCAAGTAAACATGGTGTTGGTTCAGGAATTAGTTGTCGTTTGAAGAGTGTACATTCACAGATACATTTCGCAGTAGATAGACATAAGAGTAGTGTTCTTGAATTATCGCCATCTCGTGGCCTTCAGTATAGCATTTGGTATATATAGTAGTATAGCATATCATATCATAAAATTCCTTGATACATGAGAAGTTTTATATACGATTCATTCGTTCTTTCTTTTTTGTGGTTTTGTTTCTTTCGTTCGTTCTCTTACAACATACACGCATGACATCTTATGATTGGGTTCGTGTAAAGTCGGACAGCTGGTTGGTGACGACGAGACCAGCGACACTGGCAGAGGTGAGAGTGGCCAGGACACCAGAGACCAGGGCAGAAACGGCAAGACGCGCAACGTCACCACCGCGAGTGGGGGCAAGTTGGCTGAGAATACCGATCTGGATACCAAGAGAACCGATGTTGCCGAAACCGCAGAGAGCGTAGGTGGCGATGAGTTGGGAGCGGGGGGAGAGGCCGTAGTATTGGGAGGTGGGATCGTCGGTGGTGAGGTCGGTGAAGGCGTTGTACTCGTTCTATTGAGTGTCAGTATCTGTGAAATGTTTCTGTGGAGGTAGGTTAGACTTACGGTGATGATCTTTTGGGCAATGAGACGAGCGACGGGGAGAATATCTCCAGTAGAGTTGTCGCCGTTGGTGCGAGAAACTCCGAGCAGGAATGAAATAGGGAACAAAAGGTAACCCAGGATCAACTGCAGAGTAAGATCGTATTCGCCGCGGAGGTTGATGTAGCTGCCGATCCAAGTAAGGATACCGTTGATGAAAGCGACAAAGGCGATGATGCAGAGCAGAGAGGTAATGATGGTACCAGCAATCTTGATACCCAACCAAGCACCGTTGGCGAAAGCGTGAAGAGCGTTCTCAGCCTTGTGCTCGTCATCGTCGGGAATGACAACGCGACCAGCTGTGAGGGTCTCTTCGGTCTCGGGGTATCGCATCTTGGAAATGGCCAGAGAGGCGGGAATAGACATGATACACGAGGACACGAGAGCTTCGCGGTTGAGACCAAGACCAATGTATCCGACGAGTGTAGATCCAGAAATGGTGGCGAAACCACAAGTCATGATCTGGTGAAGCTCGGCCTTTGTCATGTGAGGAACAAAAGGTCGAACAAGCATAGCAGATTCACCCTGTCCGATAAAGGGAGTAGCAGCAGCGACGACGGCTTCAGCACCGGAAACACCAAGACCCCAGAAGACAAAAGTGGCGAACTTGATGATGAACCACTGGATGAAGCCGATGAAGTACAGGACCTGGACGAGGGAGATGAAGAAGATGATGGCGGGGATGACGCTGAAGAAGAAGTTGAGTGTCTTGGAGGTATCAGGGTCTGTAAGGAAAGCGACACCATCGCGAGCAAAACCGAGAAGATCGGCAGCGCGCTCAGCGATGAAGCTGAAGATGTCGTATCCGACTCCAGTTCGCAGGACGAAAAGACCAATGACGTACTGTGTCAGCATACCGCCGATGACAGTGCGCCAGTTGATAGCCTTGCGATCACGACTGGTGATCCAGAGGATCAGAATAAAAACAGCCATACCACAAAGACTGACGGCGCGGTTCTCGCGAGTGTTATCAGCTGATTCCTCAGAAACAAAAGATCCGACAAGAATAGCAGCGACAGCGACACTAGCACCAGCAAGAGTGCGGAACTTGGAGGGGATCATGTCGTAGATGACAACAGCGGTTCTAGCCCAGACGGCCTTGATAGCGTTGGAGACATATCTGCTAGGAACATGCCAAAAGAACAGACGGAGCTGAATGCAGAGCCAGACAATGAAAGGGACAACCCAGTTTTTGTCATCGCGATGCAGAACAAGCGAAGCGATCCACCAAGCGGTAGAAATGCAAAAGACAAACATGTGAATCAAGGGTCTTCGGTATCGGTAGATAGGGCCGAGCTTTGCGCGCCAGCCGATGGGAGCGCTGCGCTCGCTGTTTGTTCCAGCCGAGGCATCGACGACACCAGCTTCGTTCTTTTCGTGGTCGCTGTAATCAGGAGGCGTAGCATGGTTTTTGTCTGACGCTAGCTTTTCGTCTAGAGAGTTGCGGTGCTGATGTTGCTGAGGAGGAACGATTGAACCATCTGGGTTTGTGCCGGTGGTGTAAGTTGCGTCGTCGTGGGCGGCGCGGGGAGAATGGTGGCGATGTTCATGGAGGTGTTGATGCGCCGGCTCAAGAGCAGGGTCTGGGTTATGATGGACAGACATTTTGTTTTTGTCTCTTCTCAAACCAATTGAGTTTAATTTGGTGATGGTCCTGTTGAAAGGAGGAGAGAGACCTGGAGCTTCAAGCTTGGTAGCAGTGAAGCACAAGAGAGGAAAAAAAGAAGAAAGGACCCTTGAGGTGGGGGAGAACAAGATAAAGAAGTTTTCCAAAATGGAGCTCGTTCGTTTAACCCTAGAAAACAGAGGAGACCAAGATAAGAGAGGCTGGAGACTGGAGACTGGGTCAGACCAGAGAGATCCGTTCTCTTTCTGTTGCGGCGAAAAAAAAAGGGACGATCTTTTTTTTTTCGTGGGTCGACGAGGAGGAGGAAGTAGGAAAAAAGACGTGGGGATAGCTCTACTTTTTTAACCCGAGGGACCGAAGAGTAAAGACCAAAAGGAGGGGGTGGCCAGACAGAGATACGCTATCAGAAGTTATTAAACCCCGGAACCAACAGAATGTTTTGAGCTAGGTAGATATAGACAATGAAGGACGATCATTTTGAGGAGGTGGTTAATGGGCAGGCAAGTGAGCACGCGGGCAATCTACAGTAGCTAGACTCTCTAGTAAAGACGAAGAAAAAAAGTACCTAAACGGCTGAACATGGGTTACACTAAAAAAAAGTAGGGACCAAGACTGGTAAGAGCTTATCAGTTGGATTGTTTTTATTGGACTAGATCCTTGGTTTTGGGGCTAGGTTCTCTCGGCGACGCCTTTTTCTCCAAGTTTTCAAGTACCGATATATGGAGTCGATATTACCTACATAGGTAGTACTCCAACACTGGTATACTACTGACTTTACTCTGTACAGCTATTGCAATTATTTATTTACAGACTGTAACTACTAGTTGACTACTTTGTCATTCACTTCTCTCTTCATGATAGACAAAAACAAGTCAATACCTCTTGTTTCGTAGACGACTTGTCTATCTCGCCACCCCGGTCCCATCCTTCGGCTTCACCTATTCCTTTTCTGGCAGGTTGCTGGAACGTTTGCAAAGTGCCTCCACTGACGTCGACTCCACCAACGGACCAATCGACCAGCCTAGGAATAGCGTCGATACTCCCAAGACATACCTACATACATTTGACAGTAGAATTTATGAGGGATTGGTTCAATTCTACACACCATCATCTGCATAATTGACCAATCTGTAGACTTTAAACAGCGTTTTGATCTTGACTGATTAACAACAAGGAACTTGTGTAGTTCAGCTCGACTTGGCTGTAACCACTGCAACAGTAACCAACAGATTCCTTCTCGGTCAACTAAAATAGTATTCCCCATAACTGGTCATCACTAACAATCTCCCATATCAACATGTCTTATCAAAAACATCTAGACTCGTCCTTGATTAACCTCTTTCAACTCCCATCTCCGAGCATTAAATATACCAGATTTTATAGACTGTCATTCGCCAAGCCACACCCGTTGCCAATTAGTCAATCCCAAACTCATCTCCGCAGCCACTGACCGTGCCAATATGGGCCTCTTTACTGAATCTAGTAGGTGACCCCAAACCCAAATCCTAAACCCAGCTACCCAGCTTCACTCTCTTGCGCTTCTCCATCTTCTGTTATGTAACAACAACCCTTTCCCCAGGATCCCCTCTACCTTGCAAATACATGCAATGCACTATCTCTCAGTAACCCCCCTGCTCCCCTCTTCCGCATCCGATAAGCTTCCCCGGCCTTTCACTTCCCCCCCCCCAGGTTTATCATTTTGTCTTAGCTACGGGTCCTTCACACCCTCTTCCAAGCTCACCATGTTGGCATATTGAATCAAGACATGTCAGCTTCACGATAAGTTAAAACAAGTGTCCTATCTCCTTCTATTTGAGATATAGTCCCTTGTCCTCGTCGGTCATCTCCGCCTTGACATCTCGGCCTGTCCCGACCGTCAACTGTCAGATTGAGTTTGTCAAGCCCAGCCAGCGAAAACGTGACCGTTGTACCGGGTGGCTTTACGATAATTACTTCCCGATCTTGTATCACTGCCCGGCGCCTTTCTGTTTTCTGTATTACCATCAGCTCTTCAACTGTCACCCATTCATCACATGCTTCTTACGCGTCGTTATTCATCCTCGGATACCTTGGTCTTATCACGGCAGACTTCCTCTTACATGTAAGCTTGTAAAGGACCGATTTAGCGATAATCCGCGAATTCTTATCTACCTCCTTTCCGCCACCCAGCAACACCTTCATCGTTAATTCAGAAACGAATGCATCAGCGCAATTAATCCCGGTCTTACTTGATGTAAAGTAGTGAACACTACGGTGAACGATCATCTTCGAGTCGCGACGACTATACTACGAGAAAACCGTACATCGGACGATACAAGTGCATTTCTACTACATCTCTCATCTCATCGGGTGGTCGCGACGCGCTTCTCTCATCGTGCCTTTCAATGACCCGACAAAATGCATCGAGTTGGCCATGTCAACACAGCATTAGACTCGCCGAGTGTAGAGATTTAGACATGTTTTGACCAGCGACGCTATGAAGCCGGCGCGTGTATATACTGTGACAATCCCTTGTTCCAGTATCGAGAACCACCCAGCTCTACGCCCACGTTCAATACTGACTGCCATTGAGGCAATACAGGGCCATCACATCCATGGTAATTGATCATGTAGGTTGCAATGTCTATGGGAATGCGTACCATAAAACTCTCCATTTCGACAAGCATCCCGTATTCGTTGTTGGGTACAAGACTCCTCATCGTACCCTGTCTATGGTGTTTGTCGTCGTCAATTGTTAGTTGTAACTCACGATGAACTGGGAGTGAAGTTAACAAGACTGCATCAACAAAAAATAGGTGACCATGAAATAAACAAGCGTATGCAATTTAAACAATTAGGTATATGTGTTTCATGACTATATAAATTAATAATAAACCCAATCCAATCATAATCCGTGTATTCTTTCCTCTCTTTCATCTCTAACCAAAGCTCAAGTAGACGGCTTGACTAATTTTTTAAACTCCCTACTCGTACGTCCACTCGACCCATCCCCCTCCCTCTCCAAAGTAACACTCTTCCTCTCCTTCTCCTCTTTCTTTCTCTCCTCCTTTTCTTCCTCTTCTTTCTTCTTCTCCATATGTTTAATAGCATCCTGCGTAAGTTCTTGTCTGTCCAACAACTCCCACACGTCTTGCTTGCGAGTCTTGCGATCACCCCGACTAATAAGTAAACCAGCGGTGATATTACAGGTTATACTCACGCAGAGAATTACAGTCGTGATTGCAAAGGGACGGGTGTGGTAGTCGATACCCCATGTGCATGCGCCGAGAGAAATTTGAAGACAGGAGTGGCAGTCGAGAAGAATGACGATGGCGAGGAGGTAGTTTAGGGAAAAGGGTAAATGAGTGAATGTTTCGTGAGGTTTGTAGAAACTGTGCGACTTGGCCATTTTCTTCTGATGATGCTGCAGTTTCTTGAACTGCTTAAACGTCAGAGCAGGTTGGTCGGACTCAGGACCATTAGACTTGGCGTGTTCTAGATCAATTGTTTCAGGGCTTTCAGGTTGAGGTTCAGGGTGTTCGTCAATAGTGGCGATTGTTCCATCTCTTTCAGGATTATAACCCTGCGCATCGAGAAGCACACGGGCTTGATGGCCCGTTAAATGCGAATCTTCAATATTGGTGGGAACTCCTGCCGGGACGTTCTTCTTCTGTAGTCTGTTTCTGGGCTTCTTGCCCTCTTCAGCTCTCTTGATCAATCGTGTTAAACGCCAGATGTGAAACATGTGGTATGTATCTACAGCGCGGAACGGAGCGAGACCATCACCCATGATGGCGAAGAGAGCGACAAGAACACTGTCGATGATGTGGACGAGGTAGGATTGCTTGTCACCTACGTAGATCCAGCCGATTAGGAAAAGAACCCACGCCAGACCGAATAGTGTGATAAGAGTGGCGTAGAGAGTAACGAGGAAACCCAGTGGTCGTCGAACATATTGTCCGAAACCCTTCATGCGACGTTTGAGGCGCGCGCGTCGAGAGTGAAGCATATGTCGGACGTGATCATCCAGCTCTGCTTTTTCTTCAGGTGTCCATCCATCGAGAGTCGTTCCATGAGGAAGAGCAGCGTAGTGTGAGTCGGTGAGACGAGATGTAATGGTGTTGCTTCGTTGGAAACGTGGGGTTTCCTCATCAATTGTGTCGGGCACGCCGGTAGGTTCTTGGGTTTGAGCTTCTTGAGCTGCTTCGCGGCGGCGTTCTTCAGCGATGGCGCCTCGTGCCCAGTCTGCCTGGGGATCGTGGCGGGATAAAGCGTATGTTGGACGACGATTGACCCATTTTCCTAGATCAGGAACGAAGAGGGAGTTTTGGACGTTTGTAAGTGTCGAGAGGGTTTGGACTTCGGGGTCTGCAGGGTGTTAGTTGTGATTGAAAGGAAATGCATGTTTGGGTACACTTACCAATGACGTCGAGCCAATCCACCAGATCCTGATCGTATTCATCATCTCGAGCATCATCAATATCCCGATTTCGCATAGGCACAGCAATCGAATCAGCGTCAGGTTGTCGTCGATGACCAGGCCAAAAGAAACGACTCGCCCGTCGCAATCTTCCGTGTCTAGGTCTCATCGCATCCTCAGGAAGCGAAGCCGTAGGCGACATGGCGCGATCATCATCACTCATACCCAACTCAGCCATACTTGGACGATTGCCCTCTTCCGTGAGTCTCGGCATAGCGGCCTGTGGTACTCTCCGGGAATGCCGCGCTAGCGCATTCCCTTCCTGAACTCTCGCCCTTTCGGGCTGCGAAACACTCCGTTGTCTCCCATCATCGCTGAATCCATCAAAACTATAGTTGGAGTAAACAGAACCGTTTGAGCTGCGGCGGATGCGAATGCTAGGCTGTCGCGCCTGATCGACGGGAGGTCTGTTGCGACGCGGGTATTGTTGATTGTAAGCCGTGTTTAAGTTGGTAGCGGTATTTGTATCGGTGTACGAAGGAAATGCGGAGAGCGATGTTTGCGATGGGTATCGAGGAAAAGACGATAAAGAAGTTTGGGATTGTGCTGATGGCGCTTGGCTGAGAGGGTTGAAGTAGTCGGATGCTGTTTCGTTGATGGGTTGTGGACTTCCGGGGTCGGCGGGTTGATTTGGATGCGGTTGGAGAGGACGAGATGAAGAGGGACTGGATGGACGGAGAGTTTGGCCGCCTATTTGGAGATGGCGGCGGCCTGAAGGTTGAGATGTATTGTTGGAAGCCATGCCCATGAATAATGCATGGCAGAGAAAAGAAAGTAAGAATAAAAGGTTGGGAGGTGAAAGTCAGGTATATCTCTGGATTTGCATGCCACTGTAACAGAGTTAGTGGAACCCAACCAAAGCAAAACATCAGATAACCAGACACGCTACGGCAAAACCTGTAGAAAGCAAAACTGGAATTAGTCAGTCGTCACTTTAGAGACATATTAGGTCTAGTCCCAGGTCCGATCAGCCGCTTGAGGAGCAAGAATCTACTAATTAAACCAGTTACTAGGGGCCGCCTACGTAGTGAGGGAGATCAAGACCCACTGAAACGACGTCACTTTTTGCATGCGCAATCTCCAGACTCAGACGCTGAAAAAAAAAGGTTGATGCCGGTATATCCGCTGACAATTAGATACTACAATGTTATATCCGCTGACAATTCAATACTACGTTGCTATATCCGAATGAGTAAGATTTATCATCAGACATTAACTCGCAAACACCGCTTATCAACAACATCAACATCACGATATCATCTTGAATCAATCCTTGTTGAAATGACGGATATAATTACGGAGTATCTCCCCCCTCCCCCTAGTCAGTACCAGTCAGTCCCCAGCCGCATCAAATGAAATCCACCAGCCAACAAATTACGCCACAACTAAAAACAATTACATCACTTTTGCCAATTCATCCGTTTCACTTTGGGACTCTACTCGCTCAAGACAGAGCTTGGCTTTTATTTAGCCTTGACCCTTGTCTTTACATCCCGTCTGTGCTAAAAAATCTGGGTTTTATCTTGAATTTAAGCTTAACTGGTATGTCTGCAGAGGCCAAGGCAAGGCAAGGTCCTGGGTCTCACCCTATACCGCGTTTTGTTGATGAGTATTGTTGTTGTCTTTGCTTTTTGGACAACGCATCTATATCTCTGTTTGTATGTAATGTAGTGATTCTATATTTATTTATACTTGTAAGCTTTATTGACAGTGAAAATGATAAAGTGCTTCCTTGGATATTACAATGTTACACGTCAATGTCTTATCGTGATACTTGGTTGAGCATATACAAGAGTAGCACCTAGTGATTTATTGTCGCCCACGTTTTTGACTACCCTGGCCCATTAATGTGGAGAGGCAATTGAACATGCAAGAAAATCCCGTGTTGCTACCAGACTCCATCTTCAGATCTCAATCAAGAGCAGTGTGTCGCAAGCAAGATTTTCAGAACATATTCAGACTCTAACGTATTGCTTCTAACCAATAAAATAAATCGGGCTTATGGTCTAGGGGTATGATTTTCCCTTCGCATCTTCAAAACAGTGCTTGGGAAAGGTCCGGGGTTCAATTCCCCGTGAGTCCATTTCTTTTGCTTCCTTTTTCCATGATCTCTGCAATTCCACTTCATGTTTCGTACCTGTAGGGTGATTACGAAGTCAGTTTTAAACTATGACAATTGCGTGGAACCACCCAGTATTGTTTTTTTCTTACTTGTCGGCTGATCGCCATCCCAGTGTTTGGTTCTGGGCTCAACTACCGCTTGGCTTTCATATACTTGTATTACAGCGCTGATAATTACTTCATGCCATCGCGTTCAATTAAATCACCTTTTCTTGTCAATTGCCTCCTTCGTCAATCAGCTAAAGTCTATGCTTATCAATGGCACTGATGCGTATTCCCATCCACCACATGGCCTACTCCCAGCGCGTCTTGATGTCGTTTCACAATAAACATCTACACCAACACCAAAAAGACTCAACACCGCGCCAAGTAAAAATCATGGACTCACGGGGAATTGAACCCCGGACCTTTCCCAAGCTCGTTCTTCTGACAAAGTCATATCGAAGATGCGAAGGGAAAATCATACCCCTAGACCATAAGCCCTGATTATGTAAGGTCTTTTGTTATTGCAGCTTATATCCACGAGAGTTTGGGCGGAGCTGACTCGCTATCTTTTCCAGACGAGACCCGAATCGGCTTTGGACTTTCAAACCCGAAATCCCTCACTCGACATGAAACAATGAGATCAACAATTGCTTGTGAAAGGTATTCAAGACATCCTTGCTTATAAAATCTGTACTAATAACGTTCTAGATGCAGGTAAACAATTCCTGAGAAATGCTTACAAACTCCGTCTGACCACCCTCAAGGAGATCAAAAGTGAAATGTAGACACAGCGACCAACCACCATGCGCAGGCTGTGTCAAGAGCGGCAATACAGGAACGTGCGTTCTAAGTGGTCCTATTCTTGGACAGAGTTTATCTACATCTAAATCACGACCTGCAAAGAGACAAAGACTCAGCGTAGATCAAACACCAAGGACAGAGAATATCTGGCAAGACGTCAATGCAGTCTTTGAACAAACACCACGAACACAAATTATCAGTGCTATTAATTTATTCCGATCACAGTTTCCAGAATTTGGGTTTCTTCATCCTGATGATTTGGAGTATCGACAAGATGAACTCAGCGCTGTGCAGAAATTACGACTCCTTACTATTCTTACCGTTTCACATCGATACTCATCGACGTATCTTGCCGAAACAAATAATCGCAACATACTATTTATCGCTGGAGAGGCTCAAAAACGAGTCACAAGTGGTCCGAACCTATCTCTCATACAAACATTTCTCATTCTCTCGCTATGCAATTGGGGTGATGGCGATGGCTTCAATGCATGGATGCACTGCGGTATAGCTACGAGAATGGCCCAGGGTTTATTAAGTACTGGATTCGCAAGTTGTGGTAAGAGAGAAACTCTTTCAGAGCTTGAGAAGAGGACTTTGTGGACATGTTTCAAGATGGATAGACTCTTGAGTTGCGGAAAGCGACGACAGGCCATGTTTCCTGATGAAGAGATGCACTTTTCTCTTCCTGTGAACGACACCCAGTTCCTCTTTGGGAAAACCTCGCAGAATGCTAGTTTGGATATGAGTCTGAGGACATATGGACCAGATGATCATCTTGTACTTCTTATTCAAGGTTTGAGGATCTGGTCAAGAGTCCATACGTGGATTGCTGAGGGTGGAAGAAGACGACCCGGTATGACCGAGCCCGAGCAGTGTCCCTTTAACGAAACTTCATATTGGCATAACATGAGAAGAGATCTCTTAGAATGGAGGGATTCTCAAGATGCTCTTATGAAGTATCCTGGGACAAAGGTATCGGTGCATGCTCAAAGGGGACAAGCTGAGAGGTTTGGATATATCAATCTGGTTTACTACGTCAGGTAAGCACACCAACTTACATCTCCCAAACCCTGCTGATCGTAAATAGCTTGATATTCCTCTGCAGAGAATACGTCCCCTTCAGTCCGGTAGACGAAGTTAAACCTCGTGGTCCCATCGAACCACCACTTCTCAAAGCCCGAGGCCCAGACTCATTCTGGGTGCAAAACGTTGTCCAGCTCTACGATGCAGCAACACAAATATCCTCTCTGCTGTCTGATCTTGAGCACGTTGGATGTCCCCTCCGTACACCCTTCTCCGGCGTGTGCGCTTTCTCTTCCACTCTATGGAGTTTATACGGCGCCGCGTTTCCAAACTTTATGAGTTTCACAGAGGAGCAAGCACACGAGGCTGATGCCCAAGCTGAAAGGACGATGAGTGTTCTCGTAAGGATCGGACAAGTCTGGAGTCTTGCGAAAGAATGGATTGAAGTTCTCGACACAGCGAAAAATATAATGACTAGAGGTGAGGGAAGGAGAGTTAAGAGATCGAGGTATGATTACCCTGAATTGGAGGATTCGATACATCTTGCTCCGTTGCAGGGAATGCCGCGGCAGACGTTTGATCGTCTTGCTTCGACTTCTGTCAATGCTGCGGGTGATGATGTTTCGAAACTGCATCAGTTAGTTGCTGGAGATGTTGAGCAAGGGACGGAAGTGCAAGAGGTGGGTTTGAATGAGGAGATGTTGGGTGACGGTGAGTTTGTGGATGGGGATTGGTGGAGGCTTTTGTCTTTTTGTGATGATCCGCATCTTCTTTCGACGAGCTTCGATGAGGTTGGAGAAGGGAATCCGAGTTAGACTGCGGTTTGGTTGTATGCAATTGTTAAAGACTAATACTAACTTCGTTCCTCACTCTGTGTCTAAGAGTCGTGATGCCACAGGGACCATGTAGCAACATGACTCTCGAACATAAAAGTACTATGAGACCTACTGCTTGGTAGCTGGCTTCTTCTTCTCCCTTTAGTGTAATTAAGGATATATTTGACTGATATACTAGTCTTCCATAACAGTTGTCCTACCTACCATCCCCTAGTCTAATCCCCCCTACTGAGCTTAAGCAGCTACACTATCGCAATGCCTACATGTAATAACATGTAGACGTGACACGCCTCAGGGTATCAGAAAAGTTGATCGCTGGAAGCACATGAGACGAAATTATTGGGTTAGCTTATGCTCCTTATGCTATAATTCTCAGACTACTTACTTTTATACCCTAAGACTTAGGAGTGCAACTTTTTTATTACCCACTAGACACGGTCATATTACCGAGGGCCTCATCTCTCAGTCTCCTCTATTGGGTGTTAGACAGATATAGATAGATGTCGGAAAGTTAACGATAAGTTGGTGGTAGCTTATTGGTTGACATATTTGTATGAAACCCGAAATGTCAAACCCGAAGCCGTAGTTTCTAACCCGGGTGACTTCTATAAGTTGCTCCACCTGCAACACCAACACCATCTCGAGATCTCAACTTTCATTCTTCTAAACAGGCTTCCCCTACTTACTTAGTATCCCAGATCTCCGACTCACACTTTGTTCAAATAACCGCCTCGAGCAAACCTCGCAACAATGGGTGATCTTCCTTCAGCGTCAGAGCCCCATCTCATGCACCGCTCCCTCCTCAGTCGCCCCGAAACCGTCTCATCTGCATCAGGTGTCTATCTCACCCTCTCCTCCGGCCGCAAAATCCTAGATGGCTGCGCTGGTGCTGCAGTCGCCATAATAGGCCACGGAAACACCGAAGTTCGAGATGCCATGCTCGACCAAGCCACTCAAGTGTCATACGTCCACACCATGACCTACACAACACCCAGCGCAGAGGATCTCGCTGACCATCTCCTCGAAAATGAACCTTTTGGTCTGGCGAGAGCTTACCTCGTCTGTTCTGGAAGTGAAGCCATGGACGCGGCTATGAAGCTTGCGAGACAGTATCATGTTGAGAATGGACAACCTGAAAGGACGAGGTTCGTTTCAAGAAGACAGGCTTATCATGGAAATACTGTTGGTGCTATGAGCGTTGGAAGTTTTGTGGCGAGAAAAGCGCCGTATAAAGGTGCCATTTTGCTGGACAATATCAGCCATGTGAGTGCTGCGTATGAGTACCGCACAAAGAAGGATGGAGAAACAGAAGAGGAGTACTCAAAGAGACTAGTCGATGAGCTTGAAGCAGAGTTTCTATCTGTCGGACCTGAGAAAATCATGGCTTTCGTTGCAGAAACAGTTGGAGGTGCAACAGCAGGGTGCATCACACCTCCAGCTGGGTACTTCAGTGGAGTTTCGAAAGTATGCAAGAAATACGGCATCCTTTTGATCCTCGATGAAGTCATGTGCGGAGTTGGTCGATGTGGAACTTTCTTCGCTTTTGAGCAGGACGGTGACGTTCAACCTGATATCGTCACCATCGGCAAGGGACTAGGCGGAGGCTACATGCCCATCGCTGCAACTCTCGTACACAGAGACATCATCGATACGTTGAAGAAAGGAACAGCTAGTTTCAATCACGGACATACATATCAAGCCCACCCTGTAAGTTGCGCAGCAGCACTAGCGATACAAAAGATTATTCGCCGAGACAATCTCGTATCCCGCTGCGCTACTCTCGGCGAAAGATTATACAAGGCCCTTGTGGATACTTTCCAAGACGCAAAGTTTGTGGGAAACATTCGTGGACGTGGATTGTTCTGGGGTATCGAGTTTGTGCAAGACAGAAAGACAAAAGCACCGTTTGACAGCAAGATTCGATTCGGAGTCAAGGTCCAGGAGAGGGCGTTTGAGTTGGGATTAGCGGTTTATCCGGGCATGGGGACTGCTGATGGGATTGTGGGAGATCATGTTATTGTGTCGCCGCCTTTGACGATTACTGAGGAGGAGATGGATATTCTAGTTGAGGTGTTGAAGAGGGCTTATGATGATGTTGCTTCCAAGTATGGGGTCTGATAGTTTGTACATTCTCAAAAAAAGGTGAATCCGTCTGTGAACTCCATACGGTCCCTCTTAAGATAGAGTTTCACAATATGAAAGTGACTCACAGGGCAGCTGCCATCATCGACATATCTACCCACTACTCTTTATTCACCATGTTTGCGCTACGAAGGGTGACGAGATCTCCTTTCTCTCCCACCCCACAATCACTGATCCGTAGGTCATTACCGGCTTTCAATGCCCCAATACGCATGCCATCCGGTCCATGCGTAGTCGCCTTCCATGGACAAACAACCCGCACGGTCCATACGAACACTCCTGCGAAGCCTCCCTCGAACCACCCGTCTGTTGCTAAGGACTCTGCTAACCCCTAGGCTATGAATGAGCGCCTTCCACGACTTGAACAACTCGTCAAACGTCTGGAGGATATTGTCGACAAACCACTATCGCCGAAAGCGTAGGCAGCCATGGCTACCCTTCTAATCACGGAAGGGTAACAATATACAATATTCCACTCCTAACCCTTTGAGCAATCTAGAAATACGGTGAAGGAAATTAAAGAATACTCAGTTATGCAATATTAAACCAGAGATGAGGGCGGCAATGGTTATCTAAGAAGTCGGTGTCATGGAGATCTTGGAAATATAAGTATTAGATCTCTTGTGCTTCCAAGACTGGGAGATCAGACGAAAACATTAGTGCACTCTTGGACCATGACCTCACTAGAGCTAATCTAATATTTATCGTTGGCCTAGGTCTCTTTATCACGTGTCTGGACGCTATGTAAAAACTCTGGCCTGACACAGAGAATGTTGTCACTCCTGAGACTGTTGTCCAACTAGGATCATCCATTAACGAAATACCGGCGGAGCTACACATATGGACGCGCGCAACATACGTATTTAGGAACCTTTTACTGAGTAAAATTAATTGTTGGAATACGATATGGACATACCTGCCAAGGGTTGCCTGCTTCAAATGTCGCAGGCAGCCACTTTCTGAACAATAGATCCAGGGCTACTAACAACTATAAATATTCCCGACTCTCACCCTCTCAGCCAGCAGAGGAAAGACAGCAACAAGAAACAAGAAATTTATGCAACATTAAATCTCATCCAAGTGCAGCAATGGTTATCCAAGAAGTTGGTGTCATGGTGGTTAAGCCCGGCATCGACATTATGGACCCGGCCACTCCTGAGGGCAACATCTTATATCATGCTTGGAAAACCTGCATTACCAAGCCTGGCGGCCCATCTCGAGTTTATTATGGCTTGGAGGAGGAAAACCCATTGAGAATTTGGGGATTTTTCGACTGGGACACTATTGAACAACATGAAAAGTTCGCCATAGAGTAAGTCAACTTTCATCAGCCGACCACGCAATACTAATATTCCCAGGTATGGAGCAGACGCAGTCAAGGACATTCCCAAAATCTGTACCCACGGAGAATTTACGAAGCATGTTATCATGACTCCATCGTCTGATGTATTTCAGTCTCCTGTGACTGATGTCTTGGTAGCCTACTTCCCTACGGACTTTCCCCAGACTGAAAAGGACAAGGTGGCTGTGCAACTCCAGGATATTCTCTTCAAGACATTCGGCTCCTGCTTGGACGTTGCGAAGCTGGCTCATGGCTGGGGCGTTGAGAATGACTTCCCTGTGAAGGGAAAGGAAGCTGTTGACGGACAACTGGGAGCGCTACTTATGGGATTCATTGGCTGGGCTCATGATTCTGCACAAAAGAGCCTTCGTCAGACCGATGCATACAAGGAGGTATTGGCACAGATCCATGATATGGACGGACTGGTTAGTCTCAACGTTATCAGTCTTCGATGCAAGCGTCTGGAAATGTAGTCATAGAGGCGGCTCAAGAGCACCAAATGGCTGAAAGTACAGGACAAAGAGCGTGCATACGCTCTGGAACCTCGTCGTATTTCAGGGATGAAGAAATTTGTTGGAATGAAGGGGCTAGTGGGTAGCAGAAAAGTTAGCCTCCTCAGTCTAAGAGTATAAAATTAAGTACTCTAAAACTATGGTCTAAGGAGCATAAAGTAACCTACTATTTTCGTCTCTTATGCTTCTAGCGGTCAATCTTTCTGATATCCTAAGGAGGGGATAGAGTAAATGGGGGCTTAAATATGGTGTATTGGCAGCAGAGAAGTTAGGGAAAGACCGACAAGTTCAAATGCCCTGCGGCCAGGGAAGTCAACAAGAATGGTATGCCATTAAGAAAGTCAATAGAGTCGAAACATAATTTCACTCTCGGTCTATATATACCTCATCGTCCAAGTTCTGTCTTAAATAACCCGAACTCCCAGGCTCAACTTCTCCGCAAACAACCGACATACATGGCCTTGATAAATCCCAATCCATACTTCTATGCTGTATTCTCCGTTTCCATCTTGACTTCATAGCAATCCGCGACCTTTGCTACACCCTTCATACTCAAACTCTGTATGCCAGGATGATCCTTCAACAGGAACGGAAGAATTGAGTTCTTCCACACATGCTTCTTTTTCGCATTCGTAACCATAATTGTCGCGAGTAAAATACCGCACATGATCAGCAATGCGCCTGGAAATATGAGCCAATACCATTCTATGTGGACGCATGCGCGTGTCTCCCATACCACTCCTTTCACTTTCGGGTGCGGACCACCGAATGGTCCCTTGCCGACTTCCCGAATCTCATTTGTGACTCTTGTATCTATGGAATCCATGGCTTTGTTTATAGCGGATATGGAAGTTGTCTTGTTGGTCATAAGGGTTGCAAGATGGGACTCAGAGGAACCGCCACCATATTGATTACACTCCATCTGAGACCACCGCGGTTCATCGCCGACACAACAGGTAGTATTATAAGTGTCCCGGAATTCTCTTTTCAGTGATGCCACGATCTCCTCCGGGAGTTCAACGATGCAATCAGCTGGAACTGTAACGTTCTGGGACATACTCTTGGGGTTTTCAGTGGCCTAATCGCCAACGTAAAAAAGCACTGGCGCAGGATTGGGAATCTTGCCTGGGGATGAAGATGCATTTGCTGACGTATAGATTGTATCGTTCACTAAACATGGTTACATTATGCCTTGCCATTGTGTAACGTAGGAAGGTGATATAAATAATTGCGGATGAAGAGGTATATCCCATTTCACCCTTTCATGTATTTGCCCATTCTTCACCTCGGCGGTAAAGTATTTGGTGCATGGATACAGAGTACAGAGAGCTGCTGCGACACCGGTCGGGTCAGTATATTGGTGCAGAAAGTCTGAGTAGCGACATGTGTCGGTGGATTCTGTTTCCTTGTTGCAGCCTTCATTACATGTGAACGTGCCATTATGGTGACGAATACAACTGTCTCCAGAAGCACCAAGTATGGTAATGTTCGCGATGGACCATCGAGCGCGGTTCATGAACTCGTTACTAAGTGTTTCATGTTCCCAGCCTATGTCCGTTTCCGTCCGAGTTTTTGTTCAGCGAACGAAGTTGATCTTCTGGAGAAGTGTCAGTGCAGTTTGTATAAATGAGATCTATTTGAAGTTTTGATGATTCCCTGGAGAAGTCAGAACAAAGAGCTTGGTAACTGAAGACACACCTGGATTTGTTTGTGAGTATCTAGAGACCATGGGTCTAGGCCTGCTTCTGTGTAGCAGTGGCGTTGCTGTTTCCCGTATATTCTGAGCAACTCGTGTCGGCATGCCATCGCAAAAGGTTGAATGTTTATCCATCTCTGATCTCCAGAGCGACTTGTATTGTGTGTTATTGTATGTGAGACCCCAACTTGCGTTTATAGATATTAAAAGAGATGTCTGACATTATCAGTCTTTAATGGTCTGCAGGTATGAATCCTAAATACTAGAACAATCATTGGAGTGTCCTCAGTATTGTTTGATGGATTTTCTTGCCTGCTGGGTGAATTTGGTTCTATTCTTCTTTATTTACGATGCTTCTGCCTGATAAATGCAAGTGACGGAATCCATGCAGTTGCCACTTCACATTAGAGGTCAAGGCAGCAGGAGGCCGACCATCTCCACCTCCGACACTGACATCATCAATGTAACAACAATTTCATGTAATAATATCCTTACCCCGCGTCTAATCAGTACACAGAATTTATATCATACCATCTTCTTCAAACATCAACATCGGCAATCTCAAAGCTATTGCATCACGACAACCACCTTTCCGTCAAGACAACCATATACCAAGATGAAAATTTCCACCATTACCGCCACAACCGCTCTCTTAGCTACGGCCTTCGCGGGTCCTCTCGCCTACGGAACCTGTCAAGCTGGCTGTGCCAGTGTCGTCATGGCATGCTACAGTGCAGCTGGGTTTACTTGGGGAGCTACGGCGGGAGCTACAGCCCCAGCAACGATCATCGCCTGTAATGCTGCTTTTGGGAAGTGCTCTGCAGTGTGCGCTGCTATAGCACTTGCACCTACACCTTGAGCTAGTTTCATGTGGAATTACCAGTTGAGTACGGGTTAGTTGATAGACTGCCACATGATTATCAATGGCTTCCAACTAATTTCAATAGATACTGCCTTGCGACTGAGACTCCATGTCCCCTTGATATTTATCCACGAAGCCGGAAAGCTTCCTCCACCCACCTTTTCTGTCGACAGGCCTTCAATTGTACTCTGAAGTTAATGGTTTGGGAGCGAAGGGGATTGAGATGATGCAGAATCTAACACTTATGGGGACACAAGGAGATAGACATTCATGATATCACAATAAAGACTATCTCGTTGACAAAGAGACTTTTTCTTACTGCTTGAACACATGGTATCGAATAATGTGATTACAACTACTTTCCAATAATAGAGCATGGCTAGTGGATAGTAGAAAAGTTAAGTTTCCATGTCTCGCGGAATAAAAATAAATAGCCTAAGAAGTACAGTCTAAGTAGCATAAGCTAACCTACTAATTTCGTCTCTTATGCTTTAGGCAGCCAAACCTTCCGGTACCCTGAACCCTCTTTAAGTCTTTTCAATTAAGAGCTTTCATCGGGGACCTTATGTCGACAGCGACAATTTTGGCAGCGTAAGAGATAAAAAGGTTGCCACTCCGGACCCCTTTTCTCAAAGTAACAGCCAAAGTTTTCATTGCAATTTCGGCATCCGTCCGTTTCGCCTAGCAAGTCCATAGACTTGTCCATTTGCTCGATGACGAATTCTTTCGCTTTTTTTTCGTCGTCTCGAAGTTCCTGGTATGTCACAACATTCTGATGCGCATCGTCCAAACGACGTTCAAGTGCATTTATCCTTTTGGCACAAGCACGAAACATTTCCACAGTGAGGTCGTCGTCGAACTCCATGTCCTGAAAGGCTTCCAACTCGCAGAGTTCCTCAATATGTGCAACCGCGGCTGAAGCGATAATTGAGTCGATGTCAGGATCTCTGTTTGAAGTTGACACTTCTTGAATAATTTGTGGAAATACCTCGGCGCTTTGACCTTTGTCCAGGATGGCTTGAATCTTTGAGGTTGCGAGTTGAGCCAACTTTTGAATATTATAGTAGTCGGCAATTGCGTTGACGCGTAGATGAGAGATCAGATCATCGACAGTTTCATCTTCAGGTTGTTTTATAGAATACTGCGACGCTTCATCTGTGTCGTCCTGGTTGTGTGCATCGTCGGAAGTGGATTTTTTCGCCCTTTTAGAATGGATTTGGTACTCTCCTGCATAGAGAAACGCTATCATGTATTGGACGGTACTGATATCGAACTCGTTCACAGTGAGAATTTTCGTTGTAGCTTCCTAACATAGGTATACATTAGTAACAGTAGTCGCTATTGACAGTAGCTATAGCCCGATAGTTACCTGAAATCCACCAGAGAGAGCAGCCGATATTACCGATGACTGTGGGCACACAATCACTTGATGCAGCTTGTATTCACGATCGTTACAAACCAGTGTAAAGTCGCTGTACTCTCCAGAAATAGCTACTGAAAATAGAAAGTCATGCTGGAACACCATTGTGACGAATAGATTTTCTCTTCAGTCCATACGGTTGAGTAATGTTATGGTGGTTGTGAGGTATCCTTGTGAGACATCCTGTAGTCGTGTTGTTGATGTGTTGTACAAATAAGAAACAGGGGTCATTTGTCAGCAGATATAATGCCGTGATTGGTAAAACTTAGTGTCACGTGTAAGGCTGCTGAACGATGCACCTCAGGGTATCAGAAAGATTGACCGCTGGAAGCATATGAGACGAAATTAGTAGACCGCTTTATGCTCCTTAGGCTATATTCCTTAGGCTACTTATTTTTATACCTTAAGACTGAGGATGCCAACTTTTTTGCTACCCACTAGACTGTATTAAGTAGACGGCAGTAATGTAGGAAATCTGATAATAAACTTCAAGGGTTTGGGCAAGTTAACTGACAAGTGGATGCTTAGTATTTCGGTATTTCTTTGTGTTCTGTGCGTTAAAGGAAGAATAAGTGGGCTGCTTATATTGCTTTTGTATTGTGTAAGAGTAAGGTTGCTCTAAGAGCCGTATCTTTCGTGACGAAACCGCCCTGATCAGAGATATTAGACTTTGAGAAGCACCCCATCAGATAATAAAGTTCAACACACAGTCTACTATGATCTCTGCGAAAATACTACTTAGACATTGGACCTCAGTTGCTTTTTCAGATAGCAACTTTATCCGTTCATTGTGTTTCCTTAGGGTTACGGCTATCAGGACAAATGTACACGAAGTATACCCATTCTAGTCTGCCGCTCTTCTCCAGAAATCGCTATCGTTGTCGATATCGTAATCGTCGTCGTCGTAGCTATTGCTGTCGTCGTCATAGTCATCGCCAAACTCATCAAACTCATCACCACCACTGTCGTCCCAGTCATGAACATAAAAAAACCGACGTGTTCTTAATACCCATCCACAACCCTCCATCGTACTTCTGAGAACATTCTCAGGTGTATACTCACATAACTCAATAATAATCTCCGAAAGAGAAGTAATGGATCGAAAGTGAGTGTCGATAAGATCCAGCGCCTCAACGGCAACGCCGTGGTTGTCTAGACTCTCAAGCTCATGTTCCCTACTGCTTGTGATACGTAAGGATGTTTCAACCGTGTTCAACCCAGTGCAGCTGCTCAGAATCTTTCCGAGGCTGCGAGCGCTTTCCACTTCAATAGTGACATTGCCAGGTTCTAGTCGCGAGAATTCTGGGAAGTCGATGATGATGTGTCTAATAAAGCTTGCGTTACGGGTACCGATTTGTTGAAGGAACGAGGCTATTGCCTCAGCACCGACTTCAGTGAAGTTAAAGCGATTATGGCTGTAGAATAACAGGCTGGCTTCGCGGTGGACTATCTTGTTGACGCGAAAGAGCCCCGTTACGTACTTTGAGATATATCCAAACAAAGGATTGAGAGAGACATAATGATCGACAGGATACCAAGGATCGACAAAATCAGAATGAAGTAAAAGGATTTCGTAAATATTGTTTCGAATTTCGCCAGGGAAATCAAGGAAGCTCATTAAGCCGCCGACAGTCGTAGGCTATCAATTGTCAGCTTTGTAACTCGGACCGTCGTTTTGAGCATTCATCACAGACCTTGACGCCAGGGAGCTGGACAGGTTCAGCCATCTTCACACGTAGTATCCAAGCAGAATAGACAGGTCAAAGGACGGGGAGTCATAGAGGTAGACAAAATGTGTGTAGAATCCGACAGTGGCTAGATGACTGAGGAGAAGAGATTAGTCTCATCAGAGGAAACTGTCTTCCTCCATATACCTACAAGCCATTTATTCACAGACTTCTGCCTTGTAAGGCATCCACGGATTGTCTTTCCCCTGTTTGGACAATTTGCTGTTATTATTTGGGCTCCAATGTTTGTTGTGATTGAATGAGGAAGCTAGCAGGCAGGTAGGCTACCTATAAGGAAAATGGGGGGGCCTGAGGCCAACAAGATAACCCTGCACTGAGAGTGGTAAAACCACTGGTTCTGCTAACCTGTAGCATTGGTATTAGCAAGGTCTCATGTTTTACGAACTCAACTCATGGGACCCCGCGGGAACGACTCCATGGAAGCGCGACACAGCCGAAGGCGAGCTCAGTGGAACGTTTTACGGTGACATGCTCATCCTTGCCAAGATCACGCGCCTCATGGACCCCAATGCCGAGCTTCACCACGATAATGATAACAAAAACAAGAGGAGTCTGGCTTCTCGCGCTGATGTTGTTGATTACCTGGTTCCCTATGGTTACGCACGAGTCTTCCATCCTCAGATCGCTTTGCATAAAAAGATTGCAAGTTTGGTTGCTTTGCAGATGTTCATGGAACATGACTCTCAAAGAGGTTATGCTGAATGGACTGATTTGAACAAGAACACGTATTGTCCCTTGTAAGTGTTGCCAATCCATTCTACTCTTCATCTTTACTAATTATGAAATTCAGAGAGCCAGAGGAGCCCGAGCCGCCAAAAGAGACGCCTGTCAGAACAAAGAAGTGGTCGAGTAAGTTACATATCTACTTTATGTACGTATATCAGAAAACTGACATGCAATAGTGCAAATTCATCCACTGTACCCAGGAATGGACTCCGTCTATACGAAAGACTGCGAAAGAAAAGATTCCAGAAAGTCTAGAACAGTCTGGGGTTATGAGCTAAACAAATGTTATGACTTTAGGGAGATGCCTGATACAGACTGTCGGGAGTACATTGGAACGAAAGAACAAGGAGGATGCTCGGGGGGTTTATCCCCGCATAGTGTCCTTGTTCCGGACGAGGGATACAACTGTATCTTTTACTTCGGTGGTGATTGCACGCGTCCGTTTGATCGTACGTCGGATCACACTTGTATGTCGACAAATACGGGCGACGGCTGGGTGTCTAATCAAATAGGGTCATTCAGATGTGTAAGTACATCCCTGCCGCTGCTACCATCCTGTGCTAACATCACTCACAGTTGGAAGAGAAGAAATAATCTTTTTGTAGAACAATAACACCATGGGAGGGGGATTTAGATTACTTTTGGTTATTCCTTACCTTTATGATAGATAGAAATACTAAAACCTAAAGATATAGACCAATAAAACATCTCTGCTTTGCATGTTTCTTGAACTGGTATCAGGCGCCATGGTCACCTTCCAGTTACTGTCTATTTATGTAATACTGCATGTATCCATAGGTACCTATCGTCACAGCCGGTAGTTGGCGGCTTCGCTCTCCGTTTGTACTGTTCAAAGCGCGAGTTTGAAGTGAGGGAGATCTTGGCCTCGAGTCTGAATAGTCAAGGAGATTGGGCATGATTGGCACAAGCTTGTGGACACTGGAGGACTGTAAAGGACATGAACTTTAGGGTACAAAAATACAAATCCTAAAAAGCCTAATTTACATAGTCTAAATGGCATAAGCTGACCCACTAATTTCGTCCTTTCCATTCCCATCTACAGAATAACCGCACCTAGACAAGGGAGAATGCGATCAGCCTTGCCATGTTTTCGGCAAATGGCGTGCGGCCGTAATTTCGCTCTAGGTTGAACATCCTGGTAACCGACACCCTGAGAAACTCCGTCGGAGTCCTTCCACGCCTTAACTGGGTGAGGTAGGCAGCGTTGATCCGGAATTCGAGAAAGCAGACGTGATGCCCAGCAATGTGGATAATCACAACGCTATTGACGTTAGCATCTGCTACTGTGAATAGTGTCACCAACTTGCCTATCCCCGAACTTTTGTCGCCTACTCGTACCCGAGTTAGCCCTCACCAAGATGACCTCGTAAGCCATCTGGGCAAGGGCGTCATCGTATATAATGGGGCTGTTATTGAAGGTCTTCACATCACGCTTGGCTTCAATGCCAGCAACAAAGTTTTCTGACACTTTTCCAAGCGTAGTTCGACAGCGGAGACCTCCATCGTCGATGGCAACGAATTCGAAGGTGCCCATATCCAGGGTCAATCTCTCCCGCGCCCTGAACTCAATCGCCATTGCAGCATTCTCTGGTTGGGCGTTATGGAGGATTAGACGCATCGCACAGGTGAGCAAGTGCACAGAGCACTCTTCAAGGTGCATATCCTTGGGCGATGTTCCTTCGGTATAAGAGGTTCCAGAATGTTGGCTTTCAATTGAACTTTCACTTCCCAAACTGATGCTGGAAAATGTCCGGTTGATATTGTAGTCGGGCCTCTGGGCATTCGCATTTCGATCCGATCGTCGAATAGAGCCTTCGGAGGGTTTGGTCACATCGTTGAGGGCCGACCACACCAGACCCAAGGCCCCATACATTCGTACGAGCTGATGCTCGAGCACATTTGCCTTCGTGGACGCATCCCTGTCGCTAGTGAATCTAGCCATTGGACCATTGGGGGGGTTTTCGAGAGTTGCCAGGTTGGCGGTCGCATATATCGGCAAATATGGATCCACAGGGATCACCACGACCTTTAACGCGAAAAGGTGCATACGTTTAAGAGAACTGGCCGACATTTTTCCACTCAAACCCATGTTTTCTAATAGCACCTTGGGTTCTCCCGTGCCGAAGGCTGTGTTGTAGGCCGACTCGCTAGTTACTACCTGACAGTACGGATTGGCGGAGGACATCTAGATAACAGGTTAGCTTGAGTTTTAGCCTTTAGAATGGTGAAGGAAGAAGAAGACAAGAAGAAGAAGACAAGAAGAAGAAACAGAAGACGAGAAACAAGAAGGAAAAGAAGGAGAATTAGAAAGATAGAAAGCTTAATTCTATGCATCATACCGTTTGATTGAGCTGCCTCCTGGCAGAGCACTGGTTTTCGTCGCCGTGTCTGCTCAATGTCGTTACAATGTAAATAGGACAAGGAGAATTGGGCAGTGCCTTGAGAGGGAGCTTCCATCCTCTATATGGCTTAATCCATCAGTTTACTCATTTCAACCCACTTCAGGCATCAGCTGCTTGTCTCTTCCCTTTTCAACCATCTGGACAAATATCCTGCAGCTTAGCGGCGGCCTATAACAAATACCATACCCTTTCATAAAGCTCAACTTTAGTAACACGGCATCAGGGTATCAGGAAAAAGAACCCCTGGAAGCAGCAGAGACGAAGTTGGTAGGTCAGTTTATACTCCTCAGACTATAGTTCTTAGACCATTCATTTATATATCCTAAGACTTCAGAAACTTATTTGTCTGCAAATCCTACCCAGCCTGGGTGGCTTGTACGTGGTAGGGTCACTGACTCTGCTGAATGCAAGCTACTGCAGCCAGCTACTTGTCAGAGACAGAATAGAAAACAAGGTGTCTCCTTAGGCCGATCTATGCTAAAGGCATCTTGACCAATTGTACCAGTGCCGACGGTACGTTGCCCATGTTGACAAGGCATCGGTATGTATTCTCAAGAGCAAAGTGTAGTATAGCGGCGGTATCATTTGCTTCCACAATCTCTTTTCACATATTGACGTGATGTCAATCACAGCAAATAACCAATTGTTGTTGATCTTGCTTGTATTCGTCGAGATTGCTTGGATTAGCTTACCTGCTTCAAAAACCTCAATCCAAGAATATCAACTTCCCGCTTCCGGAGTCGGCCTAATGCTCGAGTTCTTTATGTCATTTCCCGAGTCGAAAGGGAACGTGCGGTATAAGAAACAGCATTTCATCTAAAACAATTGGATCAACGGCACACAAGTATCTCCTGACCGGGAATTGGCAGTACCGTATCGGCCAATTAATCGCTTGGCCGCAGCCGGGTATATTCAGTACTGCATCCGTCTACTTATCGGAAAGGTTGTTTGTTCCGGCTCCCCATCTTGAACAAAGCAAAAACTTTGCTTGGATCGATGTGCTTGATGATTACCACAATTCGCGCATTGAATCCAAAATCAACATCCAATCCACGAAACTCATTTGCTTGCTCAAACACTGTGACATCAACGCTTCCCTCGATGTGACTCAGAGCTGTTTGGCATACAATGACTCCCCCGCCGATGATGGTAATTGTCATCGAAGAGACAATGGTCGGTGGTAGTGGGTGAAGGAAGATACGGTTTGGGAGCTGGTGTTGGGATATACAGTCCTGTACGGCTTAATACTATCACTATTGGATCATAAGACGCGAGGGATTTCGAGCGACGTGTTTTCAGTTTACAAATACTGATGCATTGTCTACAGGCCCCTATGTCCCAAAAGCACTCCATTAATCCTCGCGTGCTACTTGGACGCGAGACCGAAATCTTCTTCGGTGTGTTTCGCGTAACATCTCCCCGTCCATGCACTCGCGCTTGAAATGGAACGAACGGAGGGCGAAGACACTGATCTACCGGCTGTGACAATCGATATGGGTGCATGTACCATTGCAACATGGACAAATCTTAAGGTGTTAGGATGATTGACCACTATCCTTCCCAGTCCTCCAGTGTTATCCACGAGCTTGTGCCAATCATGCCCAATCTCCTTGACTATTCAGACGAGAAGCCAAAATTTCTTACTTGCTACTAGAAACTGGGACCGCTCTGGACGAGATAAATTATAAACTTGGAATGCCTTTTCCAGAGCCTGTCTCTTGTCCATGTTCGCATCCTCTTGAAGCGACCCTTGTCTTGTACTCACTCGAGAACCGAGAATAGAATCACGACATCTTCAACGTCCATACCAGCCCGCATCCTAAAATGGGGCATGGAGCCATGAGAAGATCTCATGCAACGGCAACTGTTTTACGCACGTACTTACGTATTGGATGGTCTAGAGTGTCGAATATCGTCTATCGGCTTAGTTACTCCGATAGAGCATCCACCAAGGCTCGCACTGCAGGACCCAGGTTGAAACGGCCTCAGCTAAGTTTATCCACGAGCGTCTTGCCACAGCGGTGTCTGTGTAAGGTAACTTGCATATCCGCTGATTTTTGATCAGCTTCAACAAATTAATGACGGCTGCCGTTTGGATTGCCGTCGAAACTAGAAGTGATTGACACGGGAAGACCCGGGAGCATGCCTTAGCTGTGGCGCTGGGCACTGGTGTTGCTAAGTTCCGTGGAGATGTATAGTACTCCATCATTTGTGCTACGGCTGCAGGGTTGGACTTGAGTCATAGCTTCATGGCGAATATTTGAGAGCCTAGTTGGTATTTGGTAGAAAGGAGAGTTACCTTTGAGACAATTGAAGTTGAACCTTTTCTTAATACCGTTACGTTCCAAGCATTATGACCTAAATGATCCAATCGTATTCTTACCCTATCCTAATACTAGGTTTCTCCCAAGGCACAAAATACCTAACCTTGTTTCTCTTCGTTTCTGACAAGCAGCATGTGGGAATCAACCGTATGTGACCCTTTGACCTGGTTATATGTCTAGGCACAACATCTTTCAACTGGATACAACTGACGATTGAATGGGCCTGTTTCTGCTACGTAGTCCTCCTTCTATGAAGTCTACACACAGCAGATGTTTTTCGGCGGGAGACAGGCAAATGCCAGTTGCGAAAAAGGTTTGGGCAGTTATATGCTCTGCCACGATCGATGACGCAGCAATTGGATTTAATGCAGTGCTTGAAGGAACCGTGATAGGTTTTCAATAAGTATAACTACATAAACATTTCATACAAGCGTGTGATTTCATTGAGTCAAATCCTCAACTCTATGATCTTGAGCATAACATTATGATTGCAAAGTCTAATAAACTAAGTTGCCTGTATTTACAAGGTGGGGCCCCACCTTACTCATTGTTTTTATGATCTCTTAAGCTTTCGCCCAAGCCTTCTCAATTTCCTCTAGGTTTTTAATAAACGTTAATCTATCCGCGCAGACCAAGTTTTTAACAAATCTTTAAATTCTCTCAAGACTAGGTTTTCTAACCAAGACGTGACTCATATGGCATGAACACTACAATAGAGGCTATGACTTATAAAGGAAGCTTCCGTCGCGCTGTGCAGACAACAGCAACTTCTTCCTCTTGCAACCTCGATCAATTGGTAAGGTCACCTGTGTTTGCAAGGTGGAGCCCCACCTTTCTTCTTGACCCTTGTTTATTGTCACTCTCTCATTCACCCTCAATCACCAAACAACAGCCACCCACTTCTACCCTCCTACAACATCTTCGCCAAAACCACAAATGGCCATGTCTCATTCAAAGGCAGCCGCGATGGAGAAAGTCACCACGCCTAATCAGTCTCTACATGAGCTGATCATTCAACACCCCAAGCTGTCCGACCATCCTCTGCGCTGGACCGCCCGCCATCTCGAGCTTCTACACTGCACATTCCAGCAAATCGATATCCCTCTTGAAGCTAAAACCGGCGCGCATGAGGAGTGTACCGTGAAGGATGCAACAGGGCTAGCAAATAATCCATGGTTCGGCGACATCGAGCGAAAGGCTTCATGCTTCAGGAACCTTTTCAATGGAGAAAGAGGTCGTCTAGTGAATTATTGGTATATTCGGTCCTTTTGCATTTCCCTTTGCTACTTTATCTCTACTAACTTCTGTATGTATACAGCACGGAGCCGACATTCTACTTCAACGGACATGGTAAACATCGTCCACACTGCCCCATCTACTATCTTGAACCAACCTATGAGAAAGAAGACGAGAATAAAGAAAACAAGGGTCACGAAGACGGGGAACAAGAACTCAGGAAGACTGAGAACCCAGTTATAGGGTTTTTTGCCTACAGCAGTATCACGCAACGACGCGCGGAACGATGTTACCCCAAGCAGTATCGTAGCAAACCAAATGGCGATGCTCAACAGCTTTGGGACCGCATGGTCAGAGAGTGCACACCAGAGACGTGGTTTCAGGATCCATACCTTGTCTGCATCATCACATCTCTAGCACAATGTCAGTGGAGAGACAACCGCTACAAGTTCTGTCCCGTATGTTATCTCCCATCTGACACACTCTCATTTGAATGCCTAAACTAACTCTCGTGTAGGTTCGCCTCGTCGTTTGCCATGATGATGAGAAGGATTATGCTTACGTTTATTACGCCCAGTTCCCAAAAGGAATACTAGACCAACTAGATACCCCAGTGTCTAGAACAGAAGCTACCTGGCCGACTATCTACTACACCAAGATACCATTTGAGCCATATGGAACATTTCACGACCGTATGGAAAAAGCCCTGCTGGATGCAAAAGTCGGGACGTCAGCTGAGGGGGATGAGACAGACTGCAAGAGCGTAAACCCAAACGCCACTGCCGAAGTCAGCGATATCCGGCATTCTTTAGGCATGATTGAGCTTTCAACTACCAACAAGGGTCTCATGAACTGACGGATCCATACTAGAGGAGATATGTTACCTCTCTGAAGTCTCAGCCATAAATAGACATTTCCGAGAGGTTGATTAGGGCATTATCTACAAAGGCGGGGAGGACAAGATACATACTGTAATGATAATCAAGTTTGCGCAATGAAATCCTGTTAAACTTTGGCATTTTAAATCACCCTGGTCTAAGACCGAAAGACAACACCGAGCTCGACTTACACGATTTTCGGCGTTTGTGAGTTCGGTGTATTCGTCGACGGCCCGGTCTTTTCCTACAGAGAAGGCCGAGTGACCCACCCCGAGAACTTGACTCCAAGAGTCTAGAGGTCCCATAGAATATTTGATGATAAGACAGGGACATATGCCTACAATTTCTGTCTCTAGACTTTATAAAACTCTGTAATATTGCATGCGCTTCAACCACTCATTTTCATCACCTACTCTCTCTCTTGAACATATTCGACTAAGACCGACCGCAACTATGACTAGACTGAGAATCATCATCTGCGGTGCAGGCATTGCTGGCAACGCCCTCGCCTTCTGGTTTTCAAAACACCATGATGTTACAATCATTGAAAAGCACCCCGACTTGAGATCTACCGGTCTGCAGATTGATATTCGCGGGCATGGAATTGAGGTTCTAAAGAGGATGGGCCTTGAAACCACTTTCCGTGTCGTATCAGTCAAAGAGGAAGGACTGGAGTTCGTCAACAATTCTGGCAGAGTCGTGGCGTACTTTCCCGCAAACACATCCGGTGAAGGGCTTCAGAGTTTTACAACTGACTACGAGATCATGAGAGGTGATCTTATCAAGCTTCTTTACGAGAACATCAAGGATCGTGTACGATTCGTATATGGGACAACTGTGGAGAGTTACGAACAACTGGGCGATTCCGTTGAAGTTCGGCTGGCAAATGGGGAGAAGGACCGATATGACCTTGTCGTCGGCGCCGACGGGCAGTGGTCCCGTACTCGTAAGCTGATGCTAGGACCTGAAGCTAAAGACCCCATTCAACTCATCGGGGTCTACGCTGGTTACTTCACCATGCCTCGCCATATCAAGGATGGAGAGAAATACAACGGAACTGCCTACATCGCTCCGGGTAAGCGGCTCTTATTCAGTCGAAGACACAATGCAGACCGAGTCCAGGTATACCTTGTGGGTCTGAATGATTCCGAACGAGTCTTGTCTGCACGTCCAGACGGTGTAGAGCAGGAAAAGGCCGTTTTGTCAGAGTTGTTTCGTGACGCTGGGTGGCGCTCAGAAGAGCTGACCACCGAGCTAAAGGAATCAGACGACTTCTATTGTGAGCACATGGGTGTTGTCAGGCTAGACTCCTGGAGCAAAGGAGGAGTCGTGCTATTGGGTGATGCAGCCTATTGTCCTACAGCAACTACGGGAATGGGAACAACCTCCAGTCTCGTCGGAGCCTACGTTTTAGCCGGAGAAATCCAAGATCACATCAGTCGTGTCGGTGCCTCCAAGGAAATGCTTCCTCTAGCTTTGGCTAGTTATGAGAAGCGATTCCGCCCCTTCATCGACACAGTCCAGGATGGCATTGAGAAGGACAAAACCTACTGGCACAAGATGCCATCGAGCACTTTTGTCCTTGCTATCCTTAACTTCTTCTTAGCTGCTGCAGCTTTCTTCAAATTGGACGTACTTGCTAAGAATATTATGAAGGAGGATACAGGTAGTTGGGAACTCCCTGATTATAAGGGGATGGACCTTCGGTAGGACAAGAAATGATCCACCAGATCATATCTTACCGCATGGTTCTCAGACCTCTGGTAAAAAGATTTTCCTTGTATATCAAGCAGTATTGGCTAGTTATGCTGCATTCGCCTATTTTACTAAAGCTAGAAATTGAAAACTCGATAATTATTCAGACATGTCCCTATTCGGCTACCCTGGCTTGTAATATAATTGCTCAACCCTATTTCTTAGTCATTGAGCCATCGGACGTATACTGCATTCGACCCCTTTTTTCCAGGACTTCGACGTGAGAGTTCAACGTGACTTGTAGATATCAACAGCGTGCTGAGCTTGCTGCACCCGTACGTGCGCGGGTCAAAGTCAGAATGCCACTGGACCATAAGTGAATTAACTTCCTCAAGCAGAGCCCATCCTGAATCGTCAGAAGACACTTCTACAGCCTCTCGTAACCATCCAATCGTCGTCGAATCAAGTAGTTGGTGCTCAGGTGTTGAGTTGCCATGCATCGGAGGTTCCGGCATCTGAGCTCCCTCCACTTGTGTATTCTTACTCGAAGCATCAATCTGAGCCTTGTCCTCTCCATTCTGCTCTGTTGACGATGTGTTGACTGCTAGACCTTCAACAGATGTGGCAATCGATGGACCGACGCTAATGAGCCCTGCAACAGAGGAACGAGCACTGGATGGCCCAGCTACTGACATTCCAAATTTGGCTGGCCCAGTCATTGACACCAGATTCTCAACATAAATAAACTTGTCGCAAGCTGTGACAAAAGGCTTTGGCGTTTTTCTCTCTCCACATCCAAAGACTACCAAACCCGACTCTCGTATTCGAACAGCCAGCCGAGTAAAATCGCTATCACTAGACACTATGCAGAAGCCGTTGAATTTGTTTGAATACAAAAGATCCATAGCATCGATAATCATGGCTGAATCGGTTGAGTTCTTCCCTGTGGTATAGGCAAACTGCTGCATTGGCTGGATAGACTGTTCCAGAAGGCGTATTTTCCATTGGTTTAATGCTGTCCCAGTCCAGTCTCCATAAGCACGTTTGGCGACGGTTGTGCCGTACTTGGCGATCTCTGTGAGCACAGAGCCAGCCATGGAAGGGCTGGCATTGTCGGCGTCAATGAGTACAGCAAACTTGGGGGATGTCATGAATGAGGCCATTTTCCTTGGCAATGAAGTCTTTTCGAGAAATGAGCTGTATGTTTTGGTCATATCAGCTCTAGAACGTGTTTCGTGTAGAGTTGCTACATACTTGTGGGTTTTGGTAATAGTACGATGCCCAATAAGTCGTGAAGATTGTATTCTTTTCACTCTTCCTTTGATACTAAAATATAACATACGGCGACTCATGGGAAGATGAATTCCCCTTATCTTTATAGTAGCTAAGATCTAGAATTGCCATAGTCTAAGCGGGGTATTGGGAGGCCGACCAGATCTACCGCAAAGCATCCAGCCACTGATAAACTATTGCAATCTTCATGACATCAATCATTGTCATACTTGAATTTAAAGTTCTGATCTGTTAGAGTCTAAAGTATTACAATCTTGGGTAGAGATATGTAGTATACCTGCGATGCAATTGCCTTGTCTAACTGGCGTATCATTGCGTGAAATAAGGATCGACTTGACAGAGCGTAGTCACCAGGGACTAAACTAGTCAGATACATTTGTTTTTTTTCTATTTAGAGCATCTGCCTATGAGCAACAACAACTTAGAGCCATCGTCAAAAAGCATGCTCTTGTTCAGATGGTATATAAGACAGCGCATTTCGACCTCGGAGATCCTCATAAAGCAGACTTTATTGCCCTTGAAAGCGAGTTTATGCTGCAGGCTGAGGACTTGTACATTGCTATCACTTGACACTCAAGCCTTTGTGCTTTAAGATCTATTCTTCACTAAACTAACCACCTCAAGCTCCTCATACAACTTGACCAGTCTATGTTCAAGGTAATTGTATCCAGAAGATGTCTCCCCTGTAATTCTATACGTTAAAGGTTCACATCTAAGACAATCTATATCTAAGTTGTGTTTAGATATGAGTGACGAAAGCAGGATAGTGGCGTCTGTTGTCGAGGGGAATAAATTCTTCTGAATTGAATCGAGGGTCTCTATGGTGAGGTTTCGAGACATGTTGCTCCTTTTAAGACGTGTTAGTAAAGACGTTTCCCGAGATTCAGATACTAACTTAGGGTCCTTCTGACTTGCAATAAGAACCTCTTTCAAAAACGATGTATATTGGAAGAGTTCTAAAGTACTATCTTTTTAGTTTAACTGGAGATAATTCGGGTGTTTGGAATTCTAATAGATAATGGAAGTATCAAACTTATAATATTAGAAGATTGAGTAATTTAGAAAAATAAAATAAATGAATAAAGCGTTAATGAACATATAGCTAATAATTAAACCAGGACGCTTTTACTTTCCGCATAGTCGCTGGTTCCATGTTCCGGATCTGCATCCTTAAACTCCCCTGCCTTGCACAGCGAGCCAGCGTTATATTTTCCCTTGGGTCCATCAACTCCCTTAAATTCCCTTTTTGAGTTTGCCAGGAGCATGTTTTCAGCCGCCTCAGGAAGCCAACCATTTATAAAGTCACCATGTGTACAGTATGAGGATCCACAAGAAAGTTCGAGCGGAGCGGGACCATCCCAACCGTCTGGGAACACCTCACGGAGATCATAGCGGATGCTAAATCGCAGCTGTGGCATTCGCTTCATGCCAGCTGGACAACGGTTCTCAGGTCTGAAGGTTTTCGTCCAATGATGGACCCCGGAATACGTAGACTCCAATGACTCCTCGTTAACGCAGTCATGGAAGAGCAGAATGGTTTGGAGCCGTCCGCAGCCCTTGGTAGGGAATGCTGCTCGGTCCTTGACTTCTTGAGGATTACCTCCATACTCGCAAAACCACTGGATACCAGCAAGAGGCTCGACATGGTCATTTGACGTTGCACTTGCATTACCGACAACCACTTTATAATCCTGAGGAATAGCAACCTCAGCCTTATCAATGCTGACGTAGTAGGCGCTGAAACGACTAATAGGAACTGTGATACGATCACTGCCGTTCTTTGCAAAGAGAGTTGGTACCCCTGTCAAGTATTAGATGATGGACGTTGGGCAACGAACATCTACTTACAATAGGACGAGAAATCATTTGGGTTCTCAGCAGTGGAACAACCTGTTTGGAGCTCTTTGGATGTGGTTGTGTTCACCGTGACAGCATCTGATCCAAAGAAACTATGCATATGGCTAACGTATTGACCTGGGAACACAATAGGGTCTATGTTTTTCAACATGAACCTCGGTGCATTAGTGACAGTGTAGGCACTGACAGCGACAAGCCCGTAGAGGGCCGAGAAGACGAGGCACTTCATGACAAAAAAAACAAAAAGGGATATCAGTCTGTTACTTAAACGAATGGAGTTGGTTGAACGAAGAAGTGAGAATTAAATTGAGTTGAATGAGACAGGAAGATGGAGAGACGATGTCTGTATATGAATAAAACTTATCTTTTGTTGCTAAAACATGGGTTCATGTCTGTAGCATCCCGTAGCATCAATTCCGCGCTTGCAGAGATTACAGGACTGGCCATGTTATTTCGCCTATCACCCCAGTACATTATAATAAAATAATTGGTTGATAGGTAAGCATATAAGAGTGGGTAGATGAGATGGATCCAATTACATCATCTCAAGACCGGGGGCAGCAACGACCAGCGGGGGTTTGCGACCTCCTAAGTTAACCTACCTCCAGGTGTGGTAGACGAAATAACCTCCTTTAGACTTCGGGTTTTTATGAGTTGTTGCTCGTAAATGTCGCACGAGCGTTTAATACTCAACGATGGAGCCATTAGAATTGAGACCGTGGGGCATTAACAAGATGAAGGGCAGCATGATCGGCACGTCTACGCGCTCTCTAGTGGAGGCGCCTGTACATATCCTTGTGGCATTACAGAACAGGCATAGTCACCACCGAGGCAAGAACAAGTTCATCCAACGTACGATTTAAGTTGATCCCTATACAATACTTTTTTCTTATGGCCATGCCTTGTACTAACATCTTTACCTCTGCCGCACAGATGATCTGGGATATTAAGCTGAAGACTCCCTCTCCCTCGCCTCCACCTCAAGAAATTGCTTCAGGGTGTCTATCACCGTCTCAGCCAATGGTCTGTATCTGACCCTAAGGACCTCCACTGCTTTAGACCCATCGACAGTATATAGATTGTTGAGTGCCTCGTCCTTGCCAGAACCAGGTGTGCCTATGGGAATCCTGCAACGAGCCTCTTGGGCCAGGCTTGATCTGGCCGCGTCTGCGGCACTCTGCCAGTCGAAATGCTCAGCCAGAAGAAATCTCTTACCACTGGCATCTGGCGTGTCAACAGCAGATACGACCATCAGGGCAGCGTCGCGTACGTCGATAGCACCAGCAAAGTCAAGACGTGGAACTTGAGGAGCGTCGACTAAGCCCCAGAGCAGGGAAGCCGTTGAGTGCAGGCGAGTCATTGAGTCGATAGCCTCGATGTGAGGACCGAAGATTGTTGATGGACATAAGCACACAGTATCGAAGTGTGGCTTATTTGCTGACATCCACTCCCATACAGCTTTCTCAGACAGCGCTTTAGACGCTATGTACAAGACTATTGGGTCCTGCTCCTTCGCGGCTTCTTCGTACGTCACTGGGTTCCAGTCGGCTTCAGTGTAAGTATACCCAGGGCGAGGGCCTCTAGAGAGGTCGAGCATGGCAGAGAAAGAAGATATCTGCACAACCCTACGGAACGAGGAAGACGCATACTTTTTGGCTGCTTCTAGCACAGCTGTGGTGCCGGCGATAGCGGGGCTGAGTATCTCGCGAATGTTGTCTTGAATATTCTTGCCCATCGGACAAGGGCTCGCCACATGAACGACACTAGTAATGGTTTCGTTGAATGCGTGTTGGAAACATTCTGGCTGGGTCAGGTCTTCAACGAAGACGATGCGGAGCTGATCAGACTTGATATATGCCGAAAAGCTTGTGCGGACCGTTTCAGCGGCCTTCTCGGAGCGTACTGTCGCATAAACCGTTCTGTCATGCTTTAGTAGTTGATCAACGACATGTAAACCAAAGTATCCGTTGGCTCCTGTCACAAGGATAGAAGAAGGTGAGAAAGACATGTAGCCAGTAATGCCTTGACTCTCGGCAGTATAGTAGAATATTCTCGGCTGTCTGTAATGATAGACTTCGCTTGAAATTATATATGTCTTTATTAGTGGTTGGTACAATGCTAAAGCCTGTATCATTTCGGAGTTAAGTTATTATGGACTTATGCTGCCTAAGTCCGCCAAAACGGCAAAGTCCTGGTAACTCTCTGATGCCCCATTCCCCATAAGTTTGGGTTGGACAGGGATAGAATGCGGGACTAGTCTATATTAACTTCAACCTGCGCCAGGCCGTCTTCAGTGTATCAGAAAGATTGACCGTTGGAAGCATAAGAGACGAAACTAGTAGGTCGCTTTATCCCCCTTAGGCTATACGTCTTAGACTACTTATTCTTACACCCTAAGACTTAGGAGGCTATTTTTTCTGCTACATAGTAGACCTTGTAGCGTCACATCAATTCTAATCTCACAGATACAGTACGAGCTTTAATTTATATAATTGGCTGATGAATTGTATTATATGGCCACAAGATGCAGCACGATAATCTGAAATGAACCCGTTTCGTCAATAGGTATTGAAATAATTTCATAAGTACATGGAAGGACTGGGTAAGTTTCCAAGCCGTAGAACAGCAATTGAACACACTTGACGAGCGTAACTTTTCAAGAGAAAATCTACACATCTGCTAATACATCTACCAAAGCTTTCTCGCTCACCATCAACGTTGCCAAGGTGGGCACTTCGCCTGGTTGAACTGGAAAGACAGATCCATCTACAACTCTGAGATTCTGTACCCCTCTTACCCTAAACTTGGAATCCAACACAGCAAATGGATCTTGATCGGATCCAATTGCACAGGTGCCTGAGACATGGTGAGAGTAAGTCTGCGCCCGGAGGTAGTGTTTCTGCCAAGTGTCTGTGCATTCCACCCCTGTGGCACATGGGCGGTGTTCGGTAAACGGATTATCCTCAAGACTGTTGAAAATTGGCCTCACGAAATTGATAGCATCCACCATAGACTCAATATCCTGACTACTATCTCCACGGAAAAACCCCAGGTCGATGTCTGGAACGTCTTGCGGGTTTGCAGATCTGAGCTTGACAGTGCCGTTGATGCTCCTGGGATGCAACTGCATAAAACCACATTCAAACTCGTTCCTGTTCCAACCCGGCATGCCAGGGAAGAAGCCGATGAAATTCATACTACCACAGTAGAAGTGAATATCGCGCGTTCGCAGGGCTGCTGCTGTGGTATAGACAACGTCCCAGAAACCCACAACAGGCTTCTGGAACGTACCATATAGAACTGCCTCGTAATTATCGTGCATTCTAGTTCCCACCCCGGGAAGATCCTTGATAACCGTGATGTTAAATGCTTCCAATTCCGAAGCTGGTCCGATTCCACTAAGCTTGAGCAGCTGAGGCGTATTAAAGACACCACCGGCAAGGATAACTTCTCTAGTTGCGAATGCCTTGCCAGCAGTACTCTTGAAACTGGTATTGTGTCGTGGATCTGCTGCGTAAAGACTTTTGCCTTGTAAGTATTCGATGCCGATGGCTTTGGGGCCTTTGGGATCCGAATACTCGGAGAAGATTACCTTTGTGACAAGGGTATGCTCTTGAACGGTCAAGGGAAAATTCTGAGGATCATCAAGGGTGGCGCGGATAAGATTGAGCGGGCTGGATCGGACACCATGGCGGGAGTGAGTATGCGGCGTAAAGACGCCGTTAATATGATCCCTATTAGGATCATCTGTGTTGATGTCGCGGCTTAGTAACGTGAATAGCGTCGAGTTGGTTTGGTTTCCTCCCAGTAGATCAGAGGTAAGTTGAGCAAGAGAAGTTTGATCAGAGCTGTTCAACGCCCATGAAGGATCAGCCTGCGAAGTGTCGATGTATCCCGTAAACCCGTGAGAAGGGTCGCTTCCATTTTGCAGGTAGTTACATCGTTCAAGTTTAACCAAGTACTGGCGCATATTCGTTGACATCCATGAATTATCGCCAGTGATCTCAGCCACGTCGTTCCAGTCAACGTCGGCCGGTAACGAGAGTGTTGCAGCATTATGCATAGCACAACCCCCAAGGGTACCGGCACGAGGGTAGTATATGCCTAGTCGTTCAGCACCCTCTGGAGGATCGCGGCCTACATAGAACTCTCCGTTTTCTTGTCTCCACGTCATGAACTCGAATTCACTTTCAAATTCTGGAGTGTCTCGAGTGACAAAGAAGTCCCATCTGGTGAGAGGATCATTGATGGCTAGCGTGTTGTTGTAAACAATCTCGGAATTGGTATTGTTGAATTGATCGTCTCCAGCATCGACAAGAAGAACCGAGTGACCAGCTCGCGCAAGGTTCGCTGCCAAGGGTCCACCGCCAGGGCCTGATCCCACGACAATGTACTCGTAAGTGTCGTGACTCGATGGTAAATGGGCTGCTTTTGTGGCTGATGCCAAAGCTAGGAATATCTTGAGGTTCATTCTCATTATATCTCAGGATTGTGGGTGCTTTGCCTGGTAGAAATCGAATGTGATGAAGAGTGACTTATTCTATATACAAATGATTTAACAGGAACATGTGTTCTTCTTATAGTACACTACTTCCTTGCTTCTTACCTCCCAGGCAAATAGCCTACACATAGTTCTAGTATTAGTTCCTTGATACTGAAGGACTCGTCATCAGAGAGACCTTTACCTGCCAAATACTACTAAGCTAACTCAGCACGTCTGGTGGACCCTGAACTTTCCAGTAGCGGCCCTTCTTGAATCTGTCTCATGAGCAAGAACGTTACGTTGAACTTACCATGCATGGGTCCATGGACCGCGTCTGTCCTGTTGATCAATGGAGACCAAGTTCGGTTTGGAGAAGATCTTGGCTCACGGATTTATCGGGTCGTATCTCCGTGAATTGGCGGAGGTCGAACGGGCTGCGACGTTATCATCGATGCCAAGCCCCGTCTCGGCCGAACCGTACCACAATACCGAACGACATTCGGCAATTCATGCTAGCGCAAGGTATATTCAGCTCAACGTAGTATTAAATGCCAGAATTTCGAAATTGGTGATTTTCGCATGCATGGAGATTAGTCAAAGCAAGTCTCCCCGTTTGACTGAGCATACGTAATCTGGAAATTGGAATTTGGCCAACGACGTAGGCTGTGCAGTGACAGATTACATTCTGGCACTTCGGCATTTCGGATTGTTAATAGAAAGACCCCCTATGAGCGTAAACGTGCGGCTAACAATTAGATACTCGATTCGGCCTCGGAAGCCAAAGAGACGCCGTAAATTGTTTAAAGGACTATTGACATGATGCGCCTTCGAACTGACAGATTGAATCAATTCTCATTCCATTGATTCTTGACAATGCGGCCTCTTCCTACTGCTGTGTGGACAGCGAGCTATGCTTGTTTCGCCATTGCCAAATCTATTCTTTTTGATCAAGGATCAGTCATCACTTTCGACGAGGCATCTCAATCCATAGAGGTGAAGCGCAACCACTCTGTTCTAATTCTCAACGACGAAATCGCCGCTGTATTTGAGCCCTCAAAGGATAATGTGACCATTCCTCCTGATACCGAAGTCATATATGCTGGGAACGACATTATTAGCCCTGGCTTTATCGACACACATCGCCATGCCTGGCAAACGGTTCAAAGAAGCCTTGGGGGTGATAGCTGTCTAGCTGAGTATCTGGGGCGTTGGTCTAATTTCTCCTTGACTGCACAGGTATTCACTCCAGAGATCATGTACTACTCGGAACTCGTCGGACTCTGCGAAGCCCTAAACTCAGGCGTTACGACTCTGGTAGATAATGCTTCAGGTGGCTTTACGCAGGCTATCAACGACGCGACTATCAGAGCAATCGTTGACAGTGGGATCCGTGGTTTCTATGCATACCATATACGCCGAGGAATTGACGGGTTTGCCTTTGAGGATCAGGAAAAGCATTTTAAAAACATCTCAGGACAGTCCGAGCGAAATGCTCTTTTATATTTTGGTCTTGCGTACGAAACCTTTGATACTGGCGACCCAGAAGAGGTGCAGCATATTGTTAATATAGCAAGGTAAGCTGCGCACCACAATTTCTTGCATAAGTTGATGATAGCATCTAACTGAAAAATAGAGCATCCAATATCTCGTTTCTCCAAACTCACTTCGTGGGTGGACCGATGGGTGTAGAAAACAGTCCCTCGATCTTGGCAAGGCTCGGCCTGCTTAATGATACATACCCCGTTATCTTTGTTCATGGCAATGCTGTGACGCCTACAGATGCCGATCTCTTGCGACGTTTCAATCACTATATCTCCATGGCTCCCGAGTTTGAGATGCACCACGGTCAGGATAACGCCAATCTTGCCTTGGTGCAAGATCAGGCTGCACTCAGCGTTGGAACACATTATACTTTCAGTGGCGACTTGATAACACAGGCCAGAATATGGTTACAATCTGCCCGTCAGCGAGCCTATCAGAAAGCCATCAAAGACTTTCAATATCCGGCGAACAATCCAATGTCAACTAATCAAGCCTTTTTGCTTGCGACACGAGCCGGAGGATTAGCCCTGCGACGACCCGACCTCGGTGTCATTCGTGTTGGCGCTAAAGCTGATGTCGTTGTATTCGATGGATCGGCTCCGACCATGCTAGGCTGGGAAGATGCAGTCACTGCTTTACTTCTACATTCCAACCCTAGCCATGTCAAGCATGTGATAGTGAATGGTGAGTGGAAAAAAAGGGATGGGCAGCTCTACTGTGCTCTGAATGATACCACTGTTCGAGAAAGGTTCCTAAACTCAGCACAAACTGTACGGTCATTTTGGTCGGGGGTAGAGTCAACTAACTTCACGGGTACTGTACCTGTAACGGGGGCATCGTATCGCCAACTTGATGAACTAGATGTGGTGAGAGGGTCTGCAAATGGATATTGAGTACGACGCAGGTCTCTGTCTATAGGGGACACAACCCGACACTGCGAGGATAATTTGAGAAGTGACTTGAAAGGAAAAGCGATGGTCGGTATGTTATGATGGCTACACTAGCAGGCGTGGCTATTGCGATAATACCGGGTGCATTGGCTTTAGCTGTATCTATATTTCAGACTTGGATTGGCTGGCAGCAGTGGAAGCATCCTGTTACAGGGTACTTACTCAGGTTGGGACGGGTAGATCTTAGGACATTCGTATAAACAAAGGCTCATACCCTTCCACTCTTCGTTTTGTAACACTAGGTTAATAAATTTCAATCCGTGCCAACATCATTGAACTATATGATTCATAAAAGAATGAATGAAATGATTGAAGATCTGGGTTGAAGAACTGCAGACAAATGTAGAAGTGACATAGTCACGTTGCACACACGTGATCCCCTCCACGTTAAACAAGTCTCCACATGAAATCTTATGTTAGACCTGGTTAAGCAGGCATAAAAGTCGAAAATATTCCAGGAAAAGTAACCATGACCAGATGTCTATTCAAAATCTGAGATAACTTAACCTATTTAACGATCTTAAAGACATATGTTGTAGAATATTTTCCCAGACCCTTGCAGAGTTAGAGCATAGCCAAAGAACAAGAGACATCAGTGTTCACATAGGTAGGCTAGTAGGTAGCAGAAGTATTATGATATAAAAATAAGGAGTCTAAAACTAGAGTCTGAGGAGCATAAAGTGACCTACCAATTTCGTCTCTTATGCTTTCAGCGGGTAATTTTTCTGATACCTTGAGGGTAGGGCCGGGGCCAACCATACGAACAATCTGCTTCTATTCCCTTCTATTGGCCGCCTTGATTTCCCTTTCCTCCTCGATGTGCTTTGACGTGGCAGGGTTTCTATATCTTCTCCAGCTGAAAAAAGATCTCCATTCTCGGTGGGGTTTATGATTATTTTCTGTAACATTTCCCGCCTAATCTTCAAACACGCTCTATCATCCTAATTCTGGCAATTTATCCAGACTGCATTTCTGAAAAACTTTCAGGCCGCCATGAGATACTCGCCGTTGATAGTTTTCGCATCTGCGGCGACTCACGCCGTAGCTGATGACCTATCAGACTTCTCCAACGATCTTGCCACTGATGTCGGCCCACTTCTCGTCCTTTTTGGAGAGTCAACGACTCGTCAGTATCTCAGCGAAGGCACATCTTTTCTAGATTACTTCATTTTTGCAATGGCGCCGATCGGAATTATTACTGCTATCATGTATATTATTATTAATATCTATAACTAATAAAAGTTAATATTGCATTCCTAAATATATCAATTGTTAAATTTAAATATTGCATTTATAAGACTAAGAAACAGTATCATTGTCCTTACCAGCGACTTATTGCAGTAAATATCATGCCCCGGCAGCTCAGGAAGATCTGGATCAGTTCAGCTCACTGTTATGAGTAAACAGTTGAACAGCACGTGACGCAACATCCAATGCTCTTGATTCGATATCACAACATACGCGGCATGCATGAGAACGCGGTTACAGTGCGGGGTCGTGGATGACTTAGAAGCGCGACTTCGAGGTGCTGATCTTATGTTCCTAAACTTAACATATCCTCACGTTCACTAGGATAGTTCCCGTTGAAAACTCTCATTCTTGTGAACCTTCAAGCTCCCCTCCACCTCAACAGGATGTCGAGTCCACCCAACAAACGAAGGAAACTTGATCAGGCCCTAGACCTTAGCAGTTGTTGTGACCGGTGCCGCACAATACCATGGTCGGCTATGATTCAGAAGCTTGCCAATAGGAAATACTACTGCGTTGCAGAAGTATCCGAATCTCGGCAAGATCTCGCATTGTCTTCTTGTCGTATCTGCCAATCACTTGCAATACTCAAGTCGGATAAGTCACAAATCTTTCTACACGCCCTATCAGCTGGCTGGCTTTTCAAAGGGTTGACGGCGACTCGACTGTCAGAGCTCAAACTTACGGACACAGTTCTACTACGTCTCGACTCGAGGAAAGAAAAGAAAGAAACGAAAATAGATAAAGTCATGGGCAGTCTCATAGCTGTTGAACCAACCGAACCAACCTCAGAGCCTTCTCCCAGCCTTTTGCCTTCTCAACCCTGGCCTAGAACTATTGAGTATGAACGAATCAAGTCTTGGATCACCTACTGCAATAAAAACCACGATGACACTTGCACATCAAAGGAGAAGATTCAACTACAGCCTTTCAAAGTCATAGACTGCATTTCTCACCAGTCTGGAAAGCCTATCAAACCTGTATCACTTCCTACGAATCAGGAATATGCAGCTCTCTCATACGTCTGGGGAGAAGATGACAAAAAGCAGTCAGGTGTAAGCGAATCAACGGCTCCAGTCATCAATGATAGTATTGAAGTGACAAAGAGTTTGGGTTATAAGTATCTATGGGTCGATCGACATGTGCGTTGAATAGCCAGTTATTTAACATTTGCCGCCTGCTGATGATTCATAGTGCATCGACCAAAAGCAATCAGAAAATTCGAAGAAGAAAGAATTTGAGATGATGGACAAGATCTATTCCCAAGCCTCTTTCACCATCATTGCTGCTGCCGGGAAGGACTCTGGGGATGGCTTGGCTGGGGTGACTGCACCGCGTGATCAACAAAGAAAACCGCTGCAAATAGATAACATGCAATTTCGCTACCTTGGCAAACCACCCAGGGACAAAATTCAGTCCACCAAATGGGCCGAAAGGGGCTGGACATACCAGGAAGGATTCTTATCCCGGAAGAGGATCTTCTTCACCAACGAGCAAGTCGTTTTTCAGTGCAACAACATGACTTGCCTAGAGTCTCTGAGTATATCTATGGAGGCTTTGCATAACAAATCGGGCCGAGTACTTGACGACATTCAACCGTTAAAGATAAAATCGCCAGACACAAGCCGTAAAACCATAGGAGATCACATTATAGGATACAGTGCCAAGCAACTTACGAAGAAAGAAGATTCCCTGAATGCCTTTTTGGGTATCCTCAGCTACTACGAGGAGAAATACTTCTGGGGTCACTTTCTGGGAAATCCGATACATGATAAGGAGCCTCACATGATAAATGCATGGTATCATCTGAAGCCTGCAACTCGCGTCAGGAAGTTTCCAACCTGGTCATGGACAGGCTGGCGGGGGGAATTGAAATTAACGAGCCGCAACAACCCAGAGTACAAACTTGAATTAGTCACCTTGATTGGAGAGATCATAAATATCGATAAGTACAGAAAGCGAAGGATTTTTAAGCGGCCTAAGTTAAAACCTTTCATTCAGTTAACAGGGATGGTAATACATGTGCCATTCGAGTTCATCGACTGGGGCAACCACAAGGAAAATTGGACGCAGGGCCTCCAGAAAGGAATCTGGGCCGCCCTTCGGCTCACCGACAACATTACCGCATATTCTCTTTTCTATCCTGACCATGAATCCCTTGCGGAGAAAAAGGATTTCTCTCTTCCGGCCATGATACTAGAGAGTGGTACGAGTTCAAAAGAAAAGAACACAATCATTCTCGTTTTGCAAGAGGGCAAGGGATACTATCAGCGGGCTGGTTTGATCAGAATGGCCAGTGTCACAAGTCCAGAAGCAAAAGATTCAGGTCAGGAAAATGACCTGCAACCAACTATGTACAAAGATGCTTCGGGATGCTGGTCGAGGCATGCGCCAACATGTGAAATGAAAAAGTGGGTTTGGCTGCAGGCAGCCGAGGATAGAACCTTTCAAGTATGGTAACTTTGAACTATTATATACTAATCATATCCCCCTACCCTGTATTATAATAAGTGCCAAGCATCAATGATTAGCACTGATCCCACGATAACATCACTGATTCCCTACAAAGTAACCAAGTATATATACATTCACTTAACATTAGTTAGTATACTTAGCTCAATAGCTATTAATAAAACCTCTTTACCTGAATACGCCTTACCAGCTATATCTACTATTAAGAAAAATGACACTTCGCTACCGCTCAGTATCATACACCCTACGACTCTGTCAATATAAACCAGTACGGACTAGCCTACTTTTTAAAAACCTAACCGTCACAGGAGGGGTGTATGACAAAGCGGTGAGTTAGTTTAGTATATGTATTGGATGTCTTACTACGTTCCCAAGGCTGTCAAGTGGATCCAAAACTTCGGTGTTAGGGAAGTCATCATTTGGTTCACCAGTGGGTTCACCAAAGTTAGCAATGGTCGGAGAACCCTTACCATCAAAACCTGACAGACCATTGTCAAATAAGTTTTTTTGCCTTCGTTGCCCTAGCCTCCCTCTCATGATACCAATAGTGAGGCTTCGCAAAGACAGTCTTCAGGCCATTCCCGAGGACTGAAACCACCTCTGGCTTGACCTTCATAGTTATTTGACTTATCTGCATCTCAAAGTATATCTGGAGGGATTGGTTTCCAATGCTGTCGACAACAGCCCATTTTTTCATGCCGTAGCATTTGATTCATCCGAGTCTCATTGTCGGGATCATCGGGACTGCTGGGGCTATTGGCAAAGCCGTAACGATCCACATGTTTTGGCGGCAGAAATGCCATGTACAATATGGAACCACAGAACAGATTGCCAGTAGCCGAGTTTAAAGGGCTGGTAGTGGTGTTGTTCGACATCCACAATTTGCCAGAGGTGGAATTGCCTGAGTCAGAGGTCCACTGGAGGATGGTTCCGATAACAAACTGTGGCGAGGTAATGGCATTGCCATTGATGGTGATTTGGCCACTGGCGCTAATGACCAAGGTGTTTGGTGAGGCTTGATATTCACCGTTGCCAGAGGTAGACTTGGTAAAGATAGCATACGTATCAGCCCACTGAGTAAGAACAGATGTTCGGAGAAGACCCAAAACTGAACCCTGAGTAGGTGCTGGGGGAATGTTCCTATCCGTCCCTGGATATTGGCATGTGCTGGTTGGGACTCATCATTGTTCCAGACAGAACCAAGGAACTGTGGTCCGACTTAGGCATTGGGGACCTATATTCTAGAGTGTCATTCTAATATTCAGATTTCATAAGCATGAGTCTGAACCAGCATGACCTGAAACCATACCTTCCTCAGACCAAGTTATCTCTCAAGTATTAGATAGAAGCTTTAATTTACTGCCACTTATTCATACATTACTATATAATTCAGATCCACTCCGTTATAATCTCCGATAGATTATCCTGTCTCAAGCTGTGCCAAAATCGATATCAATCATGCCTGTGTTAGCCTCTTCCTTTGCTCATCCATCCTTTCTATGTGGACCTCAGTCACAGGATCGGGTATGTCCATAAGTATTCTCTCCATCTCCCTTGACAAAAAATACCCGGGATTACAAGGCGCGTGATCGACACCCAAAACCATTCCGATATCATGTATCACCAGCCCTGCCATCGTGCGGCGAAGCCTAACAATGCTGTTTGTGACATCTTCTGCCTTGGGAAAGGGCCACAAGCCCGCTCGAGAAAGGCAGAACGTTATCGAGCCTAGAATCATAGATTCGCAACGATGATTACCCATCCATTCAGCATGACGGCACCAACGTGGCTTCTCGTCAACAACCAATAAGTCCTCCACAAGTTGATTGATGACGTCTAGGAGTGTCTGGATGATCAAAATGCGGATTTCAGATATTCGTTCTTAAAATCGCGGTTAGGGACATAGCAGTTTAGATCGGGCAGGGAATCTCACCAACAATGTCAGGTACCATTTGGAGATTTGCGTCCTCAGAACCTTCGGATTCCATAACCATATGTCTTGCCATCCTTGCAAAAGAGTCTTTATATCCAAACTCAAATGTAATCCAAAGATATTTGGTCATGGCTTCCTTGGACTGTTTTGCGTTATTTTCTATTGAGTCCATCCATCTCTCTATCCAAGGTTCCAACATTCGTGTGCCATCATAGTAATTTGACAGTACTGTAAGGTCGTAAAGGTCATCCATCGATAGCGTTCTTGGGATGCGATCGAATTGACCGTGTGATATGTGCAAAAAGAGGGCCATTGCCGTTGCCTTATCTTCGGGAAGGCTCACAACCCACTCCTCGTCATCTGGTTTTTTGGATTCTATAAAACCCCCATAAAGCATGCGCTCGAAAACTGGCGATGTTCTTGCCAACGCCCTTGAACAGGCTGTAAAGGTGACAGGGTCTGTTTTGCCAACACGAAGTTTAATATCGCCATGTTTATCGAACTCGATATTTTGTAAAGACATGAGAAGGGCTGGTGTAGTGTGGTTAATTAATCCAGATGCATTTGGTGAATAACCACAGTTTATGCTATTGAGGTTTTTAATGCTAATTGAAATAAGAGAAAAAAAAAATTCATCTGGAAGCTTGGACCGGAGACTCAGCCGCCGTGCTCAGCCACAAGCTTGCCAACATAGGACAAGATACATAGAGCGTTAGGCTAGTAAGCATTAGCTATATATTTTTAGATCACTTGTTTCCACAATAAGAACCTTTAAGTCCTTGGCATATCCATATTTATACCAGATATTATCCTTATCTAATACATCAACCATTCCGTTCTATCTTAAAATATCTATGTTCTATATTCCATTCTGAAAAATATCCTTCAAGATGTCGCGGCATCCCTGAGTCATATTCATCTTTAAGCATGATATTAGTAACAAGTGATGAAGTAGTAAGGAACAGGGTCGTTGGGACAGATAGGTTGCGACAGTGGACTTGCCACGGCCCGCTGGACCGCCGATTACGAATATCGCCTTTCCAGGGATTGATTGTACCGTCATAACTAGCTTCAGAATAGTAAAACACGAACAAACGCTGCAGACGAAGGTGGTTTGGGCAAGATTGCAGGATATCCATCGTACAAGCTAAACTCAATTCAACACCATCAGGTTTCCTGAGCCTGATCCTAAACGGCTGTCGGTCATTCGTCTCGTCCAAAGGGTAATGGTCGCGGTCCAGAACATCAATGCAACAAGATCGGACATAATTAAGCTCAGCCACCGGCTCAAACGCGACCTTGACCAAATTGGTTTAGTGCAAGCGGAGGTGGAGAATTACCGACTTTGCTGAACCGGACATGTTAGAAAGCCAGCCATCGGACAAAGTGAGAAGCAAAATCAGCTCTTGAGATGAGACATAGATTTGTGGATGCTTTCTCATACGCTCTTCCTGACCTTGACTGGGGTAGAAATGCTTATGCCGACATCTAGAGCGGAATAACCGTGCTGGCATGCCCCAAAGCCGGGAACGGATCGGAGGGAACAGAGAGAACCCCAGATTCTATCCGATCTGCCGGACCTCTAGAGATGGGGAGCATGGGCGAACGGTTCCTAGGCCGGTCGAGGTTTTCCCCGTACTTGAATCGGCCGATCTCCACAAAACTATCTCCGGTGTGGGTCCGGACATAGTGAACTCTCTGTGATTAATTAGTTCCATGACTCTAGAACTTTAGTCGAAATAAACAATATCTTGGTTTGGCGCGGAGTTCAAGATGAGGAAAGCGGAACGGGCAGTGGCATGGGAGGTTAGCCCTCTTGAATAGATTAATTGCAACCGGACATCGATAGTAATTGACCCCAGACATGTTCCACGTTGTCTTTCATCCAGACAAACGATCTAGCTCAATCCTTCGCGTTTGAACTGCATCACTCTCTAATTAGGTCCATTTGATCAACTGTCACTTTTTCTTCTTGCCACCACCATGAAACCCTCACTGCTGCTGTCCGGCGACCGGGCCAACTTCACTACACTGGCCGTAGACCTCCAAAAAGGAGAGATCAAAATTGTCGCCGATTACCGAGCACCCGAAAACGTTTCTTGGGTAGAACCTGAATCCTGGAATGGAGATGTTGACAGACTGATTGCCTTGTCGGAAGGTGAAGAGTCTGGCCTCCTATTCACCTTCGAGTTAAACCATTCTAAAAAGACTTGCATCATCACTAGCCAACAGCCGACACTAGGCGCACCTGCTCATTGTATGTCAATGTCCTTTATGTCGAATGTGATTGTTGTGTTAATTATTTAGTTATTATCCTACGAGACAAGACAGTCATAGCGCTTGGTACTGTAAGTAATGGCCAGCCAAGCCAATGCCCAACTTTGCCCGCTCACACTTAGCAGTATCTCGGAGGTTCTGTTTCCCTTTACCCCATTTCAATCACCGAAAAAGAAGGACTCAGACTTAACGATACGCCTCGAACCGAGCTTCTACCAGAGTTTCCATATAAAGCGGCTGGACACGGTCCCAATAAAGGTCGACAACAACAATGCCACGTGCACCAAGTGCTTGAAGATAAGAGAGGCCTACTCTATGCACCTGATCTAGGTGCTGACCGCGTATGGGTCCTTAATCGTGATGGACCGGAGCTGAAAGTACAAGGCTGGCTCCTGTGCCCTCCTGGTACGGGACCTCGACATGCCGTCTTGACACCTGATGGTACGTTGACAGGCTCTCCCTTACCCTCAACAGTTAAAACACGTCATTAAGACGTGTACTCACAGAGAAACTTATATATGTCATTGGCGAGCTTTCACACAACGTAATCGCTTTTGAATTGTCTACTCTACGAGACCAGGACTTCCAGCCCATCAACGGTTTTGAGGTCAATGTCATTCCTCCGAATGTTCATCCGGGCCATCAGTTCATGATGGACTCAGCTGAGATTTCCCTACATCCCAAGATTCCGAACGTTTTATACGTCAGCAACAGATGGGAAAGGCATATCACCCAGCGCGAACCTCATCTGCAAAATGTCCATGAACAGCTACAAGGTGATGCTATCGCTGTAATCTTACTTTCAGGAAACGGCAAAGAATGTCAAGAGATCAAGCACGTGCGAACCAACCTTGACACAATCCGCGGTTTCGGACTTAGCGACGATGGCAAATTTGTCGTAGTGGCTGGACAAGAACGTGGCGGAATCGAGATATATAGCATTAGCGGCGACAGAGGTGATTTATGGACTCTTGTTGCCAGCTTGAGTGAGGGACTAGACAGCGGTATTAAACATGCAGTCTGGTTGTAGAGCTTCAGAAATTAATTACCAGCCTACAGTCTCTCACTGGATAGTAATTTGCCACATCTGATAAATTCTCTCGGCTTTTAATCAACTCTTTCGTTGTAGCTGTATTCAGTATTCGGGAGCAAATAGAGTGCATAAAGTACGTGTGTTACATTCCTAACTTTGTTCTTCAAACTGTCTTCAAGCACGATGCTGGCAAGCTGATGAACGAGTACTCCCACAGGTCCAAATCCGGTCTTTTCGTATTAGAATCCCAGGATGATTTAAGTGGCAATTACACTCGAGAAGCTACATCTCAATAGCAGAGGCTAGTCTTTGATGGGCAATGTGTTCATATTTAGAAGACTCAAACCGTGTATTTAGCTAGGTAATGTACATGTTTCTACATCCCACTGGTCAATGGAGTACACTGTCTTTAAGTACATTGCCATGTCCAAACCATACCCATGGAATATTCGTCATCGTAACGCATCTAGTGGGCCGGGGATCCGAGCTCATTCTCTTCATCCTCAAGCCTGTCGCCGAAAGCGCCGGCGATCTGCTCCAGACTCTTGCCCGCAGTCTCAGGAACAAAGAAGAAGGAGAAGATAGAGGCAGCAATACAAAAGCATCCAAAGAACAGATAAGTACCCCAACCAAGCCTGAGCTGCATCTCAGGAACAATAACACCAATGATGAAATTAGCCAACCAAACCATAGCCGTGGCAGCACTTACACCCTTTGCTCGCTTAGAACTAGGGAAAACCTCTGCAGGCAGAGTCCAAGCCAAGGGGCCGTACGATGAGGCATATGCAAGAACATAGATATCTGGAAAATGTTAGAAGAGACGACAACAATTATAAAAGATCAAAGGACTAACAAATAAGGGCCACACCAAACCAACCCATACCAGGGTTCTCAACCCACTTGCCGTTGTACTTGCTCACAATGCCCGCCATGATCATGTGAGGAATACCCATAGCAATACCTCCGAAAATGGAAAGTTTGCGACGTCCAATCTTGTCAAGGAAGAGGAAAGTGGGAATGCCGGCAACGAACTGACAGATATTGACCATACCGCTCAGAATAAGGGACATCTCGTAGTCCTGACCGAGTGCAGCGAAGAAGATGGGCGCGTAGTAGACGAAAGCGTTGATACCCGAGAACTGCTGGAAGAAAGGGATGGCCAGTGCCACAGCGGTGCGTCGGATATATTTGGGTTTGAAAAGGTCCCCCCACTGCTGGAACTCAAGGACGACAGGGTTCTTGTTGGTGGCATGATTACAGTTCAACAGCATCTCGTAAACCTCAGCTTCGCGGACAATGCCTTTCCACTCTGCTTGAACACGAGCATCAGTTGCAGGCAAGCGGCGAAGCTTCTCAAGCGCGTGTAGCGCATCCTCGTTGCGATGACGCATAGCTAGCCATCTGGGCGAGAATGGGAAAAACTGAATGCCGACGCCAACCATCAAAGCGGGGGCCATCTGTAAGAGAAAAGGGAGTCTGAAAGCCCAGTGGTTAGAGATGTCGCGGCAACCGTAAGTGATCCAGTAGGCGATAATGGCGCCAATAACGATAGAGATGGCCTCGAGGACGAGCAGGGAACCTCGCAGGTTGGGAGGGGCAATCTCTGAGATATACAGGGGGGCACCCATGGCAAGGGTACCGACACCGACGCCACCAATAGTGCGTCCAGCTACAAGAGAGCCATAGTTATGTGCCGTCGTCTGGATGATAGCGCCAGCGCAGAAGAAAATTGTAGCTACAGCAAGGCCATACTTGCGGGAATATCGGTCGGCAAGAAGTGGGAAGAACAGGCAACCGACGAAGGCGCCAAACTCGAGCATGCCAGTCATGAAACCCGTGTTGAATCCATAGCGAGAGTGGCCAGGTGCAATCTCAGGAAATGTGTCCTGGAACTGGGGCATTGTAAGGATGATGGAGATGACACCCTGATCGTAACCGAATGAGAAGCCACCAAAAGAGGCAAGGAGGGCGGCACCAAAGACATACGGTGATCGGATGATGCCAGCGAGACCGTTTGTCGTCATAGTTGATCTCAGTGTTGGTGGTGCCATCTTCTAGGTGTTCAGGACCATCGGACGCCGTGGCCTTGTCATGACTCTCATTGCCAATGTGAGCGAGACTCTTGTCATCCGCCATATTGACTACAGTATAGCAGAGAAACCTAAAGATATGACAGAGGATATTTTTGGGCGAAGAGTAGAATGAAGATGAGGATGAGGATAAGGATGAGAATGAGACAGAAAAAAAGAAAGAGGATGTTAAAGCTGAGGGTTGACAGTGGTTTATCTATGCCGCCGAGATCGATAAAATCACCTACATATAACGACACATGGCCCCTAGACATGTTCCCCACGGGGAACAAGATTCGAGACTGTTAGTCTAAACTGGGGAAATTGGAGTAACCTGGACCGGACATAATCAAGCCTAGACCGCACCTCCATCGGGCTTCTCAATTGTCAGTGCGTCGGAGATAATCACTTGTAGCTAGTGATACAACAGTGAGGAAATAAACCAAATTGTATGTCATTCTTGGCCAACCATTCGCCCGTTAAGTTGGTTGGAGTCAAGATTTCAACGTATAATCATGGCACCCAATTGTGATGGTTGAAAGACAATGTCAAGTGGGAAGAACAACCAACGTGTTGCATAGAGATCACTTGGTCTCTGAGACTCACAAGCTTAGTGAGACATTCGATACACATGAAGTAGAAAAGGGAGCCTTAGGGTATCAGAAACATTGACTTCTGGAAGCATAAGAGACGAAATTAGTAGATCACTTTATGCTTCTTAGACTATGGTTCTTTGACTACTTATTTTTACATCTAAAGACCTGGGCGGTTATTGTTTCTGTTACCCAGTAGGAGGGATCGACCACTTGTATAATTCTCAAGATAGAAACTCAGGTCTAGGAGTAGCAAGTGTATTGTGCAAACGATTGAAGTACCCCTATGTTAAGTTCACAATAACTCTCTACAGGAATCCGATCGAAGTGGGAGAAATTTAGCCTTCTCGTAGGCCCTTCACTTGAGACGTAACATCTAGTAAGTTATCTAGACATCTAGCACTCTTCCTTTTGTACAATGACGTTCCATTTGTCATCGTGAAATACCTGTCCGGATAGAAAGGGTCTGTAGCGACCTAGTTCCCAGCCCCATCTTGTGCACATTTTGCCGATAAACTCAGCGCCGTCAGCAATGACTCCAAACACATCCAAAGTCTTCGAGCTGGTGTCCTTTCGTCAAGAATATTCATTAGTTTAGTTGGATTGAATAGTTGGAGGGGTGTAACTTACATCATTGCACCACCAAATGGCGGCGTTCTGGGAGCAGCTTACCCTACCACAGGTGCCGGGGCCGGGTCCGTTCATCGGCTTCCCCTGGATGGTCCGTAGATAATCTATACTAGTAGCAATCAGAGTGGGTTCGCAATCCGGCCAGTGTTCGTTGCATTCGTATTTCGCCCGTTTGAAGCCATTCCGGTCAAAAATGTGCATGTTGGAATCTCTCTTTTCGTGGTCGGTAGTCTTGCGTGTAGAGTTGATATACTCTTCATCCCAGTTGGGGTTCATCTGGGGGAGCTTCGCAAGGACTTCCTCGATTGTTCCCTGAAGTACTGTTGTATTTACCAAAGTCATTTTAACCTCCCACTCGGGGAGCACCACTTTATATCCCTTAATGGGAGTATCTATCGCGCGGACCTAAAGGACTTGGTATTAGCATTGTGGTGAAGAATCAGCCGCGTGGATACTTACGAAGGGCAATAGGGGAACCCAGAGAAGAAGCAAGCATTGAAGATGCATATTGTAAGAGGATGTAGTTGATTTAGTATATTATTGGTTGCAAATGATGGAGGTTTGTAGGATTGCACAAGACCTGGGATATTGTCGGCTTTTAAGCTCAAATCCTACGACGCGAGATTTTGACCGCTGATTCACCTCAACATCTGAAGTGATTCAAACGAATCATGTTTACTACTCTTTTCCCAGTGCATCAGTGTTGATAAGTTTATATTTCTCGTCATGTGCTGTTGGTTCTTGTTTTTTGTCTGATTCACTTTTACTGCTTTGGTCTACAATTCGTGGTTCACGAAGTTGACTTTCAGAGTAGTCTTAGTCTCGTCTCCATGATAGTGTATACCTCGCTTCCTCGACACTAAATGTCCCAAACTACAACCGTCCGATATGTTCTGGTGGGCTCTTCGAAGATGTCTCGATTCTAAAATGTTATGTGACTGTGACTATAGACAATTGTAGAATCCCTCAAGGCCAAATCCTCAAGATAAAAACGGCGTTTAAATCGTGAAATAACATGACACATGTGTTCACTAAGGAGACAATTTAGGGTGATTATTTTAGGCCACCTTGGTTCAATGGTATGCCAATCTTTTCATCCGAGGTAAGTGTATTATTACAGTATCCATAGCCAAAATGATGTGACACTGTACTACAAAACCGAACGTCCAAATCGGTACAAGAAATCGTATTGATCATTGATCATGACACCTGCAGCGTAACGCGCGACTGTCCTCTGCTGCTATAAAAACGCTGAAGAAGGCCACGATCTAAATCCTAAGCGCAGGCCAACTTCCGAGGGGTTTATTGCAACAGTTTCATAACTCGCTAGGGTCTCGATTGCATTTTCAGCCCAGTCTCTGACGCGGGTGAAAAATTCATTTTGAGTGGTAATTTCTGCAAGAAGTTTCATCACCATATCAGACGCTATACTTCCATTGTCATCAGAAAGAGATCGGTCAACCCCAAAATCCAAAAGTGCCTGGATATCAACAAAGTTCAGACGCGTAATTACAATTTCCGCCATTCGAAAGCTAGCCCCTGTCTTACATTGAGACAAGTATTTCTGATACTCTTGACAACATTCATGAAATTTTATAATCAGTGCGTGGAGGGGGGTGCGTCCATGGTTGTCAATTGTATTGATACCCAACTGCGAGTGCTTCAAGAATACGTAGAGAAGCCGGGCATCTTTCAGCCATGTGATGTTTGAATGAAGGAAAGTTTGCCCGTTCTGGTTTCGTCGGTCCCAGTCAACTGTAAGTTGGCATTTCTGAATCGCCTGTAAATTCTTGAAATCAAATATCGGATCATGGAAGATTGTGTTGCCAAGTTCGTCCGTTATGTTGATGTCGCAACCCCAATCTTGAGAACAAAGTCGGAAACATTCGTCTGCAGGATTCGACGCTATAATGGCCTGGAGTAATTTGATGCGAGGATGCAAACTCGCACCCCACTGAGTTACCAAAAGGTTAGCGACATGTGCCTGTCCATTCTTCAATGCCAAGTGAAGTGGTGTGTCTTGAACGGATGTTTTGACGTCGGTGCTATAGTGGAACGTTTCAATGAGGTCTCGACATATAACTTCATTGCCGTATTCCGCCGCGAAATGCAGTAGTGACTTGTCTCGACCTTTCTCTGGTAACTTCATATAATACTTTGCTTCTTTGGTCAACACTGCAATACCCGTCTTTGACTTTGCCAGTATCTGGTATATATCTGTATCATGGGCTTCGTGTTTAACCGTAAAGGCCAGCTGTCTCAAATCCAAAGCTAGATGGATGGGTGTTTTGGAAAGATTGTTTCTCATGCTAACGTCGGCTCCATACCTTAGTAACACTCGAATCGTTTCCTTTTGTTTGCTCTTCACAGCCACATGAAGTGGTGTTTCTTGAAAGCGTCCCCACCTTTGATTAATGCTTCGTTTACGACTCAATCTCACGAACGGGTTTTTTGGCATTAGCCAAGCTTCTACCAAATGATAGAGTCGAACCTGGCAGGCCAGGTGGAGAAATGGCACATCTTGTGGTGGGTTATCCGGTTTGTCCCAGAACTTGTTGTATACCCACCACAACTTGTCTCTGATTTCTGAGGTCTTGCCAAAAAATACTGGATGTCTCCGAAGTAGGTCTTTGCAATCATCTTGCGACTCTGCTATATGAGATCCCCATACATCGATTGCGTATGATAGAGCAGGGGTCCTTGTTCGCGCTGCTGTTTTATTCGCGTCGTCACTACTGAAGTGCTCGCATAGAAGCGTTATCAGTCGATCAGCGATAATAGCATGGCCTTGTATGGGATTGATGACAGGTCGTAATATGGGAAGATCAACAGTACCGCTGAGTAAGAAGTCTTTCGCGCTTTGGTGTACAAACGTGGCGAATAGAGTGTGCATGTCTTGTTGGTGACCATCCATATGAACTAATTTTCGGTAGCGGTAATTTGTAGTATTTTCGCGAATGATTGTCCCGTCGTCATGATAACAGTGGCGGTAAAGCTGAAGTAAGTGTCCACATGCCTGAGCATATCCTAAGCAGACTTGTTCTGGTGTTAAGGCTTTCGTTCGCTTTACCTGGATGGCATCGCATAGCTCGGCAATTGTCAAAGGACGTTTGGCGAATAAAATCCATATCAGCATATCAGAAACAGCCCGTCTTATTTCGGGTTTAATCTGGTTGATGATTCTTTGATACAAAGGATATAGGCCTTGCGGGACGTGCGCAAGAGCATCTTCGATCTCGATGAGAGTGCTGTTCTCCAAGTCCTGAGACATGAAGCTAACCCACAGAAAAGTGCCTTCTGCACCTCTTCTGAGCGCTGTCTCAATTTGGAATTGAAGAGGGGTGTTTAGGATGTGTTTGACAGTGGCCAGATGGGCGACACGATCTGCAATGTATAGGTTTATATCGTGTTGTAGGTCGTCTAAAGCTATGTAAGGAAATGTCGAAAGTGATTCAAATATAATCTGCGGATTCTCGCGGCTAGCAATGATGAACTTGCAATTGAACGGTCTGGTGAAGCCCGAAGGATGTTGGAAGAGAGTTTTCAACTTGAATAAGAGCAGTGATAACGAGCTTTCAACGCATTCGTCGAGTCCATCGAGAACAAAGCACACCTCTTGGTCATGAAGAGCTTTCAGCATAGATATGAATATTGACCAGAGAGTTTCGAATGAGCCTGGGCTGAAGAGTGTTTCTCTTTGTATCTTCCATGGAGATAATAAGAATGGGATTAGATGATTGTGTTTCATTACCAGCTGGATCATCAGTCCACGAAGCACGCCGACAGCGTTATTTCGAGACTCTGATCTATTATCACAAAAGAACCAGATGACCGTAGCGTTGGGTTTTGATGTCTCAAGAAGTTGACTGAGGAAGATTGAGATGAATGTCTTACCCTTACCAGGTGGGCCTGCGATCCAGAGAAGCGCGGTGCGAGCAGCGTTCCAATCTTGATATTCCTTTGTTTTAGGAATCCATTCACATGTGCCGGGTGTCCTATGACCTTTTGACGTTATCAACATTTCCCTATCATTGACTGGGTCTGTAAGGAAAAGCGCCCGGACGCATTGTTCTTCATCTGTGCCAGCCTGAAAGGAGACCTTCATCACCTCCATGACCGATGTGAAATGGGCGAAACCTTCCTGATTTTGGTTTCTGAGAAGTAGTGAGTAATATGCTTTCCAGATACGATCTAGTCAAAACTGACATTTGAATCATGCCTATTTGGATGGCCAAATCAGACTTCAACCGCTCTATCCGAGCGAAAAGGTCTCGAATGTCGCCCTCCTTTGACAAAGCCATAGTTATCTTCCGAGACTTGTGACTGAAGGAATCTGCCTCCTCGAAATCAATAGAAGTGAAGGTTTTCAGTATTTCTTCGCTGACAGATTTGCATTGATTAATGATGGGTTTCAGATCGTCGCTTTGAAGTGCAGGTGTGTTCTGGATTTTCTCGACAACCTTGGAGAGGCTGGTAACCTCATTTTGCCACCCTTCAATCTCTTTAGGCGTGTCTTTGAACTTTCCGCGGAACTTCTTGAACAATCCGACGATTTTGATACTTTGTTCAATGAACTGGCCGCTGGCAGCCACGAGCCCAACGACTTCCGACATCGTTGAAGTTACCCCAAATATTTACGAATGGTGTGAATTAATTCACGAGATACTTTTGCTGAATTGTTGATCTGCTGACAAGCATCGGTTGACTGCTGTGTCCCTAGTGTGTAAGAGTCACAAGAGCGGAACTCATTCAAGAGTATTCCAGATTATAGTACAGCGCAGATATTTTTGAATACTATTTCCAGTAAAATAATTAAAGCTTTGCTATGAGGCTTAGACTGCCCAGATTTTGAAGTGGCTTGAAAGCTGACAGGCGACTGGATAAGTAACATCCTAGCCCTGGTATCCAGAGACTTGTTCATTACTACGTCAGTCAGGCCATGATCTGATTTTTAGGCATCAGCCTAATTGTGGCCATCTTAGTGGGTAGCAGAAACAATGGCCTCCAAGGTCCTAGGAGACAAAAATAAGTAGTCTAAAACCCATATTTTAAGGAACATAAACTGACCTAATAATTTCGTCTCTTATGTTTCCAGTGATCAATTTTTTTGATACCCATTGTATCAATTCCGCCTTGAAAGCAATATCGTGTTGGTTGCTAGTGGATGCTTAATCCCTGCAGAGTTGGCAACCAGCAACAACATGTGGACCAAAAACAGCCTCACTGTATAAGATAACCGATATCTTTCACTGAGCCAAGGTGGAACAACAATGTTGCGGCTAACCGTTTACGCTTGAAGTTATAGTTGGACGGGATGATTGTGGCACAGCCTGGAAGGATAAGAAGTCATGCACCTGATTACGACGATTGTCACCCACGTGAACCGTAGATTGTGAAGTTGTTTTTGCCCACAAGCCGGGCTACACGAGAGGATCGAAAGCCGCCACCATTAACAAATGCAGAAATATTATCTTCTTCATGATAGCACTGATGATATTGTTGATTCCTCAAATTAACCCAGACACTACAGCCCAAATTCAAAGCAGACAGATATTCGAGACTCAACACGGCTTTGATCAGTGACCACTGATCAGGCGCAAGAAAATGCCGCTGCGTTAATAAAAACTACAAGTTTGCAAACTTGGGCCCGAGCACGCACGCTTAAACCACGACATCTATACATGATCGCCACTGGAGGGGGGTAAAAAGTCCCATCGTGAAGGATACAAGTCTTCGAAAGTTCAGATGCTGCTATTGTTTCTCCCATAAGGTGCATCGTTGCAGCTTTCCTGGAGAACCGGTCGAACCCTTGCCAAATAAGGTCCAGCCTTCTGCTTTGTTGGCTTTGCCTTTATCTATTTTATGATCGGCATATTTTCCACGATTTTGACAGAGATGGAATCTGCTATTCTTCACATTGGCGTTGAACCGACTACTACTTGATTCGATTTCTCTCAAGGTCTCTAGTCTTTGCCATGGGTTATAACTAATTTTTCGGCTATTCAATCCTTGTTCCGTTCGAGATAACAGTATCTGTTCTTGATATTTACTACTGGAACCCCCAGTTCACGATGCTGTCTTTCTTATAGTTTCACTGCTTACATTAGGATCTTGTTGCTTGCCATTGTATTTTTTTTTTCATAAACATTGGAAAGCTCGCCATGAGATGTTGATGACGACGTTGAGGAAGATGGACTTATCTCTCCTATCTGTAATCGATGCGGTCCATCTTCAAACTGACGTAGCCGACGAATAATTGGATCAAGGCAAGAAGGGCTGAGCTTTTATCACTAGGGATCGTTCGTATAACGGTTCGAAGCCTGGTATCAAATATATATGCCGCTTAGTTTAGACCCATATCGTAGGTAATCCCAGTTCCAATCTCTAGTCTTGGACCCCTGTATAATAAGCTAAGGTAGACTCGCTAGTATACTTTCCCCGCACCAAATGTCCACTTGAATTCCGGAGTCCGAACTCAGGTTGACAGTCCCATCAAAATCATCATCAAAATAGGCTTTGGATTTATCAACGCTCTTAAATCCCTCGTAAAGATCCCTCCAGTGACGAATTGGGGGAACAAAAATCTGATGTCACCATGCCCACACCTGGAAAACGTTCCCGTCAAGGTAAGTGCGCGGCCCTGGCTCCAGCGTCTGTTGGATCCAGCGGGACAACGCTGATATGGAGGGCACAGGCTGCCTGACGTGCAGGACTCGGCACCGGAAATGTGACGAAGAAAGGCCCATTTGCAAGATGTGCCAAAAGACTGGCCGGAAATGCGAGTACGGCAGCGGCATTCGATGGTCATCAACAAATGTATCAAGTCGCGTGCATTCTGGAGGTGTGGAGAAAATTACTTCAATTGAGAAGCAATCGAAGCGTAAAGGTATGAGCGCGAAAGGGTTGACTTCTCCAACAAGTCAGGACCGACAAAGAACACCCGCATTCAATGTGTTTTCAGTCGAGGAGATTAACCGGGGTAACACTAACACCCAATTTCTTGACACGGGACCAGCACAGATACAAAGAACAACGTGGGAAGACCCAGGCCCGTCTGCTCATAACCGCCTTCCTTTTGATGGGGCTGACTTCATTTGGAACGAACTGTTCTCAGACCAACAATTCCTGGATCCGATCGATTCGACTTTTGGCATGGACCACGAGATAGCATCCAGAGACGATGACATGCCGTTGATCCAGTGGCAGGATGAGGATCTGCCGGAAACGTTCCCCAGCGTAGATGCTTCCTCAACAGGAATCCTCTTTCATAAGACCAAAACCCAACATGTGCGGCCAATAGTGTCTCCCCAGCTAGGCCCATGGCTTTCTGCGACTCTTGGGTCTTCAAGCGAAGAACTGGCATTCAATCACTGTAAGTTACTCCTTCTTGTTTTGTTTTCCACTGCATAACTAATTACATGCCTATAGACCTGAACGATGCCTCCACTCGTATCCCAGCCTTTGATGGACCCAAGAATCCCTACCGAAAGCTTTGTTTAGTCTCCATCTCTTACCCTTTGCTCTTGCACACCATTCTCTACGTTTCCACTGTCAGCATGTACAACCATGGAGAAGCCGACGGTGAAACTGTCACGAGTCGTCGCACTCAGGCTTTGCTGTTGCTTCAAAACGCTGCAAAGCTGCTCGAGACCCAGAGAGAAAATGGGAGCCACAAGTGGATCGATCAACACCAGTCGCTTTCTGTACTGTCGCTACGAGAAGTAACCTTGGCAGCCTACCTGATGTATATCGTCATCGAGGTCATGATGGGCAGTCAAAAGACTGAGGCTCACCTTGAAGCCGCATTTTCTTTAATGTTGGAGCTCGACTATGTTGATCATCTACCCCAAGGATTCTACTCTAGATTCCTTGTTCAGAGATTCGCAATGATCGATGTAGTCTTGTCATTTCTAAGACGTCGCAGACCGCTGGCACCACAGAACTTTGTTTTATATCATACCGTGGACGAGATGGATGAGCAAGAATCATCTTTCCGAGAACTAACAGGCTGTCCGCAAGCAGTTCTCTCTTTTCTAGCGAGAATCTCAAACCTAGCTAGTTCCAATGACGCGGCACAGACTGCAGAGGCATACCAATTAGAGAGTGAGATGAGATTATGGGGTAGTCTTAGGTATCCTGGCCCTTACAGTGACCCTGACCTGGTGGGTATACTTCAAGACGAAGAACCAACAGCCGAGAATACACGCAACAAGCAGCTCGATATACTGAGTGAGTGCTTCTACTGGGTTGCTCATCTCCTGCTCGCACGAAGGGTCTTTCTGGATCCCACAGATTCACCGCGGGTGCAACTTTACAGGAAACATTTGTTCCTACTTATGGACCGACTTCCTGCTGGTTGTGGACCAGATTCATCCTTGCCTTTTCCTTTCTATATAGCAGCTCGCGAAGCAATCAACAGCCATGATAGGGATTGGGTTCGCCAGAAGCACACGGAAATGCTCCACAAATATCCGGATCAATCGAGAGAGTTGATGATGCGTTTGACTGAAGAGATCTGGAGCAAACATGATGGTTATGGTGAAACTACGATACAGGACCCTATGTGCGTTTGGGTTAGTGATGATATATACATTGGTGTATTGGATTCGCAGGCATCTCATTTCTTGTTTTGATAACAGGAATCGGCAATACGGTATAACCAGCTTCCCAGTACTACAATAAAAACTTTTAACCGATGTTTCACGAGAAGCAGTTCAATGCGTATCGCAAATCATCCCGGTCGCGAGATAATTCTTACCCTATGGTTGGATATTTGGGAAAGCTAAAATTATTTCTACGCTAACCCATAAGGGAAGTGCGACTCGCAGTGGATTCCAATAGTGGAAATTAAGTGTAAACCATTAGTTGCTAAGCAGCCATGGTATGAATACCGTACTCAACTAGTGTGGAGGCTGCATCTCGACTGTACCGGGAGACACACGCCCGAGAGACGAGATTCGGGTCCGGTTAACTACGAGCTATAACTAAAATGTAAAAATGCCTCACAGGTAGATAGTCGACGAAAGTTTTATGATAAAAATCAGCATCATCTCACTCTACTAGTCTAGTTCCTCCCACACGATTATCATCTGGCGTTGATAGTGATATTGTCTCCAAACCAAACCTCCCTCATTATTCGCTTTTCACTCCTATCGACATTCATCTCGCGATGCTACAAACTTCGCCCCATGATGGTCAATTCTTGGACCTCAAGGACACCTCTCTATTCCATCAAGCATCATATGTCCATGGGGAATGGGTTCAAGCAGCCTCGAGCAAAACGTTTGAAGTCACAGACCCTGGGACAGGTCGAGCCTGGGCTACTTGCCGAAACAACGGCCCTGCAGATGTCGATAAGGCCATTCGATCATCGCAGAAAGGCTTCCTTGAGCACTCAGCTTTGACTGCTCGTAAGAGGGCGCAGCTACTTATGGAGTGGCACCGTCTGGTAACAGAGGCTCGCGACGACCTTGCTAAACTTCTCACATACGAGACTGGAAAGCCCTTATCTGAAGCTTACGGAGAAGTTGATTACTCCCTGGGGTTCTTATGGTGGTTTGCAGGCGAGGCCGAACGTATTACTGGTTCTATTGGCTCGTCAGCTATCCAGAACCGAAGGGTTCTTGTTATTAAGCAACCTATCGGTGTGGCTGTTGCTCTTGTCCCTTGGAACTTCCCTGTCGCTATGATCCTTAGGAAAGCTGGAGCAGCCCTCGCCGCAGGCTGTTCAATGATAGTCAAGCCCTCCCCTGAAACCCCCTTGTCCTGCCTGGCCCTTGCAGACCTAGCAACCCGTGCTGGTTTTGGTCCTGGAGTCTTCAACATCTTGACAACTTCCTTGGATAATACCCCGGTACTTGCTGAGGCCATGTGTACCCATGAGTATGTGCAAAAAGTAACCTTTACCGGCAGCACAAGGGTTGGCAAGATTGTAGCTGGAATCTGTGCAAGAAACCTCAAGAAATGCACGATGGAACTTGGTGGAAATTGCCCGTTTAGTGTCTTTGATGATGCAGACGTTGAGCAGGCTGTGACCCAGCTTATGGCTCTGAAATGGCGGAATGCAGGTCAAGCCTGTATTACTGCCAATCGAGTCTACGTCCAAGCTGGGGTTTACGACAAATTCGCCGAGATATTCACTGCCAAGTCACGCGAGCTTAAAGTCGGTCACGGAATTGATCCTGCAACAACCTTTGGTGCTGTAACTACGCCTGCAGGGTTAGAGAAGGCCGAATCCCAAGTGCAAGATGCTTTGCAGCATGGTGCCCAGTTGACAACAGGATCTGGAAAGCCATTCAATGGCCAGTTCATGAACCCTGTTGTCCTTACGGGCATGACCCAAGATATGAAGATGAGCCACGAGGAGACCTTTGGTCCTGTTTGCGGTCTCTTCAAATTTTACACCGAGGAGGAAGCACTCAGCTGGGCCAACAATACTAGTCTGGGTCTTGCAAGCTATGCTTTCACCAAAAATGTGGATAGACTCTGGAGGCTCTTTGAAAAATTGAAAGCTGGAATGATTGGTCTGGTAAGTTGACGATTCCATTTATTGGCGATGATGGTGAGCTGATATATTTCGTGTCGAACACTGGAAATGGAGCCTCGGCTGAGAGCCCTTTTGGTGGTATCAAGCAATCTGGCTATGGTAAAGAGAGCGAGAAAGACGTTGCTATTTCTGAGTATCTGATTGAGAAGACTGGGACTTTAACGGTCAAGCAAGGACTCATATTATAATTTATTATAGATAAATTAGTGGTAAAAAGTGTGTAACCGTCAATTGCTTCGTTTTAATCGTTACAAATAACATCTCCCAGTGATGAAATATGTATCTTAAGCCGATAAAATGAAATAGAAAAATAAGACTGAACATGATTCGATGTCTTTTTGGACGTCATTGTATGTGTTTCTTAGGCAGTTCTGACGAAAGTATCATGTTGAGTCGCTGGTGCTACTAGGCTATGGAAAATGCAATTGAAAGCACTCGTGACTTCTGTGTGAGAGGATCTTTTCGTCAAGGCTACCACGCTTCCGATATGGTCGGCTACCGTCAAGCTACATGCTTATTCTCATTGACCGTTTCTATACCTGAAAATGCGGTAAGGTCTCCAGTGCTAAACTGCGACTCCCATTTCCCAAAACGGAAATGCGAGACGCACCGGTTGTTATGCCGGCTCGGCCTTATCCCCACTCCCTACACCGGACCAATCCTCCGAACTTCTATCTTGACTTCAATTATAAGCTACAATCATTCCTACACAGCAAAAACGTAACTGCAGTATAACAAGCAGACAATCATTCGCCTCTCAACTTGAGTTCATCAGCATAATCTGTAATAATGACACTTTCCGCAACCAACCCTGGAGACGCCCCGACAACCTCGACAAAGCTGGTTCTTGCCGAGAAGACACAGAAATATGTCAATGATTGGAGCCAATATATCAGAGGTGGCTTCCCTACCTTGCCTGTAAGGTATTCTGGTACCCCAGGTTGATCCCTGCTGATATATTGTGTATGATAGATTGCGGTCGAGTCAACTCATGGCCACATCATCACCGATGTTGATGGGAAAGATTATATCGACTTCATTGGGCAGATGGCCGTCATGAACTTTGGATATTCTAACCCTAAAATTGCCAAAGCTGTTGCAGACCAGGTCTTCAAATTTCCTCTGACTGGTACGTATCATATCAGTCCTCTGTATACTGAGTTTGCCAAGCGTGTGACCCAGGTGAGACCCAAGTGTCTGATGCAATGGAGATATAGCTTACGATTGACTACTTAGAAATTTGGATTTGACTCTATCATTACTATGCTCAGTGGTTCTGAGGCGGTCGAATCTGCTGTCAAAATTGCACGAAAGTGGGCATATCTCCACAAGGGAATCACCCAGGACAGGGCTCACGTCTTGACCGTTGACCAATGTTATCATGGTCTGACCCTCTCCACCATGCCCATGGCTACTGTCGCAGCAAAGCGCAAGTAACGTCCTACATAGTTCCTGAGACATGACGCTGACAGAAAAACAGATTTTGGACAACACCTACCTAATCTCGGCCCGTATGCTCCTACCAGCAAGAAGCTCATTCCTTTTGGCAATATCCAAGCTCTCACAGAATGCTTCGAGCAAGACGCCCAAAACCTTGCTGCATTCATCGTAGAGCCTGTTCAAGGCTGGGCAGGGTAAGTCTTTTCATGCAAATGTCCAGTGCGAATGGAAGTTAACCAACTTGAAGCACTATCGTGCCTCCAGTGGGCTACCTCAAGGCTGTTCAAGCTCTCTGCAGAAAGCACAATGTTTTGCTTATTTGTGACGAGATCCAAGCTGGATATGGTAGAACTGGCAAAGATCTGTCATTTCAACATGAACCAGAGCTAGAGCCCGACATGGTAATCATGGGCAAGGCTGTTACTGGGGGTAAGTTCCTCCAACCAAATTTAACTTAAACACAATACTGATATAAGCAGGCTACTATCCCATGTCTGTCGTCATGGGCAAAAAGTACGTCATGGATCTCATTCAAAAGAACGAGATTCTTTCTACTTTCGGTGCCTCCCCAATCGCTTGTGCTGCTGCTTTGGCTTCTCTAGATGTTCTCGAAGAGGAAAGGATTTCTGAGAGATCTGAAAGATTAGGAGAAGTGTTGAAGCAGACTATCAAGTCCCTAAACCCTCCCCATGTCAAAGAGTTGAGAGGTACTGCGCTTTTTCAATCTCTGGTTCTTGACTGCTCGGTTCCAGGAGTAACACCTCGTCGTGTTTCGGCTCTTGCCATGCACCGAGGTGTGCTTGTGGGTATCGGTGCAGACCGCCTACGGTTCAGTCCGCCTTTGACTATTTCTGAAGAGGATCTGGTAAAGGCTGTGACGGTTGTCGCTCAGGCTCTAAAGGACGTGACTGAAATGGGAGATTTCCCAGGTAGTGAGTTTATGAACTAGGCAGTATTATCCGAGAACGTTTCTCACTAGACAAGTGACATATTAGCTCTGCGCAACAGGGCCAACTTGTAATTTCATATTGAATACATGGACAACGGTGTATACGTATTTGTTCCAAAGATTCTCACACCGAGTAGTGGCATATCGGTATGTCTTACCTGAAGAGACTTGTTCGCTGCTATATCAGCCACGCTATAATCTATCTGATGTGTACACAGGATCCTAGGTACACAATGACGATGTACTAAAATTCCGGCTTAATGTCAACATTGTGTTGGTTGACAGTGGATGCTCAGCAGCTACAAGGGGCTTGGCGTGCTGGACCAACAAAAGCCTCAATACTGCAGCTAACCGGTTATGATTGAACTTAGTGTTAGACCACAAGGGCAGAGTGGATTGATTGCTGGTTATGGCACGGCCCGAAAGTCTAAGACGCTAGACTCGTCAGCCAAGGCAATGGGGCGATGCACCTTCACGGCAATACCAAGACCGCTACACATGTCGTATGATCAGGGCCAAGGGTATCCGCTGACGTCAACTGTCACTCACGTGAACGGCTGGCTATAGATTTGTTTCTGCCTACAAACTGGCCCAGCCATCTCGTAAAATACAAAAAAAAACTACATTTTCTTAATACAAAATCGATACTTGTTCACACTACATCAATGGATTAAAAATTAAGAATCAACCACTATACGAGATACTATCACATTAATCATACAAGCATGGGTTTATCGGACGTCATTATTTCTATGCTCGGTGAACCCCTTCTGCCTCCAGCACCGCCGACCGACGCCAAAAAAGAAACAAAGCAGCAGTCTGGGCCAGTAGGCCGATTTCTTGGTAATAAACCACCTCGGCAAGTTGATACTAGTAGGAAGTCTACATCTGGGGAGAAGGATGCCCCAAAATGATGTGTTTCGTTGTCTGCCTCCTCAAAACGGCGTTTTCAACCTGCTCTGGCAGATACACAGCTCCATTCGCCGTAAGTATCCATGTATCCTCCCTACATTTGGTTTTCATCAATAATAGTGTTTTTTAGGCTAGATATCTTAGGAAACTAGGACGAGACAATGAGGAAACACACAGGGAAATATTCGATAAGACCAGTTGTGGAACGGCATATTCAGCACAGAGACAATTATAGATGAGTCCTTAACTATGACTATTAATGCTCCTGGTCGTGCAAGGCTCTACCAAGTTCTTAGATACATGCTAGTAGGCATCAGAAAAAATGGCCTCCTACGTCTTACGGTGTAGAAATAAGTAGTCTAAGAACCATAGTCTAAGGAGCATAAAGCGACCTACTAATTTCATCTCTTATACTTTCAGCGACAATCTTTCTTATACCCTGAGGACATGAACATATAGTAATGCATGATCTATTGTTGTAGATCACAATCTCTGCTGCTGCCAGTATTTGGGTCCAGAGTTCTGCTTGCACACTGTCCTGTAAAAACGAAGGTTGATATCTTGACTAGGATGAAATGTACCTTCTCTCGATCCATGATTAAAGAAGTCAGAATAGAATGGAGACGGAGATCTTTGATGTGGACAAGGCTTAGGCTTCAGCCTTGTGATAGATCGTACTGGGATGGTCTTGCTTTCGATAGTAGCCGGCATTGTTTTGTCTGGGATCTGTGAAAGCGGTTAGCAATGTGCAACAAGATATGGACCGGGATTGGCCGACTTGGTCTTGGACGAGTGGTAGGTTGAGATTAAAAGAGGGAGATGTTGCTGCTGTCTTGACGGGTTGACAGAAGATTCTTATATAAGTCATAGACATTATGGAGTTTAAGTAGCTGCAGTATAAGTAATGACTTTGTTAGAAAACCTAGCTTTGAAGAACCTTGAATTTGAAGATTTATTACAAATTTAAATTACATAAATAGATTTATTTCCTTGTTTTCGTTGTTTTGTTCACAATGACGGGAGAGTGACTGCCATCTGTTCCGAGCTTAAATATCGATATAAGTTTTAGATCTGATATTAAGCCTTGTGGCATTACTGTTGCCACTATTGTTCGCGCACTATTGCATTGTTGATTTTCACTGTTAAGCTTATACCTCCTTCGATATTATCAGCAATTTAACCACGAATGGATTAACCTTTATTAAGAACTTGACGGTTACAGAGAAGACCTGTACGAAAGCACAAGACGTAGAAAAACTTCAATACATCGTACTGGGGTAAATACTAAAACGTCGTTCTATGTCAAAGTCCCTTGATATCTGAGTTTCTAATCACAAGATTGCAATCATGGCAGTCATTGCGACTGTAGTATAGAACAGCTTCGTAATCTGCCTGGAAGTCTTCGCCGCAGCACCTAACTGCGCCCAGGTCTTACACTCCCCATCCCTATCTCCACTTAGAACAGCAAAACTCTTGATCGGATAATTGACTCCCTGACACTCCCCATCCTCGTCAGTCTGACAATCGACCTCATACCAAGGGTACTCATAATTATCAACACCCTTCACTTCAGTCTCACAGTTGAGATGGGGATAAGCCCAAAGCACCCACGATGACATCTTGCCAACGTCCCCTCCAGGTAGCTCATAGCGAATTTGAGTGTAGTTTGAACTAGAATCGAAGTCGTTTTGCTGAAGATGAAAGCTAATATTGGAGGTTGGGTCTTCCCATGGTGCGAGGGCCTTTTGATAGCCTGAGATCGTTTTGTTACCGAGCGAAAATGTGTCGGTGAGGTTGAAGCATATGAGTTCTGAAGGGGTGTCGCGGGTTGTCAGGACAGGTGCTTTTGTGTCGCTTGACTCGCAGTCTTGGTCGTCTCTGAAGAAATGGACTGTCAAGTTTCCAGGGCTTCGTCGCCAGTTAGCAAAGGATCTCAATTGTTTGATGGTCAGGTCTGTACATACCCACCTATACTCTGCGCTGAGACAAGAGACAGGACTGTAGCGAGACGTAGTGGTGGTAGAAGCATATCGTGTATCAAGTCGGAGTTAATCTTAGTGGTAGTGGTACTGTGCCTGCAAAAGAAATGGGGTTGACCTCACAGCCTGCGATGTTTTATGGAAATAAATTGACTATCTATCAAGTTTCTCTCCAAACGTCATAACCTGCAGCGACAAGGTACGGCCAACACGGCGCTGGCACGACTTGAACTCACTGACATTGCGCCAAGGTTAAGCTTAGACGTGGAGCCAACAGGATCGGCATCGCGAATACAACATCAGCCCCAAATTCACCGGACGATCAACAAGATAATCCCTGTTATGGAGTGACAATTGGTCAGCTCACAAGTGGTGACGTGTCATGCGGTACGAGAATAAAACTACAGCGAATTTGATGGAGGTCGGAAATAACACAGCTTGAACTTACAAGAAGCAAGGCAAGGAGCATCGTGGCTCCACGTGGCAATAATTGGACAATTGATAACATACGATATGGACATCTACTGTAACATCGACATTGCAGTAAAGGCTTGTAGGATGTGATTGTGATCGAATAATAATCTGGTGTAGATATTGCAAGTCCAATATGTCCTCCTTCTCCTTTCTGAAAAGAGAATTGCGGTTCAAATCCTTACAGTGCCATTATATGGCGCCATTACATCCATCAACCCTTCAGTCATCTTGTCAGGGAATAATGCTTTGTCATCCCTTCCATTACATTTGTTCTTGGGTGACTTGTATTCTATATACTCGCAAAGACCCCTGCATTTCTTCAGATAATTATTGTTCCGCATCTGTTCTCTAAGAAAGCATCCCTTTTCACACTCCCTCGCTTCGCAAAATAGTTAGCATATAACTTCATGATTCCCGAGGCTCATCATCACCTACTGGTGTTGAATAGCTTTTGACTCGTAGGATCTTCGCCGTCTTCGCACTTTGGAACATCGCGGCGATTGAGTTGAGGGCCTGCAAGGACGGCCATGATGTTGAAGGCGAGGGGAGTGAGTGAAATTTTCATTTTGGATAATTAATTGAGTTGTAGCAATTGAGTTTGCTGGTAGACAAATGTGAATATCTTGACGATGAACTTGTTAGTGGATCAAGGTTGGAACAGGAAGAAGTCACTGTTGTCTGTGCGGCTCGACAGAAGTTTCTTTTTTAACCGACATATACAGTTCTGAGCTGCCCTAAGTGTCACGTTGATGCTGTAAATTTAGTCTTCAGAGTACTTTTGATTGGAAGATCTGTTGAAGATTTGTTGAAAAATTGATTTTTGTGGACGGGTTAACCATTGCTGAGAACCTTGAAGAAAATGAGAAGGCTTGGACAAAAGTTGACGAATCATGAAGAGAAAACAAGAGTCTTCAAAACGTCATTGATGTTGGTTGCTGTAGCAGTGTTTCCCACATGATAAGCAATTCGAGACCTCAATCTCTGTATTAGGTTCATATTGGGGAGAAGCTATAAGTATGGGAACAAACGAGCCCCAGTCTGTGGACGCGGTTCGGACATTTCCGAATGGATATCTTACAGGGTAGGATACCAATATCTGTTGAACCAATATCATACTAGATATTGATATCGATGATTTACTGAATAAGAAGTCAACAGGCTCCATTGAAGAAAGACATTGAGTCGACACTGTCATTGATCCCTTCTCCGGTGGCGCTCGTACTGAGTATATCGGCATTTCAGTTGCTCGCGACGCAGTATGTGTTGCATAGATCAGGGTCAAACAGTTCGTATAGACTACTGGTGGTGCTCGGACTGGTGATACTAGGTATTAGTGGGCCAAACATGGTATGCTAACAAAGGGATGACGGGTTATGTAGATGAGGATGAGAAGTAGGAGTATATCCCAAGATGTATTTGGTTTGACGCCGCTCTTAAGGATGGTACGGATAGTGCTTCGATGGAATTTGACACTACCTCGTACGGCAAGACAATCAAGGATACTGCCGACAACAAGGATGCCTGCAGGTACACTTTGTGAGGCGAAGACAATGCTCTCATCTCACATACAGCAGGACAACAGAACCGTAAATGCATTGAAAAATAGTGCACAGGATTACTCCGATATATTGGCCGGCACATTCCTCTACCGTAAGCATACATCAAATTCATCACCGTTTGCGTGCAAGGAGTGGGGTGAGATGACCACCAGAATGGTATTATTCTGAAGGTTTTATTAGTTTCCATTGGCTTTGAGTCCGATGAGATTGGCGCTAATGGTGATGATTTTGAAGGTTGCTTACGTTACTTTGAACACCACGGAGGACCTTTAGAAGGCTATAAAGGCTAGATTAAGAAGCAAAGATTAGTTTCGATATGACGTGGTCAGGCAAAACAGCGACTATTCGTAAAGTTCACTAATTCGCGATTTCTTAAAGGAGTCTAGTAAGCGAATATTAACGTGTAGAATAAGAGCTTTGATTTAATATAGCTACTATTCAATTCCGGTGCTTTATGAATAATTACTTGAAAGTGAAGTTGAGTGGCGAGATCATCTGCTAACTAGTACTAGGTCTAAAAGCAATAGTTTCGGCACTAAAGTGATAGTCTACTCTACTTAACCAATAACCTACTAACTAGAACAAACTTGTTTAAATGAATCAAAAGAAAGGGGGGTTTAATATTACAACTGGGAATTTTAACTTAAAACGCTCTCCCCAGTACACAAGACAAGGCCTTTCCTATTACACTTAGTTCTTACATTATTGTCCAGAGTCTAACAATACCATGAGACTTTCATACCCAGCCATTCAGCTTCTGGCACTTTGCCGATTTGCTTCAGCTTCACCATGCAAGCCCTCATCTTTGTCGAGTGACTCTGTCATGCCTACAAGCACTGATATCGAATTATCAGCAACGCTATCAACAGCAATAGCCACATCTACCACTGTAGACCACAGCGTGACAGTTTCCGAGACCGAATCAACCTCCGGCTTGACTGAGTCCAGCGCTCCAGTGTCAACTTCGATTGCTGAGCCAACGACCACAGCTGAAGCAACAGCAGACGTATCAGCTTCAGTGGATGTAACGACAACCACCACTACTGCCCCTAGCAGCGATGTCGAGACTACCATCGCTGGAGAAACTACAACCTCTGTAGAGGCTACCACCACAGGTATAACTACCACCACCATCACTATTCCCATCAATACTAATAAACGCCGCAGACATCACGGCTGCCACAACAACCGCAGACACAACCCCAGATAGCCCAACGACTACGAGCGAAGTCCCAAAGCCGACCAACTGTGCTGATTTAAATAGCCCATACACAGACACCGGCGGCCTCAGTTACAGCATCTCCTGCAATGTTGATGTAAGCAGTTACTCTATATCCAGTCTGATCTCTGGTGTATCTAATTTCGTCGCTTGTATCGAGGCTTGCTCGCCAGAGACTGACTGCGTTGCTGCAAACTATGACAAGGGCAGTCGCCTCTGCTATCTACTTTCAGTGGCTGAAGCACCATATGATACCCCTTTCTATGACACTGCATATAAGCAAGCTCAATAAATCTAATTGAAAAACTGGAATAAAGCTGGACCGGATCAGAGGTGGTAGAACTCTTGTTGTGACTGATCTGTCTTGTAATAAGTGCGTATAGCTCTGACACTGCTGTAGTCACTGCAAGCGGCACGCTCAGGAAGAGAAGAGAAAAATGAGAGACCATCTTGGATTGCTACCTGACGAATGACTAGGACTCCTTGGAGGTTATGAGATGAAATGGTCGAGAGACAAGAGTTCTTCAAGATTAATTACTTGTTTAAATATGATTGCCAGAGCATGGTGGCACACAAACTTGACAATCTTGGACTGGCGGCATGGGATCAGAGCGGTACTTCGTTATATGCCTCGTAGGATTACCATATCCACAACACCTACCTGATTCATTTAGAAATGGAGTATAACCTAATTCCGTTAAGCCATCGTGACTGAGTCTGATTGACTGAAGTTCAAATTGTATATTGCCTCAGGAAGAGGATCCTAGGCTAGCTCAACTCCCAAAGCCCTATGATTCTATACAATTGGTCTTTCAAATGCGGCCACTGGCTCAGCCCTGTACTAGAAGATGTTTCGGGCACCCGTTGAGATCGTCTTAGCTGGTCTTGGCTTTCCACCCATCGATGCTGGTGAGATTTTAGCTGTTTGAGATGATTGACTAGTCGTATGACACGCACGATAGGACTTGACAAGGAACTTCCAACCTTGTTTTCCGGTAACGATTCATGAACTTTTTATCTATGTATTTATACTTTGGCGTATGCTTCCCCAAGATTCCTCCCGGTTTTCAATTCACATCAAAATCAGCGACGTCAAGGTCTTCTCAAGACTTTGTTTAACCTGTCTGTGTAAACATAGCCTATAGCTATAAGCAGGCTTATTTGTCGATGATTTAATCTCCCCAGCTGGATATGATGGCCTCCAGGGCGGCAGATTCTAGATCACCCTGGCTTATGTCGGAATGGTCAGTACCAGTGTCCTCATGGTCATGATTGTAATATCTGTCGCCGTACGCTTCTGGCAAGAATACCTCAGTGGAATAGCTATGTGTCGTCTTCAATCGTCCATCGCCACCAAGATCCGAGTCCGTCGACCCGCGAACAACGACGAGCAAAAAACATAGGAGATTGTTCTAGAAATCTATTTTGTTCCAGGAGCAATCGTTCCTGCCGATTGTCTTATTCTCGAATCATCGTATCTCAGGACTAGCCAATCTGCTTGGACTGGTGAAAGCGAGTCTATTTTCAAGAAAGCAGGTCCACATGACTCGAAAGAAGTATTTTATATCTTTGACTATGGAAACGTGGCGCTCACGGGTACTAACGTTGTGCCTGGTCATGGAGTTGGTCTTGTACTCCGAACGGGCGATGGTAAGTCACTATTTTTCGTGCATTAGTAGTTTACTGACGTTATTAGATGTCATGATTGCGACCATAATTAAAGAGATTGAGAAAAAGCGACAGCCCAATGCCTTTCAAAAAGGTATTGTCAATGTATCGTGGATGCTTATTGGGTTTATGGCTGTCATAGGTCCTGTTGGAAGTGTTTCCTAATTTCTCGTTAATTCCTCCCTAGCTGTGTCAAGGTTTTGGTTATCTCGCACAAGACCACAGTAGACTGGAAGAATGCAGCGCTGTTCAGCATTAGTGTCGATGTCGGTCTTGTTCCCGAAACGCCTCCAGCCATTATTAACGCGAACCTCGCTCGAGCCGCTCCCCAGCTTTCCAAAAAGCAGGCTATCGTAAAGCGTCTTGACTCGGTTCAGAACCTCGGCGCTATAACTGTTCTGTGCAGCGACAAGGCAAGTACTTGGTGAATCACGCTGTAAATCACGACAAAAGCTAATGGGTTATTAGACAGGAACTATCACAGAGGATGAACTATCCGTCCATAACTATATCAACACCGACAGAGAGAAGACTGTCAAAGTAAACGAACTTGTAAAAGTCGACTCTCAAATTCAAGGCAACAGCGCAAACAATATGGATAAAGCCATGCTTAACTTTCGCCTACTAGACGGAGCCGACGTCGTAATAGCTCATTACGATAAAGTCCGTGCCATCCCATTCGACTTCGAGCGTCGTCGATCAGGGTGCGTTATTCGTGGTATTACGGGACAAAATCTACTCGTTGTCAAGGGTGCTTTTGAAGAAGTTCTTTCTCGTTATTCGTCAATGAGATCTCATGGTAAGAGTGACCACTTGAGCCATGAGCGACAACAGCATTGGAGAGAGATGGCTACGCAGATGAACATGGAAGGTTATTGTGTTCTCCTCGTCGCTGGTAGACCACTAAGAAAGTCATTTGTCGATGATGTGGATATACTTGTAAACCAAGGATTGCAGAGTAATGCTTGACTAATGGTCCAGTAATTTACGGGCACCACATTGACATAAAACGTACAGGGTTTACGGAGTTTTATATCCGGGTACCTGGCCTATCATGCACAAAAGACTCATGTTGGAATAAGCACTAAGACTCAGCTGAGACTTCTGACGTCTTTAACTAGCGGAAATAAGTATGGGTTGTTGAAGGATCGCCCGCTAGGGATCCTTCCTGTCCATCCGTAGTGGAGTTGCATTGACTAAAGTGGGCATTAACGAACCTGGGGTATGACTCGGTTGGGATGTTTTCCGTCTTAAACCCGGATTTTGCATCGTGATCTGTACTTGGCAATGCGATCTTGTGAACGTAAATCTGCAATATATATGGCATTTTCTATATATCTTTGAACCCTGTAATTAAAATGGTTATGTATTATTCTTTAAAAAGCTTACCGACTATAACATCTGTACAGCTCGTGTTGTAATAAAGCTCTCAGATCCCATATCCCATATCAACTGCAGTTTTAAGGCTAGCGTTGTTGGTTAGATCCGTAGATCAATCTTGAGGCATATTAGCTCTGACAATCTAGCACGCCTTACGGATACGGTCCACTCTTTTCCAGTCCCCCTTTCCACTTGCATAATTATTTTATATAAGGCTCTCTCGTGTAGAAATATTTGACCATGGATGCGTCTTTCTATCCACTGATGACCCCCCAACTTGAGTCGCCATGGTTCATTCATCAGCAGCATCGGCCATTAGCGCTATAGAGCGCGCATGCTCGATCCCTAGTCTTCTTGGTTCACTCTTCATCATCGCCACTTACTGTTCTTCGAAGCTGTTTCATAAACCCATCAGCAGAATGCTTTTTTACGCATCCTTCGGAAACATGATGTGTAATGTCGCTACACTTATATCCAATAGTTTTGTCAATCATCCCAACTCTGCTGGATGCCAAACGCAAGCGTTTCTGATCGAGACGTAAGTCTTTGCCTCCAGTCCAAGCTATTAGTTAGTCGTTGCTAACGTTTGCCAGATTCATGTTTGCAGACGTCTTCTGGGCCTTATCTATGGCTACGAATGTGTATCTTACTTTCTACCACCGATTTGATGGCATCAAGTTGCGTAAACTGGAGCCGCTTCACATCAGTTTATGTTATGGTATTCCTTTCATTATAGCTATCACTTTTCTTTTTGTAAAGAACGGAGACGGTGTTCGCGCATACGGTAATGCGAACTTGTGGTGTTGGCTCACTGTACAGTGGGATGCTTGGCAGCTTGCTACTTACGGACTGATCTGGTATTTCGACCCTAGAGTTCGTTTGTTGTGACATTTCTAATCATATCCCAGGCTAATCATCTTTATCGCCTTTGCTTTATATGTCCGCGTCGGAGTTACCATCTACAAATGGAGAAGACGCTTGCATGGCTTCTCATACTCGAACGATCGAACCAATCTGTCCCAAGTCCCACCAAATCCAGATCTTTCGGGCATTGCCAAAACCACCGATATCACTATTACAACGTTGGATTCTCCGCCGCCTGTTTCTGGACAATCTCTTCGACCTGCAACTAGACCCGATCCAGTCCATTCAGCAGATATTTACGCTGGTCCTGCACCACCCGTCGTACCCTCCTACGAGCAACACAATACGAGAACTAAGAACTCAGATCGTGTTAAACGCAGCCCGAGCGACGAGGCAGCAATGTCCTACGCCAAGACCGCCCTTTTGTTCTTCACAGCCATGCTTATCACATGGATTCCCGCGAGCGCGAACCGTCTATATATTCTCATCGACGGTAAAGCATCTGTACAGCTGGGATATGTAAGCGCTTTTGTACTCCCTCTGCAAGGCTTCTGGAACGCTTTGATCTACTACTACACTTCACGAGCCGCGTGTAAGCAGGTCATTGGTAGTATGCGGACTGGTCGTCGCCGCCTAGAGGAGAGCGATCCTAATGGGTCTAGCTTTGCTAATGGAATGAATGGTGCCAATGAAAGTAGTTTTCAGCTAGAACAAGTGAAAAGTGCCAAGACGAAGTACGATGTCGGGGATACAGAGAGCACGGCATCACTAACAGAGAGGGTTTAAGGGGTTTATTTTGCCTCGAGTTTCACGGATTCATATACTACTTGCGAATTTCTAAATTATTTACTTTTAATTTCTACGAATTATGTCAACGTTGGAGCCGGTATGTAACACCTTCGACCTCGCTTCTCGTCGCGTAGTTGGTTCTGTTTGGAACACAACACAAATAAAATAATTGCTATATCAAGTCGCGGCTTATGTCTGGCTATGCAACCTGTTTGTCATTTCCGTCTCCATCTGTATCTCTCCATTGACGTATCGCAGTTCCTACAGGGCTATCAAGAACAACTCAGCTGAGTATAATATATTAAGCTTCTTGTATTTTATTCTGAGCTTTGCTGTATTATTTAATATTAAATTACTCTATACATTATGGCAAATTTATACTAAGTACCTTTCTCTCTTAGACTTCGAATGTAATTGATGACAAAAGATAATAGAAAAGACCCAAGTATAAATTTTGAGCTTCCAGCGTCATACAAGTCTTAAAAAAACACGCTAGACATGCTTTTATACGCACTAATGCAGGAACACTTTTGTCCTTTACTCGGGCAAGTGAATGGAATCGTAGCTAATCTGAGCCATCCACCACAACAATGGACTTTTTGCCACCATCTGCTGTTGATCTTGGTAACCCTGGCGATGAGTAATCCCAAAGAGGATCCGCATGATCAAGTTTGGCATCCCGATCATGGCAGCATCGTTCAATGACAAAAGAGTCTGTTAGAACAACAAGAGCGTGCAAAGGATCGTATGAATGCTCGGTGCCACTGCTTTCCAGATATGCACCCAAAATAAGGATGCTGTCATCGATATTGATTCTCCCCCTTGGCTTCATATTGTGAAAGAGATTCAATGGTTGAACAACCTCTTTGGGCCAATCAACCTGTGAAGGCTCCATGTGCCCTTTTTTTTCTGTATAAGTTTCGTCTCATCCACATACTGGTACATTTTGCCTTTGTGATACAACATTCCAGAATGCCATGATAAAGCCAAAAACTCACCTTCCTGACTTGTAAGGTCCATTTGGCACGCTTTTCAATTGTTGTAAAACCATTCCATCGAAAACCGAGATCATTACACACCTAAATAAGCTCTTCCGGATTCCCTATATGGTGATGAACTGTCACCGAAAAATGTTCCTCATAAAGTCTTCCATGTTTGAAGCCAACAATGAAATCAACACTCAAATTGACTTGTTCAAGTAATACCTTGACCCACTTGCTAAATCGGTTTAGTTATTCCATAATGCCCCTTCAGGGTGACACCGTAGGGCCGGGAAAATGGTGTCAACTGCGCCCTACTTGTCATTGACATGAACGACTGGGACTTTTCCTTACTTTATCCGTGATCCATTTCGGCAGTACTGGGCATTCCGTGAGACACTCGAAGCGCTGAGTACAATCAAGCTTCCAATCTGCCTCTTCCTGTAATGTAAAAACGTTATTCCGCTAATAGTCTAGTCGAAGTGGTTGAGAAACGCCACGTCTGACTGATCACCCAGCAACGGTTTATGAGGAAAATGGCAGCGGCACTACCGTTTCTCTTCATTTAGTTACGCTGCCGGAAAGCGGAGTGGTGGGAGGCGAAACGCTCAAACAAAATGTCGGTTGGAACGTCGCCCATGCTTCAACTTGAATATACTATAATATGGAGAAGTTTCATAAAACACCGACTTTGAAGTTCAGACAGCTAAATATCCAGCGATAAGTTAATACAGGCCTAAACGTTTTGATTGATCTGTATTCGACTGGCCAGTATCAGGAATGCTCAAGAGGCTGGCCAGCGTCTTGGATTAAGAATATTGTCAATTAAAACGCCATGGGTTTCCATGGCCAATCATGCTCTCTCTCCTAAGTCGATAATCACTTACTGCAAAAAGTACGCACAAACATGCCCCATCTCGATGAGGTCCGCCTTGTAAGCCGCGACCTTTTTCTCCAAGATCTCCCTGCGTTTATGCAATTTAGCTCTTTAGAAACATGAATATAAGCAGTGTAACTTGTAATGGTGGTCTTGTTGAACCCCGATCGAGGGGCTTTGAGCTAGTTAGCTACAGTATTGCATGACCGCTAACAGCGCCACCAGCGTAACTCGCGAGATGGGGAGGCTGTGTAACAACCTTCTCACAAGGTGACTTAGACAAGGCATCCAGCGGCAAGTGGGGGGTTGAAACCAGAGTTGCTTCAAAAGTGAATGAAAGTGCATAAATCTAGCAGTGACAAGAACTCAGCTTTTGAGTCTGTCACTACTAGAGCCTCATCATGGAATTCGATGAGAACATGGCACTCAATTACTCCAACTGTGTATGAGAGGCACCGCCGATAAACCAGCTTAATTTCTCGAGAAATTGCACTATCGTCGCCGCTTTCGCTCGAACATGGCTGTCCGATGAACTAGGAGTCGACGACAAAGCAGTCGCGGCATACTTTCGCCAAGCTCTCCCTCCCATGTTGCAACGTCAACCGACTAATGGGCAGCTGATCGACTGGTACTATGACCTTCAAATCAACGTGAGCTTCATCCCTTCATTCGATGCCTGCCTAGACCCTGTATGCAAGGCTGTCGACTGGAGTGGTGTACCGGATATTCTTGGACCAGGAGTAAGTACACATTGAGAATACTTCCATATTTGGGAGGAGTAGGCTTACAAGATACTGTCACAAGGTCATGATTAGTTCTTGGATACAGGCCGTCTTTTCAACTCTTCTACCTGCGCTTTTCATCTGGAAGATGCGGCTTAATCGTCAAGGAATAACCCCTGGTAGCAGATTGCGCTGGGTTTTCGAAGTCCAGAACGCCATAACCGGCATTCTCATCAATACTTGTTTACTTCTCAACTTCGCCATTGATATCGCAGCTATCGTGGTCATCGCCCGCCGAGATTCACTTGGCGAAAGCACTCAAGTTACGCTTGCCTTCCAATTAACCTTATTTTCTATCTTTGGTTTTATAATTCTTGCCGTGTATCCTACAACGATGTATGATACCTTGGAGGCATATCCCTTCCCCATGATAATCTATGGTACCAACATAGCTCTTTACTTCGTTGTAATTGGGCTTGCTTTGCCGTCGGCATCCTTGGAATATGTTAACTCTTCATGGGAGATTTACTGCTCTTGGGGTATCATGTCAAAAGTAAGATCTGTTACCAATCATGTCATAATGATACCCGGCTGTGTAATGATACTTTTTGGTATTATCTTTCTGCTTGTACCGCGTCTATTGGATAGGTACAGCTGCCCAGGGGCTGCGATGGCAATACGAAAGAGGAAGAGAACCGCTTTATGAATCATATTCTGGACTTTTGGTCTAGTAATGTGGGCCCTTCTAATAAGTATCACTGTGTTGAGGCAGCTGTTACTAGAGAGAAGTGGTTACAACTCCGAAGATTCATCCTGGTCTTTTGGTCAGATATTAGCAATGGGGACGTTTCTCCCGTTGGCTGTTGAAGTTCTAAACATTTGTAAAGGTATGTTTTTCTTTACTTATTACATCTTGGTCTATGATATTAATCCCTCAATAGATGGATTAGAAAAGACTGTACAAAGCCGTATCCCCCCTGGTTGGGTGGTAGTTAAAGTCGAGGAGGCTATTGCTTAAGATATTGTGCTTTAGGGACAGTAGGTGTTTTGTGGCGTCGTTGAGAAGTTACTCGACTGGCTTCACTGGACACACGATTGTCTTGTGTATAGTAACTGTCATTCCCCGATGTAAATTATCAAAAGAGCGAACAAATTGACACTGCTGGTTCGATGATTCTTTGTGTTAATGCGGCTGAGAGAGCTGTTTTGGTACAAAACGGAAGCCTGAGAAGCCTGAGGCACCGCTCGTAATAATTTCCATATTCATAGATAAAGTCTATGAGAAACTTGAATACCAACGCACATATCTCATAGAGAGCCCAAATTACTAATAGTAAATAATATTTCACAGTCCTATACTAACAGCTCTTACAAATGCGAAGAACGGGTTTAGCAAGGCTCAGGTGTAGATCTAGGTTTTTAGTTGTATTGATAATAGTAAATCAATTATCTAGTGCATTGCTAAAATATCGTGAGTACCTTACTGCTTAAATTGCATTGGTCCTCAGATAAGATTTGAGGTCCTATCTTTAACCTTGGTAAAGTATGTACCTTGCGAAACTCGGCCCTGAATGATAAACTCAGAACCTTATGATGTATCACTAACAGCTACTACGGCATCTTTATTTTAGTGAATGGACAAATTGTTTTGCCCGGCAGACCCAGGTCAGGGATAAAAAACTTGTGCTGGGAGACCAGCAGAACGACGAATCAATTTGATGAGCAGGGCGATTTGTGATCAAAGCTAAGACTTCCAACATGAACAAGACGGCTAATAAGCTCTGCAGTTTTAAATACGTATTCACAATTCCTGAACATCATCCACATGACATGTTATACTCAATGGAGTGTTGAATGGCCTGGAGTTCCTCATGGATCCTGCGAGACAGCTACAGCTGCACCTCCAACTCGTATCTCAACTAGAATCGAGTTTGTATCTGAGTTAGAGACTTAAAGAAAATATATATGCACTAAATCTATCACTGCGAGAGATTATGGAGAAGCCGTGTTTTTCGGTCAAAGAGGTAGTCACGCGCAAGTTCAGCACGATAGCCTATCTTGTACCAGGAGCTGTACTTGACCAATCCAGAAAGACCATCAACCCTGGTTTCGCACCATGTTCTTATTGCTACAAATTTTGGCATTCGGACACGGATACCGAACCGTGGACCGAGGCGATAACCAATCCTCCCAATCCTTCCATCCGGAAGAGTGACCTGATCTTTACTCTGTATGGCACCGGCATGTGTAACACTAGTGGTGATAGGAAGCAGGTTCTGAGGAGTGTGTTGAACCCTGGGTGCATTAACCGCGGTGTCCCAAAACTTCGACTATTGTGTATAAGAAATTCTAAGCTACTATTCTTTTAATAAAAAAAAACCATTCCACCTCATTTATGATGAGTTTCCGCTCAGGAAATATCGTGGTACAAAGGCCAACCATATTCTCCCAGTTATCGGCGTCCTGCTTATTTTTGAAAAGAAGGTCATTCCAGATGACGGTCCACGTAATGGCGAATTGAATATTAACCCTTTTATTACTAGAATTATATTTGTAGGTGCGGCTGTCTTTATTTATGATAGTAAGGTAGTTTAAGTAATTCATTCCGTCGGGAATACCATGATCCTAGCAGATATGACATAAGCGTCTCAATAACTTGTGGCTTCTGCCTAGCCGTACAACGTCTAGTCGCCATCGTCGTTTCTTTACTTTCATATCACAATCTCTCAACGTCCAGCACAAAGTCATTCAATCAGCGATCATGGAACACGTTGCAGTGTATGAGCTTCACGGTGGCGACGGCGACGGTGCAGACATAACATTCTTATTCAACGGCAAGGTTATGTCGGTGTCAATATTTCCCACCAACGGACCATCAACCAAGAGCACCCTGCACCTAGGTCCAGGTCGTCCTCTCCAAGATCACCTTGTTGATGTTATATCTGAGGCTATTACCTGCAAGAACCACAATGAGTATGAGAAACTCGTCGATGAAGTTTTTGGTGTCATTCTCGAAGCTGGAAGGCCACTTTTCTCTAGTTTAGGATCCATCACCCAGCAATCCCAATCACTTCATGAGCTGCTTTTCCCGGAGATTATTTACTTCCGTCTTCAAGCTCCGGCTATGTACGCTACTATCCTCCCAATCGACCCCAGCGAAGCAAACAGTATTATCGCTAGCGATCCAGCCTTTACCGACAACTGGGATGAGAAGTTGAAAATCCGAAGGGAATTGCCTTGTTTTACTCCCGACGAAATGACGGTCACCAAGGTACTTCTGCGCGGTTTCAATAGTGTCACCGCCGCTGTGCGAGTACATGGGAGAGACTTGTTCTGCAAGGTGGTAGCCCGGCCAAGTGGACTGTGCGGTACAGAAGAAGGACGAGAGCTCGAATATCTGGGTGAGATATCAAAGGCATTCCAATATCCGGATACGATACAGGTTCCTCAATTTCTTGGCTACGTTCACCATAAGGAGACCCAGCAGATTCTAGGATTTCTACAAGAATGGGTTCATGGATCTCGACTCAGCAATATCAATATTACCACCAGGAACAGAGGAAAATGGATGGCTCAGATTTCGCAAACTATTAATCGTCTTCATGAACATGGATTGTTCTGGGGTAACGGAAAACCTGGTAACGTTCTCATCGATGACAAGGATGATATATGGCTGATCGGTTGCGGGGGTGGATTCATGTATGAGCATAATCAAGGGCGGCTTGAGATAATTGAGAGAGACCAGAAGGCCTGCACGGAAATTGCAGAATTTCTAAATGGGGGCAACGGCACGACATTGTCGGGTTGAAAATACATAGATTGAATTCGAGCTACGGACCATCCAGATGGATGCTCAAGAAGACACTGATAATAGATTTTGTCAATGAGTATTGTTGTGAGTACCTCATGAACAGAAACCTCCTCAACTCTTACTCGTCCAGATGGCGTCGTTTCTTGAATCGGTATGCCAGTTGATCTTCCCCGATGACACCATCATTATAAGTTTGCGCACGCTTCCTAACATCCTGCACCCACGACCTCTGCCGTTGCGCATTCTGTCTCTTGATGGAATCCGCCAAAGCAACGAAATCCTGACCCCATATATCACTCGTAACTGTCTCGTCCAGTACACATATGAAACGGCCTCCTGAGATTTGAGCTGCATTATTCTCAATCCATTTGTCAATCTTTTTCTGCTTGATAGTAATCCCTGTACAAATCAAGAGTAAGAGTACTGGCGTATCTTTCCAATGCTCCAATTCTTGCATCTCTTTATCCCGAGCTGCCGTTTCGATATTCTTATGCCAGTTAGACTCTACTAGTGTCTCCATAGCATCTTCAAATCGAGCGCTTTGTCCGGTTTTAATCTGTAGATCGTTAGAAAACAGACGCAACATATACGTTATGTAGTTTGCGTACCTGAACGGCAACGAATAGTCGTTTTGTATCCTGGAACCCTACACTCGGAGTAATGCCAGTGTCGCTAGCCACTGCTAAGAATCGCTCTTCTAGGACAAAGATGAGGTCAGGGCCAGCATTGATATCCGGGAACATAAACGTTGGGGTAGATCCCGATCCCTTTGTACGGAAATCCCCCATCCATTTCCAAATAGTGCTAGGATTTCGATACTCAAAAACAGTCGATGTTTCAGGTAGGGCATAATCAGTGATCTGGACCACTGCTCTCAAGGTGCTAGCTTGGCCACTCTGAATGTTCAACCGTTTGGCTTCGCCAAATCGCTGTAGCAAGGTCCCCCGGCGTTTTGCCCCATCTAGTAGATCTGGCAGAACTGTACCGTCGAAAGACTGACGTCGTAACATCCGGTCGAAAGACTACGCACAATTAGCATCTCTGCAGGGATTCATGTCAAGTAATAACCGGTTTGAAAAGCGATACTGACCATCGCAACGAACCATTCTGTAGCCTTCCCGAACATAGATCCAACTTCATAATCATCCTGTGTATGGATGAGCCACTGAAGCATGAGCTCTTCGTACTCGTCTCCTCTCTCTTTACGCAGATAGTCCATAATTGCATGTATAGCAATAGGTTCAGAAAGGGTATACCTCATTGTTTCGCCGTCCCGTTGAACTAAAGCAAAACCGTAGGTGACCAAATCTGCGTGACTTTTCTTCAAGAATATCGACGGGGTGCTCATCATCTCAGCTCGAATAGCAGCTCTGAAAAGATCTTGAACTAAGTCTATTTTGCCTGCAGCCTTCATCTTGCGAACTTGTGATTTAAGTGCCTCCACTGCTGCAGTGCTTGAATTGATCTTTGCCTTTTCAACGGACAAGCTGATATCTGTTAGCTTATAGTCCTTCGATGACCAAGTCGTAGATGATTGGATGATCTCTTCGATGTAAAGTATAGACCACCTATATCGGCCACGTTGACCTAGACTGCGGGATGTGATGAGGTTTCGAATGTATACGTTTCTTATCACGTCGTGTAAGATGCCCGATAGCTCTGCGAATGAAAAGTTCATCGGTAACGGTTGCGCAAGCTCATGCTGGGTTACTTTGAGTATCTGGTCGGGTTGGAGGTCACCGTAACCTTCTAGTAACGAGAGGACGGATTTCTCAAATACATCGTTATCTGTTGAGCCGTTATTGACAAGCGGCCCTACCAAGGAGATGGCTAGTAGGACGGCGACTTCCTCGCAATTCTGTCGTTCTAGTAATTCTTCGAGATTCAGAGAGCTGACGTTTTCGTCACTTCCAGGTATCGTCTGACCCGACGTCAAAATGAACTTGTAGGCCTGCGCCAAAAGTTTCAAGACATCCTGTAAGGGAGGAATCTTGAGAGGTTGTTGTAAAAACGATCGCATATTTCCAAAGTCCGCATCTTGGTTCATTGCAAGAGTCAAGGGACGACCGCTTCGACTCATCAATGGTATATCCGATGTATGCATATCTTGCATCATAACCCGAGCACTATCGTGTTCGTTAAGTACGCTTGTTGTATGCTCTTCATACAGCTTCCAAAAGTCTTGATCACTAGCAACCAGTGGAAACATATCGTGAAATCCAGCTTCCTGCCACCCACGCCAGGGATCTGTATCCCAGGCATCGGTAACCAAGCCTGTGAGCTTTTCTTTCAGTTCTTCCAGACGAAGTGACGTTCCTGATATCACCAGTGTTGGTTGTATAAGTGGCATACCGTCATCCATCCAACTAAGACAGTTTTTGTCTTTTTGGTAAACCTCGTCCTTTCTAAACAGGCGGCTTGGGTACTTTGGAAACCAATTCGTAGTCAGTATGTCGTGAAGAGTAAGGCCAGCATACAGATTGTCAAACATGGACGACGCATCAGCATCATCGAGGGCAACCTGAGCCTCGTCAAAGCAGTGATATAGAGTCCCATTGAAGTACGTCGAAGGGAGATCTCGCAAAACTGCATAACAGCTTGGCACCACATACGCGGGTATTTCTGTATGGATATAGGTATTTGAGTCGCAATACAAGTACGATGAATCGGATAATCGGAAGAGTCTGTACAGTGCGTCGAATGGGTCGCTTCTCTGACAACATACTTGTAAAAAAAGCCATTTTGATGGTGTTTCTTTGGGATACTTGTTCAAGAACTCATGGAGAAGGGCACATCGAGCAGCAATAATCGGAAGAGATACCTCAAGTTCCCGCCTTGGCCATCGGGGATCCATCTGAGGGTGGTCTTCAAACATTGTTAAGGTATCTCTTGAAACAGAGTATCTCTGTGGTTCGATAATGTCGGCGGTTTTAGCATCTTCTCCGCCAGGCTGAAGGTTGGGGGCTACCATATAAAATCCCCAGTGATTTTGCAAGAGCTGGAACAGATGACGAGTTTTACCTGTACCAGCAGCCGAGAAAAGTACTTGCACCAAATGTGGATGATGTTCCTCGCCATGATCATCCAAGACTCTGTCATTTTGCATGCGTTGTAAAATTTCAGAATCCAAAGGCGGCGAATCAACAGGATTCGGGACGGCCGAAAGCGCGCTATCCAAGTAAACCCATGCAAGGCGTCTCCATTCGTCATCTATATAGACCATCAGGCCGTATTCAAGCGGAAGAATCATGTTCTGGTGGCAAGGTCTCATCGTCCAGAGTACAGCTATCAGTATCTTAGTGATTGATCATACCTAATGATCAAATGCGATTACCTACAGAGGTTACGCTGGTGTAGCCAATGGTGGTAGTAAGCCAAAGACTGCCAAAGATTCTGGAAACCTATATCAATGCATTGTGGAGGCCAAGTCTTGAGAGTCGTAAAGAAGTCATTGAGGCTCATGTGGCTTACGCGGTCGAGTGAATACGTTTTGGGGTCAGAACCTTCGGGATGTTCCTCATATGTCTTTGAAAACTTGCCCTTTGGATTGACTAGCATATCGCAAAGGACCATAAATTGATCCGGCATCATTCCCAGCGCCTCCCATAAAATAGGGCCTAGAGAAAGACTAGCCTGTGAAGCATACAAGCGGCCTTGATAAAATTCCTTGTCATTGAGGAGATGCGGCAATAGTATGTCTAGAGAAGCATTGCCATCACTTGGCACTTCATATGGAGGTGGTGTGTATCGCTGAAGACGTTCTTGATAGCACTTGATGAAAAGCTGACGACAAAGCTCCCTATAACCTGGCTGTTGACAGTTCATCTTGGGAATGCGGTGGTTAGTGTCTAGTGGACGTTAAATTATCGCAGTTTGCGTTATTTTAAAACAACGTCCCAACAAAAAGCGACAAGGGTATTCATCTCCTTTGCTGCAATGTCAAACCAACTGCATACCGTGATATAACAGTCAGTGAACAAGCTATCTTAGTGGTCGAGTCTATTAGTAATCATAGTCTTGTTCAACCATTCAAGTGTTGGCAATGTAGAAAGTAACAACTACCAAGAATTTGCAGAAGGCTTGAGTAAGATAATCTATTAATCTTACAATATCTCCACTGATTCTAAGAGAAAGAAGTCCTTTCTAGGCTATTGCGTCAGGCAGAGCCAGCCTTTGAGTCTATCTCCAAAGCTCGGAGCCTTTGTCGACTGCTCTGGTCTGTGCACATGATACTGCATTTTTGGAAATCTTCGTTCAATAATCCCATTCCGGGCGAATGGTTTAGTGGTATAATACTCCCTTAGCATGATTCGTTCTTCGATCTGATTTGGGAGTGGTCCAGGGTTCGATTCCCTGTTCGTCCAATTCCAGTGGTTAAAATCCACCATTATACAATCTTTTTGTCTCCAACACTGCCCATTAGGGACAAAATCAGTAAGTCAGTTTATGTTACTTAGATCAGGTGTCCTAGACTATTTATTTTTGTATCCTACAGCTTAGACATACCCACTGGATATACGAACGTAGCACACGATTGCCTATACTAGCGTTACTGTATCCTCCACAGCTCTCTCCAAAACTGGAGAACCAGCCCCATTGTGTGGATCATCGAAGGACTGGCTCTCCTTCCAAAGAACACCCATGCCCAATCTTCGAAACTCCTTCTCCTCACCAGCCAATATCAGAACATAAGATTCTTTCTGTCCGGCGGTATCGAGCACATAAAGACACGTAATCTCCACCATCTCAACGCCATCATCAAGCCTGGTATCCAAAAACGCCTCGCCAAGAACATCGCTACTGTTTGGTTCTGCAACGATATAATGTCGAGAGTCTTGAGTGACGGAACGTTGGCCGAGCGCTGCACGAAGAAGTTTTCCCTTGATTTTCAAGCTAACTTTTAGAGGCAAGCTTGAGTTAACCTTGATCAATTCGATCATTGAAGTTGTTGAGCGGCTGTATTCCATTCCTTTAATGGGCCCTTTCACAGAGAGCCAAGACCACGATGGTGCTATTTCGCCTTCACGAACAACGCCTTTCGTGGTAGACTCCCACATCAAACCAATTGCCAAATCCTCTTGCCATATTCCAGCCAGGTACGTGTACCCGGTTTCCTTTTTGAACATCTCCACCAGACCAGCAATCGCGTTCCACTTATCAGTTTGGTACGTCAAATTACGTTTCGAGTAGTTGATAACCAGCTGATACCAATGTTTCAGGAAGTTCTGACCATCTTCGCTTGGTCCTTCATGAGCTAGAGCAGGCCATTGCGGAAGTCCGTTGTCGATATACCTGGGACCATCGATAAGGCCGTCTTCGGTAGCATATCGACTGGGGCATTTCCAGAGCCATTGCTCTTTGCCGAAACAGACAAGTCGTGATGGAAGAACAGCTTCCTGTAGGGTCCATCCTCTGTTGTTGAGAGGCTCCGAAGATGCATCAATGGAGAGATGAGTTTCAAAGCGAATGCTCGTTGTCTCTTCATGTATGTCGACGGTCTGCGCTCCTTGGTATGGCCAATGAAGTCCCTCGTCGGGTGAAGATGATGAAGTAGCTGCGATGGTAAGATGGGCGTTTGAGTAAACAGAACCCATCATGGCAGACTCTCTCTGCCAATCTTCAAGTGAGTCTTGAATGATGCAGAGTGAATCGATCCAGATGTATCGGATACCGAGATATAATGCGGTAAGGATGGCTTCCCGATGGACAAGCGGCAGGGTGGACCAGTCGATTCCTGCATTGTGTGTCTCCAACGTCGCGTATGTGGTTTTAAAATGTAGATCAGTATCTCTGCCCCAGCAATAGCTGAGCGCAGTGTACATGCCAACCTCATCCTTACTTGTCTCTCGCAGTTTGATGATGATATCGTCTCCGGACTCAGGCAGATCTGAACTACCAGTCAAGTCGAGTACTCGAGTCGGTAGGGGAGCACTTCGTGTGGATGGCAGCGATACTTTGCATGTTTCATGATCATCGCACTCGCTCATCCAGCTCTTGATCAAGTCTTGTCGTTTATGAGGATCCTCACCACCATGCTTGGCCCAAAAGCGGCGTGAAGCGAGATCTCCAAGACGTGACGGTGTTGAAATCGTCAAAGGTGCACCACAGTTCAGATAAAGCTGCCTGTCCCCGACCCAGCAAACTGCCCGAGTGTACTTCTCATGCTTAGTCAACTCGACAGTCACAGGACAAGCGGTGCTATTCTCATCGATCAAATCCGGATCATTTGCCTGAAATCGAGCTAAAAGGCTAGGGGAACCTTTCGGGATGCTTACTTCAAGCCACTTGCAGACGGTGCAAGTCTCACCCGAATTGACCAAACGGCTCACATTCGGCTGATGCTGTATCAGAGAGGGTGCATCTGGGTGTAGAAGAAGTTGACAGTATTTGCAGATCCCGTCTGATGTTGGTGAGGTGAAACCCCAGTCTTCTGGTGAAGCGGCATCTACTTTTTCAGGTTCGGGGCGCATATCCACTATATCGCTTGCCCTCAGGCCAAACTTGAAGACCTCTTCGGGGGGCTTTTTGCTGTAGACCAGCATGATGTCAGACTGGGATTCGTCGTGTTCAATTCCGAGGTGATCATTTAGCACTCGTCTATCGACGTGTACTACTTGATGTGTTTTCAAATCGTCGGCCATCTAGAATTCTTGAGTAATATGTAACCGGCAGGCAGAATTGCTCAGCTTGCTTCTCTCGGTCAAGCGGGGATGTAAGCAATATGATATGAGACACGCTTACATGCACGTGATGAGATATAGACAGGGGTAACTAAAGTGTAAAAACTCCCTCTCCACATAGAGTGCAAGGAAGACTAGCCACTAGTCTAGGGTTGAGAGACGAAATTAATGGGGTAGCTTGCCGTCGTCTCCCTACCCTGGGTTTTATAAATGCCTATTCTCAGTGACAAAGCGAAAGGAAAGACTAATGGCACAGGAGATTGAACAATCCAGACAATTTATTGTGCCATCCCCTAGTACAATATTGATACCACCTTAACTTGGCTAGCAATAAACGCGATGCTACATCCATTTCCATAATACCTTTCCTCGGCCTAGGGATTCCATCAGTCGTTTGCAATTTTGTCATATCATTCCAACTCGAGAAGGCGCAAACCTTATTTGCAAATAGTGACAACATAAGCGACTCCCCAAGCAATGTTGTTGAAAAAGATGATCTGGACAAAGCCTTTTTCTAGTATCCCAATCTCTCAATTCAATTGCAGCTATTGGAATGCTTTTCTTCCTTGACCTTCCGTGTAAGCCTTAAATAATAGAATAAAAAAAGGAACCAAGAATGAAACAAGAGCTAATCCAGCAACGAGTATATAGCAGAAAATGAACTTAATAGACACCCTCTGTGAATACCAGATTTGGTTCTCATCTGTATCGGTATCCTCACTCATCGTCTCGACTTCCTGTTCCATATCGACAAAGTCATCCCTGAGCCTAGGTTGAGTCGGCAATAGTTCTGTGAGTGTTTGTTGATCCCAATCGATGTCTCCGGTGTCTTTTATTGGTTCTACCAATGTTGCTTGGCTGCTCGGGCGAGATTCCATGGTGCTGGAAGAGTTTCTTCGATTCATGACGACAAAAAAAAAACCGTAAAGTAGGTTGTTTGACGTAAGATTGGTTGAAAGCAGTGTATGTGTTTTCCTTGGTTCGAGGAGTATCGTGTTTTGTGTCCAAGTAATGTGTCTTGAGATGATCGGGTGTTGCAGATAGTATAATTGTGAACAATGTGGGTTGTGGGAGGAATTTATAGCTGCTTTGTCTACAGCTTAACAGAAGCTTGTTTTATTACTCACAACAGAGCTCGGTCGTTGTCGTGCCACATGTACCCTTGTTGAAGAACTAAGTTATTGAAAAATATCATTTAAGAATTTAAGTTTTGAATTCATGTATCTGGGTCCTTTGTTGAAATCTTGACGTGAGCTAAAAAGGCCACGTCCCATTTTATAAAATAAAACCACGTTAAACACAACTTGTTGGCAATCCCAAAAGGAGATGCAAACTTTACAGCAGACACTAATAATGCAAAGTGATAACATAAGCAATTCTGCATTCCATCTGTAAATTACAATAAAGACCCTTGTGGAAGTTTGTTGATCTCACCGAGTTTGAGGATCTCCCAGTCTTGCCCCACCACAGCAAAGTAGTCTTGGCAACATGATGACCAAAATTGATTGAAGACTAGCGATACAACTATCTGAAAAGCCAAATACCTAGAAACAGTAAGACCCCAATATGAATGCAATCGGCCTTCTTGTTCTTATATAAGGGCGTATCATGACAAGTAGAGAACCATTTCATCGTCCTTGTTGCCGTCTGATATGTCTCACTTACCGACAAGTGCAACTTTAAGTCATTCAATTCTTACATTCCATTGTGAAAACTTCCCAATAAACCCTAGCCATCACCACAATAGTGACCAACGATATCAGCCAGTACATGAAGACCAACGCATGCCAGCCAACTTCAACCTTCATCACAGTAGTGCTGAGGATTCCTTTAGTTTGCGCGGGAGGGGCGTTTCTCCTATCAATAGTTAGTGGCGGTAAAGGACCTAGATAAAAGGTTACTTACTCAATGTCTCTGTCTTGGTGCTGCAGTTGTTCTTGTCCACTGACGGGATCTAGTTTTTGGTCTCCGTCAACAGTGGGGGCATTGGCGGTAGTGTGCTGAATGCATTGCGAATCGGCACACTTCTCAAGATCTTCCGACATGTTGGCAGAGGAATGAGGTGCTATTTTGTTGAGTGTGTAGTGGCCTCGGTTGATGGAGAAGAATAAAGAGATTGAGATAAGATAATGAAAGAAGGAATGGTGATTGTGACAAATGGGCATGAGACTCTCTTAAATACGCTCGTTCTGATAAGCTTTTGATTAAACTCGGTTCGAGGTGAGAAGTATATCAACTTTAGACTCTGTGTCACACCAAGTCAGACTTTACAATCATGCAAAGATTAGCTTACCGGTATAGTTTCATTCTAAACCTTCTCATTCTCAGAACAAGTGAGGTCCACATATCAAAAGAGGGCATGGAGCTCATTTGACAAGAAAATTACCACAGACAATTCAGCGGTAGGGGGTTTATTTTGCGATTAAAGTCAGTATTTGATCTTAGATCAAGGACAATGTTAGCCTGGGTCATAAACCTGATTGACAATATAGGCGGCTCTTTAGAGAGGGTCAGTCCATGTTTTCTTTTGCTTTGTTTAAATCCTAATACCGGATTTATCTTAAAGCTGTAGAATACTGTGTTAGAGGCCACGAAGAAATGTCATGCAGGCCAAACAACGGAGCAAACCAATTGACAACATGTGGTTCCAGGCTCCACAGCACACGAAGACACATATCATCACCAGCCATCTTTCAGTTGAACTTTGCGTCAGGTCGTAGTTTCTGCTATCTGCATCTCTTGTTGACTGTAGTTATCAACATGCCATTTTATTTCGCTATTCATCCAATCTAGCAGAGCAACCAAAAGAGAATAACACCAAGAGCAAGGACTATACCCAAGACGGCATAAGCCAGTACAAACATCAACTACAAACGATACATACGTGTACCAGATGTTTCACACTCAAAATCATACCACCACCAGTGATTTTCCAATGGAACTTTGCGTCTAGTCGCCCCCATGTACTTGTTTGCTTTGACCACTGTCTGAGCATGCCTTACAGCTCCAGCAACCTGGACCAACCGTCTTCCACATGGGTAGACAGGAGTAAGTACACAGAATGGACGGAGTAGTTTTCCATGCTTGTAGGTATCCCAACCCAACTTCTCAGCTTCCTGTTCGATGTTGACATAATAATTGTAGAACTTCGTACGGCTTGGCAGCGACTTTCCAATTTGTGTGTGACTCCTTTCGTGGTCCATGATAAATCGTATCGCTGCTTTCATAGTTGTTTGGATATTGCAGCAAGGACCCAGGGTATCGTTGGATTTTTCTTGACTGTGGGATTGATCGTGACATCTTGTGCAAACCAAAAGAATCGGAATGTTGCCCACGTCATCAGCTCTGAAAGATCCTTCAGTATCCATCAAATTCATCTCGACATGCCCTGAACACGAAGTTAAAGTAAAACCTGATCCAATCTGCGAGTTTACCGTTCGTTTAAGCCCTTGACGCCGAACTGTAAACTTGCAAATTTCTTATAGAGTCATGGATCCTCGGATCGTTTATGATTTTTGATCGCGTTTACACTCGATATCTCGTCCCAGCTCTTGCAATCCTCTTACTCGCATATATGATAAACGATGAGGAGGACAGCGAACTTCAAAGGCAATTTGAGGTAGCGGCTGACATTCTTACTCGGCTAAAAGAGAGTGGTAGTGCTCTCGCTGCCAAGTACTGCTTACATATCGACGGGATGAGACAGATGATGAGTCGTCATGAAACTGTGCTGAGCACGGGTCCTGATCATGCGACCTTAGATGACCACACGAGCCTTTAGTGCTATGGGAATCTTTTTGGAAAGAATATGAAAATCTTTGGACGGGTGGTGATATCTTGACCGATGTTTAGGATAGCAATAAACAGGTTTAGGGCTTGTAGCTATTTCAAATCGTATTTAGTTGAATATCATAATGCTTCAAGATATATATTCACATTAATGAATTCCTAGTTAGAATTAATCATTTTCATAGACTTAACTCCTATCTTATGGAGTGTGTTCTTTTGAGCAGTACAGCCCTTCAGGCCACTCACTCCACTTTACTCAGTCATGAGGTTAGTATGTGTGGGGTAAGAGGAGTTCGCGAGATGTTTAATTTGAGAGGTAATACTTGACGAGTAGTAAACTACGGTGCCTCTAGATGCATAAAGTTCTGCCCCCAACAATGCCAGATACGGGTATCTCTTCGACGCCATTGCTATTGACAAAATCTCATGTCTGGAGATTGTTGGCTAGGTTCCCCAGTAGCTACGTTATAATACATGGCGATCCCTATCTCAGAGCATCTTTCTTAGGTACTTCATCACAGGTCCAGGGAGGGCTCTGTAGCCTTCCAACTTTCCTCCAATGACAAGATCCTCCAAAGTTGCTTTCTTGTAGTCCTTGACTTCCCATAGATCATCGGGAAGCATCTTCATCATTTCTCCCGTTGCCCACATCTTGCGGCAATAGGACGGTACAGCGAGATTACTCTCCTTGCTGAGACAATCCTCAATCACTTGGTTGAGTTCCTCCAAGTTTCGTGTTGCAATAGAGGGCTCTTTGCCGTTCTTCTCTTTCATGATCGTAGCAATTTCCCTGCCTGTTGGTGCAAGCTCTGACAAAGTAATGGCCCGGTTCTGAATAGTGTGGATAGGCCTGGCGGTAAATATGTCGACATAAGCAGCTGCGACATAATCCTTGGTGCTACAGCCAATTAGTATGATCTGATCAAAAGACATGTTTTAAAAGGAGGTGCCTTAAAGTCAAATGCTACGTACCACATAGTGACTTTTTCGTTCTCGGCGTTGCCGACGTAGAACAATGAGTTATTCTCCAAATCAATACCCACTGCCCTATAATTTATTCAAGTTAATTACGGATAAAAATTGCAAGTGATAGGATAATATCGTACACCGTACTGAGGGTGAATTCAGCGAAATTTCCTGCGTGGATGACAGTGGTTGGAATTCCAGCATCCTTGGAAGCTTTTTCGACATTTGCTTTTGCTTTCATACAGGGAATGCGCATTCCCTGCTCACCGTATCGCAAACAGAAGTCCGAAGGAGAGAAGAGCTTGACGTTAGTCTTGGTTATAGCTTTAACAAAGCCATACTGTCGGTCGGTACCCTCATCTCCAACGAGAGAACTGAGAGATCAATCAGCATAGATTCGAAAAGGTACAGATGCGTAGTAAATTTGACTGACATAACAATGTCTATATCTTGCAAGGCCGCAACCAAAGCGTCTTCGTCAAGAACGTCGATTTCAATCTTTTTCACATGATCCGGGAGATTGGAAGTATCCGAACTAGGGCGATGCAAAACAGTAATTGGCGCACCCGAGGCAATCAGAGCAGGAACAACTCGGGAGGCTACGAATCCTCGATGACCATAGACAGCGATACGGTTGAAAGCCATGATTGGAAAGACAAAAGATATCTAGAAATGATTGTTGGATGTGTGTAGAAAGCTGTCAGCATTAGGCCTGATTGAAAACTTATGTCAATATTCAGAATTCCAAGCTCTGGATATGATGTTATATACCTTTCGACAAAAGCCTGTGGGTTTCAAGAAAATCCAGTTTGTAAAAAGATCATCGTCCACTTGGCAATACCATCTTGTACGCGCTTAGCAAAGGTCCGCGTACACCGAAACGAAGACCCTGGCCGCCGACCAGACCGACAGGTTTTCTGTGGTGCCTTTACCCTCTAGCTCACGAGACTGACTTATTGTGTTATTGTAGAAGACCCTGCTGGAGGTTACGTAAACTAATTCGAGCTTACAAATTCCTCAATTATGCATTATGACCAGACTGAAAACCTGACTCAGAGATTCTTCGGCTCCGAGCAGACCAGCAAATGGGTTTACAATCCTGGCCGAAGGAGAAATGAGACTGTGATGGTAATTTGGTGGACTAGCCTTACGGAGTAGCGATCGTCGCTTCACGACCGTACAGGAAGACATCCGCGTGACAAAAATTTCCTATCTGGGCTATTTCCCGAGGTTAGATGTTATATTTTTCAAACAGTACAGAACCCCTGCCTGTCTGACAAGGCATAATATCATGGAATCAGTTGACCTTTAAACTCAAACTTTAAAATAAAACCTATTTGTCCGTTTATTATTCATCTTATCCAGTTAAGGGAGACAGAGCGTTGTATGATTAGTCTGCAACTTGTCACCCATCGCAGGTCCTCTATATAAGCGTACTAGACTGTGGCGTCAGAGGGGTCCTATTGACTAACACTTGTAGTATCTATACATTACAGTGACTCTGTATATACAGGGAAGGTGTTTTCATCTTGTGGTACTTACCGAACAATATGGGGAAAGGATGTTGCCTACCAAGTCATACTAGTAAGCTCGAAGTCAAGAGTGTAAGGTCATGGTACTTATGGATAGTGTTTAGTGGGAAAGAAAGCACATCATTCACGATAGTCGTAGTGCATTTGACTACCGACACAATCAAATTGTCTATATGTCATCTGTAGGGTGCACATCACCCACTATTGGCCACGTTGTCAAATCCATAATTAGTGAAAGCCCTGAGGAATAAGTGCCCTATAGTGGAGTTCAGATGGGCGAATAGCGCTCCACCCCAGTTAAGAGCACGAAGAAGATGGCAGCAGCTCGTCACGGCCACGGCTTGTTCTGACCACTTGGACCATGCAATTTACTACGGCCATCCATCTAAAGCCATGAAATAATCTTCTAAAAGAGATCAAGGACTCTAGGTAATTTTCATAGAGCAGAAATCGCGCAAAAGGAGCCTAGCAAAACCAATCAATCACTCTCCAGGGATAGCACCGTGATAGTTGCTGAATGCTGGTAAAATTCTTAGGATCAGCAAAAGTATGCTGGATAGACTATGGATCCAGTTTTGTGACCCTGTTATTTTTAAGCATGCTTGCATTCACGATGTTACTAATGTTCAGAACGTTCCTAGACTATGAATAACTAGCAAGTCGGTTCCAAAATGGAGATCCACCGTGAACACACCGTGATTATTTAAAACAGGGATTACAAGCTCCTCGGGTCCTCCACCGTATGGATGACAAATCTAGACAACATTTCATTAAGGTTCAGTAATGCATTGTAACACTATGGTGTATTGTGATAAAACCTCTTACCAAAATCGACTGCGTATCCGACGGCACCAAAGTGGAGCAAAGCCATAATTATACACTTTTAACCCCGGCTACCCATGTATCATTTAGTCAGGGATTACACTGGACGTGGACAGTGTGTGTCTAACGTCATTCCATCTACCCGCCTGAAATGCAAAATGGTGATTATTCTTCCGCAGATGTACAGTAATCAGCCAAAGGGTTATAGTTTGATACTGAATGGCTGCGTCTCTGATTTGTCTAATGACAACAGACTGTACTGCTCAATTTCCCATCTCTATTGTGTGATTAAACAACCTGACAATATGCCTTTGAAGAAACGCAAACAATCCACACCCCCCGAGCCCAATCTGCGCCGCTCACGATTGGCGAACAGATCGCGTAAGGCTCTATACGTCGAGGGGACAGACAGTGATGATGATAGCGCCCACGAGCCGTCTTTGACAGTACGGAATGCGCTAAGAGCTCGTCAGAACCGCAACAGGCCAGAATACTCAGAGGATTCATACCTAGACTCCCAGGAAGACGACGATGGGGATGTTGAATCAGAGCACCTTGAGCACGCGGCAGAGTCTGATGAATCTCAAGCCGCCGAGCTCTGTAACGATTCGGACGAAGAGGCACCTCCGGTAGTGACATTCGTCCCTCTAGAGAAGATGCGGGACAGCGGTGGTATTGAATATGTCGACTTTAAGATCCACCCGAACAGCCTTCTATTTCTAAATGACCTCAAAGTCAATAACAATCGAACTTGGCTGAAAGGTAATCGCGACGCCAACTATATTGAGGATCGCTAACGCCCGGAAGCTCATGACGGGGAGTTTCGACGTGCATACAAGGACTGGCAAACATTTGTCGAGCGCACTACTTCTTCAATCATGTCCATCGACGACACCATTCCTGAGTTACCAGCTAAAGACTTTGTGTTTCGTATCTACAGAGATATGCGTTTCAATCCCGATGGGAAGCCATACAAGGTAAGAAGCACGGTGTTCTGGTTCTAGATTATATTACTGACAGTTACTAGGCGCACTTCTCGGCGGCTTGGTCTCGAACGGGGCGCAAGGGCACATATGCCCACTACTACATCCATTGCGACCCAGACGCGTCCTTCGTCGCTGGCGGGATATTCGCTCCTAATGCAGAACAACTCCGACAACTTCGAACGAGCATAGACGAGCGGCCGAGACGGTGGCGCGGAGTGCTGAACGACGACAACCTGAAGCTGACCTTCTTGCCGCAAGTCAGAACGGAAGGCACGGAAGAAGCAGCGTTAAAGGCCTTTGCTGTTGAAAATAAGGAAACGGCCCTGAAGACGAGACCCAAGGTGTGCAAGACATATTACAGAAGATTCAGTTGAAGCTAACCGTCCTGCAAGGGGTTCATCAAGGATCATCGAGATATTGAGCTTCTCAAGCTCAGGAAGTTTACTCTTTCTAGAAAGATTCCGGACAATATTCTATGTGCAGAAGATACCCAGGAAAGGATCGTGGAGGTTTTACAGCCTTTGGTCGCATTTGTAAGCCCATTTAGCTTCTGGAAAAGGCGTGGAGAACTCTACGATGTACTGACTTTTACAGATTACCTTTCTCAATAGCGTGGTAATGCCAGATTATAATGTCAGTAGTAGTTCAGAGGATAATACCTAGTTTAAAGTGTCTTAGCCCTTAAAGGAAATGAAATCTAGAACAAAAGAAATTATAGACTATTTATTATAGTATATTTATTAAGCTATTTTCTTTATAACTATATAATACTTATATTTCTTGGAAAATTAATATAAAATTATAATCCTTTTCCTATAATATAAAATTAACTTTAATTATTAAAACTAAACTAAAGATCCTTAAATAGTATTTTTATTCTTATTCTAGAAATATTATATTTATTTCTTTCCTGTCTATAAATAGCTTATAACCCTGGAGCTTCCATAACTCGCCTTATAAACTAACAAGCAAGATCTAAACCGAATTCTATATCATCTAAATGCTTTTCAACAATCTATCCACAAATTCCATCGTTGATGTTAATACCAGTTATCACCTAAACGAATGTCGCTCAGGCATGAGACTTGATAATGTCGGCAGCCTTCTCAGCGATAGCATAGACAGGCTGGCAGGTGTTAGCACCAGGCAGAGAGGGCATGATACTGGCGTCGATGACACGCAGGTTCTTGATACCATAAACCCGAAGCTGCTGGTCAACGGCACCACCATGATTTAAAGGCATCATAGCAGCAGTGCCAGCTGGGTGATAGTTGGTGGGGAAAAGAGCCTTGGAGATCCAAGCTGAGATAGCCTCGTCCGAAACAACGTCTGCGCCGGGGGCAGTCTCGTTGGGTACCAGACCAGACAGGGAGGTCTCAAAGTTGTATCGCCTGTACCACTTGACCATCTCAACAAGAACGCTGCGCTCAACGGGATTGCGAAGTGCTCCAAAGTCAACAACAGGGTTGGCACCGTAAGGATCTTTCAAGTTGACCGTGATGGAGCCGCGACTCAGGGGCTGGTTAAGAATAGGGGCTGATGCTCCGGTCTTGGCGTCGACGAGGTAACGAGCGAAGACAACGTCCTTGGATCGCATAGCATCCGCCATGTTCTTCATCTGAGCCGCGTATCCTTTGGCAACAGTGGGGTGGACATCACCCGACAGGTAACTAGCATGGTCCTGGTTCTCGAGCTGGGCAGCCAGTTCAAGATGTCGCTCAGGAGAGACGGCGGAGAAAGGAAGCCAACCAGCGAGGTTACCCCAAGCGATCGAGTACGGTCCTATGGAAAGTTTAATTACTGACGCACATGATAATAGGTCGCTTCACGTACCTGTGCGATTGGCGGCCCAAGCCTCATCCGCCCAGTTCTTGAAATTAGTACCATTGGCCATATCGAATGGGTTGGGATGGATTTTCTTGAGACCTTCAAGCACAATTGAGACACCAATATTAATAAGGTCCTGGAAGTTTTGGCCAACACCAGGAAGGTCGACAAGTGTTTTGATACCAGCAGCATGGAGGAGCTTCTTAGGACCAATACCACTGAGCTGAAGAAGCTGGGGGGTGTGGACCGCACCAGCAGCCATCAAAACTTCTTTGTTAGCCTTGACGTTGAGGAGACCATTCTCACCGTAGAACTCAACACCAGTAGCAGCCCCCTTCTTCATAAGGACTCTTCGAACGGGGGACGAGGGAGCAACATGGTAGTTGGGGCGGTAAAGGCCTCGGTGATGAGCGACTTCGGCGAAGGAACGTTCATAACGATAAGGGTCCATCAGGGTAGGAAACCAGTACACGCCTGCGCCACCAGCGCCACTGTCTTCAACAGCCTCTACACCAGGGAGTTCGTAAAAGGCTTTTGTCATGTGTTCTAGTAGCAGATTTTATCAGTATCGACATTCTGTTACTCCTTGCCACAAGTTCGTACCTAATCCTGGGTATTCGTAGTTAGGGAAGCTTGCCTGGATAGGCGAGTCCTTGCCCCAGTACTTGGGATTAGTTGACATGTTGAAACGCTCGGCCATCTCAGGGGCAGGAGGATTCATGTGAAGACCCTAGTTCAAGACGAGTTAGCTGATATAAAAAAAACGTAAGCGGTCTGTTGAGCTCACCTTGCGAAAGTATGGCAGCATGCCTTCCCAATCCCAGCCATTTGCTTCAGGGAACAGCTTACCCCAGCGATCGTAGTCCATGGCTGAGCCTCGTGAAGCCATCATGGCGTTAACGCCGGAGCTACCGCCGACCATCTTTCCAAGCCAGACATCAACTGTGCGGTTGCCCAAGTTCTCCTGGGGTTTGGACTGCCAGAAAAAAGGGGCTGGCGCTGCGTACCGCCGCCGTAAACGGGGAGGGTATCAGCGTCAGAGGCGAAGATTCCAGCCTCGAGGACTAGGACAGTAGTGTTACCATCCTCGGTTAAACGATCAGCCACAGTGAGGCCTGAAGTGCCACCACCAACGATCACATAATCGTAAGCAGGCAGCAATTCCGATCCATTGGTGATTCGACAAGCTTGGTGCGCAGAACGAGGGATGCTGAAACTGTCAACCGATGACACAAGTGCGGCTGAAACAGCCGCGAGGGTCCACGCCAGAGAAGGTGACATGGTAAAGAGTTGTTTTCAAGGTAAAGACAGGTAAGTAGTTGATATTTGAAAGAGGAAGGAAACAAACTGTTGAGTTGGTAGCGATGAGAAGTGATATACGAATTGCTGAAGGCATCTGTATTTATACTTGCATTGCCCAAGGGAATGCCTCCAATAAACAAGTTTTTGTTACATCAATTCATGCTCACTCATGATGACTGCCATATTCCATCCCCACTGTTACGTATCCATATCCAACATGACCAGAGCACTGTTCACAACTATGAAGTTGTGTAAGAATAAACTCAAGTTAGATAAACCTGACAAATAAACCAGATTTTTCGTTCCTTGCACTGTATCTATCTGTCTTGCTGCTGACGCACGATTCAAATCATGGAAAGGGACCACATAAGTGGATTCACTAAAGGAGAAGTGGAACAAACAAATGGATCTCTAAGCTAACAATTTTAGCTGATGTCTTATTGACTAATGCTTAGAATTAGATACAGTCCACTAAAGCCGTCAAAGCTTTTTTCCTCATACTAGGATATTTAAAATTTACTCCGCTAGATCCGCTCTACATCCGCCAACCTAATCTCTATACTGCCTCGACTACACTCAGGAAACATAGCCTCGTTGTGGCTCTTGGATAAATCCTTCTTTCGCTGACTCAGGTGCCATGTTATGCATCAGCTTGTTAGCTACAATTCCATTGTGCTCTGATGGTTTATTTCCCTTCCTCGAAGCCTGACCTCCTTCAGAACAACGCCTCCAGTATAAATAGAGAATACAATAGCACCAATCACAGAATAGGCAATAATAGGACCCGAGGATGCACCTGAGAGTTGCAGACCGGTCCCACCGTTAATGATACCAATAAACATCAGCGCCCGGCCAAACCAGATATGACCGTAACTGACTTTGGTACGTTGCTGAAACTTGACATAATTTCGGTGGTGAATCCACCCTAGGATGGGTTGCACAACCATCAAAACGCAGACAAAGGTGCCGAGCGCAACGTGAGGGTCGGAGATCCACTAGAATTGACTTAGTCGGTATCATCTGGAAGGTAGTCCATGGTAAACATACATCGCCGCTGCGGTCGGCAGCAATCTTGCCAATACCAAAGCCGGCACACATGCCAATAAAGACGATAATCTGCCATGAGGCATGGATAAGCCACTTTCTGACGAGAGGCATAAGGAGGGACCCAATGGGGAAACCAAGCAAGAAGACAATGGACATGATAACACCATGGATTGTCCCAGTTGTCCCAGTCTTGTTGTCCCCATTTCCGCGCTCAACTAAAGCACCGTTGCTTGAGCCAGGACTGGACTGAGTGCTCGACAGTACTGGCCATACTAGAACTGGATGATACAAGTCGTCAGTTATCAGTCACGGCGTTCTCGAGACTTTCCCATGACTTACTAGCAAGTGCCAAGGCGGAGGCAATGGGTGACTTCACTGCATACTTCATGTTGAAGAATTGTGATATTGCAAATGATTATAGTGACAATAAGTAAAAGAGTTTTTGAGATATTGAATAATCTTAATGATTAAGAAGAGTCTTGTAGTATTATCACTCTATTGCAGATCCAGGACTGTATTTATACTTGCCTCCGCAGCTAATTGCTACCACATTAATAAGACCGTCTTAAGCTGCGCCAAGTCTTATTCGTCATCAAGAATAATAGCAAAGATAGCTTTGTTTAGATTACTGCGCCTCCAATATCCAGTCTCAGGCCTTGTTTGACTTGATATCTCGGCGATCTCTTGGTCTCAAAGAGAATTGAGTGGTTGAACTTCCGAATAGGAATACGTCAGCCTACCCTTCCTACCAGCATCTACCAATCCTATTTCTACGAGAGCAAATCAGAATTCAAGGATGACTGCGCTGCCCCTTGAGGATGGTAGTATACGTTAGCAATTAACGTCACTTCGTGAGACTCGGGCCTATAGAAACTGAGGTGTGTAAGCCCTACAGCCCCTGCATAGCTTAATTCGTTTTAACCCTTGTCACGCTAAAAGGTTAATCTCGGACTAAAAATGAAATGTGCCGTGACCGAAGGAATGCACTCTTCGGCATCGGCATTCGGTCCTGGCATGTCCGTGACCGAAATAACAATGTCCGGTCGGCATCGGTTACAGCATTTCCGTGACCAGTTTGACCGCCATATCACTTACTGGCTAATTTTCTAAATTCGGTCTTCAAAAGCGCATTTATTTTTATACATGAATTTATTAAATCTTAGTTGCCATTTTCATTTTAATATTCATATAGTAATTTTTACCTGAATCATTTGAAATTATTATACTGTTGGAAAGTTCAGTATTTTATTATTATGTTTATCATTATTGGCATGATAGCCTTGAAGTCCTAAAGGACATGGGCTATTCTAACTATTTGTGTTTTCCAATATGTAAAATTCGCATCTGTCTATAGGTTAGTCGCCAGAGGTGTGAAGGTATTAGTACTGAATGTGAACAGGTACTGTCTATTTTTATGTGGCAGCGCAATGCATACTTTGCCGTTCCGTGTTGGTTGACTTGGTCACTGACAATATGGAAAGCTATCAGTCACTTATAAACAAGTATATGATACGTTGTCCGACTCGAATACATATATAAATTATGGCCCTGATGGCCTCGAGTATGGCATGGCTCGCTGAAGTTCAACCGTGTCCGCTTCATTGGCGTTCAATAAAAAGCATGTCGAATTGGGTTGACAAGTCTATAGCTGTCACCATCCACCAACTCATGAGAATTCGCTCCGATCAACATATTAGTAGATAATTTATCTTCCTATCGTATCCTTCTGTCAATTCTCATGTCGGGCTCGGGCTCTTTGCCATCGTAGGCGCCACGTATAAAAACTGTTACCTTTTAGACCTTATACACTGGCAGCTCCAGTTCATCCAGAGTATCGTTGCTAGACTGGATAACCATAGGTTCAAGTTAACCACCAATCCTATAAATCTTATCCTTGGCGGTATTGATATGGTCGCGATATTCTTTATAAGAGGCATGTTTCGCAAGAGCTGCTCGCTGGAGGATCGAAAGGATCCGGACGATCTGGAACCCCGACCCTTGAATAGTGAAGCTATAGCAACGTTGAAAACCATAATGGCAATAAAGGACTTTGTACAGCACTCGAGAAGCTCCCTCGCGCTTTGTCATCCGAGCATTGCTTGTCGCTGGCATTCTGTCAGGCTTACTTGAAGAGTAAGGCGAGCAGTTCTCAAAAGATTAAGACTGTAAATTCATTTGCAGACTAGTGAGATACGTATGTCTAGATGCGACCTGGGCCTCACGGCTGAAACAAGACTCAATACACGGACATCACAGCTAGCCCATTCCCGACACACTAAATTACATCGGAAATGTCCAAGGGAGCATTGTGTAAAGCAAATCCAATGTTTCAGACGGAGATCGGATTGCCCAATTAGATTTGAGCATATTCTTCGGTAGCTGCGCATCTAGACTTGGCTAGAACTACTTGTGTCATTAGTGCCCCCCAGACTGGATCTAGACCATGTACCTCGACCAATATTGCTACGGCAGGAATTCTAAGATTATAGTTAGGAATAAGCGCACTGTATGTGGATCTTTGCACAATGAATGCTGCGAATGATCAGCTGGATTTGCCATTACTTCACAATCTACAGAGTACAATAGAACCTTGCGCATATTTATGCAAGCCACATCACCATTCACACCGCCAATTATACTAATCTCAATCCATAGACCAAGGCCGAGTCGGATATCTAAGCAAGATACAAAACCACGCCAGGATGGATAGATGGAAGAAAGGGATGGGTGATAGTCATTTTGAGGCCTTCCGCTTTCTCATGATTATTGTCGCAGATTGAAGAGCAACAACGAGCATCCCAAGATGCGGGCATACAGACAAGTGTGTATGTACAGTGACAATGAAATTTATGTTTTACGATGATAGCAAGCAGTTAAATCACTAGCTGAAAGATATGGCGTGACTTAAACAAAATAGCCCGTTAAGTAGTTATCATTTCAGAACATAAGAGAATGTTTACCACTAGGCCTATTTTGTCCTAGACAAGGATCTTGGCTCACCACATTACCCTAGAATGGGACATACTCATACCGACCCTTGACAGCTGAAGCCCTTTGTTTCAGGCTGTATGGACATGACTTTTCCCAGTACAGTAAACGCGTCTTAGATACGCTTCATATGATGCGTTTCTGGCCCGGGGTCTAGACTGGACTGGCTGAGACATTATTATAGACTGTTTGAATTTTACTCATTAACTTGTTTTTGTGATCAGCTGCAATAGCAGGCATGGATTCATGGTATCGACAGATTCGTTGTTTAGCTTAATCTATCACATACGTGAGTTCTCACCTGCATGGGATTCCCAAATGGATTGTGATTTGGGGGAAGGGAATGTCAGCCAGCCACATTCACGACATGCCTGCATGTGATGCAAACTGGATTGCGGTTTAAGGTAATGGAATGGCAGCCAGCCACATTCGCGACATGAGTTATCATTACGAATAACCTATGTGTGATATCGATAATTTACAAGGTATTTTGGCTCTGGGAAGAGGCTTAACGCGTGTGCTGTTCCAGTACACTTCTGTTTTCGTTTTGCAACTATGTCGGCAAACATAAAAGCCAACAGTCGCGCCGCATTTGAATCCAAAAACATATTGATATCTACCACCATCATATTAATTTCAGAAAACAACCATGGCACCAGCATTTGAATTCAAGGAACCAGAATCACTCATTTGTGAAGTCCACTCTGAGAGCACACTGCCATTTATTAGTTATCTGGTTCAGTGCAAACAGAATGAACTGAGCGGTTCCAAAGAAATCTTCCAGGATGTCAAGTCCAGTATCGGTGACGCTGATCGCCCCATCCCTGATGAGTCTGAACAGTTGGAAGATGTTCTGATCGGCCTGATCAAGAACGGCCCAAGCGGTTCGGGGCATAAGATACCCGGAAGCCCGACTGCAAGTTACTGCCAATATTGTATTACCCTACCTATACTGACCACACGCAGGTAACCATTGTGGGAGCTGGTGTGTCTGGCCTCTGTGCTGGATACGAGCTGAAAAGGGCTGGGTTCGATGTCACCATCCTTGAAGCCTCTTCCCGAGTCGGCGGTCGTGTCAAAACCTTTCGAGAGCCTACTTTTGCTCATGGGCTACACGGTGAAGGCGGTGCTATGCGCATTCCACAAAACCATTTCTTGCTGCACCAGTACATCAAGGATTTCGGGCTTGAGTCACAACTCTTTGAATTCGAGATGGAAAACAAGTTCATCTATGTTTCTGGTTACGAGAAAACACTGACTTATCCGGAGTTCAACGATCTTTTGAAAAATATGGATACGAAGTTGCTGTCTCTTTTCCCAGGCCTCCGCAATTCTGAGATGGGCAAGACTTGCGATGAGCTCTTCACCGATGCTGTAGAGCCGGTTGTGGACGCATTTTGGAAGGCTTATGGACCTGTTAAGGGCCCCCTGACTGCCGAAACTATCGATGTTGAGGCTATCAAGCGGGCATACGCGAGTATCACTAAGGACTATGACAAGTACTCACTTCGATCGTACTTGACTGATGTTGCTGAGTGGACAGAGGATGCTTTGAATCTTTATGACCTTGGAAATGCCCACGTTGTCTTTGAGAACGGTTTTATCGAGTCTTTTAAAGACGCATTTCTCTCCAGCAACAAAGGTGGCAAACAGGCTGGGATGCAGCAACTCCAGGATGGAATGGATGCTGTTCCTAATGCATTTGTCTCTATCGACAGAGGAGAAGGTTCGTGTGATAGTATATCGTATCGTATAATACTGGCAATCGTTAACACAACTTAGATTCGTTGGTTGACAACATCATTTATGGTGCTCGAGTCACTAAGATCGGGATTGATGAAAAACAATCACCAGGCATCCCCACTCAAGCTCCAGTCAAAATAACTTATGAAGCCACCGCCAACGGCTTGAGGAAGTCCATCACGTCGGACTACCTTGTTCTTGCCATTCCGTACACTGCGCAACGAACCATTGCCAAAACCCGACCATTCGTTCCCCGGCAGGAGATGGCAGTTCGCGACGTCCGTTATGTCGAGGTGACCAAGGTTCTACTCCAGTACAAGAAACGATGGTGGGAGAAGATCTTCGAAAGTGCTGGTAAAGGTAAAGATGGAGGCCTTGTCAGCGACCTTCCTATTCGATACACGATGTTCCCAAAGACAGATGGGAATGATCAATTCAAGCATTCTAATCGTGGCGTTGTGATGGCTGCATACACTTTTGAGCAGGATGCGACCATCCTCGGGGCTCTATCACCTGATCGCCGAATCCAGATAGCAGCTGAGAATCTCAACAGGATCTTTCCCGAAGCTAACTCACTGGAACTCCTTGAGGCTGGGGCATCGCAAGTTTTCCCAGCTGACGAACTTTCTGGTGGAAGTGCCTTCTGTTACTTTGGCCCCATGCAAAAGACAAAGTTCCTAGAGACTATGCAAAACTCGGACTGGGAGGATAGAGTTTTCTTCGCAGGAGAGCAAGCAAGCTTTACACACGGATGGATTCAGGGTGCCTTTGAAGCTGGGCTCCGCTGTGTACAGCAAATTTGGGCTGTTGCGTCTCAAGGCAAAGCTCAGGATCGTCTCTAAGTTATTTGAACGAGTCATTAGTGATTGCAAACGGCAGTCGTGAAATAGGTTATCACTCTCATTAGTCTAGATAGTAAAATATTTGTTTGTTATACCAGGGACGATACCAGCGACGTACCGGTATTTCTTTTGAATTTGTCACAGAAGGTTGACACAGTCCTCCGTAATATCTAAAGTACCTTGCTGAGGTGGTGCCAAAAAGAAGATCCAAGTCAACAAAGTGGACGGGCACGTCGCTTCTTAATCTGTGCCTTATACTCCTGCGTCCGCTACTCAGTTATTACTTTAAATGTCAAGGATAAATTTATGATCCTAAAAGGCCAATTAGCAACGGAATAGGTAGTACGGCAAAATGCAATTGTATTACCTCCAAACTACCAGATACTCTATCTCTTGAGTTTCCATCTATTGTGAACTTTACAAGGTCTTTTTTCTTCTTCTGCAGAGCCTTCGACACAGATTCCAAATTGCTGAAGTCGAGTCGATTTACCTCCTCCACTGTGTTTTTCATGATGTAGATAAACACTTTCACACTATTTGTCTGCCCATCCGAAGGGCTCTCGCAATAGCTTGGTCTTCGACTGACGGGTTCCACTGTGGTTTGATGATATGAACCTGTGTTGCCACGGTAAGGGTGAGTCTGTATGCCAGTCAGCTTAAAATCGATCACTTGGAAGATAGTTCACCCACCCAACTGCTCCGGTTCGCATAGTGATAAGAAGAACGGAGATGGTAGGGTTATTTTGAACTCCTCCAAAACCCATAGTCTCTCTGTGTTTCCCAAAGTGCCGTCGATGCGTCTCAAGACGATTCCTCTATTTTCTAACAACCTTTGCATCAGATTGAGGGTTGTCGTCCAATACGAAAAGACAAGGCTTAGTCGGTCAGTACTGTTGATCCAGTAGCCAAATTATTAGAGCTCCTACCTTTTAGAATGCTGACAAATATTTTCTGCTACGGACTGTAGTTTCGTTGACAACCTTGAATGAAGCCTTGGGGTTTTTGCATCCTCAATCTCTTAACATGGACTTCTATCCCCGAGGGGAGATGGTTTAGCCGACTGGCTACGGCTGTTCGAGAAGCTAGGCGTTGATACTGATAAGGGTCGATGACACTCAGGGCATATGGCGTCCCCGTTCAACTTTGCCATGCTGTCTTTCTCGGCTACGTTGCAATAATCGCAAGACGTGTGCATGTTCGCGTCATCCAACGTCTTTGGAGGCTCAATCATTGTACCGCGATTGCAAATTCTTCTCAGTTCTGATATCATAGTGAAGCGTAGGGTAGCTTTTTTCTTGTCCATCTTTGTAAGATTGCTGACATGATCATCGAGCTCGGACCGGGAGTTTCGGAAAATGTCGTCGTACAACATTTGTTCTTCAGAATGAAGTGATAATGTTACACGCTCATAGTGCGCCACGGGGAGATTTAGATACTTCTCTGTTCGTCTCAAGCAGATACTTTGGAGCAACATCTGGAGAGGGTTGGTTGGCCCAAGGCCATTCCTGGTGTGAAGAGGCTCTAAAATATACTGTCGGAAGACATCCACATTCGAAAATGGCTGGAATTTGAGAAATCGTTGAAGTGATACCAAGTCATTCATACAATTCTGGATCGTAGTGCCCGAGAGACACCACCTCCGTTCTGTGGCGAGTCTATCCACAGCTTTGAATTGCTTCGAACGTGGGTTCCGAATCCAGTGGGCTGGTATCATGTTATGTAAGTTACGGACCACTTGGAAGATGATGGCGAGAGACACTTACCCTCGTCAAGGACAAATCTGAACCACTCCACGTTTTGTAGGACATTGTGGCGTTTGCAGTCAGAAACAAGGGTTGGAAACGTAGTTAGTACAATATCATGATTCATCAAGGCTGTCGGTCCTATTGGCCGAGAGTTCCCATGGAAGGTAGAAACCCGTAGTGCTCCATCTTTAAATTGCCTGTTCCCCCATATGGTTAGATTTACTGATCAATATGTACGTCAGATCATCAACTCCTTACCTTGAGAGTTCATATCGCCACACCTCCAGAACCTCTTTGTATGTACTGACCTGGTATTAGGTAAAACTGTCTTCACGTCGAGTATAATTAGCCACCTCAAAGAACGAAAGACTTCGGGCAACGATTCGGCTGAAAAATTCTCCATTTCCTATTTCTATTTCAAACACGATCAGCCCAAGTACTCATTGGTCTTCATGCTTCTCACCCTACTGTCCCATCTAGTCTCTCAAGATAGGAGCTTGCTTGATCACGTCTACCAGGCTTGCTGTTCCGCCGAGTCACAAGAACTTCGATTGTTGGAAGAGGTCTCCCATCATGTCTCAATGGTCCTCCAGTCGCAATCCCGATGTTTCGTAGTTATCGATGGACTAGATGAATGTTCAGAAGCGCCCAGAGTCTTAGAGTGGTTTGAAAGTGTCATTTCCAAAGAGGATAGCACTTTAGGAGATACCGAGTTCAATATCCGTCTTTTCATATCTGGACAGCGAGACGGAATTTTTGAACAAAGGAGGTCCAACTACACAAGAGTTGATTTGGACAAATCCTCCGGGCACGAGCAGGACATCGAGGAGTTCGCGACGATCATGACCACCACAATTCGAGACAAGTTCTCCTTGGACTTACAAGTTGAGCGGGAATTCGCTTTGCGTGTTACTTCACAGGCAAATGGTATGCCCTGCTCTGTGTGTCTGTCTTAATAAAAGTACACTAATCTCTAACGCAGGAATGTTTCTCTACGCACAGCTTGTCCTCAACAATCTCTTCTCTCAGATTTTAAAGTATGACTTGAAGCAAGAGTTGAAAGCTGAAATGTTTCCTGAGGGGCTTGAACAAGCGTAAGAGGTCTGAATAGTTATACTTGAGTCCACGAGAGCTAATAGAGTGGCAGATACGAACGTGTTATTATTCGAGTGCTGAGAAACCCAACAAAGCCGATAGTGCCGTCGCGAAGCAAATTCTTGGAATGATTATTTGTGCTTGTCGACCTCTGCATTGGAGAGAGATACAAAGCAAATATTATGTCGATTCGAGCAGAGGAGACGCCGATATCGATCGTGAAATTGTGATGAGCCATAAGCAAATATGCAGCTCTATAGTGGAAGTCAGCTATCTCGAGTCATCGTCATCATCGCCAGGGGAAGAGATTATTGATATCGTCCACAGCTTAGCTAAAGCGTAAGTTGCCTAGTCTTGATAATCCCTGAATAGTATGATTAGTATTAGAAGGATGTGGAAAGCTAAATCAGGATTCGTTATAGGTATTTGGTGCAGACAAAAGAAATCCATATACCAACCGAGAATGCAAGAATGGCTCTATTTTGCGCTAAATATATGATATCTCGGCCACTTATACCCGGACTTTTGAAGTAGGAGATTCAACACTTTGCAACGATGGGCTACTACGGTTTTCATGATTATGCCACCGCATTATGGTGGAAACATGTGCAACAGGTTTTGACCGCCTCTGAATTGGACACTGAACTAGCCCGGAAGGTGTTACAGACTGCTCAGGTTTATCTGACAGGGATTGAAGAGATTGGAGAATCTGAAGCTTTTGATGCTTCTTTAGAAGCTATCCAGTCTCTGAAAAGCAAACTTTAAGGCGTCCCAAAGGACCTCCGGAATTGGAATTCGTTCAAAATCTACGAACTACGACTAGTTGCTGTCAGAAACGTATTGGAGATATTTGTCAATCAGCCCTAAGAACATAACGAGGCAACCATAGCTCTTTTTGGACCATGGCGGCACAAGTGCCGAAAGCCATGGTGTCAGTATTTCAACCACGGCTTCGACAGCGCACAGCAGCAGCAAATTCATATCAACCAACATGAGTTGCCCTTTACATGTGAATTTCAAAGGGTGCCCTGCTACCGAGGCTGGGTTTGAGAAAGAGACGGATCTCAAGAATCACACTCGAAGATGGCATCCTTAAGATGCAATTTCACTGTTCCCGACGCCGAAGTCTCACACCACGACTCATCCTGACATTATAGAAGCTGCTAAAACGGGAGATCTCGATACGTTAATAGATCTTGTAGAGACCGACTTTGTCAACTCAGACTACCAAGGAAAGAGTGGTAAATCCGCTTTACAGGCCGCAGTGGAGCAAGAGCATCTGCATATTGTTCAATCCTTGATAAGAAAAGGGGCGAATGTTGATATCATGATGTCCCGGCCTGCCAAGGGCAACAGATCCCTGGTAAATATAGCTGTCAAAAACCGTGACTTGGAAATCGCCACGTTTCATTGCGGTCTCGACAGAGTTTCTTTGAACGGGATTAGTCACGACTACTGGACGATGAGCATGTGTATGGATCTAATTCCATTCCCGCGGTCAATCATGGCTCAGATACTACGGAACGCTACCCCGAAATCGAACGAGAGGCTCTTCTCTACGCTATCAAGGAACAGAATGTCACGGCTGTGACATATTTGGCAGAAATCATCCACACGTCCTGCTTCTACGGTACTCTCGGTTGGTGCACAGATTTGCCTCGTTTGGATGCTCTGCTATCGTCAGGCAAAATTGACCCAAACGTCCGCGATCCCATGGGAAACCGTCCAATTGATGCCGCCTGTGCACGCGGGGATTCTCCAATATTGCAACGTCTCTACGCCGTCACTACCGCCAGCGACATTCAAGACGGCTCAGGGAATACACTTATGCATTTAGCCACCAAAGGCAGTCATTACGCGATGGTGGAATTTCTTATCAAAGAGAGGGCAGATATTAATACTGCGAATGAAGCCTGTTCCATACCGTTACAATTAGCCACGAATTCCGAGGTGCGAAGGCTCCTTGTCGACAACAGTGCGAAGATGCACCCGGTTGATCATTCCGATCGCCTAATGCGCGATGCTATCCATACAATGCTTTGAACCGACAAATCGGTCGATCCATCACTTGAGGAGGGCAGTATGGAACTTGCCAATCTGATTAATTCGAGTGACGTTCTAAATGACTTTAACTTTGATGAATGGCTGAAAGACCAGGATGGGGAGCAGAGCGCTTTTGACTTGACATAATATCTTATCGAGTAAGTGTTAATCATTTAAGGTAGTCATAGGGGATAGGGCGTTTCAACAATTTGCAACTATAGAACTAGACAATACCTAGTATACTATACTAGCATACAGGTGGATATATCTAGCTTTTCTTATTGAATGATGTGACTATCACGCCTTTCAATCTTATCAATACCAGCCTTCTCAGAGAATCTGACATCTTCTTCATGTACGATCTTGACATCACCAAAGATCTCATCTATTTCCTCCAGAGATTTACCTGAGAACGGTGAGTACACGCACATAAAATTTGCGCAGAGGGTCTTACCTCGAGTCTCTGGATACACGAAAAAGAAGATCAGCGCACATAGTGCATTGGTCAGAACAAACAGGATCTGCCAAAATGTTAAATTTTACTTCCAGCCGAGGCAGTCAATATTACTTACGTAGTACTTCCAGCCAACTTCCGCCAGGGCGATCGGCGAGCATTGCGTGATAATTAAACTGATAGAGTAATGAACAACCTGTACAATAGCATTGGCCTTAGCTCGGAGCTCAGTGGTGAAAACCTCGGGACTTTTATTGTTAGCATGAGTACATCAGTTTGTTAAGGTCTACTTACGGAATGATCCATGTCATGGGTCCGAGAAGAGCAGAGTAGTTCGCTGAAACAGCAAAAATGCACGCAATAAGACCTCGTTGCGCAGCAGCATTGGTAGGCATGCCAGGAACAGCAGGGAACTTAGCCGCCAAGATCGTAATGATCAAATAACAAACTGACAAGAGTGAAGAACTCGTGATCAGAATCTTCTTCCGGCCGATCTTGTCGACGAAGAACAATGAAATGAGACAAGCCACTGGTGCAACGGACCCATAAAGTCCACTGACCAACAACTGACGATCTTCGTCGAACTGTAGCGTAGCATAGATGGCAGTCTGATAATACTGTACGAATGAGATACCAGACAACATGGCAGCTGCCCAGACAAAAGAACCGACAAAGAGTCTCTTTCTGAAGGAGGGTGTCTTGATGAGATCGCCCCATGAGAGAAGACCCTGGGCTTGCTGTTCTTCAGAGATGTTGACCTGGATAACGGTGAATTCAGTTCGACACCACTCTTCGTTGGTGCCATCAAAATGATAGTTCCGGAATGCTTTCTCGGCTTGATCGTGGCGGCCTTTGAGACACAACCATCGAGGTGATTCGCTGAGGAACAAGACGCCAACTCCAAGAATGAGAGCTGGAATGCTTTGGATCGCAAAGCCGAGACGCCATTGATTAGGGTTGTGCCATTTACCTTCGGCAACACCTATCCACAGGGCGACAAAGAAGCCCCAGGCGGTCACTAGAAGGTGTCAGTGGTTACGCGTATTTCTTGTAGTGGTTGACGTACTCATTTGATTGACTGCTGTAACTTTAGCGCGTTCATGCGTCTGAAAACGGTTAGTGACTTTATCAGTGGATATAACCAAGAATTGGCTGACCTTGGCAATCTCGGCTCCGAAGACCGGAGATACTCCCGTGATGGTACCAACAGCGAAACCAACCAACATACGTCCAATGATGACTGTATTGTCGTCAGAAACCTCATTCATCAAGCTGTGGATAGCTTACGCATAGCAACATGAGCGGCTCCAGCCATGATAGCACCGCCAATGACTCCCCAGATACATCCAAATGCGATTGCCTTGCGACGGCCGAGCCAGTCGCTGGTGATACCCACTGAAGCACTACCCAACCATGCTAAAGAAATTTCAGTATCTGAGCCAAAGCCAATGGAGTTGTCTTACCTCCTGCTTGGTACATGGACACAATTGCACCTCGAAGAGGAGGAGGCGGATTGCCAAAATAATTGACAAACGTGCCCAGAGCTAAGCTCGGAGTAATGATACCCGAGTCACTGATAAGTTAGTACAGGGTAACCTCATAGGATAAACCGACTCACAATCCATAGAGAAATCCCCCAATTCCAAGGAATATAGAAGTAAGAAAAGGCTTACTCAGCCAAGCGTCACTCTTCATGATTGTTTTTTTCGAGACAAGAGTGAGATGACACAAGTTGTCCAGAGAGTAACATGCACCCTCTTTATCTCTCTTTTTTTGAGAAATAGTTAAGCGAAGACAAGAATCGCCTAAAATAACCGAGCGTGGGGTCCCCACGTCAAAGAACGTGGGCCATGCCTATTCCCGTTTAGAATGCGGGGTTAGCAGGACAAGCAGCGACTTCGGTTACAAGGCCAAGAGTCATTAGATCATCCTCTATTCACTTTAGTATGAGTCGTGACGCGGGGGTGGTATTTCCCTCGGCAGTTTGGGGTGGCAGTTGGCCGGGCATGGGATATTACAAATGCATGAGTTCGGCGTGTTGATTACCCGTGACAAGAGACATTACTTCGCAATCTATCCGTATGTGGCCAATGTTTTGATCTGTGTTCTCTGTCATCTGTCAAGATGGTCGTTAAAATCTTCGTCTACGCTGCTATCGCGGTAGGATTGACGTATCTAGCCCTCTTATTTCCAAGAGTACGTTGTCTCACCTAGCCAAGACGTAACCTTTGCTTACTAAAACTCACAGTTACAACAAGAATATAAACTCTGGTCCCATCGCTCTCAACTACCCCCCGGTCCAAAGACGATCAAAACAGGCATCCGCAAACCATGGCTTTGGTTCCAGCAACTTAGCCAGGAATACGGAGACGTAGTCTACCTTCAACTCGGCCCGACTCCAACCATCATTCTCGGCTCCGCACAAGCAGCATGGGACCTCCTAGAAAAGCGTGGCGCGGTCTTCTCGTCGCGACCGCGCTTCATCATGGGCGGTGAGCTGCTGTCCGGTGGTATGAGAGGTCTAATGGCACCATATGCTTCTTACTGGAGACGCTGGAGAAAGCTTCTGCACAGCGGCTTCATGCAGCGGCAGAGTGAGACATATAGACCGATCCAGAGTCTTGAGAGTAAGGTTTTGATGCATGAGCTTTTGAAGAGCCGGCAGGAATTTAGGATGCATTTGGAAAGGTATGCTGCGAGCGTGATTGTCACGGTCACTTATGGGAGGAGAGTTGAGGACGTGAGAAGTGACATTGTGGTGAAGCGAAACGCTGAAGCTATGGAGCGTTTGACAATGGTCAAGTAAGTCCCCAAATCCTATCCCGAGGCCTCATCTGATAACCGATGTCTTTCAGTATTCCTGGAAAGTATGCCGTTGAACGTTATCCCGCTCTCAAATACGTGCCAAGCTTCCTTGCGCCCTGGAAGAAGGAAGTACTTCAGCAACGTGAAAAAGACATCCAACTCTACACAGAGCTCATGAATGAAGTTCGGGAAAAGGTAGCGAAGGGTACCGCACCGACATGTTTTGCCAAACACCTTCTTGAAGAACAGCATAATCTTGGTATGACTGATCTCGAGATCGCATATACAGCGGGATCACCTTTCGGGGCTGGTGTTGAGACTGTAAGCACAATATCATCCCCAGAATGGCTTGTGAAATATTAACAAGAACAGTCTGCTGGTTCACTTGCAAGCTTCCTTCTCGCATGTGTCAAATTTGGATCTCAGTTCATTCCCAAAGCTCAAGAAGAACTTGACCGAGTAGTTGGAACTGATAGACTTCCCACATTCGACGACTTACCTAAGCTTGAATATGTCAGGGCTATTGCATCTGAGACTCTTCGTTGGAGACCTTTAGCCGTCCTTGGTGGAACACCTCATGCTAGCACAGCGGATCACGTATACAAGGGCATGTTCATTCCGAAAGGAAGCACGGTTATTGCCCCTCTATGGACGCGTAAGTATCCTGTCGTGAATAGTTTAACGTTACTGACATTTGTAGTTCATCTCAACGAGGCCGACTTTCCACAACCACACGAGTTTAGACCTGAGCGTTTCATGGAAGAGAGAGACTACCCCGGCACACTGGGACACAGTGCCTTCGGCTGGGGACGCCGTGTTTGCCCTGGGATGCATCTCGGCGCGGCATCTGTCACACTCAATATTGCGCGAATTCTTTGGGGCTTCGAGGTCAATCCCGAAAAAGACGAGAAGGGCCGGGATATTGAAGTCGACATGTAAGTTTCTATATGACATTTCGTATTGGAAATACTGACGGTTCGTAGCTTCGCGTATTCGGATGGCTTCAACTCAAGTCCATTGCCTTTTCCATGTTCAATCACGCCTCGCTCTAACAGTCACGCTGAAGTTATTGAGAGGGAACATGGGAATGCGTTGGACGATTTGGTTAAGTATACTGCTATAACGAGTCAGGTGTCTTGAGCGCTCATCGTTGAAGGTGGTAGTGTGTTAAGGTATGGACTTGCGGGCGTCTTCAGTTGATCTCGACGAGATGTCCCTTCCTTAACTATGACGCCCAAATGGCTCTTCGAAGTAATTAAGTACTATTGACTGTTAATATTATTTCATTAAAGTCCAGCCTGTTCGAGTCTGCGAGTCCCAGGTCGTTAAAGCCTCTATATACGAATCGACACTCACCCCGACTGCACTAAGACTCTATCTATTTTCTACAGTTAATCCGATAAGATGAGCGACAACAATGCGCCCTTAGATCTCGATAAGGAATTGTTAGATCAATGCGAATAGCGCGGCAAGGAACTCTGGCATGCTCTCAAAACCAGACTAGATACCGGAGCCACTGAAAAGACAGTGCCCATATTGAGCAACAGATATCCTTTACAACAACTACATTCTTAATCTAGAAGGTACCAGAAATGTTGGCCTAAGTTTCAAAATACAAAACTAAATAGCCTACGAAGCATGGTCTAACCCTCATAAATTTACCTACTGATTTCGTCTCTTATGCTACTAGCGGCTATCGTTCTTGTGCCCGCCATTCTCTCCCATCCCAGAACTGACCAGACCACCTTCACTTTCCATGACTCGACATCAATGCTTAAAGCCAATCGAACGTGCCGTTATCGTGTTGCTTGCCGGTCATGATTCTAACTCTTCTCGGCTGACCAGGGTGGTTGAAGCGATACGTGATACAACACTGCTTCTGTAGTCCAGGATTGGGATCAGAACCGAACCAGGGATCATTAATGAGGAAACTGCCTCTAGACTCAATCAATTGTTTAACCTTGGGTACGAGGCCAAACGGGTCGTTTGCCCATCCAAGTTCCCAGTAAGTCTTGGTACCGTACGTGATTGACAAGACGTTTATCTTCTCTGCAGTAAGACCGTCGAGAGCACAGTCCTTGAGAGCGTTGATTTCGTTCTGCTTCTGGGAGTCACTGGATCGAGCCTGATCGCGCTCCGAAAGAGCTTGTGAATACGCCGCCTTCTGACGTTGGATTTCCGCGTCTTTAGACTGGATTGTCGATGTTCTTTCGTTGATTTGAGATGCTTGAGAAGTTTGAATTCTTTCGGCATCCGCCTTGTATTGAGCATACTGCGCGTTCAAAGCGGCATACTCACGAGCCTGCTTTTCACGAGCAGCGTCGGCATCTGCTGCGAGCTTTTCGGCGGCAAGCTTCTCCTTCCTGAAAGACTCCAGTTCGCGTTGCATAGCATCGTATGACTGCGACACCACGACACCTGTTCCGGAAGAACCATCTGGAGGAGGCATAAACTGGTTCAGAAGACTGTTGACTTGAGGAGTCTGGGGCATGATGTTGGTAACCTGACCATACTTCGAAGGGTCGATTGGTTCCTAAGTGAAAAGTAAGTTTTTCTGCCTTGGAACAAAGAGTATTAGTCATTTTCGCTTACAGGTAGCAAATCCTCCCACACCTCTGGTGGCATCAGAGTATCGAAGTTGAACTCGATTGTCGGCTTGCTGACGTCGGATGGAGTGGTCTCGGGTGCCAGGGCTGGAGTAAGTGAAGAGGTGGGCGAATCGCTCCCTGATTTCTCCACAGCGACCAATACTTCATCGTCGCTTTCTGACTTCTGGTTTGTGGCTGATTGTGTTGAATCTTGTGCAGATGCTGCCTTAACTGTCAACGTTTTCGGCTCCCAATTGGCTGCATGTCCCAAGGCCTTCTCAATGATCTGCTTGACTAGGGGAACCCTGTTGGTGGTGGACCAAGCTCCCTGTCGTTTCAGCACGGAAGGGTCTTTACTCAAAACACCGATCTGTCATCAACATTGTCAGCCAACTGCAGAATAGTATAAGTCTCAATTAGGTCAACTTACAGCTTCAACGATTTTTGTCTGCTCATCCCGCAGAGCCCCACGAACACTGAGGAGTGTCTTCAAGTTGGTATCGATGGCATCGACAACGCCGATACGCTGTCGATAGTCCTTACGGTTGCTGATGATGTTTTGGATGTCCTTGAGAAGCATCTTGTAGTCCATGAAGCTATCAAACAACTCTGCGGTAAAGCTCGCAATCAGATCATACTGTAGAGTTTTGACAGGTGATCCGGTACTCCACTTGACGAAGGATCTGTTCGCCTTGTACGGGGTTAGGATAGCCCAAGTACGCTGAGGACACTGCGCCACTGCTGCCGGGAATGCAGCCGCTGCTGCGTACATTGAGTCAATGTCCCAAGCACGACTCGCCTCTTTGATTTGAGCGCCGCCGATCCAGCTGATGGATATGGTGGTTTCGGTGTCTTTGAGAGCGGATGCAAGATTTGAGCGGACTGAATTATCAGATGGACCAAGTACAAATTCTTCAACTTCGTCCTTGCTAGTCATGTTGAGGCCTGATTTGATTCTGCATGCACAAATATGTTAACATAGATAAAAACAAATGACGGAGAGAATCTTTACTCACGTTTCTACTGTGCTTTTCACATCGTGACCATCCAGAACCTTGATGGAGACGATACCCGTAAAGTCTCCACCCTCAATGAAACCTATCGTGAGAGTTAATAAAAAATATACAAGGAAGGTACTCTTTGTGAAAAGGGCACTGACCGGAAATATACGAGTCACCGTATATCTCATTGAAGCGAGAATACATAGCCGCATCATTGTTCTCAAGCTTCTGAAACTCACACTCATCCTCAGTAGAGATGGTTTGATTCACAACCTGGGATTAATTAGTGTTCATGCCCTACCATGCGTAAGCAGGTTGGTCATACCTTGACGGCGACAACTGCATTCAAGTGCGATGACTTGAAAGTTGTCTCGTCGACTGTGCTAGAGTTTCCACTAATCTCAATGGTACCCTTCTTGATCGCGGAACTATAAGAAACATTCATAGTCTCAACGACATCGCTCAACTTTTCCACAAAACGAGCGGAGTAAGATACGACCTTAGTAACATTTGTTAGTAAAAACGTACAATATTTCGACACATGAGACTTACCTGGGACGTTTCGCCCTTCAATTCCACAGTCTTACGCTGCTTGACTTTGACAGCCTGGTCAATGCATAATTCGTGGGTGTAGGAATTAAATCCTTGACCCAGACGCATCGCGTCATTGTATGGGGCGAGTCTGAGAGTCATGCTGGCAAAAGATGTGGAAAGAGACTCTATCAAGAATAAACGGGATACTTGATAGTAGGATTCGGGATCAAACAATTGATTGAAGACTTGAAGTGATCAAGTTGCGGGATGAGTGGTGCTTCCCTGGACCAGTATAAGTGGCATATGATCACTCAGCTGTAGTGCGAACCTCAGTCTTCAATAGCTCGATGGAAACGTTTCTATACCATGATACCCGCCACCGATTGCGGGTGCGTCGTCTTTGTCTCACCGTCGTAGTTACGCGATGAGCCTAAATGAATCTAGACCGCCCCAGCCAGGGTGTTATGGTCTTATCAGCGGTTCCAAAGCCAGCTGAAAAAAAGATAGGAGTTACTCGGTCAAGGCGCAATTGCAAATAGTATTGATCTCAGGCCAATTAACTACTAGGGTTGTCGGCCAGGGTGCACATGCGATATTCCAATAGCGTCAAAATAAGGGTAGGCCTCAGCGCATTGTTTCCGCTTTAAACTATACATGTAGCCCCAGATAGTTCTAGACTCTAAATTAGGCTTTCGGGATCTCGTAAACGGTCCTGTCACTAGCTGGAGGAGGTACTGGAATTGCCAAATTGAGAACGGCCCGCCGCCTGCCATGGTCCCGCCCTTCTAGACCACTGACATAACATGCACTACCTCAAACGGCTGGTCTGGGTCTCACAGAAACAATATTCAACATGGGTAATAGTGGGGAGCATGTATGAGCTGAAAAGCTTACTGCATTATCCGAATCCGTGCACCTTCTGTACTTAAGAGGGCAAAATGCATTTAAGCAGTTAGTCAGATGTTTTTTTTGCATACCAATAATTCCGCATATACCCTGCAGAGGTGGTTCAGCTCACCACAATTTGAGACTATCGATTGCTACGAAAGTCCCGACTTCGTTTAGACCGTACAATCATCCTGGGAATGTCTGAACTATCGAACCATGCATCGTTACCAATCCTTAACCCCTCTTTCGGGGACGGCCGAGTTGGATCCTGCACATTGGGTACCCCAGGAAACAGCCAGCCACTGAATACAATCAGATCTTGCTTCTACATATGTCATTGCCTCCGACCGTTGTCCTTAACGACGATCGAAGCCGTCAAAGAATCTGTATCAGTCCTTGTTGTTGAAGATTGTTATTGTGTTTCTTAATTTACTAAACCAACATTTTCAAAACTGCAATCATGTCGACAAAAGTCAAGGCAGACCTGACGAAGCCAAAGCAACCACAAGAGCCCGTGGATGATTCTGAGGATGATTCTCTACAAGAGCCAATTCCGATTCAATCGAACGAGTCCAAGGGTGTGCCAAAGAATAAGCTCTCTGCTACTGTCAAAGTAACAAGGCTCGCCAATGCGGACGAGAAGTCGAAAGATGTCGTTCTCGCGACTTTACAAAGAAATGAGTATGACTTGACATCATTCTCTGGCCTGGCCTGACTAATACAAGTACTAATTACCGTGTACAGGATCAATCAACTGTCACTGGCTCACATAAGGCAAAAGATCAAATCGATGTGAGTAGTGCAATCTCACAATACAGTAGACATTTGCCCTCTCTAACCTTGGCATAGCGATGATACAGAGACTTTTTGCTTCAAAGATCAGAGTCCAGCTGATGACTCACTTCTCCTTGAAGATTATCTGCAGCAATCCTTTGATGGTGACGTTGACTTCACTTCCACATACAAGCCTGCAAAGAATGGAGAGCAAGAGAGCATCATTCACAAATGCTTTCTCTACCTCCCGCCGCAACCCACAGCAGAAGCTCACACCATGGCTAACAACTTGGCTCTCGCCAAATTTGTTGTCAAGGTCTTTGAGTGGTCCGCGGGTGAATCTGGCGTTGCTAGCCGTGGTAACCTCCAGTCTAGCAAGCTTGGTGTTCCTGACGCCACTTTGATGACACTGGCGGGCCTTCGCAAGCAGCTTGCAACATGCACAAAGATGTAAGCTTCCAGTGCATCCAGATGGTGTTGTGGGGTATATCACTAAACTAACAACACTACAGGTCAGTAGCACCGAAAACTCACCAGTTCTGTACGCAATCTGGTGAAACGGTTGTGGATGAGGCCATGACATTTCCCGATTACCTGTCGCTCGAGGTATGGCTTAACCCATGAGTACTAACAAATCTAGACATCAACACCTAAGTAAATTGGCTGACACTGGACTTTCGATGCCTGTAGGAGACTTCAAGTGACACGAATTCTGAACTCCCTTCTGTTCATGTATTTTACAAGCTAGCCCACCCAAAGAACGAACCCCCCAACATCGATCTTAGCAATCTTCCCGGTAAACTAGAAGCGGCAGACACCAAGGTTAAGGAGGTAGGCTCTGGTGCATCGTCCAATCACGAGTCCTCGCTGACATTTTGATAGAATGCATTCGAGAATGGCAAAACCGCGAACACCTTTGAATCTCGTGCACGAGCCTCCGAATTGCCTGAGTTCGGGCAAGCCAGTACTGGAGCTGCTGATAACGATTATGCCTTGTATGTCAGCCTCAACGCGGAGAGCAGTCGCTTGTTCTACAGCAGCATAGCTAACCTAATTCAGGCATGCATCCTACCTTACTGACTTGCAGTGGGCCGAGGTTCTACGTAATTGTGGTGCTATGTATGGATGGGTGGTCGACCGCCACAAGAATAGAATTGTCCGAGCTCCAAAGCCGGGTAAGGCTCCGGCTTCAATCTCCCTCATTTTCTGGATGAATTTGAACTGACACTACGTGGCAGCATTCCAACTGCGAGCCAAGCTCTCGGAAGATGCAACCCATGCCATCCCGGACGTTGTCGAAAAGGCTCCGGAATCAGAACCGGCAAAGAAGGCGCAGATTACACAAGCTGACATTGACGAGATCAAGGCCAAAGTTGGGAAGTGGGACGCCAGAAGTGGTATGAAGGGAGAGTTACCTGGCATTACGGGCTCTCTCGGAGTAAAGCTGATCACGGAAACTAGTAAAGAGGGTATGATATCTTCTGGAAAAGGCCAGGTATCGGAAGAGTCACTAACTAACAATCAGGAGACACAAAGGTTGCTACTAAGGATGCAAGCACCGAGACAACAGAGCCAATAGCCGCCCCCGCCCCAGGATCAGAACCACAGGAAGCCAAGTCTCCAGTTGCCACCAGTGAACCAGTGCCTGGCAAGGCTGTATATACAGTCTTGCCGAGCTTTCAGGTGAACGATGACTCCAGAATTGAGATTACTATCAGTAGTCATGAGTTTGAGACGAGCATGGCTAGGAATGACTTCAGCAATCATTCTACAGAAGGATCAATGTAAGTCCCAGAAACCATGCAGTTCACGCCATGGACTCCGATGACCTTTGTGATGCGGCAAAGTCTAACCGGCGAACAGGTCAGGAGGCTTTGGAGGGTTTTCAGCATCAGTTAGTGCAGGATACAGTAAAGAAACCTCGAAATCTACCAAGGATACGACCAACACGTACAAGAAGACCATGATCGCCAAATATCTGGTTAGTAATTTCCTCTAACCGCTTTATCGCACCATACTTATAAGAATTCCATAGCTACCTCGTGCCGACATCTTGCTTCATCCCACAGACTTGGAGCCTTCGCCCGAATTCAAGGCGGCACTCGAGAACATTCGCACCAACAAGAACATCGCTGATCTACGTAAGTTGAACGAAGACTTTGGTCAGCTTTGGTGTCAGCGTGTTACCGTCGGTGGTCGTCTGCAATCGACGTCCATCATGACAGACGAGACGGTCACGTCTGAACAAGAGCAAAAGGAGGCTATGAAGGTCTCTGTTGGTGTCCAGGTGACTACACCTTTCGGAGGTGGTGGTGTCAAACATACCAATGAGAACGGAAAAGCCGAGTCAAAGAGTACGGCAGATGTGAAGAAGGACGAGAGCAACTTGTTTGAGGCGGTGGGAGGTGACACCATCCTTGCAGCCAAGTAAGTTACAGTGGTCCTTTCAAGAGACTAGACTGACCTTCATCAGTCCCACGGCGTGGTCCTCCACTGTTGCCGATTACCGTACATGGAGAGTCATTGACGTAAGTTCCCACCAATTTGTACATCCTTTAAACAACAAGTCACTTACATATGATAGCGTGACTCTTTATCTTCTCTTGCAGACACCATTTCCGCCATTCCGGGTTACGCCCAAGTTCGCAGCTGGTTCATGCAGGCGGTCCCTACCCTCTCCAAATACATTGAACTACCTCCATCCCGTGAGATCAAACTCAGGTTCAAGTTGACGGCCCCGACAAGCCAACTTTCTCTTTCCTATCTCAAAAAGGTGGAGAATTACGATGCTGCTGGCGACCCGATCTATTACCTAGGTCACAGTACCGGAGCTGATGTCAGACCTGTCAAGAACGAACTGACCATCTCTAACAATGCCTGGGCGCAGTGCGATATCACTGACGCTCAGCCGCTCTTCAGTCCTCAGAGGTAAGCTCATCATTCCAGACCACTGCGTACTCGAACTTTTAACTGACGTGCGGTAGCTACCGAGCCCCGGTAATTATGGGATATCGTTCAAACATTGTGGGCGATTCGGCATATGGTTCGCAGTACAACCAGGACTACACAAATTCGCTCTGGAACGTGAGCGCGCCTTTCAACGATGCGGTAAGTTTGCCAAACTAGTCGATTAGTTCCCTCGACTAATCATTTCATCCTACCAGCTTGCACATGGTGTCCTAGTCTGCATTTCCACTGTCCCACTCCCGAAATCGGCTCCCACTGCTGGTGCAGCAGTATCAGCAGCCCCCGATACACCGCTGTTCCTGGAAGTCTTCCGGAACCAACAATCCGTCTTCCTACCTGGCCTTTCTGACTCGTCTGAGCGTCATTATTGGCGAATCCTCAAGCATGGTGCCAAGTCCAATGGCGAGTACATCAAAGAAGGCGATGAGATCTACTTTGCCTGGGCCTTTAAGGACCAGACAGGAGGGTTCCGTGACTTTGCGCAGGACGTCTTTGGTCGTAGACGACTGCAATTCCCGGACAACCTGAATGGCAAGGTTTTGTACATGAAGCTCCCTTGGCCGAGGTTTGAACCTCTCGCCAAACCAACAAATGGTAAAACTGCTGTGGCAAACACGATGATCTTGACGGATGATCCTATCGCATTGAACAATACCCCGCAGATGGCTTCTATCAAGACCGCACCAGGCATGATGGCCGCGGCTCAGGCTCTCAGTCAGAGAAAGACTGCGACGGACGCAAGTGTCTTTGGCCTGCAGGATGTAAGATTTCGGGTCGACGTTGTCGGTAACGACGGCTACGGCGATGTAGGGAATTGCCTGCTGAAAGGTCTGGAGCAAGGGACAGAGAAACCGGTGGCGACCGATCCCAAGGTCAAAGCCATGCAATCTCTCCTACAAGCGCAGCTGAAGTACTATGAGGCTCTCATGTTTCTCGGGGTGTAGCCTTGTTATGAGAAGTGGTCGCTTCTCGATGTGTGTTGGAGATTTATGTTAGTCATAGATATCTACCACTCAATTTCTGCCAGACGGAATGTTCATAAGCCCATTCTAGTTGAGGAGTTAGAAGACCATAATGGCATATTTGTTCAAAGTATGGTCTACATGTTCAGTTATTCATATCCTTTCTGCCTTGTTTAGGTAAAAGTCACTTCATCTATTCTCAGACTAGGAGCAGTTTAAAGAGACATCTACGAGGTTGTATACCTACCCTGAGCCTTGCTATATAGCCTTGCAATCTTAGAAGACCTCTATATATTATACATATGCCCATATAGGAGTATGAGATGGATAAGACAGCGTTTAGTCCGATAATAATAGTTATATGCACCAAGTAATAATACATATTAAGAAATAATATTCAGTTTGGACTAAGTCTTTTTAACTGACTGACCAAATGACATTATATAACACTAACTAAAGGATATTGGAATTGATCTTTGTACCAGGATACTTTTTCTTTATCCCTTCAACAAGGCTTTCGCCACCCACGGTAAGATCCTTCAAGGCAGGGCATGACAAATCCAGGAGAGTAGAGCTAAGGGTATCTGTAATAAGCTTAAGGGGGGCTAAGGTAGAGAATATAGTGGAGAGAGAGTTAGGACTAGCTGTCTTGACAACCTCAAAAACGAAGCACAAGAGATTGTTGCCCTTGAGTAGTTTTGAGAGATTCAACACTCCGCCAGTGATATCGCTGATGTCAATGCCGGCATAGCTATTGACTTCTCCAATATTACCACCGATACTAGTGATGTTAGCATATATCTTTTGCGAAATCCATGGTAAACCAAACCTACCTTCCGAGTTCTGGGTATTTAGTAATCAGAGCGATGACATCCAAGTTCAAGTCAACCAAACCGTAGTCCACAGGTCTACGGTACCAGTTTGTTGGAATTCTCTCCCATCCTCGCTTGTAAGTCAGCTTTTTACCTTCCTCCTGCACAGCAAAGAAACTTCTCAATGTCGCACGGTCTATGTATAATTAATATCTTTGCCTTTGTATATGAGTGGCAAACTTACCCATGATATCTTCAACGCTTCCTTTTGTATGATTAGAAAGCAGACGGCATGCAAAGAAGTATCCAGCATTGCGAGCAATCATGCCAGTAAAAGGTCCATAGTAGAAGTTGGGGTTAGTATTAATGGTCTCGTCAAAGCGGATCTTGGCTCGCTCAACGAATGTGTCAAAGTCATATGTGCCTTGGTCCGATGCCATGTCATAAAAAGACTGGAACTGACCCAGAACCATAGTAGAGGCATCTCCGGTGGCGTAAAGGTCAGCCCTGGTGTTGGATGAGTCGCCTTCGATGATGTTGTGTGATCCATTGAGCCCTCTTGGCTTTCCCAACAGTCCCCCAAGATTACCCAAGATATTATTCGATCCACTGGCAGTGCTTCCAATCGAGAAACCAGGATTAAGAGACAAAGGATTGCCAACAAAGACTGTGCCCATGGTTGCGAGGATTGTAGCGAGGTCTATTCCCATTCCATAGACTTTGTTGATAGCGCCCACAGTTTCTACCAAGCTTGTGACCCCCTTGCGATTGATGTAACCGTGGTTCGCTAACGCGTTGAGGCCCGGGCAAGGCCCACGTTGATCGCCCTTGTCGAAGTTTGGAGGTATAAACTCATGTTGGCCGCTCACGTCAATGGGCTCTTTAAGTGCATCAAACAACAGCCGCTTCTCGTGGGTTGAGAGGACGGCTTCGTTCACTTTGTTGGAGAGCCTAGAAGCCGTGGCATGTCCAACAGCACCGTGAAGATGAGACGGAAACCCATAAACCTCATTGGCTGTCCAAAAAACAACAGAAAGAAGGTGATGCCACTTCATGTTGAAGAGCTGACAAAAGAGTGTGTGGCCGTGATGAAAGAACAGTAATGTGTCAAGTCTGACTGGTTGAAGAATGGGGAAACGACGTTTCTTGTTTGACTATCTCGTCTGCCCTTGACCATTCAGGGTAGACTGGCTCGTAAACACTAAAATTAGGATCTGCTTAATTTGACGAGGTCCAATCTAACTAACAATACCTGGCCTGGTCGGCATTGTATGATTTGGACAGCCCCTGCTTTCACTAAGTTTCACTAGTCTAGGCGGTCGTGTTTTCTTCCTCCCCTAGCTCCCCTAAGCATGTCACTGATAAAAAACATATGCAAATCTCTGACCCACCTACGTGCCTGCCGGCAAACTCTAGCGTGGAACATTTAGTGGATTTTCAGCCCTGCTCAACGACTTTTTTACTATTCTCAATCAGGATTGAGTTCAGCAACGTTCGGGTTTATATGGCTCGTTGGAGTAAAGCCGCATGAATCAAGCTACCAAATTTTGAGTAGGAAGCCATCAAATGACTCGTTAGAGTTATGTAAACTACTGTCAATCATTATAGTAAAACTTTACAAAATGTAGAAAGGCACTCTTTAACTAACGTTGTAACGTCAATTTGCCGAGACAGTATCCGCACACACTACACAGTGGGTAGCGTTACATAGATTTACAAAACTAACCAGAACAAACATGGATCTACGATGGTAGTGGCTAAGCCGAGTCAGTGTTGTCGCTCCTTTTCGTTGACTTGCGCCCTGTCGCTGCCCGCTAGTATGGTCACCCTAGGCCCGTTATATGGGTCGAAATTGCGTAAGGATCGTCGTCTACAGGACCATGAACCATCATGGACCTGTTATGTAATGCGATGATAATCTGTGCAGAACTTTAAATGATTTGTAGGGCAAGTTCATTTATTTTCTACCCGAGACCGTGGTCCTGGGCAAGTTTCAGGCCGAACAGATCATATCAATCACTTTTTCTCCGGCCCATTGGGCTGTTTACTGACCCTTCCTTCTTGTTTTTTTCTAGAATTCTCGGTCACTGTCGTACGTAAGACATCATGAGATTACTTGCGTCTCTGTTGTGGCTTTTGGCTGTTTTTCAGATTGGCGTATGGGCTGCAACACCCCCGACAGAGCCTCCCGCATGTGGTGTATGCCTTCCTTGCTTCACTCACTGTTCACAGTCTGCTGACACCTGTACCAGGCAAAATGCATTCAGCAAGAAGCCATGAAATCGCCATGCGGTCTTAACGCAACTTGCATCTGCACAAACGTCGAACTTAATGAGAAGATATCCCTTTGTGTTCACGAAAACTGTTCCGTGAGGGAAAGCCTCTGTAGGTCCCAGCATCGCTACCCGGGTGAAAGTAGAGACTGACAAGAGTTGGAGTGGTCCAGAGTTATTCCAAAAATACTTGTGGCGCACCGTCCCGCGATCGTACTACTCTTGTATGGGTCATCGGTGTTGTATTTCTGTCTTTAGGCCTCTTGGGTTTCATTCTCAGAGTCATGGCCAGGGTAGTTGTTGGAACACAAACGTGGGGAGCTGACGACTGGGTCATGCTACTCGCTGTGGTATGTCGCATCCTTCGACCCATCCGAGATAAAGACTCACTTCTGTAAACAGGCCATGATGATACCCCTTAATGGACTTTCCGTCCAAAGTAAGTCGTCTTCGGTAATCTGTTTCCCCATTTTCTGACAAAGTTTACAGTATCTCGAGTTGGACTTGGCAAAGATATATGGAATGTTGAGCCCGACGATATTACCGACTTTCTTTACGTAAGTCTACCCAGCTTTACGCTTTCCCAAAAACTGACAATGGAATCCAGTTGTTTTATTGGGATTCCCTACTATACCTTGGGGTTCTGCCTGTGACCAAGATATCTATTCTTATCTTCTACCTCAAGGTATTCCCAGGTCGAATGATCCGCATGACCTGCTATATCTTCATTGGTCTCAATGTCGCCTACTTTATCGCCTTTGAGCTCGTTTCGATTTTCCAGTGTACTCCAATTGAAGGTGCTTGGAGGGCATGGGACAAAGAATTCCCTGCAAAGTGCAACGACATCAACATGCAAGGTTGGATGGCTGCAATCATAAACATCTTTTTGGACGTGGGCACCATGGTTATCCCACTAAAAGAGCTTTACAGGCTATCAATGTCCACCAAGAAAAAGATTCAACTCATGTCGATGTTCAGCATTGGAATCTTGTAAGTCATTATCTACTTTATCCATCACCTTTCTCTAACCATGCTGACGAGTCTTTAAGTGTGACGGTCGTTAGTGCTGTTCGTCTTCAGTCCCTGGCAAGCTATGCTACCACAGACAATGTGACTCGTAAGTACTCTTGTGTTCCTCAACGGGACAACTTTCAGCCTCTCTAACATTTGTGCAGAGGATTATGTGGAAATTGGCTATTGGAGCACGATAGAAGTTCCCGTGGGCATCATATGCGCCTGTATGCCCGCCATTCGTTCACTTTTTGGTACACTCTTTCCCCGGGTATTTGGAACGACAAACAAGAGCAAAGATGCGTACGCCAACATTTCGTACAACTCTGGGCACTTATCGAAGTCTCACAAGCATGATTTCAAGGGTATAGCAACCCTGGACACCCGCGTCGAGGCGGACCTTTCTGCGTTCTCGCGGCATAACGACGATTCGTCGATAATGGAACTAACTGATGTAGGCCGGGAGATGGGGAAAAGACCTGCAGTTCCATCAGAGCCAGTGTAGGAAAGTCAATTATTGGTCTCTCTCTCATGCAATATTTTCAGACTTAGCTATAGCCATCAGTAGACAGATTGTTCTGGGAGCAACCCAGCCAGGACCTGTAAAAGCAGAGTGTCCTCTCATTATCTGTACTGCATATCCATTGTCAGCGCTGTTTGTATCGTACGTGATACAGTTTTATCTAGTTTAGTGGCCCCTGAAATAACAGCCCGTTACATAATTAGGCCTTTAACGTAATTATTTCGACGAAGTAGGCTACTGCTCTAGCAGTTACAGGGACTGCCCCAAGGGCCTATCTTACCCAAGATGAGCCCCAGGCTCCTTTTATACTCCACAATCATAAAACTCTAATTTAGAGCTTGCGATAACCTGATCCCTGCATACGTCAACATGGGATACAATCCACCAATAAACAGTCTAGGCTACGGGTAATCAAAACCGTGAATGACGAATGCCCCCCGTTGGCTTTAGTAGAGGTAGATCTTCAACAGTTGCCAGTCAGCTGGATTATCTACATGACTAGATAACTGCAACATGACTCTATCTCATACTAAAACTCGTCGATCCCTGACATGTTCGACTGTCATTTATTTCCGTATTTCACCCTAACGCGATAACCACCAAGACTAAGACTGCAGTATACTGATGCTTGTAGGCTCAACTGTCAGCTCTGACTTTATCGATGGAGAAATTAATACTCTGTAGCCTGCAGGATCATCCCTCTCGCTCCCTGGAGGCTGGAGTGTTGGGGTTTCCCTGCGTTGTTACATAGTACGAAGTTAGCTTGAACTAAATATCTTCAGTCCTGTACGTGTGTAGCTCTACCCTGTTAGCCCCATCCCTTGACAGGGTCTATGCATCCGCAGCTAAGCTGGAGTTCGGGCTATTGTCGGGAATTCCAAGTTCTGATTATGATTCCCCCCGAAATTACCATTGCTTTTCCGTCTTTAAACATCCTATCAATCCTGATAAATCTCCTATGCTCTCCATACATCTCCAACATTGAGTGATGGTCTGTTATTCTGCTTTGATCAAGGGTAGCCCTGGTAATAACGATTACAGAATCTCAGGCGGGCGCAGAGTCATGGAGATTTGAAAGCCACGTGTCTATGGATTCCAGGTAACGGGCGTTTCTCATGGAGCCTTGCCCCAACCATTGGGTATGACTTAGGTTTCGCCAAACCAATTGGCAGCGTCCTTGGTAGATTTGAGCTGTGGCGGTCGGCCCGTGGAATCCACAAGTTTGATACCAGCGCGGAAATTGTTTGCATCATACTGATCAAATAAGCACTTAGTATCATTCAATTCTTTTGCTTGTCATGTGTTCTATTCCCGAGCGTAATGGCCATGTTCGTCAATGTATCGTATAAATGAAGTAATGGTTTCCTAATAACATTATGGCGACCAGCCTAGCCTTTGCTTAAACAATTTTTAGTAAATGTTGCAATTTTTCTCTCTACAATGAAAGCAACGCCCTAGCACTGGAAGATTAATTACGGCAAAAGTAGGCTCAGGTATCTTAACATAGTCTTGTTTCTAAGTGGAAATTAATTGGAAAGAGGAAAAGATTAGATGGAGGGTAGTTTTTCAGTTACCGTAAAATATTATATTTCTTAATAATAATTAAAGTACGTACAGTATATTTGGGTGAAGATGTTTCACTAACAGACGTTCAGCTAGTTGTGTTAACTAATGTTAAAGGAATATATATATACTACGTGATACTTTAGTGGAGCGATGATGATATAGACTGTTGTTGATCACAGAGCGATTTGGCCCTGGAGCGCCATCTGTTGAACCGAAGCTACCCTGTACAAGCTTGTTAACGGTTTATTTCATTAAAAAGAATCTCAAGAGGGGTACATATGGTGAGATTCATCTGACTCAAGGACGCTTCATTAGGCATAGCATAAGGCATCTACCCAAAAGAGGGAAATTTGTCAGACCGAAGAGCGATCTAAGACAAATCACAATCACAATACATACCAATTTTTACATACGGGTTCACCATATGATAGACCCGCTTATTTTGTAAGGTTATACTCAAGGAGGAATAATGTCTTTGCATTGCTATGAATAATTCTAGTAATAGAAATTTCGGAAATATGTAAAGAAACAAAAAAAAAAAAGAAGAGGGAAAAAAAAAGCTATATTATTAGAATAACTTTCGACGTTAGCAATAAGTAACAAGCGCACAGCGATTTACAATCGAGAACAGAGGATATATGGTGACCCAAGTTCAGGGGCTGAGAAAAAAACAATAGTGCCGACTGACTATTGGTATCTGTGGTGGGTTCGAGAACATACTTATGTGCTTATGTGGCTAGCTGAAGCTTATCGTTAAGCCTAAATAGGGCTAGGATGTCTCTGTATTAGTTTTAGGACCTTCTCAAACTGACACTATTGCTTTTGTTTGCGATAAACCCGCTTTACAACAGGCATTGACTGGTAAAACTAGCGACAGAAGTGAGTGGACAGTAATCTAAAAGTCGCAACTTTTTCAATATTAATCCAAGACAGCGCATCGTGCGATGGCCCACATAGCCCATCGGTGGCCGACTCAGCTGGCTGGTTCACCACTGCAAGAATAACAGTCTTTCTCCCTTAACTTAGATCTTTTATAATATAAACAGACAGACGTCCTTAGCTAATACCCAAATCCTGAGATCTTCACAGAGTTGGATGAACCTACTGCAACTTAGTTCTCCACGCTTTACACGATTTATCGCTACCCCTTCGATATGAGGCCACAAGCAACGCTTTATGCCCTCTGGGCGTTCCTCATACCTCTCTGTTCATCGACACCCTGCGATCGACTAAGCAACCCTTACGACAGCCCTTCCAACACACAATTTGAGGTTATTTGCAATGCATACTCAACCGGCGGCAATCAAATCGGTCCCTCCTTCGAGGTTATAGATTTGGAGACATGCATCGGCCTGTGTGCTGATACCTCAAGTTGCAAAGCGGCACTCTTTGACCGCAGCGAATACCTTTGCTACTTACTTGACGGATCGGATGGCCCAGCGGTTAATAATCTGTATGATATGGCTCTTTTGCTATCATCTGCACCAGCTACGACGTTCTCGACTACAACCTCTGACGTCTCGACTACAACCTCTGACGTCTCGGCTACGACATCTTGCAATGAACTCGACAATCCATCCTACATCGATGGTGTGAAATTTACACTCTTCTGCGGCTACCAAGTAACGGGCGGTAATGCGGTCGACTATAGCAACCAGCTGCAAAGCTTGACAGAATGTATGGCATTCTGTGCTGATACCCTGGCATGTCGCGCAGTCACTTTCGACAAAGGATTTAACGAATGCTACTTGTACGATGGGTTCAACGGTTTCCAGAGTGACTTTTACAAGGATATGGCTGTCGTGACATCTCGACCAGCTGTCTCATCTACAACTGAAGCTTTAACAGACATTTCTACAGCTACCTCATTGTCGGCATCATCTGAGACTTATTCAACTATTGAATCCACCTCAGAGTCTGAAGCATCAACACTATACACAAGCGCTTCGGCGTCGATATCATCCGGGTCCCCAGAGACTACATCATTATCGTCATCATCAGCACTCACGTCAGAAATTACATTAGCGGGTACAATAGAGTCGTCATCATTTACAACTACATTGAGTGCAACCTCCGAAGCAATTATTTCAATTCCAACAACATCGTCACTATTTACCACATTATCGTCTTCACTAGACGTCCCTTCAGGAACTACATCAGACTCTGCACTTCAGTCTACACTGGAGTCTACATCTGATTCAGCTACAACCTCACTAGAGGCTATCTCGTTATCAACTAGACTGTCAGCATCTACATCAACAGATTCTTCGTCATCGCTATCGTCGGAATCTGTCTCAGAGTCTACATCGGATACCCAATTGGTATCTACGTCAGCCGAAGAGTCAGCTTCTCTCGAGCCTACTACTGTCGCAACAAGTATTGGCTCAATACACACCGATACTACCAACATCGAGATGTCGACCGCCGAGACATCAGCAATTACGACCTCAGCTACCGTGATCAAACCAACATCAACAGGATCGAGCTTGAGCGATGCTAACCGTGTTTCAACTGAAATACAGTCCACATCAGAGGTTTCCGCTCTGCCTTCGGCCTCATCAACACCACCTGCAGGAAACATTCCTACCCTTGGTGAATATGCCTTCACAGGGTGTTTGAAATCCCTTGAGGGTTATCCCTCCTTTCAAGAGGTAGCAACTGATCCAGAAATGACTACCCGAAAGTGTGTTGGCTTGGCTCTCGGAAGTCAGTACATTGGTGTCTATCAAGAGTAAGTTTTCCTCATTGGTGTACCGCTTGAAGTGTGTTTTGAGCAGTAAATGTCCCAGCTGTTGTCAACGACGAAACTGACATAGTCTGTTCATTTTTTTATCTATGAGTTCCCAAGCTAATGTTTATAAGAACTTGTTACAAGGCCGATGTGCTGGATGATACAGAATTTATATCGGATGCACGCTGCGATCTCCCATGCCCTGGAGATCCCACCCTGTTCTGCGGAGGCATTCTCGGCAGTGGACAAAAGCTTCTGCATCGTGCGATAGCGCCTAACCAGCTCCTAACCCTCTATCGCAAAAAGCTTCCCTCCACTTCCGATGTCTTATCCCCTTCGGCCTCCGAACCACCCTCTTCTTCACAGGCTACGGGATCCCACGCTTATGAAACGACTTCCGAATCAAGCGGTCCTTCACACTCCACTCAAACAGACTCTCCATACTCTTTTTCCTCCTTCACAACTAGGGATATTGGCTCAAAGACGCTTTCGGTCTCTGATTCCACCATAACAGAGACCAACTCTGAAACTCGCCTGCCAATATCTCTCCCTACCCCAACAGCCATCCATATTGCTTACTCGACTCTAACCATCGACCATGCTTACACTAGGACTCGATTTGCCGAGACAGTAACCACTGTTACTTACACTACTGTAAACCCAAGCAATCCTGCATCACTAATCACAACTTGGGTTCCTATTACCCTGCTCTACAGCCCTTGCGGGTGTAAGCACCAGGTATACCCAACAGTGGATATGACAACTGTTGCCTGTACCCAAGGAGGAGATATTGTTACCCTAACAGTTCCAAAAGCTGCTTATGAGACTGGTCGCGAGGGCTATACACAACCGATCGTTCAATATCCGTCAGGCTGGGTTGGAGGGCATCAGGCACACGCTGGCAGCAATAGTTATCCTACGGGACGGCCCATCGGAGATTTTCAGCCTGGCTCGAAGAATGGCCAGCCTGAGTACTCTGCCGTAGCCACAGGATTACAGGATTCCCATCCCAGCTACAAGGCACACCAGCCCGTGACCCCTACTTCAGCTGTAGGATCAAATGGTGATAATCAGTCGGAACAAGGGAACCCGCAGCCATCTGTTCCAGCTCAAAGCTCAGCAGACTCCATCAACAATAAGCCGATGAATCCCCCCCAGCCATCATCCCCGAAGAGCTTGACAACGGAAACACGCATTATCCCTACTTCTCAACCTGGCAACTCAGCACTTCCATCTCAATCATCACATCTCGACCAGGGTCAAGCTCCTTCAGAGTCCAAGGGAGCGCCCTATGCTACACCAGTGGTCGTTTCAGAAGCTCACAGATATGATTTCACATCATGGAGCATGATTACTGCAATAGTCGGGATATTTTTGTTTTAATAAACACTGGCAGGGTCAGATCTTCACACTTGTGATTGGGATCGTGTCATTTGATTACTTCATTCACCTGTGCTGGCCTTTCCTTATAAATGCCAGCGGAACTATGATATTTTAACAGCTTTAGCGTTATCTCCAGTATGGTCTGTGAGGCGCTCGTTAGCCACGTAATTGAGACTTTTACTACATACTTGTATATAGTTTAGACTAGCGATTTCATACTTATACCAATTACTTGTGAGAACTACGAGATGGCTCCTCGCAAATAAAAGACCTGCTACCTCGTTGAATGCATTCAAAGCAAAGGGCACAGTTTTTTCACTAACATGACTGACAAGCCAGCCTTCAGGGTATCAGAAAAATTGACCGCTGATAGCATGAGAGACGAAATTATTAGGTCACTTTATGCTCCTTAGACTATAGTTCTTAGACGACTTATGTTTATACCCTAAGACTGAGGAGGCCTTTTTTCTGCTACCCAGTAGCCAGCATCAAGAGAGGCCAGCCTGCATAACGAGGCTCTGAGAATATGCCTGTGACTGGTCAACAACTCACTCCAAGATCAGCAAGCATCTGAAGAGGGTGTGCAAGCCCCCAACTCTAGGTCTCAATTGGTAAATATCATCGAGAAGACTCCACATTGTTCATCTGGTTCTAAGAATATGTCGTCTCTGAGAGTCTTATCCGTAAGCATGATCAGCCCATACGTATCCAAGTGCCAGCCGAGTTTTCTCAGTCATATAACACCATGCGGGGTAGGGAGGCCTCATTTTCTTCATTTTCATTATCTATCATCCTTTCTTATTGCAATATTTAATTGACTACTAGTTCTATCAAATCGTAACTTCAGAAGCGATGAGCACTCCACCACAAGGTCCTCCTTTGCTAGGTGGAGATCCGACTGTACCGCTCAAAGACAGAATTATCGCAGCCGTTCGAGACGCTACGGGAGCCAAATCTCCAATCAATGCTTTCTTCAATGCTTGGGATATCCTTGGCCTTGTCGATGACTACAAGCGCTTTGTCCACGAACTTGAAGAAGCTCTGAGGATCGAACTTGACAATGCCAAGATCCGAGCTACTATCTCTAGCCGGGTTAAATCCAACTCTTCTATCGAAAAGTCTATACAACGTCGCCAAACGGCTCAAGGACAAAGCTACCATGATCTGGATGAGATTTTCAAAGGCATCCATGACCTTGCGGGTCTTCGGATTGTTGTGGATTTCCCTCCTGGCATACAAGCCGCCCAAGAACTTGTCCAAAGGCTAGAAGTAGTGGGCAAGAGTGAGATTGCTTCAGATCGAGACCTTAGCCTGGAATGGAAGCCCCGCTTTGGAAGTTTCGAGAGTATGAATTACCGTGTCAAGATTCACCCTACGCCAGACCATGCCCTGTACATCTATCGGGATGTCTTGATTGAAATCCAAGTCCTCAGCCTCGCAGAAAGTCTTTACAACAAACTAGCACATCCTTTAGTTTATAAGAAAACATCCAGGGAGCAGCTGTCTATCAAAGATCAAAAGCTCATTGACGTGTCTCATGGGTTGTCTCTCTGTTATTGGATCTGTCTCTCAAGCATGCAAGACCAGTTAGAAGGACCGGAAATGCCGGAGGCAGTGCGAAAGATTGGCGCTGGAGGAGATGATGTTGAGATTGAACACGGCATGGCGGAGGTTGTCCATGCCACACCACGTATGCCGACATCAGAGGGAACCATTTCAACCACTGCCTTGTTGGACTTCATCCGCGAGAGCCAAACAAAACAGTCTAAGTCATTCGAAGAGCTTCTTGGCAATCTTCTTCAACTAGCCAAGCATGCAGCCCCGACAACCGTCAACAATTTTAGCTCCGGGCATACAAGCAATAACTTCGGGAATATCAGTAACTCTTGTGGGTTTGGGCATGTCAATCACGCACCAGCGACGTACAACAATTACTATACAGGGAATCCAAGTTCTAGTAAGACTCCCGGCACCAATCATTAGCTAGATACAGTGGCAAATATTAAACATCCTCGTGTCTTTTAGGTAGCGCATATGTCAAAGCACTGTTCATTACCGACCCTCGAGTCGACAAGGACGAGATCCAGGACGAGAAGGTTGGCTTACTCAAGGAGTCATCTGACTGGATCCTTGAACACGACGATTTCAAGGACTGGGACCGCGGTGATACGTCAAGCCTCCTTTGGATCAACGGCGAGCCTGGAAAGGGCAAGACAATGCTGATGTGTCGCATCGTTGATGAGTTGAGTTCTAGAACAAATTTATCATATTTCTTCTGCAAGGCGAACGAGCCGAACGCAAACAACGTCACGTCAGTCTTACGAGGCTTGATGTACTTGCTAATCCAACAAGACGATGTGGCAATGAGCTGTTTTGAAAGGGAATGTCAAAGATATGGGACGCAGTACTTCGAGAACAAGTCATTCACGCTATCCCAATTAAGAAGAATTCTCCAACCTGTACTCGCGGCTCTCAGTCCCCGGCATGTCTACCTTGCAGTTGATGCCCTTGATGAATGCGTGGAAGGACAAAGACTCCTCCTGGAAATTATCTCAGATAACTCTCAGTCACAACACGTAAGATGGATTGTTTCGAGCAGGAATAAGCCTCTTATCACAGAGCATCTAGAGAGACCCTCAACATGTATCAGCCTGGAACAAAATGAGATTTCTGTCTCTGCAGCGGTCGTCGAATACATTAAGCACAAAACGACAGCTCTCTTTGAACTGAAGCGATACGAGGAGAAAATGATGCAAAGTGTTATGAACATCTTGTCCTCGAAGGCCCAAAGCACTTTTCTATGGGTGTCTTTAGCTTGCCAGATGCTTGCAGATAGGGAGAGCTTCGATCCCGTGGGTGTGCTTGATGATTTCCCTTCTGGGCTTGACTCCCTTTATAGCATGATGCTGAAAGAAATCCGATCGACCAGGTCCTGCGATCTCTATCAGCAGATCATAAATGTCGTTCTGACAGTACTCCGGCCGGTCTCACTACACGAACTCCAGTTGCTGGCCCCACTGTTTCCTAAGGGATTGCGAGACGACAAGATGACTGAAGTTATACGATATTGCGGTTGCTTTCTCAGTGTGCGAGATTCTTTTGTTCATTTTGTGCACGAATCCGCCAAGGATTTTCTCTTGAACCCCAATTATGGTTTTGATTATGTTGCGGAGCAGCAACATTATGAAATACTGATGTCTTCACTCACGGTTATGTCCACATTACATCTCACAAACGACTTCAAATCTGTGAAGTACCCTTGCACCCAATGGGCGTTTCACATCTCTCACTGCAACCTTGAGGCACAAACTCGCGAGTTGAAAGATGAAGGCCATATTGACGCGTTTCTACGGAAAAGTTATCTTGAATGGTTCAAGGCTTTAGGCTATCTTCATGCAGTGTCTGACGGGATACTTTGTATGCTTGAGTTGAGTCGCAGAATTTCTGTAAGTAGGGTTCTATGATTATTGTTTACTTGCAAACTAACAAATCCAAGGGACAGGTTTCGACTTTCGCTAGACTTATACAGGAAGAGACCTCGTTTATGCGATATCATAAGGTTGGCATTGAACGATCTCCCAACGTAATCTATGGAGCGCTAGTTTTCAGTCCGTCATCCAGCATCGTTAGAAAGGTGTATGGTGAAAAGGAACCAAAATGGATCACAATGAAACCAAACGTGGATGATGTACCAACCCCGATGCACTCACTCGAGGGGCACGGCACCTATGAGGTTGTGGATATATCTTTCTCTTATGATGGCCGCCTACTAGCATCAGCGTCCAGTGATCAAACAATTCGTGTATGGGATGTGGCAACAGGGGTATCAATTCATATCCTGGAAGGTCACCATGCCGTTGCGTGGTCGGTTGCCTTTTGTGGATCGAACTATCAACTTGCATCCGCTTCCGAAGAGATTGTTATTATATGGGATGGGGAGAATGGGGCAAACATGAATTCGATCCACAATAGTGTGGGTGCGGTAGTATCACCCTCAGTGGCGTTGTCCAAACGCGGAGACCTAGTTTGCGGCTCAGCAAAAGACGGATTCAAACTTTGGAATTCAGAAACTGGCACCTTGATCCGAACATTTCCACAGAGATTCGACGAACCAAAGGGCAATTCTGTAGCAATTTCTGGGTGTGGCAAGTTCTTGGCGGGGGCACATGCACGAATCTTGCTCTGGAATTTGGAAAGTGGAGAGCTGCTGTATAAGTCTCGACCATGTCAGGAATTCATGATATTTAGCCCATCGCTCAAATTCTCCGCAGAGAATAAATTATGGGTTTTCGGAAATTCACAATTCTTTCTACTTGATCCTGGCAAGAAAAAGATTATTTTGAAAGGGAGAACAAGAAAAAGGGGCCCTGACAACGATTATTATATACCTCCCGACAGTACGCTGGATTGGGTGCAAAATCATGATCGATTTTTGAATCTTAACCTCCTAGCTATAGTCAGTGGTGCCGGAATCGAGATTTGGGACCTCAATGTTCCTATGTCTACGTCTATTTCAGCCCAAGCACGAGACCCCTCGAAACTTCACCGTGTCTATTTCTTTCCTAGTGGAAATTTCATTGTCTCAAACCCTGATTATCGGTCATTTGCTATTTGGCGATTCAAAACCAAGAAGATCACCAAAAAGATTTATCACGAATGGACTCCATCATCCCGGTCACCTGTACTGGCAACGGACGGCAACATAATTGCTTATATCGAAAAAGGCAGGTTGATGATCAGAGACATGAGTACAGGACTTAGATACTGTCAGCTCGAAGAAAAACTTAGCAAGCGCGGTCATGGAAAATTTACATTGGGCACCATTTCTAGTGATGGAAGATGGATTGCATTGGGAACCCGGAAACACATCCACGTTTACGATATTAAGAAGAAAGAGTACTGCCAACATCTCAAAAATTCTCGTGGCGCCAAGAATACGGCGGTTGCATTTTCTCATAGCAGCCGACAGCTCGCAGTCAGCTTCACCGTTGGCTTCACCAACTTCATCAACATATTGGACACTAATTCCTGGACTATAAGGGTATTGGACATTCCAATTGAATGGATGTTTAACGAATACGATAGTGTCTCCTTATTATTTTCACGAGACGATTCTTCACTAATGTTTTCTTATGACGAAGGCTTGACTCTAAATCGAACAGAGATCTACATCTGGAAGCTGATCGGGGCGCACGACCCTCTAAAACTAAGACTGGATTCTTCCTGCAAGTTTCGGTACTTTGATTCAGAAACGTCTGTTTTTACGACAAATGTTGGTGTATTTAAGTTCACGCAAACTGGTGCCCATTCCAAGGGCTATGCAATTAGTCCGAACATGCAATGGGTTTTATGGCGTAACAAACCTGTACTTTGGTTACCACCCGAATTTCGACCACGGGAAGAACCTGGGGGCTATGAGGTTCATGAAGGTCACAAACTTATCATCGGCCTAGCCTCCGACCGTGTTTTGTTCCTTGGGTTCGATCCTATTGGGCCACCAGCAGATTCAGGACAACCATCATTTCTGGTAGAACCATGGGGGCACTTCACGAGATCAAGCCGAGTCTCGTCGCCTGCGAATAGTGAGACAGATAATGATTAATTCTATAGCTTAAATATTTATCAATCTGGCAGGTCCAGTGCACAATCACAACTTACGAACTATGTACAGTGAAGTGGGACCTTTGCTTTGCTAGGGAGCAAACTAGGTGACGCCTCCTGTCTACACTAATTTGACCTATCCTTGCTCACCTCATCAAGGGACGTTACCATTTCTCTCCAGCAAGGTTGAATAGCGGGTGGTGTCAACAATCTGTTGCTAACGAATCCATACTCTAGCCTTTCTTTCCAGGAGGCGAACGAGCTAGGGGAACCAGTAGGTAGCAGAGGAATTACAATCCTAAGTCTTAGGGTATAAAAATAAGTAGTCTAAGAACTTTAGCCTAAGGAACATAAGCTACCCTAAGCATTTCGCCTCTTATGCTTTCAGCGGTCGATTTTTCAGATACCCTGATTGTAGTATACGGTCTTTTTCTAAGACTATTTGTTACGGGGAATATTAACTACATCATGCACTAAAGTCAATCAACTTCTTGACTGACTCGACAGCCGCCTGCGTGTACTCATTTATATCCGTGTTTTCTCCCTCAAGCCCATCAAAGACCTCAACACTCAACCAGCTCCTAAACCCAGTCTTCAGAACAGCAGCCATCATGTCTTGCACAGGCAAATATCCACCATCACACGGTAACGGCCTGTAATCATGACTCCATCTCGCTCTGGGTCTGCTTCCCTCCTCATCCTTGACATCCTCAATTGGGGGATCCATCTTATATGCGTCCGAGATCTGAAGCAGGTAGATCTTATCCGCAGGGACGATCTCTGTTAACTCTTGAAGGCTCGCTTCCCATCGCTTCTGGCGTTCTTCAGAGCTGCTTGCTGTGGTGAGACCGTCGTTTGTGGTGGGATCGCCCCATTCGTATCCGGCTGTCTGAAAGGTGTCGAGACAGAGACCGATGTTGGGTCTGTCAGCCTTTTGAACGATTTGCCAGACTGTCTTCCATGTTGGGGCGTGGGTGGCCCAGCACCAGTTTTCGTAAGCGATGCTGAAGTTCTTTTCGGCGAGGAGATCTGCTAGTTCTGCAAGATCTGATGCTAGGTCATCAAAGGAAGATGAGATGCCTTCAGAGTCGGATGAGCCGACCTGTGAAAAGTTAGCAATCTAGTCAAAATAGAGTGGTGCCTGGTTGACTTACCTGAAGGAGAGTAATGCCAGCAGCCTCCATTACCTTGATCCATCCTTTCGCTTTGTCAAAGACTTGTTGTCTCTGTTTATCATGCGTGCCCTTCTTCCAACCCTCAAAATTGGCAAAGGGCTGCAGCATCATGATCTTCAATCCGAGCCCATCTGTCAAAGATCTGATCTGCTTCGCCACATTGGCGAGGATATCATAATCATCATCTTGAGGTGAAGATCCATTGAGTATTTCTCCGTAGCTGATAATATCGGGCATTGACAGCTCAATTCCGTCAAATCCGGCATTTCTGATCGCGTTGAGTTTGTCGGGGAGGCTGGCCTTGGTCTTTATGGGGATGCTGCATGATGCGAATGAGATGGGGATCTCCGTCCCTTGGTATTTGATCACCATTGTAGTTAAGTCTGAGGGTTGTGGGATTGGGGAAAGTGAGTTGTGAAATGTAGATGCGAGGTTGAGATGGTTCATGAAAGTTGCGATAAAAAGGCATCTGACGATGGTTGACGTCATTGTGACCGCCATCATGGGTCCGTTATCATTTCGACCTTTGACGACAACTCCACGTAATTCCCAGACTTGAATCTTTAGTGGACTTGGAGTAAGCGAAATAAAGTGATTGATAAGTCCAAGCAACAACAATATTCATTAACAAAAACTCTCATCCTAGACATCGATCTAAATAATGTTACACAGCCCGCCTTGAACGATGACGGTATCCAATTCAAAAGTGGAACGCCATTATCAATAACCACCCATAACTCTTCCATATCCAGTCCTGCCCTGGGGAACATTGTTTAACAAGTCCTTTGCATACGCTGCAGCTGTCATGGCTGCGTAACCCTGCCAATCCTTGTTCTTATGAGAATCGGAGTAGTCGCAGATACCACGAACAACTAGGCAGGGAATAATATCCATAACGCCCGCTGCTTCCATTTCAAAGCAGAGGATATCCTTCTCCGTGGATATCTTGTCTCTCAGCAATGCGTCTCTGCAAAGAGTGTTACCAGAAGCTATGAGTCCGTAGTGGACGGAAGGCTCGAGCTCAAACCCAGTCCGCTCTAATCGATCGACCAGGCTTGAAGGGTCACTTCCACATTCTTGGAGGCAGGTAGAACCATCTACTTCTGAGTGTATTACATCAGGGAGGTAGAGCTGATCAGGAGTAGCAGGACGTCCGTATTGCTTTTGTAGCCTTGGATATTTATCCAGTGTGGCAACAACCGCACTGTGAAGCCGGGTACCTTTGGCGTTGTGCTGAGCCCGGAGTCGTTTTGCCGCTTCTTGGAAGACCATAGGTGGTTGTTTCAAATGTTGGGTGTATTGGAAGTCTTGATGTTGGATTGCTCGACCAAAGTCATACTGGAAGACACCACTGTGGTCATTACTCGGTGTGCTCACCACAACATCCCCTAGACGTATATCGTTTTTGCTATTCGGAGCACCACCTGCAATGCCGACCAACAAACAAGCATTGATGTTGGGGAAGCTATGTTTCATGTCCGCTGCGACCATGGCAGCCCTATTCAAGCCATACTGTCCTGCAGGAAGAACAGTGATGACCACATTATGATCGCCTATTCGACCAAGGGTGTAATGGTTGTCATCACCCGGTGATCTGCATCTGGGTTCAGGGTGTCTTTCGTCTAGGAAGACTTGTGCAGCGACGTATTCGGTTTTGAGAGCGGTGATCCAACCAATAGTATAGACAAGAGGATCAGACATAATGAAGGATGAATGATGAGACAGGTTTGAACAAGTTGGAAATGTGATTTGGTTGTGATAATAACAAGGGATCGATGCGTTGGTATATTTGTTTTGGGTTGTACTACATAAGATATATTGGAGAGAATAGTGCCTCTTTTTATCCCCAAGGATGATTCCATATAGGATCTAAGCGCTGGGTTGCTGAACGCTTGCACGGCCGTTATGGCGATTACTAAGCGCCAGGGAAGCGCCTATCCCTATCGCATGTCTGTAGTGGCCATGATGGAGCGAGGCCGGTTAAGATGAAGTAACGTGATTGGACATAACCTCGTTTAAAGTCTAGTTTGAAACGTTCTCCATAAAACCGTGCCGCCGAGGCTATAAATAGTGGTATCTCATTACGTCTTATCTTATCAATTACCAACACTACTGCCATTACCCTATACTCATTTAAACCCCTTACTCTCAAACTCCTTGTTTGTCCAGTTCCATAACTCTTCAACAGCCTTATCATCATTCAAAACTGAATCCGTATACTCCTTGAGCTTTTCGTTGTAGAAACCACCACTCCTGACATCCTGCGACTTGGCTGTACTTGCCCACAACTGAGCCTTTGCACCAGCGTGAACATCTGTGAGAAAAATAGATCCAAGGACACCAATCAATCCACCCAGCCAAGGTCTTCGTTTTCGCAAATCATCAAATAGGCCCGTGTTGACGACTCCTGGGTGGACCGCAACAAACTTTACAGTTGGGTAAAACCGGCTCAGGGAGCGGGTGTGGTAATAATCAGCGAGCTTGGATTGACCGTAGCGCGCCAAGCTGGAAATGTCTTCGAGTGGGGTCTTTACGCGAGAAAGAAGTATCCCTTCCTTGGGCGACTGATTGAAGAGCAAGGAGCTCAAATTGATGACACGAGCATCTCCACCGTGTTGTTCAGCTGTTTTGACAATAGTAGGGAGAAGTAGTTTGGTAAACAGGGCCGGTCCCATATAATTGGCACCAAATTGGACTTCATATCCATCAGCTGTAAGACCAGCAGGGGTGGCCATCAAGCCGGCGTTGTTCATCAAGATGTCGAGTCGATTAGACTGGCCAAGAAATGTGGTGGCGCCTTTCTGAATGGACGCAAAGGACGACAGATCCAACTCTAGAAACTTGATCTGGCCCTTAAAGTCCGGAACGGCATCCTGGATCTCTTTGATGGCGGCATTGCCACGCTTTTCTGTTCTGGCTGTGATGAAGATGGCGGAAGGATTGTGTTTTGCGAGCTGAAGGGCACTCTCTTTACCAAGTCCACTACTGCCACCTGTGACGATGATGACTTTACCAGTCAGGTCAGGGATGTCGTCTTTAGGATTGAACGGCATAGTGGAGATGCTGTATGACGGAAAGTGTTTGAGACAAAGATGAATGTAAATAGTTCAGAATTAGGAATAAGTATTAAGTATTTGTCTGTAGAGCAATGGGAAGTGTTGGTGGGAATCGGGACGAATTAATAGCCATTCTTGAAGCTCGCCATTAGATCAAAACGAGACTGATGGCCAAAACCAAAATCGCCTTGAAAATATGCTTATCAACCAGGAGTTGCACTGCGGAGCACAGAATTATACTTTCCGCAAGTATTGCAATTTTAGCCTGGTCCGGTAAGTTAGCGAAAATCCTCCGCCCGCTGGCGGAAGGCACAATAGATGGTCCGAGGTGTGTGTTTACTAATCGGAAAATATCCAGCCACAAGGGACTTTTACGTCAGTACAGCGAACCCCACTAGCTACGGTGCCATTCGCAACCTTGAATTAATTAAATCTGTTTCTTTGATTCGGATCAAACTTCAAATACTCCACGCATGAATTTATATACGCGTAGACTAACGTGCCTTTCTACCACCCCGGTCAATTACCTACTGTGACAGTGTTACGTCTGAAAAAAAGCCTGACCCTAGACTCACTCAACAATATGTAATCTATTCTCCATTCTAGCATTATTTTCACATTCATTGCTGTAGCTCATTTCATTCAAGCTTCACCCTTGAAAATGAAAGAGCTAGTCCCTCGCAGCAGATCTCCATATTCTTCATACATTGGCTTCAAGCCAATCTCCAATGTCTCCTTAAAGAAATCTTCAAACGAGATTCTTTCCATGTCGGGATAGAGATCCTTGCCGATCTGGTAGCCCAAATAACGTGCGTATTCAGGTGTGTTTTCTCCCATAATATCATATGACTTTTGGTAGGTGAACTGGAAGTAATCCATCATCTTGTTGGGATCACCTTTGGTTCTGGCGATACCGTTTTCAATCTCATCGGCAGAGCACTGGGAGGTAAAAAGTCAGCATCCAGCTTAGTCTCAAGATTCTGACAACGATAGAGAAACGTACGTATTTTCTTTCCAGTTTTTCGCCACTGAGTTTCTCAACTGTATCATATAGCTCGTGCTGAGTGCGAAGGTCGGTGTAGGCAAAGACCTTCTGGTTCAATGTCCTTGGGTCGGCGATGATACGAGCAACATACTTGCCCACATCGCGGGAATCAGTCCTGGCACAAGGTATATCACCATTGCCTCCGATAGCAGTGTTGTAGAGAAAAAGGTTGCGATCAATGCGGCCAGAGGGCAGACGTGGAAGGCTGATTTGGTACCACCAACCGACGTCGATGACGGTGTAGGGGAGATGCAGTCTCCGAATGTGATCCAAGACAGCCTCTTTCTATATATCCAGACGACATGTAAGTCCTCGATATTGCAGTAAAGTATTGCTAAAACATCACTTACGTTATCTCGCAGAGTTTGGATGCCTCTGGGCATGACCGTAGCGTAAAAGCATGGAACATATCGTTTCACCCCTGCCTTCTTGGCTGCGTTGGCAAGAATGGTTTCATCAAGCAGGCAGCAAACAATAAGAACATCGATGCCTTTTAGCTGAGTTGCGAGATGGTCCTCGGGGTCATCAAGGCTGAATGACAGGATGTTGACGCCCTTTCCCTGTAACTCAATGACATTGGGTTTCTTCAATGAGGAAGGTCGGACAAGGGCGGTGATATCCTGATTTCAGTGTGAGGGCTAGAACAATTTTTCAGATCCGATAGAAACTCACGAATTTTGGTTCGACCGATGCGAGTAAGCCCTCAACAATCGATGTGCCGTTTTGGCCTGTGGCTCCAAGGATTGCCACCTTCATGTTGGACGTGTGTTGAAGATGAGAGAAGTATGCTTTGAGGAATGTCTGCAAAGACAGATTGTTGTATATGTTACATTTTCCAGACAACATACCATTCCTTTATACTTGGGACATTTAACTGGCCCCACTTACATTTCCACTGATCACTTCAATTCTGCATTGCAAAAAGGCTTCTTAGTTCTTGAAGCATATGGGGATACTAGGCCAAGACTGTACTAGCTCACCAATTTCCGCTCGGGAAGTCTTCCGCGCGGGGTTTTCCGAGCGGGTTTCTATAAAGTGGGAGATGTTGCGGCGTATTAGGCTTTCCTCCAATTTCCACAACGCCAACCATTTCTCACAATCGTTTAGTCATGTCAGAATGAGACTGGCAGAATGAAGCCCTCAGCTTGCTGGACGTGTCGCTTGCGCCACAAAAAATGCGACGAGTCACTGCCAATTTGTGGCGCTTGCGCAGCGCTAGAGATCGATTGCCACTATTCCCTCCAAAAGCCCCAGTGGATGGAGACGAAAAATCGTCAGCGTGAAGCCATGACACTGATAAAGGGTCAGGTTAAGAGAAGCGCAAAACGTCGGCGCGGAATTGCCCAAATGAAGACCATCGCCAAAGGAATCGATGGCAACTCGGGACCCGATACACCGGGGCCATGTTCCGATCCTCTCGCCCAAGAAACTCATTATTCATTGGTTACACCATCGTCAGAACCAATTACCTCACCAACGATAAGTCCGCCTGAAGATGGCGTAGCCTTGGTTGCAGTATATATGGACTACATCTTCCCCATTCTTTTCCCCTTCTACCGACCATACATCACCCAAGGCGGACGCGTCTGGTTGCTATCCCTAGCCATGAATAATACCGGATTCATGAGCAGTATTGTTAGCATCTCTTCACTCGTCCTGTGGCTTGTCCCTGCTCATGCTGGCCCAGGACAAGAGGCTTGTGCCTCAAAAACATTAGACGAAATTCATACGCAGGCTAGCGTCGCCCTTGGTAGTATGCAGCGCGACTTGGAGAACCTTCATCAACGTGGCATCAAGAACTGTCTTTCTGATACCGTGCAACTGCTCGCAAATATGATGCAGCAGCTTAGTTTTGAACTTGCAATTGCGCCGTCAGGAAACTGGCAGGCCCATTTGGATGCCGCTACTAACCTATTCCAGCAAATCCTCGAGCATCATGGCAAGGTTGGCGCGACTCGGCAAATGTCCACCGTGCTCAGTAACTTATCTGGACCTTCTTGGCCGGGTGCAGTTCATGCCTTGAATACCGAACAGGGGGTATTTCGCTTCTTCTCTAGTATTCTGCTAGTTGCCGATATCATCTCCAGCACGGTACTTGACCAACCTGCAAAGCTACTTGATTATCATTCCGAGCTGCGACACAGCCACTTGTGCCAGAAGCCCAGTGCAAACCTTGAAGAGATAACTGGATGTGAAACCTGGGTTCTGCTGGTTATAAGCGATATTTCAACTCTCTCACAGTGGAAGAAAGATCAGATGATAAGTGGCAAGTTGTCAAAAGATGAGCTGATTTATCGAGCGACTTCGATCGAGAGGATTCTCAACAACGGTCTTGATAAGCTAGACCAATATGACAATAGAGAGGACAAGACCCAACACACTCGGCCATTAGAGTTGCTTCTCAATCAATCTGGATCTCCGTATGGCTGTTCGTCTGCTTCGTCGAAAGAATGGTTACCGTTAACGCGGATCTGGATTTATGCGGCCCGCACATATACCCTTTCTACTAAGCTGATCAATAGTAGCGAGACCTCTGAGCTCGAGATAAGCGCAAAGCAGTTAATCCAGTCTTTTGACGGCATCAATTCGTCACCATGGCTGCGGTGGCTCGCCTGGCCGCTTTGTGTGGCTGGCATCTATGCCAGTAAAGAGCAACGGCCAGCGATTTCCAAGATCATGGGCTTGGTATGTGGTTTCAAAGCATTTGGTACTATGAAGGCAACATTTGATATCATAGAGAGGACATGGCAGAAGCAAGATGCAGGTGAAGCTTGTTTAGATCTATCTGATTGCCTTAGTAACTTAGGATATAAGGCCCTATTAATCTAATTACATGAAGTATGTGCCGTCTTAAAAGTTTACACGTCCCAGAAATCGCTGAAGAGGTATGTCACTTTGAGTGTGTTATCAGAGGGACAGACTGTAATGACTATTGTATTCTACCGCAAGACTTCTATCATGATTAATAATTAAATTATTGACATTAAAATTATATATCTCGAAGCATATACATCATTAACAACTCAGCTATAAGCTATCTAACTGCTTATGCAAGCTTACATAAGTAAGCCTAATTTATCAGAGCGATGAGGGTTCCAGCGATCAGTGTCCAAACCATGCCCTGATGTCTGCTTGCTCTTGAAGCAATCACTGGTGTATACGGTGCCTCCTCAGGAGTTGATGAACTAGCGCTGGGTGCATGTCTCTCCTCTGTGGCAGTGGTCCAGATTGCGAAGGTCGTTGCGTTACCTACATGTCCGTGATGAACAGCCGATGACGCTGGAGAATTCACTGGGGCACCAGGTCCGTATGCGGGAATAGTTGTTTTGGCAGCCTCACTTCCAGTTGGCTGAGGCTCGTTCTTGTTGGATTCTTGTGATGGTGAGACGTAGCCAGGAGCAGAGGGTTGGCTATACTTGTTGTCAGGATAGTTGGCGTGCGATCCTTGTGTGGACTGAGGGACAGTAGGCTGATCATTGCTGTACTCTGGCTCAGAGTTCCCATGTGACTCTGCAGTTGGGGCAGGAACATGAGGCCTGTCATTATCGTAACCAGGATGAGAGTTGCCTGATGATCCTGGTGTAGGTCGAACAGACGGCTGGTCATACCCGTGGTCAGGAATATTGCCGTATGATCCCTTTGTAGGTTGCGCCACAGGATAGCTGTGACCGCTAGCATCTACCTGATAACCCCCAATGCAACCGGAAGGCAGTGTAACCACTGGAGGTCTATAGTTTCCACCGTGGCCATCAGCAGTGACATATGTGGTAGTGATTGCTGTCTCGGGAACTACACCTGTGCTGCAAGTGACATACTCAACCATGGTCAGGTAAACAGTCCAGACGCAGTCAGAAGTAGGGTAAGGTGTCGCCAGACCGCTTGCAGAGTTTGTCTTCATGGTAGTGACGCCAGAGGCTGAAAGTGTCTTAGAGCCATGCTCTGTGGTTCTAGAAGATGAATCCGAAGAGGAAGTAACTTGGGTGTAGGTTGTATGAGTCTCGGTCACCGTATTCTTTGAAGACGTAGGCAAAGAAGAGAAGGCCTCGCTAGTAACAGAGCTTGGCAGAGATGTTGATACAGAATTCTGAGTCTCAGCCTGAGTCTCCGCAGTCGTTGAAGAAGACGCTTCTGAAGTAGAAGCAGAAGCCTCAGAGGAGGCCAGAGTCGAAAGTTCTGATGTTTGAATGGTTGTAGCAGGGGAACTCAGGCTATCGGTGGGTAGAGTCGTGGGCTGTATCTCGGATCCTGTTCCTGTAGATGTTACCCCAACGGTCGAGGTCTCAATGCTTGACGTCTCATCGTCGCAGTCATCGGTTGATGTCTCGATACTAGCAGTACTAGTGTAGGGAGAGTCTGTGGTAGTAGTAACTAGAGTATAATCTTGAGAAGTTGATGCAGACTCTGACGAAGCTTCTGATGATGTCGATGTTGTTGCAGCAGATGCAGTTGTAGATGTAGCTTCTGCCGAGGAAGTCTCTATCGATGACGGTTCTGTCGGTAAAGCCTCTTCTATTGATGACGTCTCTGTCGAAGAAGGCTCTGATGACGTAGCCTCAATGGTAGAAGTCTCAGTAGCCGAGTCTTCTGTCGACAAAACCTCAGTCGAAGAACCTTCTGCCGAAGTAGCCTCTGATGATGTGGTCTCAATGGATGAAATCATTGTGGATGGATCTTCTGTTGTCGAAACCTCGGTCGACGAAACCTCTTCAGCTGATGACACCTCTGTAGAGGAAACCACGGTTGTTGTAGCCTCAATAGATGAAGTCTCAGTGGTCAAATCTTCTGTTGATGTTGATTGAACCTCAGTTGATGATGCCTCTGATGATGTAAACTCCGCAGATGTCGTCGTTGCACTTTCCGGTGGTCTCTTCATAGCAACATCGTTACCATTAAATGACCTAGTGCCTTGATAAGTGTTGATCAAAGCACAGTCACCGCTGCCGGCTAAATACAATGCAACGGCACAAATGGGAACAGAATCGCATCTGTCTACACAATCTTGAAACTCATCGCCGTTAGAATAATAGGCAAAGATGTTTCCATTGATTGTAGAAGTATCGCATAGAATGTCGAATTTAAAGCCGTTGTATCCGGTGTAAACACTGCCGGACAATTGATCGCAGTTTGAGGCTGCCAGCACAGTTGGGACCAGAGACAAGTTGAGGGCCAAGAAGGCCCCGAGGCGCTTTGATGGCTTCATGCTGAGATAATCTTCACCGAATGATGGAAGATGTAGATCACTGACGAAGGACAAAATGAATAAATTTCAAGTCTATGAACATAGCGGAAGGAAATCAGGCGCTTATGCTGCTTAAGAGAGTTATTTTCATGCATCCTGTACTAGCCTTCCCCCGTGTTTAATTTAAGTACTGGCTTTATTGGGCTCTGGACTCATGATGTAGACAGAGGATAACGGCTCTATTTATTTTCTCACCCAACTCGCTCATTTTAATTGGTAGGTTTGCAATGATTTATGGCTAGGTCGGGACTCTACTGCAGGGGTAATTGTGTGTGTTGTCAGTGCAGAATCAACAATATTTCCTCTTTGAGCTAGTAATCTGCTCACTCGAGTCAATAGTTCTACTGGCTAATCTATGTTGGTGTTCAGCTTTGCGGTGAGAAACCAATAGTCTCTATTTAAGAGGGACCAGAAATGGTCGCGACGCAGAAGGAGAGAGGGTCTAGCTTTATTAGGATGAGTGTGTAAATTCAACCAGTCACAGATGTCAACTTGCTTCTTATTTAACTAGCCAACACATGAACAGAAAGTTAGGATCTTTCTATTGTTTTTATAATTTAATTTTTGGACACAAATAACAACGCCCATTAGACGTATGATGCTGGTTGGAAGCTCAATATCTTCCGCCTTTCATATCGCTCAAATTGAGAGTTATTCCAGCAGTGGTCGAAGAACTGGGTGACTGCATTTTGTCAACTGCTTTACCTCTATCAAATGTGTTTTGATCTTCTTGATTATTCATGTTTAACCTATAGTTATTCATTGAAATTAGAAATCCAACGTAAATACCACTCCTGGTGAGGGGGTCAATCTGGACCAAAACTTAGTAATGGAAGATTGCGATGATAATCCTGTAGGTCTACCGCAAGCTGGAATTGAGGTTCTTTGGCAATGGAAGGAAGCCAGCACGACTTGACAGGGCAATAGTAAGACATTTATGATGCCTTGATCACAGATTGTGGCATTACAAGCCTGCAAAACATGGCCTCAGTGTTGCGGACTTTGGCAAAGGCAGCAGTGGTTGCGTCAACCAGCACAAACTCCTGTCCAGCGAAAACCTCATTAGACCATCGGGGCTATTAACACACCACGTCCCATGGCTTGATTATTTATCAGCATGAGACCAGTAGTGGCAATCAACGGATCCCTAAGAAAGTAGAAGATGGTGCGGGATTGATTAATCACAGGTGGCTCGGCCGAAACACGGACGGACCCAAGTTTACGCCGACTCCATAACCTAAAATTGCAATCGGTCTAATTTCATGCCGTGGACAAACCTAGCGTGATTCACACTGCCGACATAGAAAATTCCACTTATAAGTTTTCAAGAGCAGCAATTCATAGCATCAAGGCATCAGCTTATTGTCATTCATCGCATGTAGAGCCCTATCGAATTCTTGACCAATTCATTACCATGACTTCTCGCATAGAGCAACCGATAACGCTGAAAAATGGCTTAACGCTACCAAACCGCTTGGCCAAGTCTGCCATGGCAGAGAACATAGCAGATAAGGACCTTTTGCCAACTGATCAAGTCTATACTGCTTACAAGACCTGGGCCAACGGTGGCTGGGGACTTATAATCACAGGTATTCCCGAACTCTGCGCCATCAACCATTAAGCCATTGCTCACTGACTGTTGCAGGGAACGTGCAGGTTGATCCTCGCCATCTGGGCCAGGCTAGGGATATTGCCAATAATGACTCCATTGACAGGAGCCGCATTCTAAACAGCTGGAAGAAGTGGGCATCTGCTTCTCGAATCGGTGGAACTCCTACTGTGGTCCAGATCAGCCATCCCGGCCGGCAATCTCCACTCGGCGCTGGCAATCGAGGTTTATTCGACAAGACGCTTGCTCCCAGCGCTATCCCTCTACGACTCGGCAAAGGAGTATTTGCGGCGGTGGCCTCCAGGCTGCTGTTTGGAACGCCAAGAGCCATGACAGTTACGGAGATTCTAGACGTTCAAGATCGCTTCGTCAAGACAGCAGTTCTTGCCTCCGATGCTGGATTCGACGGCATAGAGCTGCATGGAGCACACGGATACCTCCTCTCACAATTCTTGAGTCCCAAGACTAACCAGCGGACTGACGAATATGGCGGTTCAGCTAGGGAGAGGGCGAAGATTGTAGTGGACATTATCAAGGCAATCCGCAAAGCTGTGCCATCAAGCTTCACCATCGGTATCAAGTTCAACTCAGTTGATCACCAGTCTTCTCAAGCCCTAGAGGATTGTATTGAGCAACTCCGTTTAATCACAGACGCCGGGATCGATTTTCTCGAAATCAGTGGTGGAAGCTATGAAGAACCAATTGTATGTTTCCTCTCTCAATCTGTCAATAGTTCTATCACTCACATTCTCCACAGGGTATTGCCGATCCGGATAAAATCCAACCTGTCAAGAAAGAAAGCACAAAGGCCAGAGAAGCCTTCTTCCTTGACTTTGCGACAGCCATTAGAGACCAATTCCCTGGCCTTCCATTACTTGTCACAGGCGGGTTCCGTAGCCGCAATGTGATAGAAGATGCTTTGGCAAGCGGTTCGCTAAACATTGTTGGTTTAGCACGGCCAGCAATGTTGGATCCATCTGTTCCTACAAATACGCTCTTGAACAAGAACAAGAAGGACGAAGAGGCAAGAGCCATTGCCATCTCTGTCCCAACCCCTTGGCTACTGAAGAAGATTGGAAACTATATCATCGGAGCTGGATATGAAACTGTGAGTTGCACAACCCCTGAACATGACAAGGTGCTAACATTCAATTCCAGGCCTGGTATGGCAAGAAGATTAAGACTATGGGTAAATTGTAACGTGTTGAAAGTGAGAGTGTTGTGTATGTGGGAAGGAATCCTTTTGTTAGAGTTGTTATCATTTGCCTACATAATAGAACGAGTCAACTATTTCACAAGATGTGCAAGACCTACTTTGTAAATAATGAGGTATGAGTCCATTGACTTAACGCTACGAGGGATTTGTCAAACTTACTTAATATTTTGTAAAGAACAGCTGAGCAAGTTGACTCGGATGTATATCTCACTCTATTTGAACTCTACTTTAACCTGGCATTGGAAATTACTATTATTATTGTTACGGCATGATCGATAATCAAGAATTTGTTCGAGTCAATCCATTCAACGGAAAAGTCAACTTGATCGGGTAGATCGACTGCAATCTTCAAAAAAGTTTCACTACAAAAAAATCATTTTTTAATCTCAAGACAGCGAGTAGCAAAATAAATAGTCAAGAGAATTAATCTAACTTCTACCTACTTACTACTGACTTGATGTGTAGGTATTTAGGAGACTACTTCCCTCATAGCCCCCGTTTCAATATCAAGTGCATAACCTACAACCTGAGCCTTTTCCGGCAAGAATGACCATTTCCTAATCTCTTGTACGTCCTGACGAATGCTCTCATCAATTCCAACACTAATGGCCGGTTAGTACTGCAAAGCTTCTTCAACGCATAACACTTACTCTCTGAAGGTTCCAAACCATTTGTCTTTAATTGAATCAGCATGGGCAGGTGCTCTATGACTGAGTTTCGACCTGACCTCCTCCTCAGTAGTAAACACCGCACCGCAGTCTGAATGTTGATTAGATAACTGCACTCTTGCTTAATTTGTAGTGTAACCGCTACATACCAGTGTGATGAACCACAACGATCAGGTCAATGGGACCGATGGTTCCCATAACTTCAAGGCTTCGGAAAGCATCAACGGCGCGACCACCTGCGTTGCGGATTATCAAGGCCTCTGGATTTGCATTAGCGTGACGAAGTTGCAGCATTGGGTTTATGTGATTTACCTCCAAACTTGAGGCCGAAGTAGTCACGAGGATCGACTCGAGCATCTGAACAAGTTACTGCAGCTGTTAGTATATGGAAGAATGGAGTTCCGAGATCGCTGATACGAACAGATGTAGATGGCTCCTGAGTCCGACTTTGCGCTGACTATATCCTGTAATAAAGGTGGCGGTTGGTGATTTTCCAATGATTCCCTTGAACGACGTTAGCTTTTGTGACACACGTTTGGTCAAGCGTTACAAACTCATTACGTTTGAGAAACTCTTGGAGCTTTTTACTGGCCATAGCTGATATGACGTTATAATAGATTGCAAGAGTAAAGGAACCGATTGCAGTGTTGCAGATACGAAGATGAACATGAAGGGCAGTAATAACATCCCAGTAGAGTTTATCTATAAGATAAGACTCAGTAAATGAAAATCATACTAATTATAGTGTTTATTAATCATTTAGTATGCATAAACTTCAGTTTACTAAATGGCCTTTCAGTAAGTTCTACTTGGGAATCTGAATACAGTTTGTAATCGTAGAATCGGACTTATTTTTAATTGAGAGTAATGTAGTACAATTACAGGTGACGTAAAGTGTCCCAGGGATGTGGCATTGTCTACATTGACAGTGGAGACCGGCGTAGGAGCAACTATCAGCCCGACAGTACCAGCCTCAACTTGAAGGCACCACTATGGTGTTGCATTACTAAACTTCAAAATCACCTACAATACTGGTTATTCTTGACATGATGGCATTGTGTTATGTAAATACGGGATGAATAGTAATCTGTGTTTTTCATGAGAGTCTTCTCTGGCTCGGTCCTTATGACATCAATATCCGTCTTGAGCTAAGAGCCCGCAGCGGACGAGCGGTGTAATTTTGCACCGTTCTGACTTAATTCCACAAGCCTACCGTTACTTCAGGTGTACATCATTCCACTATATAATGTCCTTCGTATAATTGTAGTCAAGGGACTTGGATCTGTGTTTATCACATTTGAACTTATCGAGAACAAAACAGATTTTAAGCATTAACCATCATGACGCAAAAGATTATTACAATTCTGGGCATTACAGGCAGCCAAGTAAGGAAACATCCTGTGTCGGGACTATGACTTGCGTTCAGGGTATTGACTAGTAGCAGGGTGCCTCTGTCGCCGACGTCTTCCTTAAAGAGGAAGGCTGGCATATCCGGGGTGTCACTCGCGATCCAACCAAGCCGTCGAGCCAAGCTTGGGTAGACAAAGGAGTCGAGCTTGTCAAAGCCGACATCAATGACATTGCCACCTTGAAGTTGGCCTTTGCCGGATCGAACGTGGTATTTGGCGTCACTGATTTCTGGGGAGTCGTGTACGACCCAAGAACACGCGACCTGGCTGCTTCAACTAACCGAACCGAGACTGAGGTCGCCTACGAAGTTGAAAAGCAGCAGGGTCGCAACATCATAGACGCTGCATATGCTACCATCGAGACCTTGGACCGACTTGTCTTCTCAACCCTTTCGCATACGCGAAAATGGAGTAATGGTAAGTATACCCACAATCTCCACTTCGACGCGAAGTGGGAGGGAGTGGAGTATCTCAAGGCGACTTATCCAACACTGGATAAGAAGACTTCATATCTGCAGGTTGGTCTATATGCTACGAACTGGAAGAAGGGTTTGAGTTTTGCCCGCCCGGCGAAGGTGAGTTGTAGCTTCACAGCATACTGTTATTTGCTTTGGAGAAGAGTCAAGTTAACATATCGGAAGCAACCTGACGGCACGTTTCTACTGAGCCTTCCCACAGACGGAGATGCGCTTGTCCCGCTTGTCGATGCGCGACAGGACACAGGTATATATCCCATCCCGGATTTTCTTGAAGAGTCTATATCGCTAATACCGGACGCACAAGGCAAATTTGCCAAGGCGCTCGTCCAGGTTGAACCGGGCAAGAACCTGCTCGGTTATGGCAGCTTGATTAGCTGGAACGAATTTGCCGCCTTGTGGGGAAAGATCCATGGGTTGACGTGCCGCTACGAGCGTTTAGATCGCAAAGTCTTGGAACACGCCGTTCCTGGTTGTATCGGAGAGGAACTGGCGGATATGTTCGAGTACATTGGAGAGTTTGGCTATGATGGTGGTGATCCAAGCGTTATTCATCCAGACCAGGTAAGTACTCGCATTTCGGGCTATTGACTCTTGCTTACAATTACGATAGCTGGGTGTCCATGTTCCAGTATACACTATGGAAGATTATATCAGGGGAGAAGAGTGGCCAGAGGTGTGATGTGATCTCTGTGTGATTTGAACACTGGGGCCGACTCCACTACTACTTGTTTTCTATTTGAGTTGTAATAGAAAGGATGTACAATCTCTGAAGTGATAGCATTATACTCGACGGAGTAGTTATTTATTGTCTTGTGTGGGCGTGTTCGTGCTGATTGTCATATTGGCTCAAAATCCCCTTGCCAATGGTTCCATTCCTAACTCGGCTACCCAGTTGATGGTATGAGCCAAGAACAATTGGTATTTATCATATCCCTTGCGTCCAGATGAGTCTGTCAACCGTTCATTTTTATTAGTGGCGTCCGTCTCAATTATGATGGGTCACGTCACCCAGCTTGGCTAGACTCACAAATGTCTCAGTAAACGTCGTGTCAAAATCTGGGTCATTATCAAGTCATACAATGAAGTCTTGACATTATGGTTGGGCTGTAACGGTCACTGAGACATTCGCCCTTCAAGGGATGGTTAGCAGCAGAAATTAAAGTTTGACAAGGCCTAGCCCCGGAAACTATTGGTCGCCTCTGGAATTCAGTCAATTCCCGTTCCCATCCGCATTTTGGAGGTTTTGTTCTGCGTACTTAAACTTTCCAGTTCCCAACCTTGAATGGGCGGACGGTAGTCTCATACGATTTCTCAGAATCGCCAAGACAGGACCAACTATCAATTCCATACATGAGTGCTAGATTCATCTCTTCCCCTAAACAGTGTACTAGCGACACTTACCTTCATGACTCTTTCGAAGCCATTTTATTTCAATTAAGATTACTCTGCAACACAACAACCGATACAAAGAGATGGATTTACCATTATCAAGAATAATTTCCACGGTTGTGGCAATCCTCTTTCTGGTTGCCGTCGCCTTCAAGACCTTTCTACCGGGAGACGACCCTTACCGCTGTCGCGCTGTCCAAAACACCGGTCGCTGGATCGATCTACCAGACGAACAAGGAAATCGATATCCTTTCCATCAATGGCAGCCAGACGGATGTATCCTCCACCAATATGATTCAACCGATATTCGTCAATGCACCGAAGGCCGCCGTATAGTCGTCGTGGGTGACTCAACCTCCCGACACGTTGCCTATGCCTTCGGTCGTTTGGTACGTTAAAGCTGGACGTACGATAGTCAAGGTTACTAACGCAGGAAATTCCCAGATCAACAGGAAACAACACGAACATGACAAAAACCAAGCCTCTTTCCCTAATTTACGAGATAACGTCAATTTGACGTACGATGGCCAGATGATCCAGCGCCTGTCAAACGTTTGGGTCGGAAGTCACGGAAATCCGCTCCAAGAAGAGGGAGGCTTTGTTCAAAACCTCGATATTTACGCCGATGAGAAGATGGACCCGCCAGCTATCGAAGATCAAGAAGGACCTGCTATAATCTACGTGGCTGCTGGTGTTTGGTACACCAATCACAAGGGAAACACCACAAGACGTGTTCCATGGCACACTCGTTTTCACATATACAAGAACCGCATCAATAAGCTGTCCAAGTTTATCAACCACAATACGCCACATCGCGACCCATTCACCGCCCCCATGGACCCACGAGACGGCATTGGCAACCAAATCTTTTATGGCCCTCCTTCCGGCCCTTGTTATCAAGGCAACCACACGAGAGATATCAAATCCAGTGCTAGGCGGACTTCAGAAGTCGCAGATATTCACAATTGGCTACGCCACACAGAGCACAAAAGGAGGATTCCTATCCTATGGTCTATTGTCGGAGTTACCCTCAATCAAAACAAAACATGGATTGACCCTCTGACGAAAGCAATGCATGTCATCGATCAGGTTTCCGAGGCTCGGGCCAACATTGTCCTCAATCTGAGATGTAACGCCAAACTCGATCGCATCCAAGGATATCACCATACTGGAACTTGCTGTACAGATTATGGCGTCAGTCAATACCGCATCATTATTGCTGTTGGTATTGTGTATCTGTCCGCATGCGTCATATGCGAGATCCTGCACCTGTTGTCTGTAAAGGAGGCTCCGTGGACCTTGCTCAACATGCAAACAGGGTCCTTCGTTCTGGTTTTACTGATGTGCTATTTTTCAGATCGCACACAGATGATGGCCAAGAGTAGCAAGCTTTGGGAGTTGAATGGTTTTGCTATCCTCTGTGCCGCCTGCTTGGTTTCTTTACTTGTCACAATTCGGCGGACGCGACCAAGGTGCCCAGAGCACCTACCTTTAACAGAAGACGAGACATCTGGAATGTTACTTCCAGAGAACTGCGCTCCAGAGTTAGAAACGTCTCCAACAGCAGGCGGAGCATCTGAAACGCTACTTCCAGAGAAATTCCCTTCAGGGGAAGAAAACAGCCACCAGCAAGACGAACCATTTCTTTCTCGCAAACAGACCGAAGAATGGAAGGGATGGATGCAGTGCTTCGTTCTCATCTACCAGTGGACCGGAGCTGAACAAGGACCTACTTCCATTTATATCCTCTTCCGTCTATGTATAGCTGCCTACATATTCCAGACTGGTTATGGCCATACTTGCTATTTCATCAGTACCGGCGACTTCTCATTCAAGCGTGTGGCATCTACTCTACTACGATTGAATACCCTGAGCTGCGCTCTGACGTATTTGATGAAGACGGATTACATGTTCTATTACTCAGCACCACTTGCCTCATTCTGGTTCCTTGTCATCTATGCGACTCTGGCGATTGGAAAAGAGTACAACAACGACTCACAGGTTCTGGCAGCCAAAGTGTGTGTCTCTAGTGTTCTCGTTTCTGTGATGTTTGCAACTCCACTTACCAGGTGGATGCTCGAGCTATTTAAGATCGTTTTCAACATCCAGTGGAGCGCTGATCAGTGGATATACTACGCCACGCTTGATATGTACGTTGTCTACATCGGTATGGTTACTGCTATCGTCAATCAAAGGATGGCCAACACTCAGATCATCTTGAGTCTGCGGTTGATCCTTGTTTTAGCTGGTCTGTTCGCTACATATTGCTATTTCAGTAAGGCTTCAACATTGAGTGTCAGTTCGTATGACTCTCTACACCCTTACATCTCCTGCATCCCCATCTTGGTGTACGTTACATTACGCAACATCTCGACGTGTACTCGGAACTGCCACTCCAAGGCAATGGCTTGGTTAGGTTGCCACTCGTTAGAGATATCTATCCTCCAGTGCCATATCCTACTTGCAGCTGACCGAGAAGGTGTGCTTTCTATTGATGGTCTTTTTGGCGATGGCACAGTTTTGGGCGATCGATGGAGAACTCTGCTCATTGTAGTGCCAAGCTTTCTTTGGGTATGCTACGCTACAAGGTCTGCGACATTTTATATCATTGGATTGATGTTGAAGGAAGCATCGGAGGAGGATGAACTCGATGAACCTGCTTTTGCGTATCTCAAGAAGCTCGGAATTTCCCGCATATCTTATCCGGGGCTTCGGCTGGCCTTAATTGTGCTAACAATGTGGCTGGTCAATCTGCTCAGTCCTATGAAGGAGAACATGTCTCTTCCGTCTGGTACGCATGATATTAGCGTATTGCCTATGCCAGAATACGCACTAGATCATCCGTTCTAGATAGTATATACAGCTGGCTGAAGCTGCTGTGAATCGGGAACAACGCGACTTCTGGAGGTAGTGGAGGTCGATTGGTTGGGAGGGCCTATTCCAGCACGGGTAGCACATTCGTAACTCATAAATACTCGATGAGGAGGACGTCTAATAAAGTATATTATTGGGATTAAGATGGCGAAAATAGAGGATATTAGCTTTGTGGAAATTTACATCTTCTATAATGTTGACTACAGATTGTTTCAAAGGGCTTATTATAGGGTGCAAAGACCTTCTAGTCAACTTTCATGCTGTCAAGATCCTTCTTATTCTTAGCCACTTAATTAACTGGCCTATAATTTGGCTGGACATGAACACCTACGCACTGAATGTGGGTTGCCCAATGGAGGGATTCAGAAGTGATCTGGTTGGACAGGACTTTGTTAAGGTTAAAGATGAAACGTTCGCCGAAGCGAGCGGTCCGTGCTATCGATAACGATAAACTTGTTCTTTGGGCTTGCGATTTTGCCGAATTGAGCTGTTCTTATCAGAACAATCGGCCTAGCTTTACTCCGCGATCCGAGAATCGTCTGGATAGACTAACCTGCCAACCTGTATGCAGGGTAGCCTCACTTCAATAGAGAACGGCTCAGAAGTCCAATGCCTCAACTGCATCCACAGCAGCACCTATATGCGTAACAAACACTATAGTTCTGCCAGTCGATTATATACCTTAAGTCCTGCGCAGCTTTGTTTTTTTTATCAACATTTGTTGCATTGTCTTTGGTATCTTCAATCAGTTGGGGATACTTTGTAAGCTTGCAAAAGTCGTCGTTTTGCAAAAGTCGTTAACCTCTCGCAACTTTTAACAATCTTCGCCAAGTAACCTCATTTGTAAATATCTTATGCTCAAGGGTGCATGGGGTATGAGGAGTGCCGTTGTTCGGGCTAATAAAGCTACTGCTATCACCGAGCGCAGGATAGAATTCCTTGGTCTGATGAGGTAGATTGTTTTAGTGTCCCTCGATACTGTGCGTTCAAGTTCGCTGACTGGATGAGATAGCGACAGTAATGCATAGGCGTAAGCTTGAACTTTCTCAATAAGAGCCGGAAGAGCCCTGGAGTAGTATGGCCAATGGTCCCTCAACTCATGTTTGGTATGTTACGTACTTGCGTTAACAAGAAAAAGTTATTAACTGAGATGAAAAAGAAATGTGTGCCACTATTAGTGAAAAATTTAGGTTTCTCAAGATGTAAAAATCGAGTATACGGTAAAAACGTCATTGGGAGTTTGGGTGCCACAAGAACTGAGGTGGCTAAACACTGAATATTACCAAATAAATGCTTCGATTGGTAGACGCATCAAAGCACCATGGAAGGCCGGCCGGAACCGCCCATATGCTGCCATTGACCGTGAGACGTGGCTGAGTCTCAACGTTGGACAGGCTTGTCTTTGTCTATTAATCAGGAGCAGTGACATTACAAGATTACCGTAGCCGAGCCTAATCTCACCATTGTTTTTGTCTTTTAATTATTCATTAAGGCTGTCGACAAACCGCGCTCTATTCAACTAAGATTTTGCAGAGAGTATTGCTAGTATTGCAATTGATGACTTTGGCTTCCAAAGCATGATGACTTTGTCGGCGTTTAGTTTTGTCATAGAATGTAGAGCTCATTGAGCAACGTGATTCTCACATAATGCAAAAGTACTGTGAGAACTGCTAAGTAACCCACTTTTGGTTCAATACAGCCAAATTGCTTAATTCATGATTTCATCACTTAAGATCTAAAAGGGTGAGACAATAGATGTTTCATTGGTTATAAGTATTGGTCTTCGGCCGCTGACCTACATAAGCACTTCAGCTTTTCTCTTCTCTCAATTGCAAACCCTAACATAGCCAATCGAATTGAACCTACCCCGCTCGATGCCCATAATGGTGGCGTTAAAATATGAAAAGGATAAGCAAAGGAATCTAATCTTTCCGTATTTAAACGTACTATTAAATACCCTCCCCCCGGGCGAACCAACAAGTCCCTATTTTCTATACGTTTATAGCACAAACGAAACTAAATTTGATTAATCAGCGCAAAAAAATCTTTACCTTCAGTTTACTTTCTTTGCTCCGACCATCATTCTTTGTTAGCTTTCGGCAGCCATGTCAGGCATCGAGGTCGCTGGTTCCGTTCTGAGTGTTATCTCAGTACTGGCCATTACACTGGAAAAGTCCAAGAAGATTTTTGGTAGCAGTTCCACGTCAAAAGGAAGACATCTCAGGACCATGGAGAGGAAAGTTCAAATCGAGCAGACTTATTATCAAAATATAGTTGAGTCATTTCTGAGCAAAGTAGTTGACCTTGACCAAGCGACAGTAATGCTTGAGACCTCTGACCATAACATGTGGAGCGACGTGACATTAGATGCTGGTATCCAGGATTTCTTTGGACCAGATGCCGACCACTTCTACGCATTATGCCTTGCTCTCAACAAGAGGCTGACCGATTTCCAACGTGAGCTTAATCAGGTAAGGCTGATGGGGGTTTAGGTCCGCGTATAGTTTTCTTACTTTTGCCAGATATCTGCGAATCACAGTGGACGAAGCAAACTCCTGAGGTTTAGCATAAATCCGAAGAATCTTGAGCAGCAATTACGAGACATTCAAGGAATTCGTGAACAGTGTTACGACCCAACAGATGATTACGTAGACCCCACTATTATTCGCCAATCATGGCATCAACCACCCACACTAGCTTGGTCAGACCGTGAGCCGCCAAACTCTGCGACTCACGGCTCACGATGCAACTCACGGCGTGAGCCCAACGCTCAACCGTGAGCCACCACGGATATATATACGTTCACTTAGCATTAGTTAGTACAATTAGCTCAACAGCTATCAATAAAACATCTTTACCTGAATACGCCTAACCCGCCTTATTCAACATTAAGAGACGTGACACTTCGCAACTGCTCAGTATCACACGCCCTACGACTCTTCCAACATAAACCTATGAACGGACTAGTTTATCCCTTGGAAAACCCAACCGTCAAAAACAGCTAGAAACGCTTGTTATTACCTCCCAGTTATCAGCTGATAAAACCATTCCGAAATCCATCGACGCGTCTAAGACGCTTGTGGATCTCGACAAAGCTCGACAGGTCTTAAATCACTTACGCCAAATCTTGCCCAAGGGCGATGACGCGTACCTGAAATTTCCTGTCTATGATATGTTTGGCAATATAGGAGACTCCATTCTGACATTCACACTCTTATCTACACAAAGCACTGTCGAAACGACATCCCCACACAGTTGGCGCAAAGCCGCGTTCGCGTTGTGCTCTGTGGCGAGATCGTTATATCAAGACCGTTCGATAAGAGAGGCGCTAGATGAATCGCAGGACTCCCAAAGGTAGCCATATACTGTTTTTTTGCACCTTCTATCTACCTCTACACGTCCTTAGTATACCATGTTTCGATTTTTATAGCCTTATTGTCTCTAATGAATGCCAGTAGTCAACAAAGTCCACATAGAGTTCGATTTATGCCTTCCAAGGACTACCCACCGACTCCGATTAACGAGGCAGGCCCTGAAGTGATTTGGACAAGCACCCCAGAAGAGTTCGGTCACCATTTCACTGAAACCAGTCGCGAAGCTATTGTCTGCTACAGATGTCCACCACCGCTTGATAGCATCATCAGTGTCCAGTTTCGTATCTCCGAGACAAGACAGAACGTTAGTCTTCCAGAATTGCTCAAGATCAAACCAGGAATGTCAAAATTTGCCAGAATCGCCCTTGTTGTTGAGCTCGCTCGAGCTGTCTTTCAATTCTATAAAACTGGTTTCTTGCCCAGGGACTTGAAATCGAGTAGTTTCGCATTCATCAGCGACTCTCAAAAAATTGTCCTGGGCGACTTGATCCTGTATGCGGAAGCACCAACCTTTGGAGACGCCGATAGGTACTACACGAGGGAAAGAAATGCTGAGAGATTGTACGGAACCAGTTTCAACCGCGTTTCCATAATGCTGGGAATCATTCTCGTTGAGGTTTTGCTTGCGCAGGAGATCTTTCCTGACGATGAAGAAACCGATGTTGCATTGCTTGAAGCACGTCAGAGCGCTCTCGATCTGATTGGTACTATTGCTGTCGAATGGGGTCAAGTTTGCTCTGATGCAGTCAGGCAATGCCTGCTTGGCGTTTGGTCTATATCTGACGAAGAACTTGAACAGGTAAGATTTATAGACCACGTACTGAGGCCTTTAGACCAGACGTTGCGTTCCTCGTCTACTGAATATGCAGCGCCAAACGCAAAGATATTCTTGGTATCATATCCGGATCTACCTCCTCACGCCTTCAAAGACCATGTCTTCCCAAGGGAAGTCACAGATCAATGTTTTCAAGCTTCGCCTCTAAATGATCCCACCGCGCTCTGGGAATTAATAGATTATACTGTTTCGATGCGAAAGGCTATCGAGACTATTCCCTGGCTGGATGAAAAACTCTCAAGTGAAGGTATGCAGTCTTGAAGTAAAAAAATCCATCACAAAGTTGATTGCTGACCGGAAAGAAAGCTCGTGGTCTCGACGAGGTGTTACAGCAACTCGACCAGCTGTCCCAGTCGGTGGTACCAGAAAGTCCCATTTCAAAAAGAATTGAGGCCTTGATTCAAGACTGTCTACGTGGGATCATGACTATACCCCAGATCTATAAGCTTGAGGTCGAGGGGCATAAAGTTTTGAGCCACCAAGGGCTCGATGAGTTGCAGATTCAACTCCGTGTGGGCACACTGGAATTGCTTGATATTCTTGCGGGTCTAAAAGTGTGAGTTTCTCCTCTTTGACAAGAAGGTACAATCATTAATTGACGTGATAGTCCAAGCTCACCAACTCTGACCGCAGGTCATCCTGCTTCCGATGTGGATTCGATCTTCGACGGGGCCTTCACCTTAAGTTCCCGAACATCAGTGTCGGGAGGTAATGATCTTGATCTCCAATATGTGGACTCAACAGGTCTGGCCAAAGAAATAATTCGGAACTTGAGTTCTATTCTGCGTCCAAAGCCACTTGCTGTGAGCCGACTCGTGGTCAGCGATGAGGAACTTTCGTCAAACCTGCACCAAATTCTGGAGGACTATTGTGCCGAAATCCAGAGCACGCATCGACTAGACGCCCCCTTCCCCCAACCATCGCAGAGTCCCTTTTATCTTAAGGCTCACTCTATGGTTCTAAAAGAGATGGGATTTATTATCCAGCAATTAATCCTCATCAGCCAAGGCGAAACCGATCCTGCAATAACTTCGCTTCCTTTCGATAGCATGGCAAGAGCTGAAGATACAGAAGTAGAAGTTGTTCCAGCTTTTGTTGTTCTAGACTTTCTGGTGGGTGGAATGGCCTTTGGGCGACTAAGATTGCGCATGCGTAGGCTGGTAGAGCAAGATACTATGCAAATCATCAGTGATGAGGTGCTACGGAGCCTACCACTTGCAACTCCCGGGTTATACTGCGCCATATTCCATATTCGCTGGGATCTTTATGATTTCCTCGAGAACGAACTTGACGGGTTGGTAGATATCAGTCAGGTTCTACTTCTGACTGGGGGAGGCTTGAATGCTTATGCTTCGCGCTGCGCTGATTATCTCAAATGGCTGTGGGAAGACTCGAAGTATGACATTTGTAGCCACATTCAAGACTATCTTGAAGAAAATACTTATGGTAAGCTGTCTTGTTATTTATCTGTAACTTTCTATTACTTATCTGCCGTATCTGGAGTAGAACATCCTGACGCAACACTCATGATCGACCAACATAAGGAAGGTCAACCCGGCATTACAGTGACGGTCGTTGGTGCAAGAGAAACCATAACTGCAGTTGCACAGCAGCTTTCATGGCTTACCGCCGCCTTTCGCTCTTCTCCTAGCGGCCCAGCCTTGTCAGACGTTGACTTCATTGCCACCGAGGGCATGCAATTCTTCATCCAGCCGGGAGCTATTACAAATATTTCGAAAACAAATACCGGGAATGACACTTGCTGGTATAGACTTGTTGAAAATGCCGTTATTGCCCATGGATTTCCCATTCCGCTTAGATCTGACCAAGTTGGACTCGAACTACCTTTTACCGTGTTGCTAAAGCTCAGCCGGGCGTCGTCTTTCCTAGTTGCAAATCAACGTCTTGCATTCTATGGATTTTCGACTTTTCTATTCCCAACGAAACAATGTTCCGATCCTGATGACACCCATGGGCAATCCAGGAAGTCGATTCAATGGCACTTTGAGACGAGCGATGAACACTGCCAATATCTCGACTGCGCTAATTATCTCGGTGCGTCGAGATCTACATGGTCTAACACCATAGATCAGCGCAATCTCGTAACAGCTCGGCACTTTGTAGGATTCTGCAGAGTTGCGGAAATACGCTTAGCCACGTCCAACTCCAACTTTACAGCACTCCAGGAATCACCCCTCCCCGAAGCCTCTACTGCGGTAGGAGCAAGGATAGAGAATGTGACACTGGGCACCGGTGGTCTGGGTTTTGCCACTGCTGAGTTTGAGAGTAGTATCAAATATGCCCACAGCATAATTAGTCCAGTAGGCCCAGATGAGTATATGGGTACCTTGGACACAATAAAGAGAATGTCTATGATTCTGTGGGATAGTGGGGATCAATGTGGATGGTTAGTGCCAGCGCAAGCGCTCTTACTTCACATGGCTCATGTGTGGGTTCAAGCGCATGGGATAGCAGACACTATCCGGTTCGCAAAAGAAGACAACTCGTACCTTGATGACGTTGATGACATTCTCAGAAGAGATCGGAAAAGGGTTCTTCGGGCTGAGGGCAGAGACGATGACACCGATTTCGAGCTAAGACACTTGATCATGCGATTGTGGAATGATATCAGGGGTTGCATGTTGGCGCAACAGAGCGCGATCCGGGATGATCAAGGTGTAATTGGGTATCAATCTAGTGCGATATCAGGATGGGAACTGCACGACTTCATCACCCGGCCTCCACTCGAGTTCTCCATGAAGCAAGACAAGCGCGGTCCTTCTGACGACAGTTGGAAGGCTCTAGCGGCGGAGAAGAACATACCTGTTTTGTTCTGTCAAGGTGCAGGCGACATCATCAGAACAGCAGCTTCACACAATCTATGCACTAATTGCAGATTACCGGTGAGGCAAGAATGCCATCTGGTGGCTAGCCTCGCATGCTTGGGATACATGGCGCAAAGGTACGGGGGGTTCCGGACATGGACGAAACTGACGACAGAGTGGGGGTGGCACCCTACCAATGAAGTGACCTTGTTTCGAGAACAATGTCAAGATCCTGTGGGAAGCACTTGTTGCGATCGACTGCAGAGGCTGATTTTTGTTAAAGATGGGCAGCAGGGTACAAACCTTGCTCTTCCTGCCACTGGTGCTGTTGTCTTTAGTAAACGGGCTTCGGAGGCAACAGGTTTGTCTGTTACTGCGGTAGGGCAGCTACTATCTGGCCCAGCTCTCGCTACTACACCCACTATTGCTTTGGGTAAAAGGGGGAAGTTAAAGAAATGGTGGAGTGAAATGGGAAACAAAAAGTAGTGCTTGAAATTTACTTTTTCACAATACAATTATAATATCAATTCTGCTTCATTTATTTTAATCCCTTAAGCTTTCACCCAATTCTTTAAAGTTTCGTCCAGGTTCTCAATAATAAAAATAAAATGTCATCAATTCTAGATAGCATTGGAACTTAAGATTAATAAATTCTCAGGTATATATATAGAACCATGAAAACAAACTAAATTACCAGAGGACGTAATGCAATAGTGATGCTTTATAAGAAAAACTACACTACCACCTTATTCGTCTCAGTATACCTGCAACCTTTCCAATAAGTTTCCGCAACGTAGCAGGCGCCATCACAGTATGACCAGGACCAAAGCTTTGTCTCTCATCCATTTCTTCCCGAAGAATGTCAACCTGCCTCGGTGATAACAAACCGACCTCCTTGCCCTTCAGCATTTTCCCAACACCCAAGACACGCTCAATACTCTCAATCAAACTTACTGAAACGTCACAAAAGATCACACCTTGAGTACAAGGTATTTGTTGTAACCTCCCGCAAACTATAAGAGCTGGAATCGATTCCATGGGATTGTTGGTGAGTCGTTCAACTTTTGTGGCAATGTGGTTGAGGACAAGTTCGTAGATGGTGATGAGTTGGACAAAAACACTTGTAATAGTCAACGCAACAGGTGTAGGTAGTGGTCCTGCAGTGGTGGTAGGCTGAGGCAAAGAAATCTGAAATAAAGATTCTGGGTCTTTTAGAAATTGCGTCGCCAGATGGCATGGACAGAGTAACTCCATCGGTTGTGAATTGTTTCTGAATTCAGGGCAGTGATGTTCACCGTAAAGATCAACCAAGACAAACAAAAACTCTTGAGTAACTTTGTTGATATAATCGAACAGGGTCATGTTGTCGATGAACAATGGACCGTGTTGACAGATCATCGTGTCAAAATTAATCGCTTTTCTGTTCTTCTTTATCGCTTCGATACGAACGTATAGTCCATGGTTGATCGCGGATAGGCTGGCCATGCTGTCCCCAGGTTCGGTGTTGCGTCGGTATTGTGTAGTTGAGCAATTGCTCAGAAGCGAGACGTCGTTGTTGATTGCTAATGGTAATGTCGGAATTGGGGATGAGCCAGTTGTGTATAACTCCGTGACTATATCCATTTCATTGTAAAATGGAGTATTTGTATATTCCACATCGGTAGTCCATGAGCTATCCGATTGATGAAAGACGTCGATAAACCCTACACAACATGTTGTCGTATTCACATCTTTTCTCGTTGTACTGGGTTTTTCAGCAGGGTAAATGGTAGGATATAGAATTCCAGTCGTATCCAACAGACTCCAATCATCTAAGAAAGAAGTGTTTGGCTGCGCTGGAGTCGGAGGAGATACTGGCCAGGTCGATTTATTGACAGATTGGGTGGTTGGGGTCGAACGTTTAGCGGGTTGCTTTCGTCGCGGTCGCCCTGGTACTCTCTGTTGCCCTACAGTACACTCAGCCCCCAGCATAGCACATTTCGCACATTTCTCATCGGTAGGCCTGATTCGTTGACACCGAGATTTGCTCTTCCTGCAAAGGTCACAGGAAACGCGTCGCTGGGACGGATGTGGTGTGGATGCGCCCATTGTTGAGACAGGGTATATTGGTAGATGAATGCGCAAGTACGGCGGATACAGAATTGCGGATGGGAGGGGAAAGGACAGAACCAGATTTCATTGCCTTAGTGCAGGAAAGCCTCTTTTATAAAACCCTCCGCGGAGGGTTTTGTACTAGTCCGATTCGGAAATTGATGATTAGTATTTCCTCCGCCCCGGCACTTGATATCATCCACTTTTCGATACTAGTCTTGATTAGTAAATTTTTCTTTGATTCCATTGGTTGTTAGACGACCTCGCATTTCAGCTTCGGACTCGTTTGTCTGACTCCGTTGAGTTTAGCTTTTGAGGCTCCGGCAGGGAGACGGACTCCTCGCTCCTGATAACGCAGAGATTTCGCTGTAGGATGATGATTAATAGACTCTGTCTCTTTATCTCAGACCGGAGGGTTTCAAAGTGCTTTAGTCAGTGATAGCTATGACGCCTTGACAAGAGATAGTGTTGGGATTTTGTACTGGTGTAAATGAGAGCGATTATCTCTGTTTTCAATCTTGGTCACCTTTCGTTTATTATCACTCTTTGTACTCGATTCAATTGCGCTCAATCACACTATAGACAATTCAATTATACTCAATTTAGTTATACTCGTCTCTAATTTTCCTTACTTTATTTATTTAATCCTCAACTGCAACGATGAGCATCAATTCATCCTCCACCGAGCAACCTCCACCAGAGCTCCTCGACAAACCCCAACTCGAAAAAGCCATCACAACATCACAATGGCACCTCACCCCCGAACTCCAAGCGATGCGCGACCGCGACGAAGAAATCGGTCAAAAGCCCCGCAAACTAGGCGTTACCTGGCAAAATCTTACCGTCAAAGGCATTGGCAGCGAGGCAGCGTTCAATGAAAACGTACTCTCCCAATTCAACCCTTTTCAATCTGGTGCAAAAGACGCTCCCATGAAGACCATTATTGATGGTTCCCACGGTTGTGTCAAGCCCGGCGAAATGTTGCTTGTTCTTGGACGGCCTGGGAGTGGATGCACTACACTCTTGAGCGTTCTCGCAAATAATCGCCGGGGGTATGAAGAAGTCGCCGGCGATGTTCATTACGGTAACATGTCTCATGAAGAAGCCAAGGCTTATCAAGGACAAATCGTCATGAATACCGAAGAAGAGATCTTCTTCCCAAGTTTGACAGTGGAAGCAACAGTCGATTTCGCCTCGCGAATGAAAGTCCCCTTCCATTTACCCCCCGGTATCAAGACCCAAGAAGAATACGCTCAATTCTACAAAGACTTTCTCCTACGATCCGTCAACATCTCCCACACAGCGCACACCAAAGTCGGCGACGCCTTTATCCGCGGTGTCTCTGGCGGCGAACGCAAACGTGTGTCTATTGTCGAGTGTCTTACCACACGAGCCAGTGTGTTTTGCTGGGATAACTCCACTCGTGGTCTTGACGCCAGCACTGCACTAGAATGGGTCAGAGCTATTCGAGCTATGACTGACATTCTTGGTCTTACGACGATTGTCACGCTGTACCAGGCTGGAAACGGCATCTATGAGCATTTCGATAAGGTCCTTGTCCTAGATGAAGGGAAGCAGATCTTTTATGGCCCTCAGCGAGAAGCTGTTCCATTCATGGAAGATCTTGGGTTTCTCAGAGCATCTGGGTCGAACAAGGGAGACTTTCTCACGGGCGTCACTGTGCCGACGGAGAGGCGTGTTGCGACAGGGTATGAGAATACCTTCCCTCGTGATGCAGACGGTGTTCGCGCTGCTTATGATCGGTCGGTCATTAAATCGAGGATGATTGAGGAGTGTCAGGCATACCCGATCAGTACCGAAGCATCTCAAAACGCCACCATATTCAAAGAAATGGTAGCCCGCGAGAAGCACAAGTTTGTACCCGCCAACTCCCTTACCACTGCCAACTTGTTCATGCAAGTCCAAGCAGCTGTTACGAGACAGTATCAAATCATGTGGGGTGACAAGTCAACACTTTTCATGAAGCAAGGCGCGACTCTGATCCAGGCCTTCCTCGGTGGATCCCTGTTCTACTCTGCGCCGGATAACTCAGCCGGTCTTTTCCTCAAAGGCGGTGCTTTGTTCTTTTCCATCCTGTACAATGCCCTGTTGGCCTTGTCAGAAGTCACGGATTCCTTCACTGGAAGACCTATCCTTGCGAAACATCGATCTTTTGCACTCTATAATCCCGCCGCTGTTTGTATCGCGCAAGTCATCGCCGATTTACCCATTTTGGCTTTCCAGGTCATTCAGTTCGGTCTTGTCCTTTACTTCCTCGTTGGTCTGAAGGCTACTGCCGGTGCATTCTTCACATATCTTGCCATCAACTACATCACTGCTTTGACCATGACAGCCTTTTTCCGCTTCATCGGCGCTGCGTTCCCCACCTTTGACGCTGCTACAAAAGTCTCTGGTCTCTCTATCGTTGGGTTGTTTGTATACATGGGATACATGATCATCAAGACTGAGATGCATCCCTGGCTGTCTTGGATCTTCTGGATCAACCCAATGGCTTACGGTTTTGAAGCTCTTCTTGGCAACGAGTTCCATGATCAAGAAATTCCTTGTGTTGGTCCCTATCTCATCCCCAACGGCCCTGGTTATGTCGGAGGCACTGGAGGTCAGGCATGCTCTGGTGTAGGAGGTGCCGAACCCGGTGCAGCATTTACTACCGGCGATGCTTACCTTTCACACATGTCCTTCGATCACAGCCACATCTGGCGTAACTTTGGCATCAACTGCGCGTGGTGGATTCTCTTCGTTGGCCTCACTATCTTCTTCACCTCGCGATGGAAGCAAGTCGGCGAAGGTAGTCGAAACCTCCTCATTCCTCGAGAACAACAGCACAAGTCCAAGCATCTTCTTCCATCCAAGGATAGCGAAACTCCAAATGAGAAGACGCGCGCTGAGAATGGATCTGGAGCTTCTGATGGCGAAGTTGACACAAACCTCATGCGCAACAAGAGCATCTTTACTTGGAAGAACTTGACATACACTGTCAAAACCTCAGACGGCGACCGTGTCCTCCTTGATAATGTGCAAGGCTATGTCAAACCTGGTATGCTTGGCGCTTTGATGGGATCTTCAGGTGCAGGCAAAACAACACTCCTCGACGTCCTCGCACAACGAAAAACAGAAGGATCAATCCACGGATCAGTCTTAGTCGACGGTCGACCTATTCCTGTGTCCTTTCAACGATCAGCTGGCTATGTCGAACAACTGGATATCCACGAGCCTCTGGCAACCGTTCGCGAAGCCCTCGAATTTTCTGCTCTATTACGCCAGTCTCGCGATATACCAACTGAAGAAAAGCTGCGTTATGTTGATACTATTGTCGATCTTTTGGAGCTGAACGATCTCGAACACACGCTTGTCGGTCGACCTGGAAACGGCTTGTCAATCGAACAACGCAAACGTCTCACCATCGCTGTTGAATTGGTAGCCAAGCCTAGCATTCTCATCTTTCTCGATGAACCGACAAGTGGCCTCGACGGTCAAGCCGCCTTCAATACGGTACGTTTCCTTCGCAAGCTATCTGCAGCTGGACAGGCTGTTCTGGTGACAATTCATCAGCCATCAGCACAGTTGTTTGCTCAATTCGATACTCTGTTACTCCTGGCAAAAGGCGGAAAAACTGTGTACTTTGGTGACATTGGTGACAATGCTGCGACTGTGAAGCAGTACTTTGGTCGTTACGGAGCACCTTGCCCATCTGAAGCCAATCCCGCCGAGCACATGATCGATGTCGTATCGGGTGGAGATGGACCGTATAAGGATACAGATTGGAACCAAGTTTGGCTGAAATCACCGGAACACGACCAGCTCACGAAAGACTTGGACCACATGATCGAAGTAGCTGCATCCGAACCATCACATCTCAAGGACGACGGCAACGAATTCGCAGCTCCAATGTGGACCCAAGTCAAGCTTGTAACGCACCGAATGAACATCTCTCTCTTCCGAAACACCGAGTACATCGACAACAAAGTCGCCATGCATATCCTCCTTCCACTCCTCAATGGGTTTACATTTTGGCAGATTGGTGACAGTCTTACGGATCTCCAGCAGAACTTGTTTACAGTGTTCAACTTCATCTTTATTGCCCCGGGTATCATTTCGCAATTGCAACCTTTGTTTATTGATCGAAGGGACATCTATGAGGCGAGGGAGAAGAAGAGCAAGATGTATCATTGGGCACCGTTTGTTACTGGTCTGATTGTATCAGAGCTTCCGTACTTGCTTGTTTGTGCGGTGTTGTATTTTGTTTGTTGGTACTTCACTGCTGGACTTCCTACTGGTGCTAGTCACGCAGGCAGTGTATTCTTTGTCGTGGTAAGTCATTTCCCTTCGCAGCAGTTGGTTTGGACGTAGCTAACGAGTCTCCAGGTCATGTACGAAGGCTTGTATACTGGCATCGGTCAGATGATTGCTGCGTATACCCCCAATGCCGTCTTTGCGTCGCTCGTTAATCCTCTGGTGATCACCACTCTTGTCTCATTCTGCGGCGTCATGGTACCTTACAGTCAGATTGTACCATTCTGGCGATACTGGTGAGTGACAAACCTCATTGTACTGAAAATATGTTTAACTAACTGGAACATCGCAGGATGTACTTTATCGATCCCTTCAATTACCTCATGAGTTCACTCCTCGTGTTCACAACCTGGGACAAACCTGTCCACTGCAAGCCCGAAGAGCTCGCCGTCTTCGACCCTCCTTCCAACATGACCTGCTCCGAGTACCTCTTCGACTACCAGAGTGGTATGGGTATGGCTACCAACCTTCTCAACCCAGATGCCTCTTCATCTTGCCAAGTGTGTCAATACACGTCGGGGGCGGATTATCTTCGATCGCTAAACCTCAAGGAAGAATACTATGGATGGAGGAATGCAGGAATTGTTGTTGTGTTTGTTATTGGTATTTATGGGCTCGTCTATTTCATGATGAAGCTCAGGACCAAGGCTACTAAGAAGGCGGAGTCTTAGAATGGATGGACTAGAATGGGATCGTAGAATGGTCGGCATGGTGTATCTCAGAATCATTTCTTTTCTGTTTTTCTTTCTTATAGACTTCAGTTACCGTAGTTAATTGTTGAATTGAATATCGAGTATTTTTGGTATACGTCTATCCAGACTGAATTTGACCCTACCCTCTTCCTGCAAAATAAAGTGCCAGTTGTTGGTCACTAATAACTCTACTATTGTTCACTTGGCCCACATTGTCAGGTTTGTACACTAATCCCTCCATTCTTCAAAGTCTTGAAGGAAAAGCTCAACGAGCCTTATATTACAATTAGATTAGTAATTAGGGCTAAGCATGGGCGTCAAGTCATAGGCTTTGCGCTCACTCAATCATGCATTTCTCACCCTTATCTCACTGTTCAGGAAGGCGTGCTTACGTGTATTTTCCTGTTTGCTGTTTTACCGTCCTTCAGCCTGATTTAAACCCACTCGCTTATCAATATGCCCCCTCACTATCTACCTTTAGAATAACCTTTCATCTTTTCATCAAAGTATGCAATGATAGACTTAATCGTGGAATAGAGAATCAACACTAGCAACAGTAATTGATTAGACCTCACACTAGTCATTCCCACTTTCGCCCGCACATCATGGCTGCACCACAGATAACTATAAATCCCGCAATTTACTATCCGCACTAGACATCTGATTGTTCAACTTGCAAAGCTATTTGGCACCAATTCGCAGATCCTGAGTCTGCACCGGAATTAAACCTTGGAACTTACGAACAAGCACTTTCAACTATCTGTCCGAATCACAAACTTCTATTGCAGGGATTCATCACTAGTATTCGATCTCGCGGGAATGACTTCGAAGAGTACAACAATGGTGACCTTGGGTTCCCCAAAAGAATTAAAGGTCGTCACGCAAGTATCTTACAATCCATATCCGAATATGGTCACCAATGGCGGTTAATATTGATAAACAGGAAGGAAGTTCCTAACCATCCTGGTGATGGGCGCATATTGCACAAGGACTGGGCTGATATCGAGACTGTTAAACAATGGAAGCAAAGGTGTCTTGATTCTCATGGCGCCGAATGTCAAAACCCTTATAGGGTTTCTCCTGCTCGACCCGCTTGGCTAATCGACGTGCAGAATCAATGCATTGTCCCCGGTGGAGATTCTGGCAGTTATGTGGCGGTAAGCTACACTTACGGCCAACATACTCAGCCAATCATTACTTCAGTGGATTTTAAACTACTACAAAAGCTGTTTTCCTTGCAAGGTACAGAGTTCTCAACTTATGTCTCGCCAATAATTCGCCACGCTATGCATTTGACTTCAAGCATTGATGAGCGGTACTTATGGGCCGATGCACTTTGCGTCACTCATCACGATCCTGAAGCTGCTTCTGAGCAGTTGGCGGCAATGGGAACTATCTATGCAAACGCCGTTGTTACCATTATCGCTGCAGATGGTGATTCGGTGTCTGGAATGCTTGGCTTGAAGGGTACCTCTAAGTCACGAGAACTTTCGCAAGATTTCATTCCGTTTGGTGATGAAACACTCGTTGTACCACCATGGATCGAGCCAGGCAACGATTCATCTGCACGGTATTTCGAAAGAGGTTGGACATTTCAAGAACATGAATTGTCAAGAAGAAGGATCTTATTCGCAAATAAAAAGTTACACTGGATGTGTGGATGCAGTAGGTGGCATGAGGGGTATACCCTGTATACTGAACTAGATGAATTCAGTCGCGACTTAGACATCCTGATGGCCGGATTCCCAGATGATCAACGTCTTTCGAATTACATCGGGGATTATAATTGGAGGTCATTAACCTTCGAAGAAGACGCCCTTCCAGCCATTTCAGGCCTACTGTCAGTATTCAGTCGATCTTTCGAGGGAGGGTTCCTTTATGGACTTTCAGAAATGTTCTTCGAACACAGTCTGGGCTGGCGGCGACCATGGTGGCATAAAAAAGGTCTTCGATGTCGGGTTATCTCAGGAAGGCCCACTAAGAATCAATTCGCGTTCTCTGGCCTTCCTTCGTGGTCGTGGCTAGGCTGGAAAGGCTATGTCGCGTTGCGATATCAAACAGCTGTTCGGGTTCGGTCCAACCGGATTGTTGTTTTTATGGAGGGGCGACATCGAATTGAAGAAGCTTTTCCTATCACGGAGTGGTATACAAGCGAATCCATATCCGACCCACCAGAGCGAAGACGAAGAATCAAGTCAACTTGGTTCGAGAACAGAGATGGCTTCAAAGATTTCACCAAGCCCATGCCTTCCGGGTGGTCGCGTCGAGACGTTGGCACAGCAACATCATCACGAGGCGAGCCACGTCCCTATCCAGATGGATGTGGGAGATATGTCTTCCAGCATGAAGCGATTTCGGAGATAAATGGGACCCCAGTGGAGTGGTACTACCCATTTCCAGTCAACGAGATAACAACAGCAACATCTCCTTCTATGCCAGATCAAACACAGTATCTTTTCTGTGAGACGTTTCAAGCCACACTGTTAGGATATCAACAGGACATCGATAAGTCGAAATATCCAAACCTCTTTGAAGCGAAGCTTTGTGATAAATTTGGAAAGGTAGTTGGGAAACTAGACTTGGTGAATTATGAATCGAGGGACGAGTTCCCAGAGGCTGTAGATACAACAACGGAGATCGGGTTGCAGGTGGATGTGGTCGCCATATGCAAACTTAAAAGATACATCAAGAAGGAACTGGATTTGCCGCAAATTACAAAAGATTTGTATCTCGTACTTTGGGTTGAATGGAAGGAAGGTATTGCATACCGACTTTCGAGCGGAGAGGTCCTAGCAGAAGAATGGGAAAAATTGGATTTGAAGAAGATTTCGTTCGTGCTTGGGTAAATAGTCTATCAATAATCAGCAACACCGAGTCTGCGGAAGCTATTGGGGTCTCAAGTCTTCATTGCTTCTATCACGTTATGACTGCACATACTCAATATAATGACGCCAACCTTTTACTGCTATATGGGCTGTCCGATTTATATAATCGAATCGTAAGCCGGGAGTAGATATGAAAGAAGAATGAGATTGAGGAGACACAAGAATGGCAGAGCTTACAGACGAGGTAAAGAATCAAATATTAGCTGCATCCTGGCAGGTGAGTCTAACAGTCGCAAAGATACGACGAAACTGTGGAGATAAACGAAAAATAAATTTGGTTGGCTTGTAGTTGTGAGAAACCAATACTCTGCTTAGTTGCCCCCTCCTCCCGGCAGCCAACGAGTATCAATGTGGGATGGCCTCTCAGAAGGGATGTGACTTACTGCTGCATGCGTCTTGGCCAGGCTAGTGGGTAGCAGAAAAAATCGCCTTCAGACAGACGTGCCCGCTATACGTGGGATCGCAATGGGTATATCATGGACTAGAGAGGATTATGTGGCCCCCTCCTGTATTAGATTTGGAACCTCAATCCTGATTGGCAATACGTTGGCTATTCTTTACGGAGGGAGAGACCTAAGGATTATGAAGTTTGTCATTGATAAATTTCTAGTACGATGAAGTATGACTTCCAGGTTTGGCTGGTCGCCATTAGATCGATAGGAAACTTGTAGAAGCTTTAACAAGCAGAGAGTGCGATGGAGATAAGAGCTCAATGAAACATCATAACACAAACGAAACTGATTTCTGTATATTTTATCACTGGACTTTAACCGTTGATACTTATTCTAAGTTTTGTAAAAAGTTCCATTTACTTACCCCGATAGGGCATTGGCTAAGACATCAACTGCTGTAGATGGAAGGAGGCCCAAGACAGTCAGTTTCGGTCCTGACCCTTGTTTTCTTCGACTTGAGAGATTCAGGCTCTAGTTATGTAGCATCGCCAGACCACGGTTCTCCCCAGGGATATTATCTGCATTAAACTGGTTTTAGAACAGTGGATGAGGCTGGCTGGGATAAGCCGTCGCTAATGCAGCCTTACTTCATATCTGTAACCTTGTTTTATTTTTCCGAATATGAAAAAGTCACTGGAACCAACCAATGACTGTATGTGAACACTGCTGATTGTCTCGATCTATGCCTATTTAATACCTTGGCGTACGCCAATCTATCGTAACAGCCAAGAGACTCGGCAGCCCGGCAATTAAGTCGTAGGCCAAGGTGAGTTAATGTGGGCCAAGGTAAGCCAAGCGTTGCAACAGTGCTAAGCAAGGGAGCTTTTGTTCCGTTCATGACTGGGTTCAACGCGTCAGTGTTCAACAAATTCATCACTGATAAACAAGAGAATTCTGTATCGCGTGGCAAAAGAAGATTTCATCCTGCCGTCATCAAGTATGATAGTGTCGTGCAACATGAATGAGTGGTTGTGGGCGCGTCGATCATTGTAATAACTCGGATGACGCCTTATTTGTGTCATGAGCTTCTACTGCTGTCATGACGTCTTATGCTGCTTGCAATGGGAATCGTCATTGGTAAATTAATCAGGTATTATGAAATCTACTCTACAGTTGTTTTTCTGTGAGATCTATATATCTTGCTTCATTGACAACCTTTTTTTGCAGCATCAATTCATTCATCTCACCTCACCTCATCTCATCGACTCATTCGATATGGCATATCACGACAACACCACTGCGCGTAACGACTATGGCACAAATTATCAGACCGAGCGCGAAACGGGTCTTTTGACTCGCTGGGTCCCAAACAAACTCAAGCATTCAGGTCTTTACCGTTGGATCCTCCGCATAACTCGTATTCTACAATTCCTCTCCTCTGTCATTTCCCTTGGACTGTTCTCTGCGCGTCTCCGCAAAGTCTACAACATTGTCAACGTTATCAAGACCCGACGAGGTGTTAGTGCCGCATTTGGCGCGGTCGAAGGCATCCTTGCTGCCGCTGTGTTATACACGCTCATTGGCATGATCCTCTCTTTGCTTCTCAAGGGTGGTGGTCCGAGATGGCTTCGCTGGCTTTGGGTCCTTTTGGACATTGCCTTTGTCGGAGCTTTCATTGCTGTCTCTGTTCTCACTCGTCCCGATGGTGGCCCTGCTGGTCCAGGACGTTGTTACGACACTCGGGGTCTCCAAGGTGTCTTTGGGAACAACACAGACACCACCGACGATAGCTGCAACTTGCCTTGGGGTACATTCATCTTGGCCATTCTCAGCACGTAAGTGACAATCTCTCTGGAGTTCGTGATAAATACGCTAATATTGTTTGTAGTATCTTCCACGCTATCACAGCAGCATTCCACGAGGTCCGTGAGCGCCGCAAGGAGCATCACGTTGAGAAATACCCTGCCCAAGACCCCTACGACCAGCCAGGACACGTTGGCCAGACTCATGTTCCTCAGACCCATGCTCAACCAGGTTACGCCACACAAGGAAACGCGCAGGGAGGCCATGTTGGCAACAACAGAGCTGCCTACTAAGCACTTTCATTACCCTAGACGAAAGTCCTAATTACTGTATAATATCACTACAATTAAAGCACAATAATATAATGCAAATGAACACATCATTAAAACAAGATAATTTAAAGCCTGTGGAATTAGTTTGGAGAGATAATTCGCCAGTAACAAGATGGGAATTTATATGATGTATCAACTTTAAATTGTGATGACTTTTCTGGCGTTTAGCATTTTGGTGCCATTTATGACATCTCTCGACCCACTGTGAACAATTGGCGTGTGGGAGCCGCAAGTGGATATGTGTCCCCTATTATGCTGAGTAATCATGTATGAAAAAAAACAAATCACATGGCTAGTTCCATCTCTTTAAATATCGCAATCACTTCGTCTGAAACGAGTTTCAGGGGCCATCAGCCGCATTTGTTATACCACCGATATCTCCGAAACATACCCCTAGAGTCTACACCCTTGGCCTTTTTCTCCAGTTGAGCTAGCTGCGGCTTGTCTTATTGTAAATAGAAAATCTGCCGTCATGAGGCTTTTCAGATTGAGCGACGGTGTGATTGAAATGCCCGAGAAGGATAGTGCGACGCGTATCATCAGATCTACAGATGCCAAAATGGCCAAGACTGCCATTCTCCACCTTGCACCTAACCCAGCAAACGAATCGATGCGCTTCTATTCTCATAAGAATGCCTATGCTGCTTTTGTAGTTTGGGCTGGATGTTTCCTGTTCTTTGATGGTGACAAAACAGAACAATTACGTCGTGGCGACTTCATTTTCATACCACCAGTAAGAGAGTCCCACTTGGGTGCCCGAGACTGGAATGTTAATCAATCCATCAGGGAACAGTCTACGGTTACCAATCATTGATCTCCGAATCAGAATTGTTGGTTGTTACTACTCAACAAGATCCAGCTACCCTGCTGGAATCAATAGACAAGGATCAAGACGCCTTATCTCGACGCTCAACTGATGTTGAAATTCCTGACCCCAAAGACATTGACATTGTCGATGGCTATCGTCCTTTTGATCCAATGAAGCCCATCGACCAGGACGCGTCTCTGTCAACATTCCTTCGCCCATATTCACTAAATCCGTTCACATGTCCACGATGGATATTCGGCGGAGCAATAACATGGCCATTTGTGAGACAGAACCAGTGCGAAGGCAAGTTCTCCATTTCAGTCATGGAGTCTTCCCAAATACACAAAGTCAGGCCGTTCCTTAATCGGTGGCTAAGCTTCACAAGTGTTGATCATTGCTTTTGCATCATCGAGGGAACATTCTTACTCAAATTGAAAGACCAGACCGAGTGGACAGAGCTCCGAGAAGGTCAAGCTATCCAAATTTCGGCCAGGCAAGCTTTCACTGCTGATCTTGGGAGTGAGTTTCTTAGAGTGCTTGTTATTACGAATGGCATTGGCATTGATGAAATGATCCGCAGGGCTGGACGTGAATATGAGTCTACAACACTCCCAGAAACGGTCAACAGGTGGGATACTTGGGATGAGATTCGTTTCAGATCAGCGTGCTCTGAAGTTGGCGCTCTCCTTGACTGCTAATCTAATACCCACTGTAATATAGAGGTGAATCAAATTTGAGTATTTGCTCAACATGAAGAACAAGGTCTTGGTAAAAATGCAAGACCTGTGACTAGTTACTCTTTAATTCGCCTTTGAACGTATACTTACATCCGCTTGCTCAAATTTGAGCATGTCAGCTGATGGGTTGTGGTTTTTCGTTAGTGACCTGCCAGGAACATAAGCTTAATCCCTAGGTACACTAAGCCTTGTTAAGTCTAGTCTAAGTTATGCGACAATGTTACGATTGGATACATGTTCTGGGGAAACGTTGCAACTAATCTTGGTGAAGAAGAACTGATTAGGGTAACTGTCACGACAAATCATAGCCACCTAATAAAAGCTGTTTCCTACCCTCTATTGCCAGTGAGTCCACATCAGAAATCCGCCGATCAAGAATAAAAATAATCGTGAGAACTTTCTGTTAAACCCATTTTAAATTCGAGCCGGAACGTACTTTGATTAGAATAATCCAGCATCCTGTATTTTGTAAATGATCAAACATTGGGCCGCCATAAATGGCGAAGGCCGATTCAACAAAAAGATAGCCTGCAGATATAGTGGTGTGATGATGGTGTACTTGTATTGTGATCGGATTTTAACATATAAAGAAATTGAGAACAATCTCAACTATTAGAAACAAACATTCATCAGCTCTCCTTAACATTATCGCAGCAATCAAGAACCTGCCCCAGCGCATAGTTGTAACAAGTTCCTGTACATTTACATCCCTCCATTCATGCACCGAAGTGAATAAATGGGATCCAATACGTGTTGAGACTGGATTCTGCCGCTGGCCTTTTGTCTTCTCTTTCAGCGTCCCTCCTTGTTCCTCCCCAAGGGCTGTCATCGCGCAGCTTCCGAAGCGCCCGATGAAGACCGTAGCTGACAGCTTCGTCCGTCATTCCGTCCTCACATAGGGTCTGATATAGTAAGGTAGCCACGTCGACGCAATGTGGATCCGATACTTCCCACAGTGTACCGACAACATGCCGAAAACCAGCTAATTGAAAGGCACCGATGAGGTGGATAGCCTCGTCCCAAAGACCTTTTCCTAGGTTACTTCCAGTAGAGCAGGCTGACAAGTATGCGAGGAAGGCTGGGTTCTCCTGAAGCCAGCTCTCACGAAGGTCACCGACAGTTAGGGGATTTGTTTTCCAGTCATCCAGGAGAAGGCAACTTTCAGAAGGATCTTCCCTGGACTCTCCGTGTCCTGCAAAGTGCAGGATCTTGCAGTCCTGAAGATGCTCCAGGATGCCGGCCTTTAGACGGGGGGGTGTTATTGCTTTCAAGCCAAGTGATGCACACAGCCCTCTGATTTTATCGACCTCTGTTTTTGCGTTTGGAAGTGGCATTTGCCCTTCAGTCTCTTCCATCGCGAAGAGAATAGCAGCGTTCTGTTGCTCTTGCTCATCTATCAATTTCTCCCGTCGCTGACGCACATGCTGCAACGCCTTGATGGATGAGGCATATGAAGATATCACTCTATCAAGAACCGTCTCTTTCGACCCGGGTGCGTAAATGCCTGCTGCATGAAGAGGTAAATCACTGAGACCACTTGTAGGAATCCACCAGATATGCGGCCACTGCGCGTCGCCGCCGAAAGCTTCTGTGAACCCAAGTGCGTCAAGACAAGGCCGGCAAATTGTAGTCCAGAGCCATTCAAGAGCAGGTCCAGGATTATGCTTGAAGCTGCTGAGGCCCCTGGCACACTCTGGGATCTTTTCAAAAGTCAAGTCAGGAATTCCCAACAGCCGGACTGTTTCGCACTCCACAAGGATTGCGTCGCATCGGTACCGACTAAGATTAACTACCACAATAGGGCCGGACTTCGCTGCTGCCATAAGAGTCTCAGCGGATGGAGGTTGAAGAAAGTCGTGGAATCCATCTTCGGCGCGGATCTGTTCGATGACTTCGTCGAACTCACGACTAGCTTGGTGCCGCCGATTGACCATTGGTACCTTGATCATCGAACAGCAGTTCTGTGAGGGCGAGTCAAGTTCCTTTCGGAGTGCGACAAATCTGTCAGCCAGTGACGGGTGTTTCACCCTTAGATCCGAAAGATCACCATGGGCATCAATCGAAAGACCAGCGATGACACCACGGCCCAGTTCGAGGATGGATAATACCTCTGATGCGGGTTTTCCAGCATTGATAGCTATTGCAGCGGCATCCGTGGCCAGACCAGTAGTGGGACTGAGCATGCTCTGCATGTCAGACTGTTTCAGAGACCGCGGGCTAACTTCCGGCAACAGGAGGACTGCCTCGCGCAACAAGTGGTATGCTTCGTCCCATTTGTTCCTCGATGCATTGATATCGGCAGCATACCTAGCTGAGTCTATACGGCTAGATGGAGGAGAGGTTGTACAATGCCAAGATCTAACATACGCTGAAAGCTGAGCATCTTGGTCCGTTTCCGCATGGGTCTGTGCATACCGTTGACCTAATATGTGTCCAAGGTTCCCGAGATACTGAGCGAGGTTCGTATGGCCGTGAGGCGTTGCTTCAACAGCCTTCTGGGCTACCTCAGTGGCGCGAATCAGATCATCCATTGACCCTGCCCGTCTATACCGGGCGTTTAGCCTATTTCCGAGAGCGCTCAAACAAATAGCGAGGGTGGCAGAATCAGCCGCTTCAACAGCTTGCTGGGAAATTTCGATTGCCCTTGTTAGATCGTCCATTTCCCTTGTACGCTCATACCGTTTACCTAAGTGGGTTCCAAGGTTCATGAGCTTTGCAGCACGAGTTTTATGTTTGTGAGGTGCTGCTTCGACGGCTTTCTCATCTGTTTCGATTGCTTTTGAGAGGTCATCTATAGACCCTGTCCGCTCATACCTTCTACCAAAACAAACTGCAAGATTACTGAAAACTATATCGAGATTTAGGTGGCCATTAGATGAAGCTCCTGCTGCTTTTTGAAGCGCTTCAATTGCTTTCGTAAGGTCATCTAAAGACCCTGTCCGCTGAGACCGGGTAGCAAGTGATCCACCAAGATTACTCAAAGGAGTAATCGAAGGGCCGAGGTTGAGGTCATTGTCGTGAGTCGCTTCTACGGCTTTCTGATTAACTTCAATCGCTCTTGTCAGGATATCCATTGACCCTATTCGGTCAGACTTGTTGCCAAGAAGAGCCCCAAGGGTGGTATACACGGTAGCGAGGCCTGGGTGATTGGCGGGTAGTATTACAACAGCTCGTTCTAGTAATGCGATTGCCGTATCTAGGTCATCCGTTGATTGTGTCTGGTACGCAAGACTCCCTAAACAGCTTCCGAGGACGCTCAAACATCCTGCAAGGGCTCCATGATCAGAATCAGGTATGATTTTTATGGCTCTTCGGGAGACTTCGATCGCCCTTTCCAGGTCTTCCATAGAACCCGTCGCTTCAAAGCTATCACGAAGCAAGGCACCAAGGTTGTTCAAATTCCTAACGAGGTTTGGGTTTCTGCCGTGTACCATTTTGACGGCTTTCTCAAGCACTTCAATTGCACTCTCTAGGTCGCTGATTCGCCCCGTTGTTTTATAGCTGGCTTCTAGATTGTTTGCAAGATGTCCCAAAAATTCGGCAAGCTTGGGATGATTATCAGAGGTAACTCCGACGGCTCTTTGATTGACTTGAATCGCTCTCATTAAGTCCTCAGCTGACTTTGTGCGCTCATACCGAATGCCTAGGCTGACTGAATGGTTATACAAGTATCCAGCAAGGCTTGGGTGACCATCAGGTGTCACTTTGACCGCTTGCTCTTTTGCTTCGACTGCTCCAGTCAAGTCGTCTATTGATTGTGTCTGAAAATATCGGCTAGTTAGCCAGTCCCCAAGGTTGCTTAAGTGTCCAGCAAGACTTGGGTGATCGTCAGGTGTCACTTCGACAGCTTTCCGGGTGACTTCGATTATTCTCGTCAAATCATCAATTTGACATGTTTGCTCGTAGCGTTTACAGAGGCGTAATACCAGGTGGTTTAGTTCCTTCCCGATGTTTGGGTTCCAGCTGGGTGCCCGATCCAAGACACCTTGTTGCTCCTCTAGCTGCCGAGTTAAGGAGTGGGCCGACTTTGTACCTGAATCAGCCGTTTCGATGCTTTGGGAGGCGGCTTTCGTTGAGGCATATGTCGTCCTTTGTATGGCTTCATCTGCGGCTGGCCCTGTCGCTGGCAGCAGAGTTGTGTCGCTATTGTCGTACAATTCGACCTCAACCTGATACACCACGTTTACCCAGCCTGGGTATTTTGCAAGGGGAAACACGCCAACCTCTACACGAGACCCATTTGAGATGGACTCTAACCACCCTTGCGCTTCGTTTTCATCTGATTGATCTTCTTCAAATGGCGTGTTCAGCCTCCACTCGAGGATGTGGCACTTCTTCTTGGTGGACGCACGAACGTTCCTCTGTATTTCGCACAGATACGGCTCATGTTTACGGCGAAGGGGATCAGAGCTTTCCGGAATGATGCCGAGGGCAAACCAAGTATGCGAGTTTGCGTAGGGATCATCGGTCTTGAACTCAGGATTGCACCAGCCTAGTATCTAAATGTCAGCAGTGAGCATCTATGGAGGGAAATAAGAGTTCAAACCTTGATCGTGAGACCATATTCTGATGATGAGCTGACGTAGTGGATGAGGTCCGATAGTAAATGAGAGGTATGGCTCCTGTGGACTGGACCGATTGACATGGAGTATATCGCTCCTGGTAAAGGTCCGAGGTGTGTCGGCTCTGAAATCTTGAGTCCTTCCCGACAGACTTTGGCCAGAGTTGTTAGCCATTTTTGGATACTTTGTGATGCAAGTGCAAATGTTTTGATGGAAAATATAATAAGTGATAACTTTGACTATAAACTCAATAAGGCCTCGTTTGTTGAAGTAGTCCTGGGGTGGAGAGGACGAAAAAAAAACATTGGTGCGTCAGCAATTACTCTTATGCCTTGCACAACGACACAGCCTGAGCACTAAACTGAGCAGCAGAATGTGATACTGTCGATTTGGCTCCTCAATAGTTCAGGCTCATCTCCCGACCAATGTGGCAATGATGTGACAATGGTTGTGTGCTTTGACTTGGGGCTCATTGGAGCTGGAGCGGTGTAACCTTGGCACTGCAGTCATGGTAGTGCGGCCTTGGCACTACAACCACCAGCGAATAGGGCAAGGTAGAGTGCTAAGTATTTGATACCTCCAATTTATCAATGAAGCTCTACTCGAACTGGATAACGTGCGCAACCTCTCTCTTCACATCTTCATTATGCCTTTCGTGGCTTGACTGCTGCCTGGTGCCAAGTATTATACGTGGTGTGGGCTATACTACTCTACATGCGCGGCTTTACCAACCTGTCTGGAAATGAGACTATCGCTGATACCTCTGACAGAAGTGAACATAGTAAATTGTCCCGAAATCTTCCCTCAAGCAGACCCGTCTGTATTCGAGATGAAAACTACCAAAACGGTCGTGTAACTACCGTCCAGCCACAAGTTAGTCATCTTACTTCTAGCAGGCCGATAAACTTACGTCGCACCAGCTACAACCAACTCAACCGTGTTCGCCTTGGTCAAGCCCGCCAACAGTGAAACAAAGGTTGATGCCGCAATGACGATAATGAAGAGTCGGGCTGACAGACTCTGGACCGCGTTGCAAACAATAACAGGACTTAGGAGGAGAATGGTGATGAACAAAGACATGAGCATCCTCGCCACCTTTCTTGTCGATGAGATTGGGAATACATGGACACGAGGGTCCCTCGAGATGGGGGGGAAGGACGGCGGGTATTCTGTAGTTGCGCTTTGAGCCCTATGCTTGTGGTAAAGCCGACGCCCCTGCTCTACCATTAACTCAACCCAGCTTGTAGCAACATCTCCAGTGGTGTTCAGGCAGATTAGATCCTCCGTATGGTGTAAGTAAGCAATCTCCTTGCGTGCTATGCACCCGACTCCATTGACCCAGTTCTTCAGATCTGCTCTTGCTTGCTTAGGAGCCATGTCCAAGCTCATGGCCTTCTGGTGTCGGTCTAGGAAAGAGTATAGAGGACATCATGTCAGTAATCGCTCGCTCAAACGGGAGTCATTAATACCATATTCTGCCATAGCATTATCAATATCTTTGAGGATTTGACGGCGAGGTTCACTCATCTCGCGACTACACCCAAGGAATGCATAATTGTTCTTGTTAGAATCGAATCTAGCCAACCTCTCCTCCAGCATAGACAATCTGTCTTGCTTGATCAAAAGGAGTTGTGCACGTAGGATAGTGAATCGGCGAGCGATGTGATATGAAGGATGAGAAGCCACAAGGGCAGAGAATCGAGGATAGCCTGCGGGGTAGTCTTCAACTGTCTAGGTTTAGTAATGCCATGGCGATATTTCAACCCCCGTATTCTTACTTGGACATGCCGCTGTCTCGTATGAAGTGCCAAAAGCGGTCCACGAACTGAGTCGTGGGAATAGCCATGATCTCAAGGGGCCAGAGGGCGCCGGCGTGTGCTGGGATGATGTTCCCATTTCCATGTCAACCTCTGTCGACGCCATTTGAGCCTACAGTGATTTTGGCGAAGATATCCGAATATGGTTTGGGGAGGAGTATGATCCTTACAGTAAAAGACCGGGAGCAGCACAGCTCAAGGATGGTGGAGTATCATGCAGCTAAGCAGCCTCAGCAAACCGGTGGGATGCAGGTAGCTACCTATAGGTCGTTGAAGTACTTACCACCCTGTCGCCGTCATGTGCTTACCAACACAACCTTGCTCAGCCCAAATCACAAACTGCCAAGGACGGCAGAGCATTAGGTAGCCTTGACATAATGAGAGGACATGAGTCGCGTGGTCACATAACCCCGCTCTGCTGAAATCACAAACTGCGTGCCAATCATTCCCTTAAAAACCACACAGCTGTAACTGTTTACGCTGTGATATTCTCAACACTTAGCAATAGCAGTCTATGTCTCTCGATCCGACAACGAACGCAATCATGGAGTAAGGTTCTATCAGCCCAAGATACTTCCAGCACTTACTTACCCTCTGCTCAGACCAGGTACAGAACCAACCTACACAATCATTTCTGGAGGTCGCCCTATCGACGAGCCCAACCCGGTACTTGTTTTTCTCTTTCACCTAGAGTCTAATTCCCGTCCATGGTACTGACACAGCACAGTGCAATTTCATGCCAAATGACAAGGTCTATATTCGCGCTGTTGGAAATGCTCCAAGGGAGGGGCCGTATACTGTTTCATGGGCCGATCAAGGTGTCTACAAGCTTTGTGATGCGCGAGGTCGAACCATAATGAATGGAAAAACCTTTGGAGACACGGACCTGGAGGAATACAACGAATTTGAGTAATAAATGGTGTCTAATGCTAGAGAACGTCAGGTGTAAAGGGAAGACCGAACTGGAAAAGCTCTTCCGCATCCCGCAATCAGTTAACCAAAGAGGTATATATGATGTAGTTTTTGGTAGACCATGCTTCATGCTCAATACTCTTTTGCTCAATCCCACTCGTGTCCCGGTAGAGGCCGGATAATGCTGTGAGAAAGGCCGGAATTCTGCCAATTCCACTATCAACAGTCTCTCTAGCGCTCCTCGTCCTGGGATGATGCATGAGATCCTTGTCCAGATTCAATGCTGGGAACAACGTTGGCCTGTTCGTTAAGAAGACTTTGATTACATCTTTGCAGCTTGTCTGGCCCTCAGGAACTTTCATTGTCAAACGAATCGTTTCCTGGCTTCGGTCTGTGTCTGTCGCTGGCCGTATTTCTTCGAAAGAATTGTTGCCAACCGGGACTGTAAGATCCTTGATCTTCCACGAGGAGGTGAATGAAAAAAATGCCAAATACAGAGCCTCCTTTTTGCTGTGATTCTCCACTTTGAGGGACCAGGAGTCTCCATGATTGATGTGAAAAGGGCCTCCCGGACCATTTCGATTCGCCTCCGATTCATGAGTGAAGGCTTCGAGTGTAAATGAATCAGCGAAGCTTGTTGATGTCTGCTCTCTCGATTGTAATGAAGGCCGCGGCATTCTCTCAATCCCAAGGTTTTCGAGATACTTGTAGGACGCCAATCGCTGCAGGATGTACAAGAGATGAACATCAGCATTAGGTGTATCGATGGAGAAAGGTTCAAAGTGGGGAAGCAACTCCATCGACCCATCGTACATACAATATTGACGACTATGGTTGAGCTCCACGTTGAATTGACAGGCCTCTCGGTTTTCATTTCCAATGTGCAAACGAACAAATTGCAGACGATCTGGCTCGACGGAGTCTTTGGCGTAGCTGTATGCTTCTTCTGTCATTCGAATGGCAATCTTGTGCTCTGCCTCTGAACGCACTAATTTTGCGTTCCAACCGTCGCGGATATTGTTGACCCGAGTCGCATATGTAAATCCGACCATCTCTGAGTGGAGGCTGTGAACGACATCCACTCGAAGTCGGATAGAGTCTCCGGCATCAGTACCCAATGGGTAGGTATCGTACACATCACCCTTGCTGACTCCATGAGCATCGCCTGCTCTGATGTACAGGCGTCTCACTGAACCATCAGAGTTTGGACTATCTCCCCTCCAAAAGACTGGGATGAGTGGAGTGACAGAGTAGTTTTGAAGCTCTCCAAAAAAAGAGACACCCCTTTTCCCATACAACCTTGGTGTTTGGGCACCCCAGACGGCCTTTAATCGTGCGCATATATGGTTATACAGAGACTCTTGGGTGATTTGGACATTACGCCTTGACAATTCTGTCAAAGCACGCAGGAGAAATTGAGTCAGACCCCCACGAAGCTCCCCAGTGCTAGATTGAAGCTCGAATGCCTTCTCATCCAGGCCACAAGCTGCTAGGATGGTATAACCCTCCGGGTTAACCAACCATTCATGCTGGAGCTCTGATTCGCGACTGATATTTCCGAGGTCAAATAGACTCCCCCAAGGATCTGATGGGCAATCGTTGTCCACAGCCGCGTCGTATTCGATCGCCCTGATGGAGGTGCCTACCGCTTGGCTATTCCTGAGCACGCTGCCAGAAAAGCAGCAGTCCAGAACCATAGTGACCAGCAATCCTTTTCGTACCATGCTTCTTAGACAAGAGCGCAGGTCTGATCCTTTCAAGTAGCTCCTATAGTGGGGCTCATCTTCGAACAAAACCAGGGCCAGGTTCTTGTTGCTTAATCCTTCTGATAGGCGCTTGACACCATGTCCTGAGAAATGTATGTAGATGTAGTCGCCTGCTTTGGCCTTCTTAATCACCCTCTTCAACGATTGAACGACGTTATCTACGGTCGGCCAAGATTCAAAATCCTCCTTCGGCTTTCGTAGAGTTGGATCATCAGGTGCCGTTGCAGTAAGTGTAACGATATCGACGGGATAAGGAGCATTTTCCAGATACTCTTGCACAGCAAGTATATCCGGTACAGCCCCCTGAAGACATTCTTCTGTTGAACATACTCCGCCTTCGACTTTGGGGTAAAAGTTCACGCCGATCAGAACGGCCCAATGCCTTGCTGCTGAATTTCTCTCCACCATGTCATTTGCTACAACGGAATGATTATAGAAAGAGCGTGATAAAAGATGACACGACAATGACCAAAGGAAGGGCTATGATTCAGTAACAACCGCAAGTGTACAATGACGAATACTGCCCATGTGAACAGAATACGAAATAAACTACGCTGCATAGGTCCAAATGTACGATGAACTTCACGTTTCAGTTATGGGCTAGTAGGAGTGTGACAGCGACCTATTCAGCCCCCCAGGGAGCCTGTCAGCAATAACCTGCATCCTACAGTACCTTGATGGTATAGGACTATTGACCACCTGAGGTAGGGCACCGATTAGGTATTGTTATGCGTCGGGTGTTACGTCTTTAGGAGATACCTAGGTGAAGTGATGCGATAGGCTGCAAGACGTCCACTAGCATTTCTCGCCAAGTGCGGCTGAACTTCAGGTATCACACCGCAATATGCATGCTTGAGTGCTCTGATAACACCCGCCCTAAGCTCATTGGGGAGGCCGCTGACAACAAAACAAGGTCATAGCTGTACCGCTTCACATAGCCACTAAGCAGAGCCTCAATCATGCTGCAGGGAACAACCGTAGTCAGAATTTCCTTGATCCATTAACTACAGTTCTGCATCAGAAACCGGTACTTCACGAGTAACAACTGGTGACGGAAGTCAACAACTTCCCACTAGCCCAAAAACCAATAGAGGTGTTGCTAAATTCCGTAATCAGAGGCATGGCAACAAGGACTGTGTTTCCTCGTTGCCGCCGGTAGCCTAGTTGATGGAAAGTGGTCTCAAGGCACAATGCGGGGCTTCACCGAAGGTGGCTTGACAGCCTACATGATGGTGTTTTAACAACGCATACTGCACTGCTTGGCATGAAACCGCCTGACCAATAGCCTTTTCTCTACGTACCATTTGGTATTATATTCTGCACACAATGTAACAAAAACAGTGTGTTATTATGGTTGCACTGTCGTGGGTGCACTGTCCTGTGTCTGTCCGCGGTGACTTGGGGCCATGTGTGAAATTATCCCTTCAAAGGTTCAATGATGCGCTTGAGTGAAGCTGTCGAGACTAGTCGCCTAATTGTGTGGATGAAGATCAAGAAGCCCAGGCTCGTAGGAGGCTGTTGAGTGAAAGGGGTATCACATTATGCAATCAATCTTTTCAATCATCACTCTCGCGTCTCAATAAATATGTCAGTGAATGATGATATCTACGATAAGTGTAGTTATTTCAGACTGATTCGTGAAGAAGAAGATATGGCCGCACTATGTTCGGACGCCAACCGTTTGGTCTTGGGTTGTTGGCTTCCTTTTTGTGATTCATGACTATTAGAGTCATTGCCTAGGCTTAGGTGCATGAAACAATATGTCCTGACGATGTCAGTCAATTACGTATTTTGATCACGTTCGAAATTTCATCAGCAACCCACCGTATTGAAAATGATTTCCACCATGATTTACTTATTATAGTTAATTTGACCGATTACAGAATTGCTAGAAAGCATAGTAGCTCGAGCCACGGTGCGTTTCTAGCGTCTGTTGTTTGGGAGAACTGAGCAGTGGTTAGGCTTAGGTTAGGCTCAGCTACATTGCAATACAATATAGAGTCAAAAGGCTGCTCAAGTCAAAATATATATCTGAAAATACCTGACTCTGAGCACTCAACGGACTATCTTCTAACTGCTCCTCTCAAATAGGGGAGCAATCAAGCGTATGAGTTATTGACCAATTTAACCCTTGCACATTCCCTATCAGTAGTGATAACTCTTCTTGAAGTTTAACCAGTTTTGTACGGAAGAAAGGGTTCTTATGTTGAAGTTAGTTAATGCTGCCACTATCTTGCGTCTTATGGATTCGGTTCCGAATGCCTATTAAGTATTCGGCTTATCTGCGGAGAAAGAACTTGAAAGAAAGACGTTTCCGAGGCTTCTTATATGTATTGTAAGCTATCTAGGGATGGAGATTAGTGTGGAATATGTTTGTAAAGCTTATTTCCTTTCTTCTTGAAGAAGAATTGTAGACGAGGCATATTGAGCAGACTTCATATTTTTAGAGGTTAAATGAAAGCCTATAAAGAATAATATTTAAGAAATAAAAAGAATGTTTTATACCGTCCGCTCCGTCATCTGACTGTTCTTTCTTCCTGATATCTTTCTTATCGTCTTTAACTTAGAGTAGTTGAGGTTGCTTGATAGTTAATCTTAGATTGCAATGTTAATTGATGTTATAACCACACCTTGTATAGGATAAATAACATTAAATAACAGCTACAGCTATGCATCCTTTCCTCCAGATTTGTCGTCAGGTTTCCACTCAATCATAGATGGTCTGAAGCCCAATATAAGACCTTCGCAACCCGGTGGAGTTGACCTTTCCCACTTGGTAATGTAGGCGCTTGTCAACCTATAGCCCGGCGGTGCAGCACGTCCATAGTGCGACCCATTCATTGACTTGCCGCTTACTAAACCCTTATCCTTATTGTTCCAAAACTTCACACCTCCGAGCTTTTGACCATACCAAACACTAATAAAATAGAAGTATTCGTCCTCTGCGAGGTCAAGCTGTTGAGCCTCGCCATCATTCATCGATCCAAATTCAGGACCCCAATTCTGTCCGTACTTTATCTTCAACCCGTCAATATCATTATATCCCCTCACGTATACTGAAGTGATGGGAGGACCCCGGTCAGTGATAGAGGGTCCAATCGTGTCGCTCCATGTAGCATAGGTTGTGTAGCGGCCAAACGGACCAAAGAATATCTCACGGTCCAAGGTTTTCAAAACAGACTCGGGTATCTTGCCTTCTGCCAGGTACGGCCAAAACTCGGCATAGTTGAGTACGTTCATGATCATGCCAGAGTCGTAGTCTGCGTATGCTCTGAGCTTGGCTGCATCACCAGCTCCTGGGTTTTCGCGATCAGTGACTGGTGGATCCTGAATCTTGACTTGTCCGCGACCTTTCTGATAGATCCTGTTGACGTAGGTTACATAGTCGAGCTCATCATAGTTGCCCTCATCCCCAGTGGATCCCGACGTAGTAGCAACAAGGTCAGCATATGCAGTTTTCCAAGTATCGACTATCTTGGTCGGTATATCCAAGTCGGTGGCTGTGGCAATGGCCTCTTTGAGCAAATGGCTCTGTTCTGAAGCGATGTGTTTTACCGGCGGAATGCCAATCTTGGGCGCCGTTTTATGGTCAAACTCAGCACGCAAGGTCTCAATGTTTTTGACGGAGTAGCCCCAGTCTTTGCCATACTTGATGCCATCGACTAATAGCGCGAGGTGGATGTTAGCTGCAAGAGCAAACAAGGGAAGAGAAACCACTGCATAGGTCTCGATCCGGAACCCAGGAATAGCAGCCGTTGTTAGGTTCAAAAAAGCAATGTGAGTGATTTTTAGCGTGTCTCGTGCTTTTTTCTTTTCCTCCGCCGACTCCTCCTCGTAGTTTTTTAGAATTTGTCTATAATTCTCCATGTTATCTTGAAGACCTCGGATCTTTTACTTCAGAATCTCCATTTGAGCTGCAGTGATCTTGGCATCAACGAGTGCCTCGATGCGGTCACGAAGCTTTGCCCAGATCTTGTCAATCGAATTGGGTTGAACAAGGAAACCGCACATTAAAGAGACAAATGCGCTGAGGCCAGTCCCAATACCAGGAACGAGACCACAAGCCCCAGCCAAGACGGTGAAAACATATTGTCCAACCTCTTCGGGGTCATTAATCTCCAGCTTCTGACCGTCATCGACGGCTTTGATCAGCTGACCGGCCAGTTTGTCAGAGAATTTCCCACTGATTTTAATACCCATTTTTAGAATTTATGTCTGTAGATGAAAAGACGAAAGGCAAGGTAGGTTTTGGAATTGTGGATGTTGAGGATGATAGTGGAATAGCTTGAAAGGGTTCTCTTGAGAATTTGAGACTTTTTCAAGCTTATATACGTACTTGCATCTTTCTGTGACGTGTTGGTTAGATTCATTAACAGCTCTAGAAAAGCAATGTCTCAAACTAACGTCATATTTTCTTTGAGTTTTATCTCAGCTAGCCAAGTTGGAAAAATGGTGCAGCAGGCCTGAACGTTTTTTAATTCTTATTGGGCTGTAAGCTTGATTGGATTTGACATGTAGCGAATGTGACACGACACGGCACTGCTGGGAATTAAGTTGCTCTAGCTTTCAGCTGCTATAATCTTGCATATCCCTGCCTCTTCAAGACACAATTTCTAAGACAGGTATAACTAGCGTTAACTAACGCCAGGAATCAAGATCTTTCTCAGTAAAGTATTGCAGCTTTTGTTTAGATTGGAATGATATCAATATGCTGCTTAGAGTTAGCGATGTCAGGTCTCCGACACTTGCCGCCTCCGCCAAGCCGACTATCAGCGCTCCCAGCCTTTTGAGACCTTCTACTGTTAAATTACAGATCCAAGGTATTAAAATACATAGCTATGCCAGACTCTGAGCTTATCGCTTTATGAGATTAGTGAGAGTAGGAGCAAGAGAACTATTTTGTGCTATTGTATATTAATGTCCTAGGAAAACCTAGTCTTGAGAGAAACCTTGACTTGAAGATATGTTAAATATTGAAGCTGAGCAGAGAGACTAATACTTTCTGATAGATAGAACTAAGAAGGTTTAGGTACACACTAAAATATTTAAAATCGATAAATACCCTTTTCCGTTGTTGAACTATGTTTGTTGTGATCTCTTAAGCTGGCGCCCAGGCCTGTTGTTAAACTATGTCAAGTATCATCCTTTCAACTTATCTATTTCTGCGGCAGTACATCCTTGACATCAAAGATCCTAGCAAATGGATCATTGGAAGGATCCGGCTCATACCGATACTCCATGTTATTTGCAATCCTCTCCAATAAACCTGGATATTGCGCCTCAGGATAAGCCTGTCGGATAAAAGCCATCATTCCATCTATGCCTGCACTTACTCCCGAAGACGTCCAAATCTTGCCAGAAGTAACCCAGCGTGCCTGTGCCACCCAATGGGTTCGTGGACCACAAGGAGTCACCAGCTGCCAATTTGCCTTATTTGATGTGGCCCGCAGTCCGTCCAGCAGGCCAGCTTTCGCGGCAATGGCTGAGCCCGTACAGACTGTGAAAAGATTCTGCAATGATGGAAACACCTTTTTGAGAAAATCAATCTCTGGTTGAATTGCCTCCAAAGGGAAGCTACCCCATCCACCACCGATGATAAGCACGTCTAAAGGAGGTGCCGTTTCAAATGTATGCGATGGCTTATAAACTTGTGAAGATTGGAATGAAAAGCCGTCGGTGGGATTCGAGGTGAAGGGAGGACCACTCCTAGGATTGGCTGGTGATAAATCCGCTGGAGTATGAGGATTATTTTCGTCAATTGGCCGGCCTATGACGGCTAAAGTCAGTTTAGAATTGGGAAGTTGGTCTGTAAGAGTATTGAGACACTCGATAGGACCAGCAACATCGAGGACTTCAAACCCAGGGTATAGGAGCACGCCATAAGACAGCCTAGGGTTGTCTGATTCAGCCATGACAGTAACAAAGTCTTGAAAAACTGATTAATAACTACTCAAAAAGGTTGTCCATAAATATCTCCCAATGTCTTTATTATATAAGTGGTGTATAGGTGGAGTAATTGTAGTTGTACTACGTGGCGCTATACAATTGGTAGGAAGTGTTAGTAGACTTCACTTGCATAAAAGAACAGCTATACAGCACTCTTTTACCGTTTTAGGTGACCCAGCAAGCTAAGACTGAATAAGAACAAGCGCAGAGTGGATTCACTGTAAGATCTATCTAGATAATCTAAGTCGCAAATTATCTCTGATAACCTGACGAGACCCGAGAATATGTACCCGTTATCCATACCATATTTTCCTCTTGTTGCAAGTCGGGACGAGTTTCAACCGAGGTCTAACGACCTCACTGCACCGCCTTCATTCGGCTATGAATTTGCCACTCTCAAGACATATGGATAATATGCATGCTGCTTGCATCTTCACATTAGCCAAATTTCGCACGGACAACCCTTGTAAGACTGTGAACTCCTCACCATTTCCGTACGTGATCTCGTTGATCAGGCATCTTTGCCACCTCTATGGCCTGTCTGATATTGTACTTGTAGCCAAGTACCTTAAGGCGATCTTCGATGTAGTGCCTAGCTAAGGGCGGGCATACGTCGAGACTTACGATGCTTGTCAAAGGCCAAATGAGGTACCGCGCCTCTATGCTGTTTTGCGATTCAAGTAGGTCCAGATAGTAGGGAACACTGGCTAGTATATCTCTGACCAGCTCTGCGCTCTCGACAAGTACTTTCTCCATCGTGTAATCTCTTGTTTTGAGCAAGACGCTGTTTATATCAGGATATTGACAGGAAGTCTCTATACCTAAGCCGCGTTTGAAGGCAGAAAATATCCACTGCAGAAGACCTAGATTTATCAGTCTAGCCACGTTGTGTAGGCGAGCTGTCTGTTGATCCTGGTATCGATGCATCACACCTTCAAAGGTATGAATGTTGTGAACCTCTTGGTACCTATCATTGCCATCCATGGTGTGAATGACTTCAAACGGTACCATTTCACGAAGGTCCTCGCGTAAGATACTCACCTCGTCAAGTAACCCAAAGGTCTCCTTGAGCACTTCCTTGGCTGTCATATTCCCCATTTTCGGAGATATCACAGCCATACGCCAAAGAAGAAACATTATACTTTTGCTGACAAAGTCAAGCCGTGGGCAAGAAGATGTGGCATACTCAAAAAGTCGATTAAGTTCAGGGGATATTGAGGTGTGATGAACAATGGAATCGATCAGCACATTCACCCCGGCATGATGAAATAACAAACGCCCGAAATGACTTTGGAATTGTCTCTTACTTCTTAACAAGAGAAGCTGAGAAGATCCTCGAATATGAGCAGTCCAATTTTCGGGATCACCGCCATTATGGAAACAAAGGGCCTCAAATGCTGATAGCAGAAGTACGCAAAGTAATGTGCTATCGAGAAGAGCCGTTTCGGGCAGGCTGAGTAGCCGGTTTGTTTGGACCAATGATCTGGCATAGTATTGCCGAGCTATACACGACAAGTTGCCATCTCTGTGTTGCAATGCCATTGACCCCAATGCTGACGCACATAGGGCTTGTGTGATCTTGTCATCCTTTACCAAGGAAGACGAAAACTCGGGTAAATATGCGAAAGTTCCTGAACTTGAAAAGATGGAAAAGAAATATCCTAAAGCGGTGGCCTCAAGTGGCAATGGAATGTTATCTGGGATGGGCTCAACCACATCGCATATTGGAATTTCCCGCAGTTGCCTTTCGGACTGATTTCCGAGAACTTCATTGCGTCGGTGTGCCTTTTCTTTCACCTTGAGTGTCTCATCCTTAATTTTGAGGACTCGGAGGTTCCGATATTCACAGCTAGCAATGCCCATACGTATACAAGGAGAGCATTGAGGTTTCTTCTGGTCACACTAGTGTAGAATTGGTTAGCATTAATTTCTTGAGGCTGAATTCAGTCTACAGGAATAGACTGCGCCACTTTGTTTGTTTGTCGTTATGGCATGCTGAGAGACTTGGGCACGTGTGGTAGGTAGGTACCTTTCTCCTCTTGAGACGACATGGCTCGCAGGCTTGTGAGGGCTTCCCTGCGAAGCCCATTTCAATTCTATCAATCCGATTCGTTGGGACTGACTCGATCGATAACTTGGACGGAAAATGGTCTTGTCTAGGAATGTAATCCTGAGACAAGTCGTGCTGTAGCAGATACGTCTTCTGCTGCTCGTGGCTGTATAATATTTGCCAGTCACACCGGAATACGTATGAATTTATGTGAAAGAGGCATATTGTTTCGACAATATGGGGGCGGTCTTGTTCCTGATGATGTCACTAGACTCTACAGAGCTTAGCGTCGAAATGACTTACCATGAAAGGTTTAGCTCATGCGTAAGTCTCATCGATCAATTAGCGGGCGCATATCAAGTTCCCTGCAGCATTTCTTAGTGCTTAGCATCCATTGTCTTGACCCAGCCTTGGTGAAATTGCCATGATCCACTATCCATTTTCTATGCTCAGTGTGCATTCGCATTCGCTTTCGACGAAAAAATAAGTTCAGATGATCTCATGACAAGAAATACCGACCTATCATGATAGACCTGATAGCGTTGAAGGATCGTTCTTAGCATTGAAGGATCGTTCTCCACGTCAATTATATCCCTATGCCGAGCTTCGCCAGATAGGTGTTAGAAATGTTATATAATACAAGCACATTCCGGCTTGCCATTCATTACCTGCTCTTCAGCTTTCACTTCTGATAAACAAAGACTTCACTCAACATCTTCAATATGAAGGCTACCCTCAAGATCACTGCCTTGCTGATTGCAAGCTGTCCCCTGGTAAGCCAAGGTTCTCTGACAACTGCTACCATTGGAAATATGCTGACTACCATGACTCAGACTCCAGCATTTGCATTCCCTACTACGGGCTCCTTCAGATCCGACGTCATGGCCAGATCGCACAATGACACTATCAACGCGACGATGGCTCCTATCGTGGGTGACGAGTCGTTCAACTTCAACATCTTGGCTTATATGTCAGGCGCTCCGTACCAAGGCGCCGATATTGGCGAGGTTCTCGTTGCTGCCAACAACATCAAGGACGGGGATTTTGAAAGTTTCTATGAACAATTTCACAGCCTGGCTACTCGCGTGCACGACCAGGCTATCGCAATTGACGCGAAGAAACATCCCGTCTCTGCTATAAATGCATTTTTTCGGTCATCCACATATTATCGCGCTGCCGATGTATATCTTCATGGAAACTGGAATGACCCGCGAATCGTGGAGCTATGGAAAAAGCAAGCTACAGATTTCGACAAAGCTATTCAGCTTCTGCCGCAGCCCGGGGAACGAATAGAGATTCATGCGGACAACTTTACCATCCCAGCTATCTTCTTTAAAACCAACAGGCCCGGAAGACGCCCCACAGTTATTCTTGGCCAAGGTTACGATGGGGCCATGGAAGACTTATACCATGTTATGGGCGAAGCTCTTCTTCAGCGTGGCATGAACGCTATCGTGTACGAGGGTCCAGGGCAGCCAACCGTCCGCCGATATCAGGATCTCGGATTCATACCCGAATGGGAAAGGGTTGTTACCCCCGTCGTTGACTATATCCTGACTCGTGATGACGTGGACGTCGACAAGATTGCATTGATGGGTTATTCATTTGGTGGCTTCCTGGCCCCTAGAGCTGCTGCCTTTGAACACCGACTTGCAGCCGTTATCGCCATCGATGGTGTTTATGACTTTGGGGAAGCTATCCTCGAACAATTCGGCCCGGATGCTACCAAGGCTGTTCGGAGTGGGAAGAAGGAGTACGTCGATCGTCTTGGTAAACAGCTCCAGGCGGACCCGGATACCCCCACTACCTTGCGATGGGGTGTCAACCAAGGCGAATGGACGTTCAAGACTCATTCAGCCTATGAATTTGCCAAAAAGGCCCAAGATTACACACTTGAAGGATATGTTCAGAAGATTCAAGCTCCAGTATTTGTTGGTGAAGCCAAAAGCGATGTCTTCTTCAAGGGACAGGCTGCGAAACTGGCAAAGGAACTGGGAAAGCTTGCCACGTACCATGTATTTGAGGACCTTTTGGGTGCCGGTGAACATTGCCAGATTGGGGCTTCAGTGTTGATGAACCAGGTCTCTTTGGATTGGCTAGAGGATGTTTTTTACAACTAAAAGAAATCCACATGCGAATAATAAGACATTGGTTTATTTCATCGTAAAGCTGGCATTTCTAGCTAAATAGAGGGGAGTGATAAGACTGAGATATGAATTCAGGGTTTGGCTGGAACCCCAAAAATAGATAAATAGCTTACGCGTATATGGCATGTAACGGCAAGCGCTTCGATATCGGTAGTTTTATCTCATACTTATTAAGTATTACTAGAAAGCTTCTCTTGTAATAAGCTAAACCATAATGCGGTATATCCCTATGTAAGAAATTTACCTTAAAAATATAAGGTTGCAATTTACCTAATCGGTTTTCCATAGGGTCGCAAGCCTTTGCGAAAGATGTCTCGGCACTGGTGAGGTTGCCCCCTGAAATTGGCGCGACCTGGATGTTCTTCCATCCTCATACGTAATTAGCCACACACAGCTCCACTAAGAAGCACAATTTCGGAGGGACTGAAGAGGACGTCTTTCGATACGTAAATCATGCGATTGGCTACTCCGGAAAAATATAGCCGGCGCCCCTTAATCTCATCTGAAACTCTGTCCCCATGCACCATTTGCTTTTTAAGCGACTCAATCTCTTCCAAAAACTGTGTTCCCGACTTGGACAAGTGTAGATTGATAACTACAGTAACAGATGCCCTACTGCTTACTATGGCTTCCACAATATCACGACGAACTCATAAAAAGTCTAGGTTGGGATGCATGGAATGTAAACGTCGGCATATCAAGGTAATTATCTTTTAGCCCTGAAATTCCGTGTAATGTGTTCTTCGGCTGACTCGTATGATTGTTGAACCAGTGCGACGAAAGACAGCCTAGCTGTGGCAATTGTGTTGTCAGTGAACGACCATGTTCCTTTCCCAGTCCACGTCCGCACCAATCACGCCCGGTCTCTCCTTCGCTGTCTGTCAGCAATCGCGGCCCGAAATATCCCAAGCTTGAGCCATTGTCTTGGTCCATCGGTAGCCCAGTCGAACGCGCTGCTGGCTTTCGCAACGATGTCAATATGCAACATATGGAGTTACTCATTCATTTCTCAGTCGACATTCCACTTCCAGATATTGATGAGGCTCTCCAAGCCTCATTCACTAAATTGGTGCTCAACGTCGGGCTAGATGCACCATACCTGCTATACCAGACTCTTGCGAGTTCGGCCCGTCATCTTGCCACAGTCAAACCATCTCTGTCACCAATATATTTGCGACAGACAACAGAATTACAGCACAGCAGCATAGAGAAGTTCAACTCACTGAACTTGCGCATCGACGATTCCAACTGCGTACCTGCGCTCTTGTTCTCCTCTTTCCTTGCAAGAGATATGCTGACTAGCACGCTTGCGGCCGTCCGTCAACACCAAGACTTCTCATTGTTCTTCCACCAGTACATCCAGTATATCCACGTACAGCGTGGAGTCGAGGCTATTGGATCTTCCACTTGGCCGTACCTTATACAATCTGAACTCCGACCATTGTTGATATGGGGCTCCAGGCTTTCTGAGCTTTCGCCTCAGGGTCGCGAATTGAGCGAACTCATCGCATCAATCACCAGAAACTCCGCCTTGGACAAAGAAGCGACCGAGGCCTGTATAACTTCAGTGCACTATTTGCAAGTCGGGCTGGATTATCTACTGTCATCAAAGTCCCGGAAGACAGGAATACAAATGGTATTCAACTGGGCAGTATTAATACCGACTAGATATATCGAGCTTCTCACCCTGCGTGAGCCTCAAGCACTCGTTATTCTCGGCCACTATGCAGTTCTTTTGCACCTATGCAAGGATGTGTGGCAGGTCGGAGACTCAGGGCGCTACGTACTCGGTGGGATCGTCAAGGAGCTATCGTCCAAATGGGTTCAAATGTTATGGTGGCCGCTTTCCGTGATTGGACTCGGATTGGGCTGGAAGGCCTCGTTTGAAGCATCACGTGGCACAAGCACCGAATGACCATGTGAGATATTCCTGCTGGAATATCACTTACCCAAGCCAAAAGCGAGAAAATCTACATATAGTGATAAATCGCGGGGAAATTCATATCCAGCATTTTACAAGGGAGTATAATCGTCAATTGTTTTTAATACCTCGGCAAACAGTGGTTGAGAAGCGGCGCTACAAAAGGCCTGTCAATTCCCACTTTGGTTCACCGACCCTGTCTACCAATGAGACGAAGCTGAATAACCACGAGGCTATTGATATCACAAGCAAATTACTAGACCCCAAGATTTTCAATACCAATTGGCCCGGAGCATATTCTTAATAGGGACATTTCGTAGAAATAAGAGAGCTGTTCGGCTACGCGGCACATCGATTTAGAGAACGTGATTAAATGAGAAGAGTGATGATAGACATTGCAAAGCTTTAAGTACATGGACTTTTCCATTTTGCTAGACTCTGTAAGTATAGACAACACTAAGTTTTCAACGAGCATGAATGGCAACATGGCTTCTATGAAAAACTTGATTGCGATCTTGCCATTTCTGGGAGCTGGTGTCGAGGCTGCAGTTAGCTTTCCACCTCTTCCGTCAGACTTGTCGACCCCAGTTCAGCAGCGTATTGCTTTTGGCGGACCGAACAGTTTGTGCTTCCCCCCAATATTTTAATCGATATTCCAATTCTAACCCGACTATTAGGTGTTACTGTTGGTTGGAACACTTACGCCAAACAAGCAAAACCTTGCGTTCAATACGGTACCTCTCAGAAGGCGCTAGATAAACAAGCATGTTCCGATGTCTCGGTAACATATCCCACTTCCCGCACCTGGGCAAACTCTGTCACTCTTGATGGTTTATCGCCAGCAACAACGTACTATTACAAGATTGTGTCCAAGAATTCAACCATCGACCACTTTCTGAGCCCTCGCACGGCCGGGGACAAAACGCCATTTGCCATCAATGCTATCATTGATCTCGGTGTTTACGGTCAAGATGGCTTCACAATCGACATGGACCACTCCAAGCGTGATGTGATCCCGACTATCCAGCCATCGTTGAATCATACAACTATTGGCAGACTTGCCACAACAGTCGGCGACTACGAGTTTATCATTCACCCGGGTGATCTTGCCTACGCCGACGATTGGTTTGAGAAGCCTAAGAATCTCCTTCATGGACAAGAAGCCTATCAAGCCATCCTGGAGACTTTCTACGACCAACTTGCCCCAATTTCGGGTCGGAAGCCTTATATGGTGTCCCCTGGAAATCACGAAGCAACTTGCCAAGAAATTCCTATCCTCAACCATCTTTGCCCTGAAGGACAGAAGAACTTTACAGATTTTATGGTTAGGTTCGGCAACATTATGCCTCTTCCTTTTGCCTCAACATCCTCAGACGATACAGCCAAAGTGAATGCCAACAAGGCAAAGCAACTTGCAAACCCGCCATTCTGGTTTTCCTTCGACTATGGCATGGCGCATGTGGTTATGATCGACACCGAAACTGACTTTCCTGATGCACCTGACCAGCCAGGTGGTTCAGCCCATTTGAACAGTGGACCCTTCGGAAGACCAAATCAACAGCTACAGTTCCTTGAAGCCGATCTAGCATCTGTTGACCGAGAAGTTACACCCTGGCTTATCGTCGCAGGTCATCGTCCGTGGTACTCTACCAACAACGAGGGATGCAAACCCTGTCAAAAGGCTTTTGAGGGGCTGTTCTACAAGTACGGCGTTGACTTGGGTGTTTTTGGCCATGTGCATAATTCTCAACGATTCCATCCGGTCTACAACGGTACTGTCGACCCCGCTGGCCAACAAGATCCCAAGGCGCCAATGTACATTGTCTCTGGAGGAACGGGCAACATTGAAGGGTTGAGCGCTGTTGGGACGAAGGGACCGGAGAATGCATTTGCTTATGCGGATGATTTCAGTTATGCCACTATTCGCTTCCAGGATGCTAACAACTTGCAAATTGACTTTATCCGCTCAGCTACTGGGGAGCTGTTGGATCGATCTAAGCTTTTTAAGTCTCATAAACAACGTTTTGTCAAACAGACTTGAATTAAAATAGCATGATTACTTAAATACAGTTATTGCCAAGAAACCCATTATCTCTATCTCTGGCAATCTAAATTCAGATATGCGAGAGGCCAGGAAAGCCATATACGAAAATCTTCGGACATAGCAAGGATACCTTTCATGATATGAACTGCCCATTCCTGCATGAACCAATACTTTTCCTCCGATGTCCGAAGTAATACGCAAAAGTGTCCCAGGATAACTATGGCGACCGTATCTCCTTGATGCAACCCTTCCATGTAATCATCTTTGAGCTGGTAGATCCAGCTTATTATAATCTCGAGTTTGCCAACAACATTCAAAGAAGCATTTTGTCCCTGGCCAAATATCCCTTCGAAACAGTCCGTGAGCACTTTTAGTTCATGCTCATAAGCCTTGGTTAATCTTTCGTCTGCGGGCCTTGTAATTAGGTTGGAGATGTTGTTCAAAGAAGAACGCCAGTCTTCGATACCATTGACCATTAAAGCCGGATCAACTGGTGTTATGTCTCCTGGTGGGCTGGAGCTGGGCGTTGGGGCATATTCTGCCAGCATGCCAGAAAATACAGATGACCAGCCTGTTGACTCAACAACCAGACGTACTCCTCGAAGTAAATGAAGCCATGACACTTGGTCTTGTTGATTGACCAAAAGGAAATTTCCAGAACTCGGTCCTTTGGCCAGAGCGACAAAACAGATAAGCACGGATGTTAAATACGCAGCCGGGGCACTCTCTACATCGAGACGACCTATCAGCACTGTCGCTGGTTGCAAAGAAGCTGTCAGATGCTTTTCTGCCAGTAACAGATATCGCGGTTTATCGACGGGTTTGAGTTTGGCCAAGTGGTATGATGATAATGATAGGACAAGGTTCAGTATGCAGGGGTGCTGAAGTCCAACTTGAGGAACGCCATCATACCAGAGTCGATTTTGGCCACCATCGCTGAGAGTTGCCGCAGTCTTTGTCATATAATTGTGAAAGAGTTCCATATCAGTGGTACACAAAGGATTGGAGCTTTCTTCAGCAGTCATTGTCGCGTGGGATCGAATCTGTTCAGTCCAAGACGTCCAATCTGACCTTGGGCGCCCTCGTCGCCGTGGTTGAGGTTCAGATTGGGAAATGGGAAGAACTTGAGACCCTGGTGGTGCAGGAGAAAAGTCGCATGGGACACCAAACTGAATGCATCTTCCACACTGCGGTTTTGCTTCATCGCACTTGAAGGCTCATATAATCAGCAGGGAGGCAAAAAGAGAAGGCAATTTGTCTGACGGAGGTGGGCCCAAAGGATGGCAAGCTAACTAACCTTGACTTTCCGTTTTTTGCAGGTTTGGCAGCCGAGGCGAGATTTTTTATGGCTTTTACGCATATTCGTATTGAGAGCGGCTGTTGGATGCAGTGCAGCACTAATTGCGTTACAAAATAAGCTGTAGTGTAGTTGTTATTGTGGCCTCGGATTGTGTTGGCTGATCTGTTTCCGAGATCTTGTAGGCTGCTGGGCTGTTGAAACAGGGACTCTCAGATTTTTCAGGTGCCGCATGGATCAACAGTCTTAGCTTAAACGTATTAGATGCGTAAAATCATGATTGGTCAACGCGGTTGCACTAGCGGTCGGAGACGCGGAGTAACTCTCCATTTAGCGGTTCAGATTCGGACTTGCCGAGCAATCCAGGGTAGGGGGACTGACTAACAACACCGCGAGGCACTCAGATTTCTATCTATCGCACAAGGTAATTGATATTGCTAGGAGGCTAGAAGCCATTTAATAATAACTTTAAAATTTCTATTATGCTCTATATGTCTATGTTCCCAATTTCCGTGACAATACTCCAAATTAAAATAAAATTAGAAAACAAACGAAACCAATTCTCAAAACATGATCCAATCATCCCTTGGGTTTCTATATCTACCTTTCAACCAAGGGCACGACGTCCTTTACCAACTCTTGACGGCGACATTTCATAATTAGTCGGCCAGGATGTAAGATAAGAATGATAATAATGATAGCCAGCATGAAACAACAATCGAAAATGTATAGAAAAGCTTCATTAGACAAAAGAGGTCCATCGCCACCTTGTTTATACTCGACAATTCTGACCACATTGCGGATTAGGAACAGACCGCTAGTGAGGTACAGCGCAATGAAATATCGGCGGTAGTGCGTGACCAAACCGGCAAGGCAGTGGACAGGCGGGTTTGAGTGGAGCCTGAGCTGCAGAGTGAGAGTGCAGATGATGAATAAGGCAAAAGCAATAATCTGGAGAATTAGACCAGTTATGATGATATTCTGGCCTCTCTTCGCTTCGTCTAGCACTTCACTGCCCGACATAATTGCACCCGCAGTCTGTGTGGCAAAACAGGCCACATCAACCAAGACGAATAATTTAGTGATCCAGCGCAGGCCAATGAGAGATATCTCTTGGGCTTTGAGAGCTCTTGTGATTCGGCCGAGGGACATGTAAATAGTGGCGGCGAGGAATGGCGGAGCGGCGAGAACGAGCAAGTTTTGTATTATGAAAGGCAAGGTTTGTCGAAGGTTGTCGTGAGATCGTGTTCGAAAATAATAGGCGGTGGCTTCCACTGAAAATATGTCAGTTATCTCTGGGATCACTCAGGGACGGGGGTTCTTACTGCCGCATCCAATGATCATAGGGATGGGAAAGGCTGATCGATAGGGAAACATCATGATAAAATGCGCAATACCCGATATACCGAAAAGGGCCACGAAGGCGTATGCTGCACTTGGTGATGGATTGTACGGATACAAGTCGAACGGGGCATAGCCTTTTGGCGTTTCCGTACTGTTTGACATTATTGGTGTTGGGATCGGTTTCCGTCAATGGACAAGAATAGATGAGAAAATAAGCAAAGGGCCGCTCGTGACTGCAAGTAATGATTCTTTGTTTATTTAAAATTCACATACGAAGGAGAAACCAGCAATGTCAAGAGGTCTACAGATTAAATATGCCCATGGCCTTGGAGCAACAAAACCAGCCCGGCCCAAAAGCGTCACTGTCCCCACAAATCAATTGGCTATTAGATTTTACGCATTCCAAAACGCTTTTATGGGTCCCTGCAGGTCCGTCCACTTGGTCACTGCTGCGCCAGTTCTATCCTATGTGGGCATCGGTAATTGCTTTCCTGTCTCCTAAAACAGAGTTTTGTTCGACCATTACGTCTGCTCCATCCAGACTTAAAGCTGAAGCTGCCGAAGTTTACGTATTGCTATATATAGTAGCAATCAATTACTTAAGTAATAACGAAGAGGCTTCACTCTGGGATTACGAATCAAATGACGCTAGCAAGTGCCTGATAAGGAGCCCGACGGTGGTTAGTGGAGTTTTCATATTTTTAAATGGGAGGACTGAAGATATGATGGAAAGTTGCGACGCTACATAGCTGAAGACCTCTGGAACGAAGTAACTAATGAACCGTAATTCTCATCCGGCCAAGATTTAGGACCTGGGCATAAGCTGACTTAGTATTTCCGTCCCGGTGGACCCCAACGCGAACTGCAGGGTAGTAGACTCCTACTCGATTGAACTTGGTCGAAACAGTCACCTCCATTGACGTCTTTCCCTTGTCAAAGCCACCTTTGACGAAATAGCCACTACCTTCAAAATCCCACTCCACAGAGGTGACTGATCCAACTCCAGGAGGAAGTTCAACATGAGCTTTCAGCGTAATTAAATGCCCCATCCCAATTGATGCCTTCGATTTTCCTTCGGCTGTCAAGTCAATTACTGCTTGAAGACCGTTACGTTCCGCCGCTGTCTTGGGGATCAGAACTTGGCCATCTTTGACAGAGTAGACTGTTTGTGCCACAGGCTCCTTGCCACTTTCAACCCATGCACTGAGATCTCTGAGGTGCTGTTCGTAAATCCCAGTAAAGTCAACAAGTCGATTTGTCAAGGATTTCGGCACCTCGCCCATCTGGTGATCGGCGTTATCGGCAAAATAAAGTCTGTACTCATCGCCAAATCGGTTACCCAGCGATTTCTTTACCTTGTTTCTGTACCAATCTGCATGCCACGGAAAAGCGTCATAATCCAGAAGAGTATCCAAGACAATCACCTTGCCTGTTGTATTGCCGGTATGGGTGCCGCCGCCGCTAGCTCCCCGTGACAACCTTCCTGCGGTATAAACTGGGCGTTGAGGATATTTTGGCGAACCATCTGATTTCAGCAAGTAGTCCCAGGAATAAAATCCGTCTTCGGTTGGTATCTGATGTCTGTGGTACGAAGACGCTGCTAGGGTTGCCCGATTGTCAATCCTGAGCAGAGTTCCTTCCGAAATTAATTTGACAATGGCCGCATTATTCTCTGGATGAATTGTTGCAATTTTTGAAGGTCCGTCAAGAGTGGCTGTGAATTGTCCGAGGCTTTTGTTGTTTGACGCGGATATGATCTCAAAAGCAAGGCCATGAGGCGGAGGTGTACCGGTAACTCTGTTAAGTGCAAAGCTAGCTGGCACTCCATTCGATTCAGCTATCACTTCTTCAACTGTTGCATTGAGCTCGTAGACTGAGCTTCTCCAAAAGTCGCCAAGGTCCGACTTTTCCATTCCAAGGTATCCAGGTTTAGTCCAAAAGTCGCTGGAGTATGTAGGGTCGAATGACCGGATAAGAGGAACCGTCATCTTTCGCATCGTTGCCCATAGCTGACTTCTGTTAAGGACAACCCCATCAAAGTCCTCCCAGCTCCTGAGTGGGATCCCAAGACGTGTAACTTCCTGCAGTACATCCCTCCTCATTGGGTCCAACACAGAGAATGGATCGCCGCTTCCACCTGGGCGAACTGAATCAATAATAAATCCTGCGACAGAGTCCAAAGCAACCTGGCTAAAAGCTCGGATACAGAAGTTGTTCGGATTCGACACGGGAACAGCCTGGACTAAGGGAACAGCACCCTGCCAGACATCAAATGTGTTCTCGATGGCACCAACAGTAACGAAAGAACCGCCACTTCCACCATACACATAACCATAGATCTTGTCCTTGTAGTCGTAGTGATCAGCAGCAATGCGTCTCGACAGTTTTGCGACGGCCGCATCAGCACGGTACCCGCCACCTCCTTTGACATGGTTTGTATATCCCCCGCTATCAGCACCAAAGCCGATTGTGCGGTCCGAGGCGGTCGAGTTCTGGGTAGGAAACACTAATTGGAAGAATCGGCCCTGGAAGTTCGTCTTGGGAAGATAGATGTTGAAATCGATACTTGTGCCATCAAAATAACCAGAGATTCTGCGATGGGGGATTGGAAGCTCGACATCTACTTCTTGGTCGATAATGACCCCATTGTATAAGGGATCGACGCAATGGGGGGTAACTTGTAAAGCTGATCCTTTGGTAAGACATTCGGGCTCTTCTACTGCGATGAAAGAGGCAAATGGTCTGACAGTAGTTGTGTATACCATAGTCACATATACAGTATGCAACCTATTCACTCAGTTAGCCAAAAGTATTAGTAGTTTCAAGATGTCCTTACAAAACCAGAAAAACTGCAGATAATAATATGATTGCATATAAAGGATTCAAGCGTAGTGTGTAATACGACTTTGAGCTAATAGATGCGGGGGGTAACTGAGTTTTGTCCATATCTTCATGCGAACACCTGGAGTACTCAGAGATTCTTCTATTAGAGCTTGGCAATACCATTCTGACTACTCAAAATCAATGAACAGTGTGACCTCGTTTCCTCAGACTTGGCATGTCGCAGCCAGTTCAATAGTATTGTCCTCTATTATAAGTAAACAGAGTTAGTACCACTTTTTAAACCCTTTCTCTTCCCTGGTTCCGAGCTTTCCTAGCGGTGGCAAAGCGACTAAGCGATCGAAGAGCGGCTGCGCCTCAGGTTGGTGGAGTCAACTTAGCACCCCGGAATATCCAATCGGTGTATCAAAAATACGATGAAAAGCGTAAATTCCCCTATTCGTGGATTACTTGTAATAAAGTATTACTCCGCTGATTTTGATTAGCATAATGACCAGGAAGTATTGCATAAGACTATCTTTATCAAATTAATTATTGCAAGATATCTTTCATTCCGCCGAGCTCATTCTATTTATTATTGAATACCTGTACTGGAACGGGAGAAACAGGACCTAGATGGAGACTCGGCATCTCTGTTCAAGTGGACAGCTATGCATATTGCACAACAGTAAATATTTACCTGATTGAGCTTTAGCTAAACAATAGACCATAGTATTAATAAAGAACTCTATTCTTTCAATAAATTGATAAGATAGACTCTGGGTTTGTTTACATCCAACTTGATATTGAACTCATCAACATAGACAGGTGTTTCTTGACCAAAGATGAAATGTTTCGCTTTATGGGTAATGCGAGTGAAAGCGTTGGGTATAACTGCCATCATTGAAGGTTAGAGCGAAACGTAGTTAGAAATCTATAATTCTGACATTAATTTTCAATATCTTCTGTTTTCTCTTGAGTTTGGTCTGCCCTTTACTGCACAAACCGGATTGTTATTTGCACTGCCTTAGTCTAGGTTAAGCGTACATTTGGATTACTTGATCTAAACCCTGGGACCTAGATTATATCAGCTGTACATCAGCCATCCCTTTTAATGAGATGAACCAAGTCGTTGGCTGTTCTACGCAGAAGATAGATGATCTGAGAACTTCGGAACGGGGTATGCAAAGACAACTCTTTGTCTGAGAGGTATAATCCAAGCCACTGATCCGAATGTTTCTTGCACTGGAACAAGGGTCACAACTATCTACAGCCACTTAAAGTTGATTAAAGCCGGGTGCTGGCTATTTTAGCTCCGGCTTTAATGAAGTCTTATTGGCAGCACACCTCGGGATGTGGACATGCAGTATCGGGCCAGGGTTCTCCGCTCTGTCATATAATCTATGCAGTATGGGGTTAAACATTAAACACCTACCCCATGGGGAAGTAAGATCATATGCAGCTCTAGTATTGGAGGAAAACAGGTCACGGAACTACGTGAGCTGAAAATACAACTTCATGCACATAAACAAGGCTGCTCGACTAGGGTTTGCAAAGACTAGAGATTAATGCACTTGAGAGATTCGGTGGCAGATAGTCCGAAGGATGCCATTGATCAGAGTCATAGGTATAAAATGTTGGAAGATCCCTCTTCAAGTTGGTGTTGGACTAGAACAATCAGTCACTCCATAGCTCCTTGGTCTCTTCTGGTTTCGAGCATCTCTACCCGCTAGCACCCAACATGAAGCTTTACACTCCCTCTACCCTTCTTACAGTCTTTTGTGGCTTAGTCAATTCTGCTCCACCCTCCAACTACCTCAATTGGAAATCATTCAGTGCCAATGGAGTCAACCTCGGTGGCTGGCTACATCAGGAAACCGTCATTGATCCAGAGTGGTGGAATCAGTATGCACCCGGCACACTTGATGAATGGGATTTCTGCGCAAAGTTGGGTTCACGATGTGGTCCAGTTTTAGAACAACGATACAGCTCTTTCATCACCACGAAGGACATCGATGCCATGGCCCAAACTGGGATCAACGTCATTCGAATTCCTACCGGATACAATGCCTGGGTCAAGGTCCCAGGTTCTCAACTCTATAGCGGCAATCAAGCTAGCTTTCTTAGAGCCATCTCCGACTATGCTATTAAGAAGTATGGCATTCACGTTATTCTTGATATCCACTCGCTCCCTGGAGGTCTCAATGGTATGGGACTTGGTGAGAAGGAAGGCAATTATGGCTGGTTCCAGAACCAGACCGCCCTAGATTATTCATACAAGGCAGTCGACGCTGCTATCAAATTCATCCAAGAGTCAGACGTTCCTCAAGGCTTTACCCTGGCCCCAATCAACGAGCCTGTCGACAATCGGGATTTCACCAAGTTTGGAACACCCGAAGCTTTGAGTGATCAAGGAGCTACTTGGGTTCTGAAGTATTTTCAAGGAGTCGTATCACGGGTTCAGATGATCAACTCGAGAATACCTATTATGCTCCAAGGTGGTTTCCGACCAGTTGACTTCTGGGCCAAGAACTTTGCTGCCAGCACGAACATTGTCTTTGATGTTCATCATTACTACTTTGCCGGTCGTCCAACTACTTCGCAAAATCTCCCTGAGTTCATCTGTGCCGACGCCAAGGCTACTGTTGACCCCAAGTTTCCGGTGTTTGTCGGAGAATGGTCTATTCAGGCTACCAGCAATAACACTTTTTCCAGCCGTGCAGTCAACCTTAACACTGGTCTGAAGGCTTGGTCGACCTATACTCGAGGAAGTGCCTACTGGACTTGGAAGTTCTTTGGTAATGTGCCCGTGGATGGCGAGGGTACTCAAGGGGATTACTGGAACTATTCTGATTTTGTAAAGATGGCAATTGTTAATCCGTCGACTGGAATCCCTTGCAAGTAGTAAGCAGTGTACTGAGTGCAGTTCAAAAGGACAAGTGTAATGATTGTACTTCAGACTTAACAATTTTATTAAACCATGTCCTTTTAGAGGCGATATGCACATCTCATTGGTGGAATCTTGATTTTACATCCACGAGGCTTATCGTCAGGAATAAATTCTTCCCGAGCAACAACATTACCCTCTGAATCTCTCGCAAGAAATTTCACCTGTCTTCTGTACCTTACTGTGTTGTCCTGCTCAGAGATGACCTCCAACTCGTGTTTCACCGGGATAGCGAAATAGCGTTTCTCTTCTGGTGGCATGGGCATACGTGCAAGTCCCGCCGTATCATCTGCATCATCAAGAGAAATTTCATGTTCCAACTCAATAAGACGCCTTCCCACTCTATACAAAGTCCCCACGTCAAACAAACCCTCCTTAGCTGGTCCAAGCTGTCCTAACCAGGATAAAGCCCTAGTTCGAATTTCCAGGTCTCGACACTTCAAGACAATAAAAAACAGCATTGGTAGCCAATTCATTTCGAAACTGAAGCTTGATTGTTGTATACGTTGGCCATCTAGTGCTGTTGATAGTTGGAATGCGTCTTCTGCCAATCTTACAGCATCGCGGAAAACATCGATGTGCTGATCCCACCATATTTCTGTATGTGAGCTTGGCTGTTGGATATAAATGTTGGCAATTTTGTGTTTGAATCGCATCCCACATATGGCATATTTTTCCGCTACTGCAGATGGGGGTAGTACATTTTCTAGATCTGCCATCTTGAACTCCCATTCATTCAGCGACGTAGCGAGCGTGGTTCTGTCATTGTTACCATCGTAGATAAACTCCAACGTCTGAATCATCAGATCATCAATGACTGTCTGCGCATCTTGAATGCTATCGAACTTTGAAGGTATTGGTGTCTCGAAACCGATGAGCGGTGGGAGACGTTCGGGGGGGGCACCACCAAAGAGAAGGGGTGTTATACTTAAGCGTCGGAATATGGGAAGAAGGTACCGGCAAGCCCAGTCAGGACGAGAAGAGCTATTAAGTATCATGATACCATGGCGACAGTGCTTCAAAGCAGCGTCAAAGTCTCCTTGTAAATACTCGATGCAAATAAAAAGTACGCAGAGCACTAGTATCGTTTGCTCATCGCTAGCTGGCTTGACTTGCTTAATAGCAGAGTTATAATGAGCTACAGCATATGTGCTACCACAAACTTGCCGAGTGATACGAGAGCCTTTGTCAAATTCTTCATAAAGTGAGCTGATAGATAAAACAGCGTGGCGTATGGTAGGTTCGAAGTGACTGAACTGCATGACCAGATGAGTCCAGAAGTAGGAGTCAGTAGGTCCAGAGAGAACTGGTCCCACCATTTCCGCGAAAAATTGGAACGCCCTGCCTTCTTTCTGGTCGCGTGTCGATAACTGGTTTGGTCGGTAGCTTGTGATGATATCTGTGTCCTGGTAACCGCCGCAGACACGACGCGACAACGTGCAACGTTTGCAGGAGGGCTTGCCTTCGTCACATTTGACCTTTCGGGTTCTTTTTTCATGGTTAGTACCAGGTCTATAGGCTTAACTAGTGAGGGCTTGTATGACGCACTTGCAGGTCCGGCATCCGGTCTTGACGTGGTGGCGAGTAGGTGGTAGAGGCATATGTGGGGCTATACCGAGAGAACAATGTACGTTATGAGCTAGAATATCGTTTGGAGAGCCGAGATGGTGAGAATACGGAGTCAAGCGGGCAAGTCGTTGGCCTTGACGAGAGATGATGGTTCGAGATGAAAGATTGATAAATATCCCTGTCCGTTTCAGAGACACGACGCGTGGATCCGCATCCTGCAATGACGATCCTACTATGGGGCTGTTCCGAGCTTTCTGACCAATCAAGGATAAGCCTCCTCATGGAATGAGTTCAAAGCTGCAACTGGTAAGGGGATCTTGAACTATAGGTTAACTAACGAATTGGTTTTAAGTATTCCCTCCCTCCCATCTACTTAGTCGTTTGTAAAGAAGGATTTGGTACTGTATGTGGTTCATTCTGGCACTCTACTTGTTCTAACTTCAAATATATTCCTGTCTCAAATGGCCGTTGGTTTCAGTACATGGTTTGTTAACGGTAAGGAAAACCTTTTATGATTTACCTCACCAATGACTACTGATGGCTTCACCAATCTTACAGCATGATTTAATAACTGCTATTTTGCGGGAGAATATGAGACGTGAATGCTAAATGATGACCCATTGGTAAAAACCAGAAAACGCAATGCGTTTCTGTCGATGAGTTTAGAGTAGGTACCTCATAATTGGAGTACCTGACGATTAGCAATAGAAGAGTAAGAGAACATAACAGATATTGCGTTAGCGCTTTACCGCTGGTTGCTTTGTAGTGTGAGCTATGGCGAATTAACACACCTCTATTTAGTTCACAGACTCCAAGGTTATTACTAAGATGCTAAATAGAGATCAAACCCAAAGTTGCCTAACGCTGAAATTGCTCTAGGATCTGCCTAAGTAGTAATCTAATTCACCTTATCACCCATCTTCTCATCCTCGGCATTACCCGACAAATTTGCATACTCAATACTCAAAGGTGGCTCGATAGCTGACTTCCTGCAAAAGTCCTGCCTAAACTTCTGAATATTTACAAGAAATCTCTTGGGGTTTTGCATCATGGTTATTTTGACGCCTGTTGGAGTGTTGATTTGAATGTTGGTTTCGTTTATGAAATGCATGCTAAGAGTATTATTCCAGCTAAAGTGCAAGGCTATCCTGTAAAGTGCCACAGTCTGATCTAGGTCATTCCGTAAAGTCTGCAACTCTTCAGTGTTGCATCGGCTCAAGAATAACTGAAAGACTTTAGATCTTGGGTGGATAAAGCTGGTCTATCTTCTCTGGGAACCCGAGTCGGAAACTCCGCTGGGCCTGCTTATTCTTGACTTGATAACAGGGTTGACGACCAACGTGACAGAAGGATGGAATGACACTCCTGGTTGGTCTACAGATGGAGAGCGCATTGCATTGACAAGACAAGTGGACTGGACATCGGAGTGTGGTAGTCATTGGTACGAGAATCGATTACACATCATGGTCATCCGGAACGATGGTAGCGACCTTCAACGAGTCAGTAATAGTCCTGCAAATGTCACGCATGCAGTATGGTACTATAATGGTCTTATTCTATGGAGCATTGGCATGTATGGCTTCCGGGACGATTCTACCGAGTACGAGACTACTTTCCAACCTCATTTATGATGTCTTAAACTCAATGCGTGCGCAAATTAACGAGATTTCCAAGTGCGATTAGTACAATGACTCACACTCAAAAAGCACGGCATCGGCCTCCTTCTATGATAGCGCCCAGGCGCCAGGTTAAAATGCATAGTAAGCGAGTAAGGTCAATAAGTAAGTAAGGCAGCTTGCAATATTATGCAGGGCATTTGTGAACAATTATCAATTAATCCACCCAGCTAGAAGGTATTTCAGCTGTACTGAAATCACTAGATTTGACCTAGCTCAAGCCACAGCATTCCTGTCCCATCAACTATCGATTGAGTCAGGTCATTCTAGAACACCTAGTCAGGTGCTAAGCTGGTATAGCTCGTTTTTCAAAGCCCAGAACAGAGCCAGGCTCATAAATTCAATAGTCTATTGGAACTAGGTTATTTATGAGTTGAGCTCAACATGCCAATACTCTGTAGCGGTCTAGTAAATAGAATGTTATATATACTAAAGTACCTCTTGGGTCATGCCAATATTACTCGTACTCATCCACAAATTGTCTCACTGCCTTTGTACTTCTGTTGATGAAAGATGATCTCACTGAAGAAAACAATAACGTTGCTACTCATCAATGTCGCAAGCGCATTACCCGCTGTACATGATGGAGGAGCTTCAGACTTGATGATCAACGAGAGAAACTCTCTTGACTCAAGAGCAGGTACGTAAACATCCAATGGAATTTATCTCATCTCATCTCATCTAACATTCAGTCTCTTCAGTTTGCAAAGCCAGCGATCCAAACAATCAAGCGTTCAGGAATCACAAAGCCGATGGATCTGCTTTCTGTTCAACCTACATACGAAGCACTTCAACATCTACAGTTACTCCGACCATCCAAAAGACTGCCTTCAAGACAAATACCGTGACAGCAACTATAGGCAGTGTTATCCGAGTCACAACTACTACTACACTTGTGACCGTAATCACAAACACAAAAACTGTATTGACTGCAGGAACGAAAACGACAACTGTTCCTGTTACTGATTTCCAGACAACGACACTTATTACAGTCTCGACTACTACCCCTCGTGATACATACACAAAGCCGAGGGATACGACGCATGTCAATCAGCTGACTCAGACCAGTTTTATAGAGGCTATTGGGACTACCACAAAGACTATTGATACCACGGTTACGACTGTTCCCACCAAGTTTGTTTATACAGGTGGAACAAAGACTGCCACCACTGTCGTTACCACTACGTGAGTGCCCCTCCAACTCTTTTCATTGAGAAGATATACTAACAGTCTTTCATCTAGTGAGACGTGAGTCTTGAACATTGCTCGCGAAAAGCATCATGTTACTGACATAGCGCAGAAAACCAGCACCTCCAGTAGTAACAGTTCCTCAAAGTATACTTTTCTGGCAATTACGAGTTTTCCGAGCTCACGCTGACTTTCTTTTAGCCGAGGTTCACTGTGGTATCGTTGGTAATTCAGGATCCACCCCTGTTATTAGAAGGGGAGGTTCCCTTACCTTCGGCCAGTGTAAAGAAGCATGCAAAGATATGCGCTACTTTGGAATCAGTACATTTCAATGCGCGTGCTTTATCTCACGATTGTAAGTAGTTCAACGTAACGAACTTTTCGCTTGCTGTTGAGGCTAATCACTTGTGTAGGACGGATACGCTTGAGATGGATGCGTCTTCCGATTTCACGTTCTACGATTCATTGTGCGATTCTGCCACCAAGGTAAGTGGAGTCATCACATGTTGAAAAAAAGCGATTATAAAATTAAATCTGTCCAAGCCTCAAAAACGCAACATACCTGTCAAGAGAGCAGTCGTTCAAGTGCCTACTTATCTGCCTAGCAAGTCTCCGAGCGCCGTTAGCAGTGCCTGTTCATGCTTGATTACGAAGCCCGCTTCTCCCGCTATCGTAACGACTACTGCCAAAACCGCAAAGACTATCACAACCACGCAGACTAAGCAGGAAACTGCCTTAGTCAACAAGCCACTGACTAGTCTTATCACCGACAAGAGAACTAGCACATCAACCCGCTCTACTACTACTACAAACACAGACTTTCGCACTATAACTGAAACGGATCTGAGGAGTGCTACAGTCACGGCACTCAAGACCTACATTGTTACCAACTTCGACCACCTTGTTTACGTGACAAAGTATTTTACTGTCGAGGCCACCAGCTACAGCACGCTTTACTTGACTTCTAATGTCAACACCGTCACAAAGACGAGCTACAGCACCGTTTTTGTTACCAAAACGCCACCTGTGACAGTCACAACGGATTTTTACACAACTCAGAAGACTGTTATCTCTACTAAAACAGTATTAACTGGTGGGACAACTATCACAAGCGGAACCACCACTATCTATGGTACAATTTAAGGTTCTTAAAAGAGCTTTTCCTACTGTGGAGGTCGCGTGTCTGAGCATTGACGATGGAAAGGTGGGCGGTTACTCGACAGATTAGCAACCAAACACTGCAATTACAATTATATAAACATTGTTGCACCATATTATGATAAGATCGATTATCTGCATTTAGACGTCTGAGGTATTCTGCCAAGGATGGACCTAATGCAACTGGCTGACGCATCAAACTCGATGCGCAGCGATAACTCAACGTACAGTCCCGTCGGGTAAAAAGTTTAAAAGTAGTGGAGCGACATACTGCCATGTGATAGGATGATATCATAAACTGGAAGAGGTATTTCAGTCAATTCAATCATTATGCCATTGCACAGTAGTAGGAGACTTTTTGCTGAGAGATAAAATAGCAGAAAGTTTTTTACTTGCCTTTATTTTTTTAAGCAGAGTCCTGTAAACAATATAGATGAGATTAATAAGTTCAGACGTGTCATATCAACGGACATGGCGTTATGGGCCTAAACACCGTGTCTTAACTCCGTCCCGTTCTCAATCGTTTTCAAAACGTCACAATTCAAGGCACGAACTGCGACTTGGAATAAGTCCGAGAAGCAAGGCCGAGACTAATACTTGGTCTTTGTGGGGCCGCATGTAGAAAAGATATAGTACAAGGGCGGTCAAGTAGAGTCGAGGGTCGAGTAGGCCAAACTTCTATTTCGTAGTATTACTAATATGCAAATTTTTCATTAGATTCCTCTTCAATCTCTTGCAAATCTTACTGAGCGAATGGGTAGAGTACAAGACTTGTGTATATATTCTTTCATCCTCCTGTGCTACAGACTCACGATTGACTTGTTGTCCTTCATCACCAAGTCCCTTTCTCGTTTTTCGTTCGCGAATCACAATGCCAATGCAATCATTCAAACACACTCTCTCAAACAATGGCACTGTCACAGGCATCTATTCGGTTCCTCTACTATCCATGTCAGCAGCTCCCCGCCCTCTTGTTGTAGGACTTCATGGTGGATGTTATGACAGCCAATATTTCGATGCAACACCCGACCACTCTGCTGCTTCTATGAGTATGGCTTTGGATGTTCCGTTTGTATCCATCGATCGACCGTCGTATGGTGGAACTAGCTCTGTTATTCCCATTCCCGAGGATTCTGATTTCAACCAGGAAACCGGGATCTGGCTGCACCAGTATATCCTACCTAAACTTTGGTTGGAATACGGTATTCCTAACAGTTGTAACTCCATCGTGCTCTTGAGTCACAGCTTAGGAGTTATGGGTGCTATTGTGGTCGCATCACTACATGCGCAGGACAAATCGCCTGCCTATCCCTTGGGTGGTCTCATAGCTAGCGGCATGGGTCAAACTCAATCTCCGTTCATGAAGAACACTCCTCCTAGCTTCGAACCAGTGGATGAAAACTATGCCAGATTCCCCATTGAGTCCAAGGATTCCGTCATGTTTAAGCCGAACACCGTTGCACCAGAAATACTTGACCAGACCGAACGCCTCGATTCACCTGTTCCTATAGCTGAAGCAGCTTTATTTCCGCAGTCGTGGCTGCCCGTTTGGAAAGAGAAATGGGCTGCGCAGGTCATTGTGCCTGTTATGTTCTCTCTTGTGAATGACGATCCTTTTTTCGTTGTCAATAAGGAAGAAATTGAAGACTGCGCGAATGCATTCGGAAGTAGCGTTCGAGTTGATACCAGTATTATAAGAGGAGCGCCTCATTGTGTGGAGTTGAGTTATTGGTCAAAGGGCTGGTATGCTCGCTGCTTTGGATTTGCCCTTGAATGCGCTGCAGGATTCGGTAGACCTTAGTCAATAGCATATATAACAATCTAAAAAGTGTGACTTATCTTATGGTTCGGTGCATCAGAGAGTCCTTTTTTAATATGGATGCATGACTTTTTACAGCTTTATTCGAGCCCAAAGCACCGATTCTATAATCGAATGCACCTTTCTTACCAACATCGTATATTTAAAGCCCTGCCTGGAAGCTCTTAAGAACCATAGAAGGAAAACAGAACCTGAAGACTTCGAAGAAAATAGTCAATAGAACATTTATGCGTTAAAGGAAATTGGGGTGTCACCCCTTCTAATCCTCCATGCATTAGTGGCTGTAATGAGTTGTGGACAACCTCGGGCAATCCAACCCCATTTGTGCAGAAAAGCAGGATTTACTTCCCGGGACATGGAGAGCGAAGGCTCACTCCATACGATCATCGCCGGACTTTCACTCAAGGCACCTTCGTGAAGGCCCAGAATGTCATCGCAGAGGTCTCCGTCATCCATGTACCCTGGGGCTATGGAGTGCAAGATATTATCTCGTAGAGCTGCAAATGGGAGCAGGTCGATCCATGGATGATGTACAATAGATTTCTGTAGCAAGGTCAGTCGCAAGTCGATGGGTGAAGGTGCTGAATCAAAAGGGAGTAAAGGCCCGAACAGGTTGAATGACGATATTAAATCGACACAGCAAAGACCTCTTGAGGACATTGGAAAGAGGCTAGCATTAAATGCCATTGCGTTAAGAAGGTTGATCCGTACAAGGAGAGATAATGATGAGGGTCTTGGGACGTGAAGGGTATATTCCTCGTAAGCCTGCTTTGAAAAATCACGAAGGTACCCTAATTCATTTGTCTTTGTGACAAGTGAAAGTCCTCCTTCATTCTGGCTCAAGTCGGTTGTTATTCTGTATGCCTGTTGTGTTCCTTTGTCCGACGGCACCACTGGTAGCGAAGCACATGTCCGTGGCAGGCTTGTTAAAATTGTATTCTTCTTAATCACTGAATGACTGTTGGCTTTTTGTCTACGTCCTATTTATTTTCAGTTAACTTTATCGATCTCCAGGTTTTATGCATGTTGTATGGTATCTTGCACTGACTCCAAGCTCTTTGATTCAATCGGTTTTGTAGCTTCTTCCTTGTTATGCCGGTCCAATCATCCTGGGCACATTTCAGGTCGGGAAGAGACTGATGACTTTGCAAAGAGTAGACTTAAGATGTATCTGCTTCTCGTGTGACAGATGAACATTTGATGACGGCTGATAACTCCATACTTTCAAGACTGACAATTACTGAGATGCGTATTTCTAAATCTTATCACAGGGGATAAATTTATACTTATGCAACTAGCTTATGAAATTAGTCGAGGACATGATAGGGCCAATGGAGACACTAGTTTAGCCCAGTGAAATGATTGGGCATATGTGACCGGCTTATGAAATTGCTCCACCATGGAACAAGGTCAAACGAACAGACCGGACCAGCTTAGCCCATTAGTGATTGAGCATAAACTACGTACTACTTATGCAACTGGCTTATGACCCACTATATCCAACGAACATCAGCTTGGTGACGCTATGGGTATAAGTGCCAAAGTGGAAAGTCAATTCAAGAGAGAGGTGCTCCTTAACTATTTAGAAAGAGTCCTCCAACCCCCGTTCCAACAACTACCCACAGACTCGTCACTCTAATTTTCCCGCATTCTCCCTTCATCATGCCCGTTTTTGACATCAAAGAACCTGCTGTCCCGTTGTGTAGCTGGGTTGTCGTCTCTGGTGCAAGCGGTTTTATTGGCTCCCATGTGGTCGACCAACTTCTCAAAGCAGGGTACAGAGTGCGTGAAACCACAAGAGATGCCAACAAGAACTTGTGGACTACGCAGCATTTCAACCTGGTGTATGACTCTGGGTCCTTCGAGCTCAGCGAGGTTCCTGATATGACCGCCCCAGGTGCTTTTGACCATGTTGTTTCTGGTAAGTCCACAGGACCACCTGAAATGCAGTCTACTTACCTTTCCTATTTTTGTTTCAGGTGCGAAAGGATTCATTCATGTCGCAAATGATATGACAGGATTGAGAGACCCCGATATTGCTATTAAACGTGCGGTCGAGGGAGCTCTCAACGCGCTAAAGGCTTGCGCCCAAGATGGAAATGTGAAACGTTTCGTTTATACTTCTTCCTCTTTCGCAGCAACACAGCCCAAGCCAGGTAAAAGGTTCACCATTTACCACGATACATACAATGAGGAAGCCTTGCAGAACGCCTGGAAACCCAACCCAGATCCCTCGACCGTATACTCCGCCAGCAAAGTCGAAACTGAAAAACAAATCGCTGCATGGATTAATGATAACGAGTCGAGCTTGGTCATAAATGCTGGTATGATATCACGACATACCTTTCTATGCTCACTGACTAACCGAAAAATTTCTTCCAAATGCGAACACTGGCCCTATTATAAACTCGTCGAAGCAAGGGTATCCAACCTCAGCTGCTTGGGTCAAGTCTCTCTGGGATGGAGACTACGACATAGTCAAGAAGGCACCTCCTCAGCATTACATCAACGTGGAAGATGAGGCACGCTTGCATGTCATTGTGATGGCCTATCCCAACGTGGAATTTGAGCGTTTATTTGCCGTGGCTGGACCTGTTAGTATTGGTAGCATTATCGATATTCTCCGTAAGTTGTTCCCGGAGAAGGAATAGGAGAACTTTATCGAGAATGAAGTGGAGTTGAGTACGTTCGAATGCATGTCAAGGGCAGAGGCGTTGCTGGAAGAGGTATATGGCACAGGATTTATTAACCTAGAGGATAGTGTGACAGCTAATGCCCAAGACTTGGCGGGAAGAATTTAGATATTAGTTATGGGAACTTGCCTAGTATCAGCAGTTGTACCGAGACTTACAGATAACTTGTAAATTTAAATAACTACTTTTCCTGAAAATGCGGGATTAGAATAGCCTCGTATATAGAAGTAAACTCTTTGGTATCGGGGATACTTGATTTTTATATTGGCTGCATATCTTTCTTTCTGCACTTCCCAACCTTTATTTCAGAAGGCTCTAGGATCATCACCAAAGTGGGGACGTGAGCGCCTTTCTCAACAAGCGTGCGCCCTAATAGACATGCTGACATTCCTACAACGCAGTCGCCTCGCTGCAGAATTTTCTTTTTCTAACTCCCAACCTTGTGTCGAAAGGGTCTAGGGTCGTAACCAAAGTGGGGATACAAGCACCTTTCGCAAACAAGCGTGCGCCCTAATAGACATGTTGACATTCCGGAAGCGCTTGCCGAGCTTCTGTTATCATTGCCCACAGTAACCTGAGCCACCTTTCAGCTATCCGTGTTACGGAAGATGATTGTATGGCTCATGTAGGGATAATAATTGGTTGACTTTGTGGTAGATTTGTCACTGGTTTCTCTACACTAGAACGGGGTCTTTGGAATCATTACAAGTTATAGTGAACGTAGCCTTGCGACAACGGAATTATTATCAATATGTATCGGCTTTCTCTCCTAATCTTGATGCTAATCTAAGAGAATGTTCGAGCCAAGTTATTTAACTACAGTTTCAGACAAATTGATTCAAACCATAGGACTCATTTTGATACTTTGAACCCACGGTTTTCACTGCGACGTTATCATTCAAACAAGATGGAATCAACTTCTCGATCAGACGACGATTCTAGGCGACAAAGTGAGACTACTGTAGTATTTTTTCAATTCATCAAACTTACATACCATCTCTAGCAAATCATTTGGAAATTGAATCAAACGAAGATTATCCTGACAGAGGCACAAGAGCGTGGCTAGTAGTACTTGGAGCTTGGTGCGCCATGATACCATCCATGGGTCTGTTGAACTCATTGGCAGTTTTACATGCATGGCTTGGAGAACACGAATTGAAAGGAATGTCAGAATCCACGGTCGGATGGATCTTCAGCGGTTATGCTTTCTTTCTGTTCTTCTGCGGTGCCCAGATCGGTAAGTTCCCCAAGTACTCAGTCAAGAAGTCATGAACGGTCATGTTGATTGAGTAAGGTCCGATATTTGATAAATACAACATGCGATGGCTGATTGTGGCCGGCACGGTTGGTAACGTACTCGCTTTGGTATTCATGAGTAATTCGACGGGTATGCATGCTCCTTGTTCAGCACGGTGTCAAAAGATGGCGCATCTGCCAGTTATTAACCTGTTGTCTAGAATTCTATCAGTCCTTTCTATCTTTCAGTGTCCTTGGAGGTGTGTCTGCCTCTCTGTTATACAATCCAGCCCTATCAGCGATCGGACATTGGTTTCATAAGAGACGGGGTCTAGCAATCGGCCTTGCGTGCACGTCAGGAGGCTTCGGCGGAGTATGGATGCCGCTCATCATCTTACATGTAGCCCCGGCCATTGAATTCGCGTGGTCAATCCGTGTTATCGCGCTTATTTGCGCAGTTCACGGTATGATTGCGTCCTTTTTACTTACCAAGAGACTTCCACCTACAGCTGGAGCAGAATCTTCTATCGATTTCAAGGCACTAAAAGACATAAACTACGCTGCAGTAACCATTGGCATGGTCATGGTCGAGTTTGCGATATTTCTACCTATTACGTATATATGCTCGTATGCAATTTACTCGGACTTTGGATTCATGGATGCATATCTCCTCAACGCAATTCTCAATGCGGCTGCTATCCCCGGACGATTCCTTCCGAACTACATCGCTGATCGGTTTGGTGTCTTAAATACGATGTGCACTATCTGCTTTTTCTGCATGGCGTCAATATTTTGCCTATGGCTACCGGCAAAAGGAAACAAGCCCATGACGATAGCATTCACGGCGATTTATGGCTTTTGGTCCGGAGCTTCAGTCAGTCTTGCTCCTGTAGCTATTGCCCTTGTATGCAGAACTGAGGATCTCGGTAAGCGGAATGGAACTGCATATACTATCACCAGTTTCGGCACGTTGATTGGAATCCCCATTGGAGGTGCAATTTTAGGTGCAGATAACGGATCTTACCAAGGTCTTACTATTTTTTCGGGACTTGCGTATGTTCTGTCTCTTGTAGTGTATATCTTTTGTCGCTTCCGGATACGATCTTAAATCATCCGACTTAGAGTAAGCCTTTCCGTAGGACATTACATCAAGTACAGTCTAAAAAGATATTTGCAATTCTGCTTAATGCTATAGCAGTTACCCTTGGTATCAATTCGACTTGATAGCATTTGGCACTACTGTCGGGCGCGAGGTCTATATTGAGGATGGCGCCGGTGCTACTGCGGATTTGGGTGTAAAAGATGTTTACAAGCGCTTGGTAAAACTGTTCTTTTACAGGTTGTGTATCAGAATGAGCGCGAAAGGGATGAAACTGTATCACCCTGCGCGCTTAAACAAGCGAATACGCGGACCCGACCAAATGCATTCTTTCGTATCTGCAAAGATATTATAAGTAATGGGGATTGTCACCTAATTTTCGACTAAGTTATTCACACGCAAGCCGTCTTCCATTCTCTTCATTCGTTTCTTTTCTCGTGGCAGGTCCAACTATTCGTTTCTACACAACACCCATTCGTTTTTACACTACTCAACCAACTTCTGTCAAACGTTTTAATACAAACACAATGAAGTTCATCTCTCTTGTTTTTCTCTCAACTGCGGCTTCCGCCCTTTCTATACAGCCTCGGCAGTTTGGCGGATTTTTTCGTGGACCGCCCAATGCTGAGAATGGCGCTATCCCCAGTGGCACTTTTCCACAAAATGATGCCAACAACGGTGACAATCAAGGTGCTGGAAATGGGGCGAATAACGGAAACAGTAATGGGCAGGAAAACAGGGGCGGACAAGGGAACAATAATGGTCAGGGAGCTGGCGACGCTACTGGCGGTGGTGATGGGGCTGCAGTGGACGGCCAGACGGTAGTATTTACCGAAATCAATGGAGTATCTGGCAATGAGTGCCTCACATTCCAAAACAACGGCGAAATCGTTGACGCAGCTTGTGTCAATACCGCTGCAGACCGTCAAGTTACTCCCTCCACAGTCAATGGGCAGAGCGCACTTCGAGTCCAACGAACCTTCACCGCAGGCTTCAGACCTGATCTTGTGGGCGTTCAGGCATGCATTGGATTCAACGGGACTCACTTCCGTGCTGAGGGCTGTGACGCCCAAGGAATCGAGCCAGTCACCTTTCAGAATGGCCAGTTGGTAGCCTCCGGCGGCGCTTGCGCGAGCGGTCACGATGATTTGGCACAGATGACAGTCGACGCAAGTGGAGCCCAGTGTGCAACTTACAGCACCACCAACGTTCAACCTGCAACTTCTTGAGTAAATAGTAAATAGTCTTTGTGTTTGCGCATAGTAACGACCAATACAGGATTAAGAACAGAAACCACCTGGTGCGGCCCATCGATTAGCATAGACGGATCTATTATCGAAGTGTCTTGCTTTACTTTCGGTTAAAGTAAATTTTGTGTGACGGAGGAAACAATGGTTAGTTTTACATCATCTCCTCCTGTTGCTACCTTTGGTCCTAAGTATGAAAGGTCGTATCATTGCCAAAGCCAAAACACCTGCCAGAATTATAAATAGACAAGCTCAATGTCCTAGCGAGCACTAAGACTCTTTAGGTCTAGTGCAGCCTCCACGATAACGTTACGATTGGATACAGTTTGCGGGGAAACGTTGCAACTAACCTCCGTGAGAAAAAGCCAATTACAGGGTAACTGCGATGGCAAATAAACGCCACCTGGTAAGAACAGATTTACTGATAGGTACGTTCCCAAATTTATAGCTACATAGTTCACAAAATCATGGATTATATCCAGTCATAACAGGACAATGACATTATTACGTATCTGCATTCCATGACCTAACCGGTCAGTTCCGATGATACCACATAACAGAGTCCCCCAAAAGCACACCAATACATCCTACAAGTTAGTCCGTAACAGAGGAATGAAACCGGCGGTAGTCGGTAGACGTAGCCGTGGGTAAGTTTCCGTCTCAACCCTCCCATAGCTTTTTATAGGCAGAATAGGCTTTTCTTAGAACAATCCAACATCTTCTATCTTCTAGACGATAGAACATTCGGTCCTTCTACTTGGACAACGAACGGCGAAGTCCGGTTCAATGGATGCACGAGCTTCGAAATATGTTATTGTGAGGATATTGTACAATTAAAGGGACGGGCTTGTAATCTATAAATGCAGAGCAAGTCCTACCATCAAACACAGTCACTCAATCCCATCATCACATCACTTCAACACATCTTGACCATACTATCTCACCAAGACTCATACAAGTCTTTACTTCACATTACCATCCACTACTCAATTCTTCAACATGCTCTTCACCAATGCCATTGTCGCAATCACTTTCAGCGTCTCTGTCAACGCCATGCCCCAGCCGTACCCCAACAAGTGTGGCGATCAAGTCTGCCCTGCCGACAAAGCCAAGTGCTGCGAGGTCATTGTCAACGGAGTAGCCGAGATCGGGTGCTTTGCTGAATGCCCACCCATTCAAGCTCTCGACCGTCGACAGCCATACCCAAACAAATGCGGTGACCAAGTTTGCCCTGCAGACAAGCCTAAATGCTGCGAGGTCATTGTCAATGGAGTTGCCGAACTTGGATGTTTCGAGGAATGCCCTGCCCCACCTCCAACCGATGCCAGTCTCGGACGACGTGAGGAACCGATGATTACCACTTCGGGGTCTCTTCCTGTTGCTACATTTGGTCCCAAGTGCGGAGACTCTTTCTTCTGTCCCGTCGGCAAGGTCTGCTGCCCTGATGCGCTCTACGAATGTGCCGATCCTGACAAGGTCAGCGAACAGTGCCCCAAGTAAGTAAAGGCCGTCAGAACCCTCCACATTCCGAAACTAACCATGGACTAGACCGCCATCCGCATCATTCTAAACAGATGCCCCAATATCGAAGAATTTGACATCATCTGATTCATTTCCTATGAGGCTCTACTTATGGGGTGGTATGTGGGAGTATTGCCACAGCTGTTGGTAGATGTTCTGTTTGTACTTTGCCATTCTTTACATTGTAGTTCTGTCTCTTCTATAGATTTACATTCGTTAGATACTCTCCTATATATGCTATTAAAATCTCACAGTACGTCTCAACTGGCACCGTTGGAGGAATATGCGCCACTATCGACGCTAAGTTTGATACCCTGAATTCGTGATCTGAAACCCTTGAGTATGTAGCTGTGTGTACCCCAGGATCGTAGCCCATATTCCTCTTCGGATAACACCTCTCGCCTTCAAATGCATATATCCTCGTTACGAAACGGATTCGTATTCCCACTGCATCACAGCCCACTATAGTACTCGCCTTCGGTAGGTTTCCCAACGTCAGAGTCCTTTGTACCAAAACCCAAATGACCAACCAAGCTTTCTTTACTGTTACCTGTAACCAACACTCCCCACTTGAGCTTCTTTCTTGCCACTTCCTGGAGCTCTTCGAGCTCTTCCAGCTCTTGATTGGCCATTAACCGAACACTCGTACTATCATACTGCCAACTGGATCTTGAGGAGACGATAGGCCGAAGTTTTGTTGAGGGGTAATGGCAGGCGGCTGAGATGACTGCGGAGTTTCCTCCTGCAATTACCATGGTGCCTGGTAGTTTTAGTTGGGCCAGGACCACAGGTACGATAGCAGCTCCCAGGCTTACACATAACCCTATAAGAATTGCTTTTGTGGAGAATTGTAAACCAAGTGAGGACATGATGTTATAAGGATAAGTTGGGCTAAAGTCTATTTCACATTAGATATATATAGAATTTCAGATTCATTAACTGACCGTGATATTTGCTGACATAGATACAGCTAGAGTATATCCAATGGAGTAGAGTACTGATGATAATTAATGGCACTGAGAAGCGATAGGGTAATTGAAGACGATATGTGGAGCTCTGTTCCCCCTTAGGCTCAGTAACGCGCAACGCTCGATGCTTAATACTGTATTTTGACCATTCAAGTTCAGACAAAATTCGAGTTAAAAGGCCATTGTAAGTGAAGTAGCAGAAAGATAGTACTAGTTGTGGTAAGTTAGCCACCACGGTCAGTGTTACAAGCGAGGATCTTCCGAAGGTGTGAGCAGCTACTTCAGACGTATGGCGCGTGCGTCTAAAATGGGAGTCGTTGCTGGTAAATATGTCAGTAGGTTCAAGAAACTGTAGCAATTTTAATACTGACAGAGGTTGGTCTGATGCAGCGACAATCAGCATAGACATAGCCGTAATAAGAGCGCTCCCGATGAGAACAAATGTAACCAACCAGATAAGTCGAGGTACGGCATTCCGAAATCGCCTTGTAGTTGCATCGACGTGCCATTGTCTTGGGCTCTGCAACCACTTCTGAGTTCGATTGGTGTCTCCAACCCCTCTGGTCCCTTTTATGGTATTTCTCTTCAAATCTGTGATATTTAATGTGCACATTCCTTTGGTCTCTTCATCGGGTCTTGCGATAAATGAGGCGATGGCATCTCCAGGAGTTATTAAAGGCTTCTCATCGCCCCTGAGTTTGAGTACCAAGACGCATAATACGCACTTAATAGCGCACATAACACAAACAATAAGCAGAAGGCTGTTGGCAATGCGGACTTGACATGGCGCCGTAAATCTCTCCGATAGACAGTGGTCGACCTGCAGGACTCGATGTCCGTCCTTAAAATACCTAGGATCCGTGATAAATACCCCAGATACAGGATCAAAGACATTCGTGGTGTCTTCAATTTGCCACACATTGGAAATCCATTTCGGTGCCACGTCATAGTGCGAAAGTGGAAATGGCTGAACTTTGGTTGTCTGGATAGGATCCCCAAACAACTCCGTATAAATCATTGTGTTATATCCCCATACCGGATTGATTTTGTTGATATCTTTGAGATTGTTCGTATCCTTCTTCACATCCACAGGCTTCCATCCCTTTGTCGATGTAAGATTAAGATCGTCATAATCATACATAATAAAAATTACGTGTCGGTATTGCGTAAGAGGTACATCCGGGTTATTATATCGTTCCATACAGTCTTTGAATGCAAGCTTCTCCCAGTAGCCTCGAGTTTCGGTAGCGGCCAAGGACTTGCTGATATCCCAAAGATTATGCCGTGCAACGCTCAGCGGATCATTACCCATTACGGAAATTGGGACTCGGTCATGCCAGCCACCCTTGACTAGTTCGTTGGAGCCTAGAACGAGTGTGGCGCCATTGATACTCTTTGCCTCAAGGACGACACCGTTAAGGATGAGTTGTAGCGGTATTGAACTGAGACAAAAGAGCGACCAAAAGAAAACGTTGCGTCGTTTAAGGAAACGGAAATTCCTAATCGATGGGACGCCAATTTCAAGCCAGTACCCCGATTTGTGGGCAGCATCGACTTCAGCCCGTACAGGTGCAACTAGGCTTTGCATAAAGAAATTGGATGAAGCTAAAATACCGGTGCCAATGATATTAATAGCCAAATGAATCCATAAGTTGATTTCAGATGACTTTGTACAGTCCCCTTTGTATAAAATACCCAGGCCCAGTGTATCTTTTTCTGGGTCAGGTGCAGTTTTGTACGAAAATGGAGTATCCTTTAGCCACTCCGGGTCGATGTCGTCGTCGAAGGTTGATGAATCATTTTTTCCAAAGTGAAACCGGGACAAGAAGAGTAACACAATAAGAAAGATCAGGATGGTCGTGATGAGGATAGTGAGATACAAGGCCGTCCTCCTCCAGCCTGAAAATGAAGCCATGGGTAGCGAGCGTATAATGTTCCTTCGTTGTGGAGGACTTTACAAAGAAGACTTTTCAGCGTTATCAATCCGTGGGAAGCGTCCTTATTAACAAATCGGGCTACCCAAGACAAATGTATCATGTTGCGGGGCCTCAATGATGGCATCGGGGGCGTTAAGGTCAGGGTAAAAAGCGAGAACAGACAACCAGTCAATACCTCTATATCTGCCAAGTCATGCAGCAGAGAGATAATTCCCTGTTTCTTTCCAGTTTCATTCGATAACCTGGACCACAAATATGAGTTGTCAGGGGCTTTCACTTCGTCATTCTTTCCCTTTTCATTTTTATCCTGCATGAATTTGCTGCGCCGTCTTACGTACATATAACGGATGGCTCACTAACCAATCAAAGTTTTGCTGGTGCCCCAACAACGTTCACTGCTGAGGGCCAGACAAAATAAGCAATCAATATTTAACTGATTGGACGTTATAGTATTTTATAGCCAAGCCTTGGCTTGCGGAAGCGCCTCAAATGTCCACAACGGGTAATCAGAGCGAAAATTCTTGCACCATGAGATCTCGACTGATTGGTCCAGAAACACGAGGGCGAAACAAAACAAATCAAGAAGCCAGAGAACGCACAATAATATAGCCTGGGCAAAAGCTAAAGGACTCGAAATATATATAAAAAAATAGCCAATATCCTCTCATCTTGCATCGGCTAATCAGAATGACATGCGGCCTTGGGATCAGTCCAGCTGTTAGGATATATAAATATCATCGACCGACTCGCCTCACACATAGTAATTCCTATCATTTGCAAGGCTGAGAAGGTAAACACTACATTGATACTGTTGGAATCTGTTTTCCGCAGTCAAATATGTTAATGCTGTACTCTGTGCCTTGTTTATCCGCATACTGCAATGAGCTATGCTAATCGCACACAACAACATTGCTAATTGCTCACAAGAGAGGCCCACGTGATTATCACGTGATGATATCATAAGCTTGTTATCCAATACCGTAATCTAAGATGTTAGTCTACTCGTTTGCCTGCTACACAGGACTAAGTCAGAATGAGCCTAGGTTTGACAGGATGAGGATCCTTAATGATGATCACTTAGAATTCCAGAGTTACGTAATCGGCAGACGGATATCTGCCCAAACCCGGCTCAGGTCATTTAAACTTCATACACGGCAAATTCGATCAACCCACTTGCCGAACAGCCAGTTTATAAATATGGCTATCCAGATTAACTTCAACCAAATTAACTTCAATCAGTCCAATTCTTTCTTCACTTCCTGACGCTTTCTAAGTTTATATACCACGGATTGGATAAGACCTGTGAGGAAAGTATCGGACGCCTAACGTATTGCATCTGATGTACAGCGTATGACAATCATGGCCATTACGAAAGCACTGTTTGTGGATTCAAAGAATCATTTCAAGGTCATCGAAGTACCGCTGGTTCCGAAGCCAGGTAAAAGCGAACTACTCATCAAGGTCTTGTTCTCTGGCGTGAATCCAGCCGACATCAAGCATGCAACTCAACTCGGTATCAACAATACCGCCATTGGATATGATTTTGCCGGTCAAGTCATCGGATCTGCAGAGAATGATTCGAACTACGAGACTGGCGATATTGTAGCTGGTTACACTCCTTCAGGTCTTGGCCGTCCCGTCACCTATGGAACACATCAAACCCATATCATTTGTCCGGAAGACATGTTGTTTAGGGTGCCTGACAACCTTCCCTTGCCCGACGCAGCGAGTTTAACGACCGTAGCTATGACCGCAGCTGACGCTGTTTACAACCGTCTCGGGTTTCCGTTGCCCTCGCGAAAGGGTCACTTTGAACCCAACAAGCCATTTCTGCTATGGGGAGCAACGAGTTCGGTTGGATACTGCGCACTTCAACTTTCCATCGCAAGTGGTGTGTCTCCTATTTTCGTCACGGCAAAGCCCGAACATTTCGAACATCTTCGATCTCTTGGTATAGCCCATTTATTCGACTACAGGGATCCAGATGTTCACAAATCCATCGCCAAAGCTTTGCAAGACCTAGGGCTTGAGAGATTCGAATATGCATTCGATGCAGCGGGGGCTCCTGATTCGGGGGGTCAGGTACTCCGAGCTGTCTCAGACGTTACACGGATTGTTTCTACTGTATTGCGTGACGATAAACGCTTCACAATGCCTGTGGCTACACCTGGTCTCGACTTTGTGATCCTGCCTCCAGGTGCTCCCCATGCTATTACTATACCAGCGCGGCCTGCCGACCACAAAAGGGCTTGGGAAGCTCTGACCTGGGCTATTGAGAACTATGGGAGATCGTTTCGATTACCACCAGTCCGAGTGGCTACAGACAGTGCTGAGAGAGTATTGGAGGAGATTCAACGTGTTGTTGAAAGGGGTAGTGGATTCTCTAAGCTGACTGTGAAGCAGCCACTTCAATAATGGTCTGCAAGAAACTGCATAAAAGTGGTACTGTGTCTGACTAAATCTGAGTGCGATTTAAACTATAATCTAGTTTGTACTAAATTGTAGAGTTAGACCTCCAAGCTCAGCCCGTGTAGAATGTAAACAAATAAAACTCATACAGTGCTCTCATTCGAGAATCAGTGATTAATAATGTCTAGGTTCTGACCCTACGGTTTCAAGTCAAAAGCTTTAAAAGGGACTACAGTTCATAGGCAGATTTTAAAATAACATTTTTAAAAACAATTAGTATCTAAATACAGGAACGCATATATTGTCCTGCCGTATTTTGGCATTGATTAGTAACAGGATAATTCTAAGCATGAATTTGATAAGGTTTCGACCAATCATCTCTGTCGGCATCGGATGTTCGGCAACTGAGCGGCAGTGATAGGCATGCGATACTACCTAGTGACGGCTAAAAAGTGCCGAGCTATAAGATCTCATAGTTAGATCCGGAGGTAGATCATTCATTCTGGAAGGTAAGACTAAGCTACCGATAAGACATATATATCCTTTATCATGTGTGAACTGAAATAAGTCCTGATATTGCTGATATTACATTATTTCTGTAGGGTTTTTGGTCAGTTGTTGGACGGCTGGTGGGAAGTTGAGCCTCGATAGCAAATCTAACACAACCAACACAATGCCTTGTCCAGCAAAGCCATGAGATCGACGATACCCCACTGGCACGTAACACCGATCGGCTGATCATGGACCAGGCCAGGCTAGGCCAGGCACCTCCGGAACCTTTGGAATTGCAAAAGGTCTAGCTCTTAAAAAAGGAAGGTGGAATCATTGCTTCACACCGATAAGGCATTTCTATCCGTACTAACGTGGCTGATCTAGCATCCTGCTGTAGCTAAGGACTATACGAATGGAAGTTAGACTATGAGGCATTGTAAGCGCGGTGTTTTCTTAATCACGCAAAACTACTATATAATAATGTTCCATCGTCGTCCGTCTTGCACTTTTTCTACCTTTACAGTTAAGGCTATTTCGATTCATAAACTGAACAACTCGAGTCAATATGAAGGCGGCTTTGTTGAATGTCCTCACGGCGCTTACCCTCGTTCGGTATAGCAACGCGACACCTGCAACTAGTGTCGACAAGAGGTATGCGCTTGAAGACAACGGAATCAAGTACAAGGTCTTTGAGCACGCAGCCACCAAGTCTCAGACCAAGATTGTCTCCAACTCTGGAATCTGCGAGACTACACCTGGTGTCAACCAGCACTCGGGTTATTTTTCCGTCGGTAAGCTCCCGAAATTATGCTACCTATAGTATGCAATCTTTGACAGCATGCGATAGGCGACAACATGAACATGTGGTTCTGGTTTTTCGAGTCTCGCAAGAACGCTAAGACAGCGCCGCTGGCCCTTTGGCTCAACGGTGGGCCTGGTTGCAGTTCCATGATCGGTCTGTTCCAGGAAAATGGCCCTTGCACCTTCAACAAGGGAGGATCTAAACCAACCCTGAACCCTTACTCATGGAACACATTTGCGAACATGGTATGACTTTGTCGTTTTCCCAAAGCACAGACACTAACCTCCACAGTTGTATGTCGATCAACCCATTGGTACTGGGTTCAGTTACGGTAATGATGATGCCGTATCAACTCTTGCGGCCGCTCCTCGAGTTTGGAACCTCCTCCAAGCTTTTTATGCTCAATTTCCCGAATATGAGAACCGTGACTTTGGTCTCTTCACTGAATCTTATGGTGGTCACTATGGTCCTGAATTTGCATACTACTTTGAGCAGCAGAATGCTGCTATTGATGCTGGCAATATCAAGGGCGAGAAGATCAACCTCGTGGCTCTTGGCATCAACAATGGATGGATTGATCCTGGTAAGTTGTCTGTTTCGTTTTACTTATGGAGAGGAACTGACCGATGTCGCAGCCAATCAGTACAGAGATTACATCGAATACGCCGCCAACAATACCTACAAAAAGCTAATCACCCCAACTCAGTACAGCAAGTACCTAAACACCTACAATCAGAAGTGTGTACCTGCTTTCGCCAAGTGCCCAGGCCTCACAGGCAACGACGCTGCTTGTGGCAATGCGGACGATGTCTGCAGCCAGGCTATTGAACAACCCTTAGAGGGTTCAGCAGACTTTGACGTTTATGATATTCGGGCCTCGAGTAACGACCCTTTTCCTCCCTCAACTTACTCCACTTATCTTCAGTCATCAAGCGTGATGAAAGCTATTGGCGCGCAGTCAACATACGGCGAATGTCCCGAGGCGGCTTATGACAAGTTTATCAACAGTGGCGATCGTAAGTACCTTTACTACTACTGTGCAGAATCATGACTTACGAACCATTGCTAGGGGGACGATCATTCTTATCTACATTGTCCAAAGTCATTGACTCCAAGATCCAAGTCTTGATCTGGGCTGGTGATGCCGGTAAGTTTAGATGGTCGTCAATCGAACCTTGTGTCTCAGCTAATATCGTTATAGACTGGATCTGCAACTGGATGGGCAATTACCGCGCTCTCAACTCAATTGCTCCCAAGTCATTCGTCTCAGCTCCTCTTCAGTCCTTTACTGTTGATGGAACCAAGTACGGAGAATTTAAGACATCTGGAAATTTGAGCTGGCTGCGAGTTTATGGTGCTGGTCATGAGGTCCCGGCTTATCAGCCTCAAGCTGCATTGGCTGCTTTTGTTGCCACACTTTCCAAGAAGCCTATTTCATCAACATGATTAATGAACTGCTTGTTGAATTCCAGTATATTAGCTTTATCTTCCATACCCCAGACGATTCATGTATCCTGTATGTAGTAGCTATACACTAACAAAACTACCTCTCACGCTTCGCTTTCTTTCACTTTAATTCTCATTTCTTTCTTACTCTCTACATCCTGTCTTCTCTGTCGTGCATAAAACACTTCTCTTTATACAAGTTTGCCCCTGAGAATGGTGTGAAGGCCTGGATCAGAAAACAATGCCCAAGATGCCTGTTGGCTCATCATATCCGAATTGGGTAATGGACATGCCTGTCATCTTGTGGCCAGTGTGGTACATAGTGCCACTCAACCTGGCGTTCTTGCTCACCGAGTAGGGCCCAAGAACAGACTCCTGCTACAATTCTTGCGCAGGCCAGAGCTTTGAGAGCCTTATGTTGAGCTAGAGTTGTGACGATAAGTGTGATCTCTCCAAATTGACAATTGCTATGGATCCAACTTCAACACTGTTTTTCAGAACTTTGAATGCTAGTCTATTTTTTGTCATGTATTTTCAGCTCATTCACTGTTCCCGCGCTTAATTTTGTTTATCCCGACATCGATTGTGTGGGACATGCCAATATTCAACTACGCCAATATGGACAGCGACAGTTAGTGGGTTGTGTATACCTATCAGTCGCCAATAGAGACCTAATTAACATTCAAGGCTAAGCGGAACAGTCTTAGACCCAGAATGACGGCTCCCAATCATCGTGATGTCAGCATATCTATCAGTTAAATTGATAGGCATCGAGAGTGAGGCCAACCATGCAACATGTCTATTAAACCAGCTGTAAACTCGTGTGAATCGCCGTTTTCACCTAACTTCTTTTCTCTCAATTCAGGTTGTCCCTGTTATCAACAGTGGACAATTTACTCTCTTATTATAATGTCAACTGATTCTTGGGAGGTAAGTCCAATATTATCGCGAAGGAAATCTAATGTCATTTTACATACAAATGTGGAGTCGTAGGCTAACCATTGGTTAAATAGAGAGTATTGTTAAAGAGATCAAGGAGCGTCCTAACCTTTTCAACTAGAACACTTTGCACCAGTCCCTTCAGGGGGGCTACAGTAGCAAGCGTCAGAATTCCGCTACTATCATTGACGACCTCTATAACAGGTGGCCGAATGTTTTCTCCGAAATGAACCAAGGAGTTGGAGCATATCGGCCTGTATAATAGTTGGTTAGAACTAATCCTTACTAGCAAAGAAGGAAAGTTGAGTAAGATAGTGAAATACTCGTTGTCTGTTGATGGCACGACTAACACTTTGGGTGCTATCAAAATGGAGCGTATCTCGACGACAATGGAGAATCTCGGCTAGCGCAAGAACGAAAGTGGAGAGGGAAGGATTAGTGAGGCAGATGCATGGAAGCAGATTGACGAGATCTTGGCACCTGCAGAAGAAGAAACAAGTTCGACGATGGATATCTTCAGGCGATATATGACTAACTTACGTTCATAGTCTATTTGAAATATAATGGTTGATGGCCCTTATGACATACGAGTGTCAATCTTAGCTGAGCTCATCGCTCACGCTGGCTCCCAATCGTCATCATTGGTAACGGCCGGTGAGTGAAAACGTACAAGACAGTTTTCGTTGTCTACAACTTGTCGAAACACAAGACGATTGATCGCAAAACCAGGTCTACCCCATCTTTCACCGTATCTCTGGACCATGTGGCCTCAAACGTCTTACCATCCTCAAGGACCTCTTTTGACACTACGTCAGCTCAAGTGCTTTCTTATCCTTAGAACCACTCCACGTCTTTAGACAATTCACTTTTTCCGGCCTTCAGATCAGACCATAAAAAAGAACGATGTAAGGGAAAGCGGGGAAGTTCTCATGGCTAATCCGTCTCTTCCCCGCACATGGGCATGTAATTAAGCGTTCTCATAATGGTCGAGATCCTCCCGTCTTGTACCGGCTAATTAGAATGACATCCAGCCTTGGTATGGGGCCAGCTATTGGCGGAATACATAAAGATCATCAACTATCATGCGATTCGCTCGCCTATAAGTATGTTCTATATGGAACTTAACCGCCGAGATAAATCAACTATAAAGTGAGAGTTTGTCCGCGTCAATTCTGGTATTTGTTGTATTGTGATTGTACCTATACAAATCGGAATCATGCGTGTCTTTCTGTACGCTCTATACCTTTCTATCATCCCCCTTTCGGATGCAGCAGATATCTACCTTGATCCAAAGGGACTGGATAGCAACCCTGGGTCAGCTGGGAAACCTGTTAAAAGCATTAAGAAAGCACAAGAGCTTGCCCGAGAACTCATCTCATCCACTGACGACTATATTACTGTGCATTTCAGTCCAGGCACTTGGATGATTGACGAGCCAATCTCATTCACCGGAAACGACTCTGGCATCAGCGGTGCCACAGTTAAATGGGTTGGCTCTGGATCTACAATCTCTGGAGGTCTCGAGATCACAAATTGGGTTGAAGGCGATGACGGAATATGGTCTGCTTCGGTTCCCTCGGGAACCAATTCCCGCAATCTTTTCGTAAACGGGTTTGCTGCTCAATATGCCAGACGACAGATTCATAACCGGAAGGACTTTAACTACACTAAGGTTGGAATGACCTGGAATAGCTCAGATTATGACTGGATCATGGAGACTCCTGGTATTGAGAACGGTGAGCTTCGTGCAATCAACTCCTTCACTGATCGGATCGCACTCATCGACACAGTTGAAGATAGGGTGCTCAAAATGAAGAGTCGGATATGGGCCAACCAAATCATTGGCTACGACCAGATTGCAGAACCGTTTTGGGATGGGGGCATGTGGATTCAAAACGTCAAGGCTTTCCTAACTGACGGTGGTCAATTTTACCTCGACAGAAATGAGTCGATTGTCTATTATAAGCCATTAGAAGGCGATGATATGGCGAACGCCTCGACCTATCTTGGCATCCAAGAGGCCCTATTGGCTATTGGGGGAACATATGAGGAGCCAGTTCACAACTTGCACTTTGAAGGGATTACTTTTCAACACAGCACATGGCTGAAGCCGGATATCTACGGGTACATAGACCAGCAGACCGGCGGCCACATGGGAAATGACAGTCTATGGCCCGAGTTTGAAGCTTCAAGACCTCATTGGTGGCAGATGCCCAGCGCGATCCAGATCAGTGCGGCACACAACATCAGCATGCAATCTTGTACTTTCCGTGAGCTTGGTGCTGGAGGCATCGGTGTTGGGAACGATAAGAACGCTCACTTCACTGGGATCGGACTTGGTGGACACAACATCAATATCTCCGATAACTATTTCACGCAGGTGATGGGCAACAGCATCACTGTGGGAGGCATACAAGCCGATGCACATCACCCATCAGAGTCAGAAATGCTTCTGTCACACATCCACGTGTCGAACAACGTCTTCAATAACAATTCAGTTCTCTGGTCATCCACCGTCCCGATACTTTTTACATACACGCAATTTTCTTCCATCACACACAATGACATTTACAATCATGCATACAGCGGTGTATGTCATGGTTATGGTACGGCCTGTGCTCTCCCTTGCGAGTGAGACTACTAACAAGTGCCAGGATGGGGAAGCAATGACGCAGGAGGTAGCGAGGAATATATTAAACGAGGCCTTTACAAGTACCAGCCTATCTACTATGAGCCAACAGTAATGAAGAATAACCTGATCGAGGGAAATCTCATTCACCATTTTGGTCAATCACACACCGACTTTGGTGGTGTATATACACTATCGCAGTCACCAAACACAACAGTATAGTCCAATTTTATATATGATGCAGGATGGCAGGCTCTATACCCTGGTACATAACTCACATACCTTGCAAAGACACTTGCTAATACCTGGAATAGACGAAGCCTCAAGAAATATTACTTGGTTTAATAACCTTGGCTTCACGTCAGGGAAATATTATGCGCCCAACGATTGGATTCCCGAGCAGTTGACCGGATGTAAGCACCTTCATGATCCATATGTAGAAGAGGCATTGCTAACAGACCTAGGGAACACCGTCATTGACAACTGGGGCAAGCTCGGAATCAAAGATAACGAAGTGCTAGATGGGTTTCCGAACTTCTCTGGAAGACGCAACAACACGTTTCTTCGTAACTTTCTCGCCCCCCACGTAAACGCAACAAGCCTTTTGGCACAGAGGGCTGCATATCGTGCAGGCGTTATCCCATTGAAACGCAAGACAAGACCTGTTACAAACTGCCCTGACATCGCTGATGGTCACCTCGATGTTCGAGTCAATCGTGGACGCGTCTTTGTTAATGTGACAAACTTCGACGACGTGGACTTTGTCGATGTTTCTTTCCATCTCTCGGGCGCTGGTGTTATTTTTAAAGAGGAGTATAGTCCCAGTTTGATCCCCGCTGATGATTATGCGATGGCTGTGTATACATTCTCGGGTTCACCAGAAGGTAACTACACTGCTAGAGTGAACTATGTAAACCCCTGGACGCGATCATCTAGCCGACAAAAGGAGTTCTCTCTTACCGCTTAGGGAGACATCTTTTGGAGTGGCGGAATTGTTTGAATCTACAATTATATGTTTTTAAAATGTAGGTAGTCTGATCAAGATGGAGCCTGTTTGTTGATCCTCCTTATGGATTCTCCACACACATGAACCATTTACGAATCTACAAAAGAAGATCTCTATCACTAAGTCTCTAGCCTCACTTGTTAAGTAACCTGGAATCACCGCAAGGCTTATACTTAGAACAATTACAAAATATCAAGAATAGAGTAAAATTTCACAAAGAGTTATAGGGTAGATAGCAATCAGCAACGAGAAGTGGAGAAACATATGGGAACAGACATAGATTTCTAGAGAAGTAGTCCTGGCAAGGGACCAAGTCACCCCTATCCGCTATGACCAATATTGGTTGGCGTGAGGAATTCCTTTAACATTTTCAGACTCCATGCAAGCTCAAATGCTCAAATTTCGCCCATCCAAATCCACAAGAAAACCTCAAGAACGGTCTGGCTTTGATCCATCAAAAGGGTACTTGAGAACACTGATACTGTTGGAATAGTCCGATAGATCGGGGTTCAGTTGTGCCTGTGATCAGAGACGTTAGCGTTGTATGGAAACACGTATGATGAGGGACATACCAGGTCAATCGGGCATGTCGCATTCTTAGCACCATAAGTGACGATCTCAGCCTTACCACCCTTCTTAGTCTTAATCAAGACTTGCTGGGAAGAAGCCTGCGAAGGATCGCCCAGATTATAGTTGAAAGGCTCAATGGTCATGGCTGAGTGCGCTGTTGAGAAGACGGTGTTGGGAAGATCGCCTGTGTGAGGCATGTGGTGCATTCCCAAATTGAACCAAACAACACTGTAACACAATCAGCACAAGTCTATAGCAGCAGAAATAACAATATACTTACATGTCCTCTTGGTCAAGTGACTCGCCGTTGAAATACTCATTGAAGTCAACCTGAGGGTCCTCGGGAGTCAGCGAATTGTACGCTCCGACAGCGTATAACTCGTTGTCTTTTTGTCGAGTGACATAGAGATGATGTGTTGTGTGGTGCGCGGCCTTCTGTGTGACCGAGGAATCTTCGACGGTCAGATATGCCACACCAGAAGCTATTAATGTCAGTCGGGTTGATACTCATTTCAGATGCTCTTGACACTAACCTGGTGCAATCCTCCACCCGGGGTTTTCTCCATAGGTGTTCTTCGCGTCTTTATTGACCACAGCATACATTGCGCCACCATTAGGAGACCAGTTGATCTTGCCATCATCTTCATTCTCAATGAAGCTCTTGACTGCCTTCATGGTATTTCTTGTCTCATCAGACCATTTGTACCTATAGAATAATTAGCGAGTTTGAAAAACCGGATGTGAATAGAATACTCACTTTTCAGTCGTGGGTTCGATGGCAATCTTTTGCAAAGAGTTCTTCTCCCCCAAGATGTCGAAATCCGCTTTGAATGTGATGACGTGATCATGGAGAGATCCAGAAAGGCTGTCATGAATCTTGAATCCGTAGTCTTCGTTCTGAGCGTAGAATGCCGACGAGATGTAACCTGATGCTCTGACTGAAACTTCGATGGAACCGTCAAGGTGGAACTCATAGGTCATCATGTAGTCGTAGTTTCCAATTGTGTAGATAGCACGGACATTGAATGCGATATTCTTTGTCACGGTGGTGTGTCCGGCCCAGGAGTGTCGCTGGATAGGGTAGCCCTTGTCGATCTCGAACATGCCTGGAAGGTTTATTAGCGTGGAAGCTTGCTTGATGCAAGGTAAGCACTTACAGAGGCCGTCCTTCTGAGTAAATGTCGTCTCGCCTGTAGTCTCTGTCACATTGACATAGTGAGAGTATGCTGGGCAGTCGTATCCTGAGACATGTTAGCGTCATACACGAGTCGTTTCATCAAAGACAGAGCATACCCCTGACGAGAGAGATCATTGCGGGGGCGAATCCAGACATGCTATCAAAATAACTGGAATCAAAGTTAGCAAATCTGAATATTCGCAAACTGGTCCTCACTCACCATATTCCAGATTGGACTGGGTCAATGCCGCTGCAAAAGGTATTAGTAAAGACACGGCGCAGGCGAGGGTGAGTCCATAACTTACGCGTAATGCGCGATTGCCTCATCCATTCCAAACTACAAAGGTTAGTCAAAGTTGAACTCAATCGTTGCCACAAACTCACCTCGTAGAGAATCCTCTTCCCCTTGTATCTAACATCATAAAGTCGAAGCCCATTATCTCGCGTAATACTGACATAGAAAGAGAAGTCCACTAACAAGTTGATCAGTAAGATATAGTAGTCAATAAATCGAAAATTACTCACTCCAAGTCACATAACTCTCCTCCTCGTCAACGGAGAACCTCGACTTGCCAGATTGAACAGATGCGGGCGGAGGTTGATCATCGAGCGGGAGATCATCGCCGTTTTTGGTTGTGTGGGCCCAAGGCTGGTCCAAATTCATTCCCATGGCCTTGAAGTTAGGTTGGTCCATAGCTGCACGGAGACCATCGAGATCTTTGTAGAATTCATTGTTGTATACCCACCCTGTCACTTTCCATTTGCTTGGATCACGGCCTGTGATATCTGTCCTCAAGAATAGACCCAGTGGAAGTAGCGAAATCGTGTCGTAGATGCTAGTGACAGGCGCGTTGAAGCCTTGCCACATGATGACTTTGCCGTTGGTAACATTGAGAGGGGCCGCAAAAGCTAATGGGATCTGGAGTCCATCATCGACCGTCTTTACTCCGTTAGATTAATAGACAAGGATTTGAAAACGTATAGCTAACCAGATTCCAGAGACGTTTGGTCACGTCCTCTGCCTCCTTCATGACTTTGAGATTGAAGTCCGCATACTCCTTCGCATCAGGGTTGACAACTGCAATCTTACCGTCACCAGTCTTTGTGTTTGCAAAGGTGTACGGTGCGATAACTGATGAATTAGTGATTGGCAATGGCCCAACCTTGAATTCCTGGAGATACGCTGCTTCAGGTGCACCAAACATGACTGCAGCCAAGGCGTATCGGGTCGGGGTACCTTCGCTGTCTGACAAGAATGGGAGGACATCGGTCTTGTTAGGCATCATGAGTTCAACCGACATGCTAGAATACTGTGAGTCAGTGTAAAAAAAAACATCGTTCAAACGAGAAGACTAACATCTTGTTGTCTCGGCTGCAATTTTGTTAGAAACTCCAAGTACATTCGTTTAGAATCAAATACATACCTGCCAGCCTTCTCTGCAACGGTCAGGTTGAAACCTGTTGCATTGCTGTGTAGAAGAGCAAGCACATCGGCAGTCTCTTTTTTAGTCAGAGACCCCCAAAAGTTCTTGTGAGGAGCTTTCGTCGATGGTTGGGCTGCGGAACAAACAGGTTCCTGATCCAGCTGTCGACCTTTCAGCCTCTCGGCAGGAAAAGCTCTGGCTAGAACCAGATGAACCAGAGAAGCTGGGACCAAGAAATCCACGAGACGCATTGCGCTTTTTGTCGTATCTCAAAGTGCAAAATTGAAACTTGTCTTCCGAGCAGATGAGAACCAAGCCAGTAGGGAATGATTCTGTGACTCTGTTCGTGGTGAACTTCGAATTAGTCGTTCAGGAATGCGGTTTATATATCATGACACAGCTCTTAGAATTGGCATCTGTAGCCGAATAATCGCTTCCGATAACGCATGTGGAATCATCTTCTAAATCGGTCCATTATGCAGACATGATATGACATGGCTTGACTCATGGAGTCGTCGAGAACGGTACCTTTGCGAGATCCATAGACACTATCAAGGGCAAGGAAAACGCCCATGTCGATATCATGAAGATAAGTTCAAACCTGACAAGATAAGGATAGTTGCCCCTCTTATCTCCTCATAGATACAACTTTAAGTAGTAAGAAATTCTCAAGCGAGTGTTGTGGCTTGCATATCGGAAGATGGAGGTTGCATACCGGTAGTTCGCAGATAAGAACCAGGGAAAGATGAATATACATAAGCGATGTTTTATATCGTGCATAATGCATGTCTTACTAGTCTTATCTCGATATAGAGTTCAATACAGGTAGCATTCGTATCGAGACCAGATTGTTCTTTAATGAAGAACACTACGTTCTTAGTCCTATGATTGGCCGTTCGAGTCAGTAGCTGCAGTTTGGCAGGGCTGGGGTTGCATTTGGCTTTACGGGTCCGGACAGCGGACTGTCCGTAGCACCGAAGATCGAAACTATTAGACTGTGGTCTATACTACATTATGCAGGACAAAGAGGTACTTGATTGATAATGAAAACCTAAAATTGGTAATTACCTTCCCAATGGCGGATAGCTTTGCTAACTTCAGTAGTATTTCCAGGTCCGATGGGGAGGATTGAGTCTCTACAGCTAGTCATGTGCATGTTTTGAAACCTTCAGTGGACATCCATCTACCCTGTAAATATCCAACTGGCATGCAGGAGCATCAACGAACACAGTACATGCAACCTCGTTATGCTACAGAGATTGTTGTTCTATTATCTAATAAGAAAACGCGTCATCTAATTCGATTGCTTTGTTTCTATGCCTGCGTCGAACCACCTGACAGGTTCTGGCGCATCCTCGCTTAGGTATGTATGTGCGGAAATAGTCCGCAAACCTAGTGCATAATATACCAGCTTGTGAGATTGCATTTATGCTTCCAAAAACAATAAAGACAGATTTTAATAGGTTGACAAACATTAAAGTAAAAGACTTGTTTTCCTGTTGTCAGACTGAATACATGTAATGTCTTTCAAATCGCACTGGTGGGTGGTGGTGTTGTTGTAGGAGGGATGATTCTTCTATTTTCTTTCTAGAACGTGGAAGAGTGTGATTATGTAGCAGCAGGACGTGTCATGTCACGTGACTTCCTTCTGTGTCTATGTCACATTGACTCTGATGATCTGGTACTGGTTTTTTGGCAGTATAGGGTAAATTGATATTATTCACCTGACTTGAACTTTTTTCCCATGGGATTCGTCCACCAGCAATCCGTGGTATTTTTGATATACATACTTCAATAGATCGAAGGCAGAGAAGTAGTTCATGGTTATAGTCTTAACATTGTGCATATCATATCATGTCGGAGTCATATATTAGTTCTAATATCAAACTAATAGGTTGGATCCTAAATATATAGGGTCTTCGATCTACCAAAAACATACTCATTTTTGCCTTCTCTACTATAGGGATTTGATCTGGAATATAAATGTATTGAATTGCTACTGTTGAGTGGATTTTCCGACAGCGTTTCCAATGAAGTATCGGGGTCCTTGTCCTGAGCTTTCGAGAATAACTCTTTTTTAAACACCAGCTCTTATGGTACCCACTCTCCGATGTTTTTGTCTGCAGCGTAGAGTGGGGGTTAGAATTTAGCGGTTGTTTTTGATGTAACATTGACCAGAAGCTAAGTTCCTATTCACCGGTGGTATGTGATTGGCTGAAATACGACATGGTTGTTCAGATCAAACTCCCTAGACCTCTCGGTTGGGCTCCATGCCCACACACGTTATGTTTTCTAAATAAAGACTTCAGCTTGTGAAATCTCATCCTAGGCTGCATATCTTTCAACTATGTAGCTATGACAAATAATCAATTCAAATAATCTTTAGACTCTTTTTTATCCAGCGATTTACCCCGATTAAACCTGTCTCATCTTAATCCTTTCCAATGGGTAAGCTATTGCCCCGAGCACATCGTTTGGTAAAAGAGCCTTAGCTGCTGCTATAACTTGAGATCCTAAATCTGCGCACCACCAGAGTGATTTGCACTGATCCAACACCACAGCATAATGTGCAAGAATCACCATTGCTGTGGAATTCCTCTGTTCTAGTAAAGCACAAAAGCCCGGCTCCACCGTACACGGCCAGATTATTGGTCTTAAACTGAGTATAAAGCTGAGATCTGAAGCTCGCCTTAGACCATCAATTGCCTTTAGGTTCTCATGGCGAGTGTGGATGTCGTCTTCAGATGCCCGTACTTGGCCAACTAGGTTTGCAACTATTTGCTCGATGCTGAGTTCCTCTTCAGAGTTCGATAGTGAGGTTATTCGAAGAGCCTCATAATTCGCTTTCGATTCTTCATACTCCACATTCATTTTTTCAGTTAATGAAATAAAATCCTTGACTCCTCTTAGTAGATTGAGAACTCTTATGATTTCGTCGAGAATGGCTTCTGGGCTTTTGGGGGCGTCGCCTAGCAGTGGTAGCGACAATGTATATATCGACATGAGAAACGCGAACGGCCTGACAGCACGCCAGTTGGATTCGTCGATGTTTTCCGCCTCCTTGCGGAATTGTGCCATAGCATCACTACAACCACCCAAGATGAAGTCATGATGAGCTTGAGTGAAGCATGGAGATTTGGTGAGGGCGAGATGTAAGCAAGATGTCATGATGGTGATGTGAAAGAGGAAGTCGTGCTGTGTTGCTTGCGTAACCGCATCTTCGCAAAGAAACTTTTGCAAAAATGGAGGCAGAAGAAAGGACTTGGTTACTTTGGTGATATAGTGATGAAGTAACTCAAACTCCCACATTGTCATATTTTCGCGTTGGGGCTCTGGTTGCGCCGTGGGCGTGACAGTAGTGGACGGCGATCTGGTTTCAACAGTTGAAGGAGAGAGGTTTTGGACCTCATTCGGTGAACTGACTGCAACTTTGGTGGATGCTTTGGCTCTGCTGCGGTTGGGGTTGACCTTGAACACACAGGGGACTTTCCAGCGAGTGCATGCGCCACACGATGGGCGGGCTTCGTCGCATTTGACATGTTTCTGCTTACACTGAATGCAGCCCGATCGAGTTTTAGTGTGCGCTTTTCTTGTTGACATTGGTACGATTGGGGGAAGTTGCATTTAAAGAAAAATAATAATAAAAAAGATTACAAAGATTCGTTTGCCAATGAATTTTTAGCACTGAGGCTGTGCAACGGAATGCCATACGTCATGTCACGAGATACGGAATACGAAGTACGGTATACGGTATACGATATACGAAATATGGAGTACGGGACTAGTGCCCCATCAAGAGTGCAATCAAAACATTTTACTCTCCCTTCAACTAACTAATTCAGGTGTGAGGCTGAGGCTTACTCACATACAATTCAGTCTAATGCTTTATTCCCGCCCGTCTATCTTACTTTGCCCCTGGTGCTAACCAAAGACTTTGGCGACTCAACAGCAACGATCCTAAGATCTACCCACTTAGGCAAAGCGCCAGGGTCCATAAGCCGCAAAGGCAGGTATTTATCAACAAACCAAACCCTACCGAGAACCTCTCTAAGACGATTCGGACTAATTTCACTGATCGTAAGCAGAGCCTTGATGGGGCATTGTACAGATTGGAGGACCTTGACGTCTTTAAAGAAGGGGAAGGACCGCGTAGTGGAATATTTATAAGTCTGGGCTGCATTATTTTCCAGTGCTCGATGTACTCACCAGTCTTCGTTCAAATACCCTCTTCAATTCTACATTTTGCATTCTCCAACATAATGGCATCGTCAGATGAAAACCTCTACAAATGGTATGAGCCTTCCAAGGCTGCAGCCATTGCGATTTGCGCCCTCTTCACGATCCTTACCCTTGCTCAAACATGGCGTGTCTTCCGAACGCGCCACTGGTTTGGGTTAACTATTATCATAGGGGGAATCTGTGAGCGCCCGATAGATCCGTCATCTTCTGAATAACCTAGCTAATCCAGTGATGCAGTTGAAGTAGTTGGCCTCGCTGCCCGCGCATATTCCCGAGACCATCTGAGTGATCTGGGCCCATATATCATCCAGATCCTTCTCGTTCTCCTCGCTCCCATATTATTTGTCGCATCGATTTACATGTTCCTCGGACGCCTCATCCACGCTTCAGGCTACCCTAGCTTGTCTCTTATCCCCGCTAGATGGCTTTCCAAGATTTTTGTTCTTGGCGATATCATTTGCTTTCTGGTTCAAGGTGTGGGCGGGGGCAAACTTGTCGACCCCAAGAGCATCGAAGAGGCAAAAGCTGGAAAGAATATCGTACTTGCAGGACTCGGTCTGCAGGTTGTTATCTTCCTTGTCTTTGTCCTCTGCGCGGTTGTCTTTCACTATCGAATGGCTTCCAAGGGCTTGTTCAAGGCTGCCAATCCGAAGCTGCGACTTATCCCTATGATGGCAACACTATACATCTGTAGTGTGCTTGTTATGGTCCGAAATATCTACCGTTTAATTGAGTACGAGGAAGGAGAAGATGGGTACCTGCAGTATCATGAATGGCCAACCTACGCGCTGGATGTCATCTTCATGACCATAATTATGGTATTGACGCTTGGGTGGTATAGTGCCGATCTGAAAAAAGAAGATAATTCCTTCCAAATGCAGGCTGTACCTAGCAGTCACGGCAACGCCTAAAACCGGGGAAGTGGATCTTGAGGCATCCTGCAAAGATAAGCCTTAGGGATGACTTCTGTTTGATGTGAAGGACTCCGGCCTTGGGCTTAGATTATATTATCGTTAGTTTTGGGAGCGCAAAGACGGCCGAGATATAGGCAACTAAGCCTTTTAAAGGATAAAGTACTATTACATCCTATACCCTTTATTGCCAGTACTCGCATGGGTAAGAGTACTAATAGAGAGAGTTTTAAAACAATATTATAATTACTACAGTCCCACAGAGTCTTTGAAGCGCTGTAACCACTCAGGATTATCAGCATGAGTTTGATTCCACGGATCGTCACTATACTAGTTAGAGAAGATAGAAGATACCACAGGTAAAGCTACTCACTCTCCATAGGCAATCCATCTAGCTTGATGCCGCAACTCTTCATCTGTTGGCACGTGGCTTCTTGGGTTCCGTGGGGACATTGTAGATGCCACCCATCGGCCCAGCTCTTTTCCAAGTTTCTCATGGAAGTTGGCATCATTTAGCATATAGGGGCTCATCTCGGCCCAAAATGACTGGTCTGTGCCAAAATCTATCGAACTGTTTGAAATGTTCTCAGTTGTCATAACATTTTGTTGCGGAAAGTCAGAGGTTGCCGTGTTTATCTCATGCAGATCTTGTTGCAAGACCACAGTGCTAAGATCCATCAAGTTTGTGTCTTCCATAAATCCAATGACGCCTTCGTTCTGCTTTAAACCGAGGCGTGGTTGTGGCATATCGGGAAGGAGGGCCATACGCTGTCTAAAGCTCAACAGCCAATCTGGAGATCGAAGTATCATGTCGGTTAACCAGGCCAATACCGTCTTATATGATGGCTGTACGGTAGGCGCCTTGGCATTTTTTATTATCCTGCAAGCCTCTTGCTGCAGCTCAGCGTCCCAAATGTCGATGCGGCCAGAGCTTCGCTGACATTCGACAAACACATGTAAACCCAACTCAAGAGGGCAGTTGTCAAAAAGACTGAGCTGTCCTTTAACCTCTAAAGAAGGCAGTCTGTTATGCTGTCTTGATCGGATTGGACCAAAGAGTGCCTGTTCAACAATATCATGATTTGACATAATGACATCACGTAGCCATGAAGACGGAGGGTCATGATGGGAGGAATCGAGTGTCGACATGGTCTCCGAGGCGAAGATGATGCGACAGGCCTCAAGCTGAAGTATTTGGTTAGTAGGCATTGATGCGTTCTCTTCATGGTAGGTTTCCACAAATTGCATTAGCTCCAAGGTTATCAGCTCGTAGGCAGAACATGGGGAACTTGCCGCAGCATTGCTGCCTTGAAATGGAAAGGGAGAGTTTCGCTCGGTACAAATGAGGTCTATCAACATGTCAGTTCGAAAATGACGTTAGCATTAGGGAAGGTATCTTACATGGTGGAATAGCATTTTCTACCATTTCGGAAACCTCTTTGTCAAACCCCCAGTCACCTGTCCAAGCCGCCATCGTCTGGCCCATCTTAAAATGTTCCGCGATATGCTCACTTCGAGCTTGCCATGTGCTGAAAGAGATACCACAGAACCCACAGCGGGAACTGACCTCAGATATAGTGTCTTTCCAGGAATCCATAGACCATGGAACAAAATCTGCCCGGTGGACTAAGCGGAGATGTTGTCTTAGATGGTCTTTACGGTTGAAAATGCGTTCTTGACAAGACAGTGGATTATGATCTTGGATGTGCTCCTGGCCTGGTTCCTCTTGACTGCAAAAGATACAGCATGGTTTGCCACTCTCGGGATGCAACGACTCAGACGTTTCGGCACGACAAAGCCATCGTTCGAGACCCAAGTGAATCGATTTTTCATGGCGCTGCCAATCGTATTTCTTGTGAAACCTTTCGGTGCAAAAGGTGCATTCGAATGGGGTCGGCTTTGAAGGTTGCGGCTTTCCTTTGGCTCGTTTTCTACGTCTTACACGATGCCGAGTCAGTCCTTGGTGGGTGCTAGAGCCACCAGACCACGCAGAAGAACTTGAACTTTGCCCAGGAGTCCCGGCGCTGCTCATGGAAGATTGGTATAATGTGGGGCCACACGCATCATTCAAAGGGAATGGGTCTGATTGTCAATTAGCATAGGTTGTTGTTGGTGGTTGGTAGGTAGTAACTCACTGGACGAGGACTCGGCCATTGCACGGACAATAGCGGAAATGGGAGCAGGTTCATCATCGGGCGGCGAATCAATCCATCTCTGCATTGGATTGAATGCTTCTTGTTGGGGCTGAGGTGTTCCTGGTCTTTTCGGAATATCAATAGATTTAGGCGCCTGGACCGATGATGTAGTCGACTCGTACCGTCGGCGAGCATTAGCAAACCAGTTACTAAGCTGCGTCTTGCTGAGACCGGTTAAGCGGCGAAATGCCTCCTTGGTCGCATCATCCGGATATGGATGGTCGCTATGAGCATTGAACCATTGTCTCAAAATTCCCTGTGTTTCACGAGAAAGACGCGCGCCCACCTTAGGTCTGATCACATGTGGTTCAGCAGAGGAAACGCTGCTGGGAATATTTTTCGACTGTGCAACCTCTAGCAGGCACTCTGTCTCTTTAGGTGCCATGTTGGAATCATCTGAGTTATGATGGCCAGTATCGCTGTCATAACAGGTCAGACTATATTTCATCTTTGCTTTTGAACCCGCAATAGAGGATTCTGGGTAACCTACCTGGGAATTGAAGAAGCGGGTGGGTTTTCCATGCTGGCAAGTTGTAAAAACTCGGGGTTGTTGTGGCATTAAGAATAAGGATTCGGTAGTTATCAAAGTGGATTATTAAGCCTCTTCTGGGGAAGAATCAAAAAGCTTTGAAAATCAGCATCTTTTCCTTGGGACGCTTGTTGTTACTGTTGATGAATCTAACGATATGGGCTTCTGATTCCAGAAGCCTCCTAAGTGCAAGAAGATTTGCCAGACCATTGTAAATCAGTATAGAATCAACATTGTTAGAAGTTAAGTGGCACGTGACTAGCAAATAGATTAGGAACAACTACGGGCCGATAAAGTCAATACTGACGTCAGTCGCATCCCTTAAAAAGGCTTCCGGAAATAAAGACATCTTGGACGGGTTTAAATCTGTGGTCAAGACGGGCCTCTCTGAACCCTCAGCGATTCATCTGTGAAAGCTACGACAAGAAGTTTTTGGTCTTTATGAACAGTATGTGCTGCCATGAAAATGATTATAAAGACTTGGAACGCTCTCAGAACTATTGATCCTCTAACTGTTGGTGGAAGGCCGGCTGTGAAACATCCGGTTAACCTGCAACTACCTGTCAGGGCGACAGCTCCAGCTCTGACCTAGCACCTGTACTGAGACCTCACCATCCCTAGGTATTTAATAAAGAGGCCGAGATGACGATATCTTCTTGTCCCTCTAAACTGCCGAGGCTCACCTTGTCATTTGTTTCGCGTCGCGTCAAAGTCATGAAATATCATCGTTCTATTCCGTTTGGTCCCCAACAGTGAACCGACGAAGAGCGCGCTACCAATGATTTGATTGGTCAGTTGTGAAGCATACATGAACAACAGAAACCCAACTTAGTTGCCTGCAGCCTGATTCTTACATTTGTTCTTCATAACACCTACCATAACGGCCATTAACACCGAATTATTATTACTTAAGTTATGGAAGTCTCATTTGCAAGATGCAGTCAAACGAGGGTAGTGGAGTCTGGGACTCTCGGTTCGACGACACGTCTGATGCAGCTGATGTGTGGACGCCATCATCTGCTTCTATCGGAAGCCTGGAAACAGACAACATCTTGCAAGAAGTCCTGATGCTAGTGCGAAATGAACTACCTTACGTTCAGCCCGAGCTTCTCACTTTTGACAGCCGCCTGGGTGCTGGCACTAGTTTTGAGGTCACAATGGAGCTGTTTGGGTTGATAGGCGAGTCGCCTTATTTCGTTGCCGTCAAACGACTCGTCATGGACCGCGTGACTCGAGGCACCAAACGAACTTCCAATCAATTGAAACAGTCTTCGAAGCGCTTGATAAATGTCAAACGTGAAGTCCAGGTTCTCGCGTACCCCAAGCTGCAATCGCACAGTTGTCTAATCTCAGCCATCGTGGATCGCTGGATCTTGCGGATGTATCCTAACCTCGTGTCAGTTTAGTTTGCTAAGTAGGCGGTTTGTAACTAACGAGAATTGATAGGAACTAATGAGTGGTTAGCACAATGATAATACAAATGATAGCAGACACCTACCTCGTATATCGCATGGAAACACGGCCAAGTAGAGTAACGTGCGAGCATATTCTCAAGACCCCCCTTTTCGATCGTGGGTCTAGCGCGCTTAAGATCACTCCAATCAACAAGAAACGTGATTTCGGAGTAAACCGGCCTTTTACCATCCACCCGATTTCTAACACTCTGTATCTGCGACTCTTCCGGCTCAGGGCGTTCTTGATGAGTCATGACAGAATCCAAAAGGTTGTCTTACACATAAGCATTGCACTTGACGTTCTAGAATTTGTTACTCACTATATTCATTCATTTTTATCTCAATCTCGCGCAGCCGCTCCACGTTCTGTATCCCCACTTATGTGCCTATTGGTAAGTAGTCGATATGAATCCACTTTGCTGTCCGCTTGGTCAAGTTGATCGAGGCGTTGCTCCAGCTCGGCCAATTCATCCTGCTTGTGAAGTAGTATTCGCGCGTGAAGCCGAGAGAAGGAGCAGAACATGGTGAATTCTTTATCACCACTGAGAAACGCTGATAGCGAGGGATAGCCTCGTGGGAAGTCATCGACTAGAAACAAAGATTAGTCACGGATCATCAGGTCAGACTGTTATGTCTATATAGATACTCTTCGGTGGGTTGTCTTAGAATGATTGTGGTGAAATGAAAGGTGCAGAAGCTACTCCGCATTAGTCATGAACCCTGCATCTGCATGTTGTTATCTCACTGTCTTGTCTCCTGGCGAACTGCGGTACTCGGGCCGTTGGTTCGCTTCCGTTTGGTGTTGACATTGTTCTGTCGTGGTGTTGTGATGGATGAATAATTGTGGGCATTATAGGTGCAGAAAACGGGGACTTGCGGGTAGAGAAGCTATAAAGATTGGGCAGGTTCTACTGCAAAATTGGGGTACCTTTTTTTTCTTCCCCTGTCAGCAGCCCCTTTGCCCGGTCAGTGCATGCCCCGTGCTAGAGGCTTGTAACGAAAGCACGGGGGCCGATTTCTAGGCCCTACCCAAGTAGGGTAAGACCTGACTCGAAGATGTCGATTTGCACTCCATGCAGCGTTTAAGTATTTGAGTGAGAACAAGGGGGCATGCCAATCCTCTCCAGAAGAAGGAACGAGGTGGATCATTTGCCTGTGAAGCGTACCGGCCGGCCGGTTGGTGGAGGTGTGGGGTAAATGGAGGAAGCCTGGGGCTGGCTTAGCACAGTGAGCAGCACCAATTCAGTTCAAATAAAATTGATGACTGGTTAGGACATGAACCTCCGTGTACAGACGGGATTTCCCTAGCCCAAGCAGGGTTGCTCATGCACAACATCCACAGTGAGGTGGCGGAGAATCCCGACGTATAAAGTTGGGCCCCTGAGTTGTATGAAACCATTGCACCACGTCGGGACAACCAGAAAGGAGGACTTTTCCCTTCTTAGTTACACATTCCGGGGCCACCTTCATACATTTCCCACCGTTGTGACATGCATGTTTTCATCTTTAACTGGGCTTGGTCCGTGCCTCGTGGGAGCCTGTCATAGGAGTAGTCTGATTGGCTATCATGGGTTAGGCCGAGATTGCAAATATTGATTTTCATCTGTGTCATCCCTTGTGCACAGTCATTGCGGCTTGTTAGACGAGACGTTACCCAGACAAAATTTGGCATTCCCGTCGCCGTTTCTGCGGGTCTGATGTGCAATCTTGGCACTCGATTTGAGACATCCCGACTGTTATAAAGCTTATTTGCATGTCAGTTTCTTACAGTGTAGATCCTCGCTGAAGCAAGTCTTGACCCCAGTCATCGGAGATTGCGATAGATCATCCACAAATACAATATTAAAACGATGGTGTAGACATCGGGAGGAGTTGAGGCCTTTAGGACTCTCCGACTCTCCATAAGGGTTCAAGGGAAGTCTCTTGAGGGGCGACAAATTTACACCCTCCCTTACACAGCGTTTCTTAGAGGCTTGGGACATGAAGGCTACTACTAGTTCTACCATCATCGTGCAGGTGGCTTTAGAATTGAGACAAGAGACCGAGACATACACATAAAAGCAGAACAAAAAACAGTATATTTAGTACCGTTGGTCCCGCTTGCCACCAACTTTCAGTCGGCTTTCTGCCTCTTCATACATACACAATCACAATGACCCAAACATTATCAAAAGAACCCGCAAAACCCAGGCGAAATAGTAAGTCATCTATTCTCCTTGTTTGTTCTTTGAGTCAGATGCTATAGGTCTCCGATACATTACATTCAATAGAATCCAAGCGAAAAGCACAGAGCAACCAATGATTACCATACTAATATAGTGTTGTTCAGAGACCAGAAGGGTTTCTACCCTTACTCCCGGACAGCTCGCCCGCAAGAGAGCCAACGATCGAGAGGCCCAGAGGGCCATACGCATCCGTACTAGGGAACACATCGAGCGGCTAGAGCGCGAGCTAGCGGAGCTCAAGAGCAACCAACGGCGTGACCAGACCATTCAAGATTTATTACGTCGTAATACGGCAATCGAGAGAGAGCTGATTCAACTCAAGGAGGTTATGGGGGCGCCAATGGCCTCGTTATCTTCCCATGAAACACTTCTCACTGCACGACAGCCTTTGTGTCCTGACAAGCTCTCAACATCAGCAGTTTGCAATGGAAACCTCAGCACTAGTAACGATGCCATTCCTAGCCCTGCACCATTCTCTAGAGACTACAACATCCCCTACGACTACAGCCAACAATACATTCCCTTGTCTGATAATTGCGGACACCTGGCCAGCACCATCTCCTGCACGAACCCCTCCAACGTATCGACCCCATCATCAACAGGCGACTATAGTGCTGGCCAAATCCAAGTCAGCATGCCCAACTCGGCCCTTCCCTTCTACAACACCAGCTCCTCAAGAATTTGCACTTTATATAATAAAGATGTCGTCAAGATAGAGTACATCGAGGGGGACTATCACGGCGCAATACCTCGAACGCTTCATCAATCTGACATGATGTATTGCGAGTAGATTAGTTATATTAAATAACCAGAAGCCAGGTTTCGCTTAAATTACTCTCTGTTTTATTCCGACACTTTATATTCTCACCTTTACGTACTGCATCACTAGCAGCTGCAGTCCGCCCGGAACATATAAATAATGTACTAGATACAGCCACCTTCTTTAGTTCGTTGAACTACTCTGGCACTTGAAACCGGTTTGTATCCACACAAATATCATTAAAGTGCCGTGTCGATGATCCACTAGTTAGCTTCGCCGAGAGCTGGCGCTGTCAGACCCAGGCCACGATGACCTGCTAGATTCTGGGATGCGTATAGCCCCACTCCGTATACCTTAATTCTGTATCTTTATATGATTGGCTTCAAGCCACAAAGTGTGTTACAATGGACTAGTTGCAAGCTTGGGGTTGCATTAGCAAGAGACTCCCGGCTAGCGGTAATGACACTGGCCGAACTTTGACCTCCTGAGACAATAGGAATAAGCCATTCGGATTAGGTTATTGACATATACATTGAAGGAAGTTTACAGCTAGGCTCTTAGATAATAGTAGTATTACAATAGTAAACGTTCGAGGATAAGCGATGCGGGCATATTATTCACGATTCTTGGTACACACTCGTCCATAGCTATTACTAGAAACGTTTATAATCTCTTAGTCAGGGCCCAGTTTTAGCTCTTAATCCTGGGGACTCCTATTATAGATAAATCTGAGCTTCCATTCTAGGTTGAGTTTTCTTTAATTATTGTTATTAAACCATCTGTTGTGATAAATTACGTTTCCTCTTGATGACGTAGTACCGAGGAGATAGACTGACTATGTATCTTCTTGACAGTCATAAGGCACAAATATCTCTGTGGATGAAGGTATCATCGGCTTCGAGGGGAAAAGCAAAGATATCGTACTGGAGACGAAGTTACGCCGGCGGAGCAGCATAAACATGTCAATGGGAAGAAACAAGGGCGTTGCCTAGGACGTCAGGGCATTCAAATTGGTCCTCAATCCCACAGCTCTCAAAGAGGCCGACGAAGACGGGCTCCGTCAATTGAGGCATCTGACGATAGCCTCGACCGTAGGATCGCCCGCAGAAAGGCCGGCAGCAATACGCAGTGGGGTTGTGACTGTTGTGATGTAGCTATTTGTAAACGGCCTGGATGTTGGTACTTCTATCGCAGGCAAGAAATGCCTGTGAAGGAAGTACCGTAGTTTTACTAGATTACGATTTGATGACATTCCTGTCGATTCCTTGCGCGCGATGTATTTGTGCCTTATGACTATTAAGGAGATATAAGAAACTAGGGCGATGCTACCTTGTAGATCAGGCTTGTTAAGAAAGGGGTTTAGCCCTTTAGTACCTTCGCCAGTAGACCGTGATCTAGAACGTCGCCATTGTACTGAGGGATTTCAAGGATAAATGCCCGTTTTCACAGTAGGGTGCAGTCGCATGTAGTGTTAACTTACTAATCCTGTTTTCTTCGGGCCACAGCCTATATATCCCGCACCTAGAGTTGCAATCCACTCCATTGAATCCACGATTCATTCTATGAAGTTGGTCAGCTAATAAATTATATAAACTATCCATTTTACTTAAAGCGCTCGTAGAGTAGATAGAGTGGAATTAAAGTTAAACTATTCCTTGAGCTATAGAAAACCTCACGGCTATAGCCATCCCTATATCTGCCCTAACTTCTAAGAGGTACTTAATAGGGAGGTTGACGAAGAGGAGGGTAATTATTTTGATAACGTTGTGGTACATAATGAGAGAGTTCTATAGACGATCATCGGAGAAAGGTTGTTGAAGATGGATGGGAAGCTGTTCTCTCCAGGGTGGCGATTAACGCAACGTCAATCAAGAGGTTGTCAACCAGGTTAATGTCAATTAACTGAACCTAACTTAATAGAGCTTATTCTTACTAATTAATTAACTTGATATTATTATAATATTAAGTTAATTGCATTAGAAAGGTTAATTAGGTATTGTAGTAATATTCCTAGAGTCTCATGCTAGATAGCTTAATATAAGATAAGTTAGATATTAGTATTTATTAGGAAATACTTCTTATTATATCTAATTATTCTTTTAATCTGAGTACCGCAAAGAACTCCTTACTATAGTATTAGCTTAATATATTAACCCGTTAGATAAAAATTACTCTATAAGTGATTCGCTTATCTAACGACTCTTGCATTAGCACCAGTCTGACCTCCCGTTCACGACTTGCCTCTTTGGCGTCTTATTTCTTCGGCTTTGGTATGTCCTAAAGTTCAGATTTTAAGACTACAAATCTTATAGCAGCTTCCCTTTTCACACCGGACCCCTCAACACCAACTCCATTAATACCCAAGCCGTCCATACCAGTCAAAGCTCGCGCCACTTAACGAGACAAGGATTAATTATTCTGACACTTCCGTGGCTACATGTGGTCTTAATGAAGTAGAAATATAAAATCATAGGTGTAGGAGTACACCTTCGATATCGAGAAGGACTCAGAGCAGTGATGGGTCTACAAATTTGCATTAAAAGGAACAGACCGATGCCCAGCAATGTAGTTGCCATTGGCACCCAGAACGCTGAACGCTGAACGGCATCTCTGGGACTACCACAAAATTCAAGACCCCTCTGGAAAATGGTCTGCGCCAGCGTCTCGAAAGAAACCGTCGACAGGATACCAGACGATAACGAAAGCCTTCAACCTCGATCTTAACGCGCCCCGAGAGCAAGCAATTGCAAACCGATTTATTAAGAGCTTTGAATTGAATGTCTTCCAGCGTCTAGTGGCCGAATGGATCGTCGAGAGCAACCTGTCCTTCCGAGAACCCGAAAACAAGAGGTTGCGGGCTATTTTCGAGTACCTCAGCCCTTTCGTCGTGAGCAAGGATGCCCATGTCGGTCTTGATACGGTTCGCAAGCGTGCCGTTGCCGAGTTTAAAAAACATAAAGGGAACGTAATCGAGGTATTAAGAAATGCACCTGGGTTAATATATATCTCGTTTGACTGCTGGAGATTGCAGAATAAGCATGCTTTATATAGTATTATCTGCTTCTTTCGAAATAAGGACAGCAAGGCCTGTAAGCTTATGCTGGGAATGCCTAAGCTAATAATTCGGCACTTCGGGGCTAATATTAGATATAAGATTATCGAAATACTTAAGTTATATAAAATCTCAGAGGAGAAAATTAGGTACTTTACGCTTAATAACGCATAATATAATGACACTGTAATAGATACTATTAGGGAGAGATTTAAGTTCTATAGCAAGGAACGGTGGGGCCGTTGCTTTAGCCTCGTAATCAATCTTGTGGTTAAAGCTATTCTCTTTAGAAAGGATGCCAACGCATTTGAGTCCCAGTTAGGGCATAGAGACCTCTTAGCCACGGCTGAGCATGAGCTTTAACAAAAGAGAGGTCCCGTCGGCAAGCTCTATAATCTTGTGGTTGTAAGGATATGACAAACTCGGCAACGGAATCAGCGACATCTGTAACAGGAAGGAAGTCAAAGTAGCCAGCAATATTCAGACTCGAAATACGCGGAACAGCATGGATAAGATTCGAGTATTGTAGCAAAGCGTTGAGTGCATCTTCGATAGGAGCCTCGTCTCCCACAATAGCCCAATGTCGGTGGATTGCGACAGGGAGCTCCCTTGAACCATTGGCAATGGCTGCAATGGAGAGGTTTTCGAGGAAGATTTCACCTGCCCACTTGGCTGCTGTGAACCCCTCAGAGCCGTCCGTAGGAGGCTCATGGTCTCTGACCCTGACTAGTGGAAGGGCAGCATCTGCCGTGGGGTTTAGAAGTGTGACACGGTTTTATGAGATAAAGTGGATGGGAATCCGGCGGCAAAGAGCAAAGACTCCTATCTGTCGCATTGACTCCACATTGGGTGTGCGAAGGGTTGAGTAATTGTTCAGGCAATGGCCCTGGGATCTTGCGAGAATGATAGTGTCGACAGTTTCTCGAACGTGCTGGTAGGTGTCACTTTTGAGTCCCAGCATTGGTTCACTCAGACTGCCATGATATAGCGTGACGCGATCATCCTTGGGATGACTGACATCAGAGTCTGGGTCAACAGCGATGTAGTAGATACGTGAAACTGACGAAAAGCTCAGCAGAGATTGGAGGATCTGCTTCCCCAGAAATGATGTTGAGCCTGTCATAAGGATCTCAAGACCAACATCTGTCCTGATGGGAGTTGCATAACTCGAGTAGCTTAAGTCAACGGAATGAGGCAAAGCTGTCTCAGCCTCCCAATCAATAACCTCACGCAAATAGTCAGAGCTCTCTTGTTGTGTCACTAGACCAGCCCTTCCATACAACGCGCTGGAGCGGTACATATCGCTGAGACATAGTGCAATACCCATTGACATTTGGATTGCACTTCGAAGTCTGACGAGGAGCAGTGAGTTGCCCCCAACGTGGAAGGAGTCCGTGTCAGGCTCAAGGTTCGTGCCATTAACAATCTCTGCTTGGGATATCACGTCATGCCAAATGAGTCTCAACTCTCCTTCGACAAGCGTTGATTTTCTTCCTGGTGTTGCTTTCGATGCGTCAAAGGATGCTTGTGAAGTTGGCAATGGCATGGCTGCTATTGCCCGGCGATCAACCTTTCCGCTATTGTTCAACGGCAACGTCTCCAGCGGGATTACCATAGCTGGCCTCATGTACTGAGGAAGCGGCAAGTTGTTTGCCAACCCTTGTAAATTCGACGCATCCATAGACGTACTGGAGTCAGTACAATATGCAGGGTGGCGATCAACGCAATCCACTCAACCTCAGCCTTCAATTGAGTGAGTTGACTGCTTAATAAGCATTTCCTCTGTTGAGTTGATCACCCAGGTCCTATATTGAGTTGGTTAGTGTTGCGGTGATGGTTGACCAGTGCCCCATGCCGTGTCGTCCTACTTTCACCGCTAGGTTAAAACCTAACGGCCATTGCAAGCCTTCTCCCACCCTGCCTTCTCCTTCCGCATCTGCATTGGCAAACCCCTAAGCCATTCGCTTACTGACTTCTCCTTCACCGAATCTACGCCCATTGTATTATCCACTTTGTCCAACAGCATATGATTAACTTCCTCCACCATGCCTGCCGGCAGCCATGACAGCAGCACCTGGCAAATAGCAATGGTACTTGCCTCTGGCTGGTTCCGAAGAGGCGTCACTATGCGGCCTGCCTCCGAGGATAGTCTCTTGCACTCAGTGCTTATCGGCTAAACTATTATAAAGTCTACTGCAATTTGCAATAGCCTAGGGTGCTTAAACTGCTATATATATTAATACTTTAGTAAATCCTAAATTATATTATATTTAGATAATATATCCTTCTATTACCTAGTATACTTATCTTTTAAGTTATTAAGGTGTATATTTTTATAAGGAGATATTTAAGCTTTATCTTTATATTACTTAAAAGGAGAATAGTATTATATCTGCTAATACTTTAGGGCTAGCTTATTATTATTCTCTATAGAAATTTTTAATACCTTATATTCTTTATTATAAATAGACTATATTATATCTTTTACCTTAAAAACCTATGCTAAATATCTAGACTATATTATCTTAAAAATAACTCTAATAATAAGCAGGATATAATATTAGCGATATATAATATATTAGAATTTTATCTAGTTTATTATAGTATTTATTAAGCTTCTTTTAGCTAAAGTTAATATTAACCGTAAAGTAATTAAATCTAGGATATTGATTAAATATAGTATTAGCTTTCTCTAATTTAGCTAATAGAAGTTTATATCCTATAATTATATCCTATATATTGCTATAGGACTTAAATATCCCTGCTTGCGCTTCTATTGAATCCTATTACCTTTAAGCTGCTTAACTGTGTCCTTAAAGCTCTGAAGGATATCCCTAAATGCCTCTAGAATGGCCTAGTCCTTGTCGCCGAGTTTATTCTTATCTTAATATATGGCAGGCATGATTGCGCTTACCTTGAGCTGCTCTAACCGCTTTGACGTATTGTCCTTTTCTTATTCCTGCTTACGCTTTAACACTAGTGTCTCGAGGTAAGGTTAAAGCTTCAAGGCGCAGCGGGTTATATACAGCTATGATAACTAACGGGTTTCGTTGTCAATAACCACGTTAAGGGGCTTCTGAATTCTTACCCGAGGATCCTCGGATGCATTAAACTCTAGCCGTTAAATACTTCGGAGAAGTGTAGTAAGTAGATCAGATCGGTGGGTTACAAGGGCAGGTGTGACTTTCAAGCATTACTCGAGTGGTGTCAAAGTTCCGCCCACAGATTTCGCTACATATGTGCAAAATAAGTATGGTGGCGAGTTCCGAAAGTTGGACTTTGATGATTGGATTGATGATTCAAGAAGAGAAGGCATTGAGGAATTGATAGTGTTGTATTTGCAGGCTATTGTGGAGAAGGGACAAAGGATAATATTTCCATATATGGGGAGCACTGTATAGTTGTTATATACATACTTGAGACGAGATAACTTATAATAAGATTGCTCCATGCCTTCTTTGCTACTACCACGACAAAGTTAGGACCCTTAAGATAATCCTCCTAGACTTTATAATTATTCTTTATAAGTTTTATATCTTCAGCGGAGGCAACCTTTATCTTAACTAGTCTAAGCTCTTTTCCAATATTATCAGACAGGGAATAAATTAATCCTATAGAAGTAGCCTTAAAAGAAAATAGCGGCTTAGTAATAAAATTAACCTAGTACTTTAAGCCGCCTAGAATTTCTATAATAATAGTAAAGGTAACTCTATATTTACTATAGCTTATATACTAATCCTAGATTCTCTTAGCCTTTATACTAATAAACTTACCTCTAGCTTTTAAGTTCTTAATAATATTCTTATGTAAACTCCTTAGCTCTGAAATAGAAGTAATATAACTAAAGACCTAATTTACTATAATAATATTATATCTATCTTTCTTTAAGTTAAATTACTCTATGATTAGTTTAGTTATATTAGCTTTAAATTAATAAATATAATCCCTTGGTTTAAAATATAGTTTAAAATTCTAATATCTTAATATAAGTTTAATAATAGAATTTTGAAATAATATATTATATAATTAAATCAACTTCTATAGAGTTAACTTTTACCTCTAGATTAGCCTATATTTTAACTTTCAATATCCCTAATAGAATCCCTAAACTAACCTTTAGTAAACCTTATTAACCTTTAATTAACCCTCTTAACCTTTCGTTAACCCTATTAACCCTATATATAGCTTCTATTACTTATAAGGCCTCTAATATAAATATCCTTATTAATTTAATTACCTTAGCGGTATCCTTTGCAATCTTATTTTCTATGAACTTAATAGGATTATTAAAGACCTTATTAGCCTAGGCTATCTGCGACCTACGGCATTAATACTAAGTCTTATGCCTACTGTCTAACCTAACTTCCTCGAGGAAGGTAACTTCGTCGTAATAGATATTATTAGGCCCTCCTGCAAGCCTCTTCTCAAGGTCCCTTAGGCACTTAAGCTCCTGCTCAAGCCCTGTCACCATCTAGCCTGGCTCGCGGGTTCGAAAACGCGTTACGAAGAGCAAGAGGAGGTCGCAGCCAAAGGCGATCAACCTGACGAGGCTGTAATTATCGTTATCGTCGTCGTGCCCGATCTCTCTGAGGCACCTAGCCTTATGCCTTGGCTACTTCAGGTCTTTGCTATTGTCACTGAATAAGATGGTATCTATGGTGTCCTTTTGGCTGAAGAAATAGCCATTGTAATAGTTATAGATGCCACTGTAGAGGCTTCTTCTTCTGGAAACAGGCGGCATTATATTATATAAGGCCTGCGGATTGGTTAGCTGTGTGATGCGGCTAGTAGCGGATAGACTAAGGATTCACTGACTGCCAGGTTTAGAAGTGCTCAGTGGTAAGTTGCAAGAGGAAGACGCTACTGTGCATACAGAAGCTTCTTTTATTGCCCTCTTATTATAGAGTTTAGTTATTGCTATATTATCTTGTAAAGAAAGTTAACTATTAAGAGAAACTTAGGTTTAATATATTAGGTTCTTAATCTATATAGATCCTTTAGTTTTAAATTTATAAGAAAACTTTAAGAAAACTCAGGCTTGGCATAGAGCGTAGAGTAAAAAATAATAATACTTACTTAATTGCCTTTACTTTAATAGTCTCTTTATATTAATATTAGAGATTATTTCTTGTTATTTTAATAACTATTTAATTATTTTTATAGTTACTATTATAGTATAGATTAGTTAATACTTTAACTTATAAGAATACCTTCTATATAGTAGGCTAAGCCAGCTATAGTTAATATATTTATAATATAAATATTTAATCTCTTATAATATAAGAAGTAAAATATGAACTTAAATAGATTTATATTCTGATATTTTAAATTATATAATAATATAGCCAATAAGAAAAAATAAATAAATATTAAAACATAATTAATAAGTCTCTTTTCTATTTAATTTAGTTTTTTTTTAAAATAATATATTAAGCCTTATAAATGTTAACAATAATATACTTTTAAAAAGGAATAGAATTTAACTATAAAACTTTTAATTAGCTAAAGATAATCCTATATAACGTACGCGATAAGCGAGCGGGATAGATAAGCGAGCAGGATAAAAATCTCAACCTTCTTAAGATAAATTATAATAAAAATACAACAGACTATCTGATCAATTAAAATCAATTACTATACTTATCTCCAGATGCCTCCGGAACTACCTAACAGGTCCTTGCATTATGCCCGGGCTTGCCGCATATACCACATCGCCGAATACCCGGCCTAACTGACCTTCCTCGACCACCACTTCTCGATAATTCGGCCAATATCTGCGTACTTATATCTATCTGATCAATTGAATTATGACCTTCCTATATAGTTAAGCTCCCTTTATTCTATAGGCGTGTCCTTTTTGCCCTGCGCCGTCGGCTAAGTATACTATTTGCCTCACGTAGCTCTCGGCACTTAGCCTCTAGCAAGGCAGTCTTCTGCATATTCCTTGTGACTGCCTTTGTAAGAGACTGAAGAGCTTCAAGGATTGACTCTGGGGAGCTACTATGATGTCTTCTGATTCGATCGCTAAGGTATTTAGACTGTGATCCGGCCTCGAGGACTGTATTTGGGGTCTTTGAAGTCTAAGCTTGAGCTTGTTGGGCCACCTCTTCAATAGGCGTTAGAGTCCGTAGCTGCACATTAAGCTTTGAGATAATAACTTCGGGGTCAAAAGGAGCAAGGCCAGCTCCTCTAAAGCCCCCCTTGATATTTGACTCGGTCATAGTTAATTAAAAGGCGGCGTAAAAGGCCTGGAAGAACTCGGTCTTGGAAACGTGGGTTATAGACCTTCTGATCAGATGCTCTATTTCTCGACCATATGCCTTTTTCAGCGGCCCGAAGTACCCGACGTCAAGTGGCTAAAGCAGGTGCGACGAATAAGGAGGCATGCAGAGGGTGATAATATTATTAACCTCACAATATAGCTGGAATTCGACGGATTGATGACTTTCGTGACCATCGAGGATTAGAAGACAATAGGGACTAACTGATCGGTTACTTATGCATCGATTAAAGTGCTTCAGCCAGTCGAGACCCGTCTCGTTATCTGTCCAGCCATTTGCGGTCATAGCGATAGCCCAAGTGCCCGGGAGGTTACTGTCTTGGTACCAGTTGGCAAGGTGATATTGGCCTGCAACCACTATATATAGATTGATCGCTCGGCCTTCTGCATTAATCGCTTGAATCACAGTAACCTATTCACGGTTTCCAGGCTGGACTGACTTTAGGTTTCCACGCCTTTCCGAGCTGGTGATGACTATACCGCTTAATATAACGCCCATCATAAAGCCGGTCTCGTCAAAGTTCCAGATATTATCTAATCTGATACTATACTTTGCGATTATATTCTCTACTAGCCTGAACCAGTTGCGAATAGTGGTTAGATTTTCGCATTAAGCTCTCCGATAGTCATATTTACGAAAAGAACGCGTCTTAAGCTATAGTTACCGTTTAATAAAATTAATAGCCTAGCGCTTGCCAACTGGTAATGCATCACATTCAGTAAGCAGTCGATTCGCCATTTCTTCAATGTCGCAATGCCGAGAGGGAAATCCTCGCGAATCTAGATTCAGAATATACTTGACTATAATCTATTCCTCCTGATCAGATAGTTTCCGACCATTAGGAATACAATCGACGCGAGCCTGATGACCCTGAGATCGGTAGTAGAGGGTCTGGAAGGGGATATTATAGAGAAATGCAGCTCGTCGCAGACTTAGTTTTAGGTCTCCCTGATAGGCCTGAAGTGCAAGAATAATATGAGCCTCAATAGTAGATTGTGATATGTTATTTGGTTGAGAATTAATTGATCTGATAGTATTAATGTAAGGTGAGGGATTTTTGTCCCGCTCGCTTGTCTGTCCCGCTCGCTTATTGCGTACGTTATCTTAACTATAAGATTTTAATTAGCTATGAAGCTTAAGGATAATAATAAGGTTAATAACATCTAATAAAAATATATTAATAATAAGCTAAAAAGACTTATAAGAATATAAATAAGCTAAGCTTAAAGGCTATAGTATATATATATATTAGTAATAAGCTTTATATTATCTTTAATATTTAGTCTAATTCGGTAAAAAGTTAGGGTTAACCTAAATAAAAGAATTCAAGCACTATACACTGTCTAATGTATGTCCTAATATTTTCTACTATTAAACTTGGCTTTCCATATGTCTTAGATTATACCCCACAGAGCCAGGCTAACAACAAACAGCCATCTACCGTAAAGTCTCTGTGGACACCATCCGCTCGAGTCTAGATCGCAGCAACCTGGTGGCAACGGTGAAATTTTAGACCCCGAGGAAGCCCCCGTGGCGTTGATAGTCAGGCTGTAACTTGCGGCTGAAAACGTCACGTTGGTTGATGACTGCCAGGTCTCTGAGCCGAACTCAACTATGCCTAAGTATGTCGAGTTTGCAATCAAGCCATTGCGCCAGACATATTCGAGAAGTGGTGAAACATCTTCATCGAATTCCGTTATATCGTCTACGTCTTCATCCGGGACCCAGGTGAAGACATGGTTGGCTCGCTGGTTTTTGCCATAGTAGAGAGTACTAGACAAAACAATACCTTGTTATTAGCGAATGACGAAAACCCATACCGACAGACAAGGGGGGAACGAGAAATCACCTACAACTCTCTATCGCCGAGTTTCTGCGTCCCTAGCGTCTTAGTTTTGAGTGGCCAGGGGTCACCGACACTACCAATCCATATCATGAGCTCAATACCCGCCGAGACGGAGTCGGTCGAGTTCGTCGAGTCGGCGTCCAGAAACATATCAAAGGCGGCATTGGCTTTGATTCCAAGGTTATCCAGTGAAGATTTGTTTTCGTCCCACTCGCGACTACTGAAATTTGGTGTCTCTGTCTCCAAGAATCCCTCTGTCATGGTCCAACTCCCCGTCAGGCGCATTGAGGTAATTTCTGCCAAAGGTATTGGCAGCTTTGATGATTGGAATTTGACATGTGGGTACGAGTGCACATTGTCCTTATCGCCCTCCCACAACCAGGGAGCGTTGAACCACACATTCGTGTCATCTTGATTAACCTATTGCTCGACAAACCGGGAAATTGTCAGAAGTTTTGCATCGTTAATATTGAAGAAGTCCATGGTAGGGAGCAAAAGGGAATAACACGAGAAAGAATATGGAAAGACGGAAAGAAAGAACATACCGTCATGCATTGAAACCCCTTCGAGGTTGGGTTCCATGCATTGACAGCATCTGTATGTCTCGTTAGTACTGCAAATCCATAGAAGCGCAGTGGGAGTAATCACATGCGAGATGGCGTGATTTGTCTTCGAGTGTCATTTTCCCGCAGAGAGTAGTGGCGCCCTCCGGTGACCGAGCTAAAACGCCAATTTGGAACAGCGTGGTGGTAAATATGAGGGCAATCACTTGCCGCTTCCACCGCGGCAAGTAGGGTACAAGGCTAACCATTATGTGTTATTACTTGGGACATGTAGAACGAGACCGAGGAAGTTGTAAGGATCTGCGTTGGTTTTGTTAGAGTTTTACGTCTTATATAACGTTCACAGGCCGCTAGTCTCTGCTAGTGCCACTATTCGTGCCAAGCCAGTCCAGACGTGCTCATTTTCGCCCGGGATAGTATTGTGCGAGCCTCCCCTATTTAGAACTCGTCACTTTAATCATTCATTCATTAATTTGATTCCTATGGTGTTTTTTCTCATCAGGTCAACTCAGAGTGGCAGTAAGGCCAGATTGTAGCGGTAGAAAAAAGAGGGTGCATTATTCTATGGTATGGAGTCTTGGATGAGCGTATCTGTGAAATTGATTTCATGTCGTCGCTCAGCCAGGGGCATGAGGATCTTATGTATTAATGCGTTGCCGGATCGAACACTCCTTGTACGTCGTGGGGACGTGGATTGCTTATCACACCGACTGGATGTGGCTGTCTCAAAAAGGAGGGAAATATGTGGATCCAGAGATTCTGGCCCAGCTTGACGGTTCTGGCCCTGACAGAGTCCCACCCAATTAGCTAAAAAGGGACAAAGCTGTATCAGCCCCAAGCCACAGTGGCTATAGTAGCGGCTTCATCTTATCCACAACCATATTAATTATTGACAAATTCAGGGGCAAGACACGGAATAGTGCCAATATTCAGTCTAAGTAGGACAACGATTCATTTCGCCCACTAACAAGTGCGAGTATGAAGTATTTGCTGCAGCTGTATAAGAAAGTACAGAAGAGTCATTCAATGTAATATTAACAAGGGGGTAGTGGGGGCCGATGACAACATTTTCTTTTGGGATTGGACGACCCTGAATTTTCACGAGTCATACTGCATGCATAGGCAGTTTGACTATCGATAGCTATTCCATTCTAGGAAGTGTAGGGATCTAGGGTCTAAGTCATGAAGGACTCCTGATGAAAAATTAAAAGAAAAACGAAAACAAAACAAAGCGGTGCTGACCGAGGCATACCAAGACATTCTCTTATCTTGTGTCCTCCGCTGTGGCGGACAGCCTATAGGGCCCCTTATGGAAAATTCTGCGACAAAAAGTACAACGTGCTTTGCAAGTGAAGAGGACAAGGTGTGGACTACGACTCAAGTAATAATCTGTTGAGTAGATGAGTCCCCCCACTCTCTACTCGTCTTTCCTAACTAGAGTCCGCCCCAGAATAACGAGGCAATGTACAGGACCCTGAAAACCTCCAAGCTCGCTGTTACTGTGATAAGAGCCTTGTTATCTAGCAACACTGAGGAACGGCAAGAGATCTCTGGAGAACTTCCTGCATCTAAATGGATCGTCGGTGCCGGTTGCAATACCAATGAGCTGGGATAGTATTGCTGCGTGACCAAGGTCAATGCACGCTAGACCCCCTGGCCGACCTGATCAACCCGAGTAATTAACTTATCCGGACTGGTCTCTAAAGCTTGGTTCACTGACGATCTCACCGTCAAGAAGTGATATCCTTGCTCATCTACTCCAATGTTGCGAAGCTTTCGACCGATCAGTCTGGTCCCGCTCCCGTTTTCGCTCCCGATATAGCATGACAGCCGAACATTGCGATAGTCTGCTAACCGACCAGAACCAAGAAGCCCGCCAAGCAAGATGCAACTACGCGGTTCGAGACCTACTGATAGCGCTAGCTAGACGTTTTGCCAGTTGAATAGTGGCTTGCGGTCAAATAACATTTTCCAATAGTTTCCAAGCCTAGCGTCAGCGCTACAACGGGCTCGAACACATGTGAAAAAAAAACTTCCGACCCGTAGTGTGCAATGCGATTCACTATCTTTGAAAACAGACTGAAGTACTAGTTCGGGATGCTACCTTCATTGTATATGTATCTAGCTTAGTTGACTGTCGTTGAGATTAGAAAGATTGGATCGGGGTCAATGGCCTATAATGCCATCGATCAATGTCATCGTCGGATGTACTCACCGCATACCCCTGGTTACCATCCCTGTAAGATTGGTCGGTTTATGGCATTGACCTTACTAGAACGAGCTTTTGCTGGAAACCGAGCTGCCGTTATTTCAACACTAAATTGTTCTAGATGCAGAAATCTAGGTGCAGGTCAGCCACTCCGGAACTTGTTACGCATAAGTATTTTATCCTACCAGGGGTAAGTCCTAATCGAGCCATTAGTTCACTTTAATGGCAGCTGGAAGGCTGCACTAGGGCTATCAGAGTTCAATAAGAACTCGACCCAAATTGGCTATCTATTGACTATTGGCTTGGCTTATTTGCCCCAATACTAAATATAACGTCGATTCAGTGCATTCACGGACCCAAGCAGACGGTTAACCCTTTTGTGATGGAGATCCAGCTTGCAATCTATGCGACAGCTAGACCGGGTAATCTGGCAATAGCTCCGTCTGGTTGCTAATCTAGACTTTTCAGCCGCGTCCGCAGAATGAAATTAATCAAAGTTGACAAAGCCGAAGTAACAGTTTAGGTATGCCTAAAACTAGTTTGTCAAATGAGCAGTGTCGTGCTGGGCTCGAATGTCTACGTCTTTATATACAGCACTTTCTATCTTCTCCTGGGAGAATTTGAAATTGTCCTGTACCTCTAGCTCATTCGTTTCCAGAGTACATTTCATTTGTCTCCTCTCTGTAACACCCTTGCTTCTATCCAGAAGCCATGATTCCCCCATCCGTACCGGACCAGCTTGCGGTGACGCCAGCCGGCTCTGCACGTGATCCATTCGACTCTGACATTGGAGCCATATCCTTGAGCTCAGAGACTATCTCCATCAGCTCTTCGGTAGGGCTTTTATTCATATTATTCACCTCTTTACTAACGTTATCCAGGATGATTCCGTCCCAGAGCCTACAAGAGCCCCTTCTGTTGCTGTTCGCGGTGCAGTTCGACGTCCACCCCCTGAGCCTCCTGTTCAACGCCAAATAGCCAAGACGGAACAACGGGATGAGATTGTATGTCAGGCTGGCTATTGTAGCTTGGCATGGTAACTAATCTTTCCAGGCACCTGTTAGCCCTAGCCCGCCAGAACCAGAGTTCAACGAGAAAAGTCAGCCTTTGGATCCAGATGTCGAAGCCAATGTCGTGCCACCTGCGGTTGTGACAAAGGAAAAGGTAGAGGAATCTCCCGTTTCGGATCAAAAACCAAAGGCTGGTTTCTTCCGCCGAATCAACAATAGTTTCCGAAACACCTATTGCCCGAAAGAGGAGCCACCCCTGGTGCTTCCAACTTGTCCTAATGACGATGAGAAGCTTTTGTACATTCACACCAATCGCATCTTGCTCTATACGTTTGGCGTGCTTTCCTTCCTGTCGTTGGGTGCCGGTATGTGGCTCTTTGCTCTGTCTGCGCCATTCTTCTACTGGTATGGTGTCTTTGCCGGTGCCATGTGCATCTACCTGATCATTTCGTATGGTGTCGGGCTTATCGGTCGGGACTGGGACTACAAGGCACATATACAACGAGTTGAGGCGTATCCGATCACTGAGGAGTCAGCACCTACCGTTGACATCTTCCTACCTTGCTGCTCAGAACCCCTTGAGATTTTGGAGAACACCTACAAACACATCGTCAATCTCGACTGGCCTGCATCCAAGCTCAAAGTTTATGTCATGGATGACAGTGCGCAGGACGCTGTTCGCGAGTTAGCAGAGGCATATGGCTTCATTTATCACGTCCGCGACGATCGTCCTCGCCTGCGAAAGGCGGGCAACTTGCGATGGAACTTTGCCCGCACTGACGGCGAGTACTTCGTCATCTTTGACGCCGACTTCTGCCCGCGACCTGATTTCGTCAAGGAGCTTATCGTTGAGCACTTGGACGATGATAAGACTGCCATTATCCAAAGCCCTCAGTGGTTCCGCGTCACTGACGACCAGACATGGGTTGAACAGGGAGCAGGAGCTACACAAGAATTGTTCTACCGTGTCGTCCAAGTAAACAGAAACAGATGGGGTGCCTCTATCTGTGTTGGCAGTAATGCCATGTACCGTCGAGCGGCCTTGACTGAAGTAGGAGGTACTGCAGAGATTGGATTTTCCGAGGATGTCCACACAGGGTATGTGACAAATCGACTTATGAACTTTATTTGACCTGGAGCTAACTTGAGTCGTAGTTTCGGCGCGGTTGACCGGGGTTGGAAAGTCAAGTACATCCCTTTGTGTCTGGCCACTGGTGTTTGCCCCGCCGGTCCTCGGGCGTTCTTCTCGCAGCAAATGCGATGGGCCAGAGGTAGTACAACTCTATTCACTAACCCTAAATTCTGGACCTCAAACCTCAGCTTTATGCAAAAGCTATGCTACATCTCTGGTGAGCTACCTACAGAAAATATTGATTGTCATGCAACATACTAACTCTCGATGATCCAGGTTTCCTCTATTACTCAGCAGTGTCGCTCAATATCTTCCTCTCGCCCATCGCCGGTACGCTTCTCCTTGCCTTCCGCTCGGAATGGTTCAAGGCGTGGAACCTTGCATTCGCTTTGCCGTCCATCTTCTACGGCATCGTCGTTTTCAAGGTGTGGACCAAGGCCTCCTACGGCTTCAATGTGCAGCACGTTATGGTAATTATGTCTTATGCATACTTGACAGCTATCAAGGACCGCATCTTCAACATCGAATTGCTTTGGGCTGCTTCAGGTGACTCTAAAGCACACAAGTCCAACAAGTATCGTGACATGCGAATTCTTTGCTGGATCTGGACTATCACTGTTACAGGCGCTATGATTGGCGTTGTGGTGTGGAGGTTGTTGACCGGATTCACTTGGTATCATACTCTACCACTCATGATAATCAACCTCTACAACTTTTACATTACTCACCGATTTCTATTTTGCAATTGGTAAAGTTTTCTCCCTACGATTAGAGCCTTCAGTTTACATATAATGCATTATACTTTAAAAGTTTATAGACAAAGAGTGGATAAATTCCCTGTTTATTATTAATATAATAACGTATTTGAGAAGCGAGCGGATCAGACAAGCGAGCGGATCAAAAATCCCTCACCTTATATCATTTTAATATAGTCAGAGATATCTCAACCATTAGTTATGCCACAACCTTTAAATGAAGATAGAATTACTCTTGCCCTTCAAGCCATTCAAAATAACCCAAAATTAAGTACGAGACGGGCAGCGACTATCTACCAGGTGCCTTTTATAACCTTATATCGACGCCAGAACGGCATTTAATCGCGACGCAATATAATGCCGAATTTACGGAGACAATCTGATCAGGAAGAGGATATAATAGTCCTATTCCTCCTTAACCTAGATTCGCGAGGATTCCCCTTGTGACAGCGTTTTATTAAAGAAATGGCTAATTCCCTACTTGCAGACTGCAATTGTTACGATCCCAGCGGTTACGTCACGTGTACCCCACAATTTTCCTCTAACCAACGCTAAGCTCACTCATACCAGAGTGAGCCTCACCAAGCTCACTTATGCATGCGTGAAACCTACCCTATAGCTTACCTCTGACATCGTAAGCCTTTCTTTAAGGCTTACTACTGCATAAGTAACCCTTTATATATATATATATTCCTTTAGCACTAGATAGGATATAGCTTACTAGCTATTAATAAAATATCTTTACCTAGATATACCTTACCTGCTCTATTTACTATTAAAAGATATAATACTTTGCTACACTTAATATTATAATGCCCTATATATCTGCTAATATAAACCTAGTATAGACTAGTTTATCCCTTGGGAATTATAACTATTATACGTTAATAGCTCTTATTTAGACTATACTATATTAATATTAAGTAATATTTATGCAATAGCGCCTATTACCCTAAACTGCCTTAATACCGCTGAAACTGGATAGCTATTAGTTACTGAGACCCCTTAGTATCTATCTTAGGAATTCCTTAATATCCCTATGAATATAGATAATAATAAGGAAGGAGAGATTATTCTTTCTCCTATTTACCTGCAAAACTATAAGGAAAAAGTTAAGAAACTTTAATAGAAACTTAAATATTGTGACGGTTGGGTTTTCCAAGGGATAAACTAGTCCGTTCTACGTTTATATTGGCAGAGTCATAGGGCATGTGATACTGAGCGACTGCGAAGTGTTATGTCTCTTAATAGTGAATAAGGCAGGTTAGGCGTATTCAGGTAAAGATGTTTTATTGATAGCTGTTGAGCTAAGTGTATTAACTAATACTAAGTGAATGTATATATATTTGTGATAGCTTATGGTTAAGCATTAGGCTTATGCCGTAAGTTAAGGCTTATATTATAAGTCTTATTATAAGCTATAAGTCGCAGATCCTGGCGGCTTATAGTATAACTAAGCTAGTATAGGTGGTTAAAGCCATAATTAGTGAAAAAATAGTAGGGCCTATATAATTATCTATTAGGTTATAATATAATATCTCCTTTCCTTTAGTCTTATCCTTAAGGCCTATTGTTTTAATTATCTTTTTCTTACTATTCCTAGTAAGTGCTAACTTATTCCTTTTATTACTTATATTTTCCTGACTAAAATATCAGAGTCTATAGCTATATGAAATTATAAGGCGCAGGCTATTCTTATTAAAAACACCGGAATACTTATTATGCCGTGCAGTTATTGTACTCCTTATAACCTTAAGTATTAGGCAAAGGAGGGTTATTCTAAATGTTTATAATATACCTATTGTGGTTAATCTTGTGATAGTAAGGGTATGACTTTGTTAGCAGGTATATGCTTATGAGTGATTTTCTTTGTGATTTTTATATTACTAATGTATTCCAGTGGATTGCTTTATTGCTAAGAAGCGTTATTTAGAGAAAGAAGAAGAAGTTACTGAAAATAATCTATTAGCTTTATAATAGTAAGTGAATAAGCATTTAAACTGTCTTATGCGGTTGCGTTATTAGAAAAGGCAGCTTTAAGAGTATACCGAAGAAATACTTTATTAGAATATTAAAACTCTTAATAAGTTAGAGACTATTAAAAATAAAGAATCTCTGGCTACAGCAGAGGCGCAATTAACTAGTGCAGTAGGCATTATTAATTAGAATGAGGTATTTATTAATCCTTTGTTTATGCTTAGTGAAAGTTCTTTAGGAGCCGTTAGGCATTAATTAGGTGTTTTAGTGATTCCTATGTATTTTTATTTTCTAGGTAGTTTTTCTATTTTATTAAATATAATATTTATCCGTTAATTTTTTATATATCCCTGATTTCTTTAACCTTATAGGTCTCTGGTCTATTAACCTCTTTAGGTTTATTGCCGATTTTAACTTTAATAGAGTTAGCGGCTATTTCAAGAAGTGAGATATAAAAAATTAAATAGAGTCTAATTTTTATAGGTAGCTCTAGTTTATAGATATCTTTCTTAACTTATTATTTAATTTTATATAGTCTAATAAACTTATAGTCTAGTTTATATAAAGGTCATTTTATTATAATATTTTTTTTAGATAGGTAGACTATATCTCCCTCCTTAAAGGTTAATCCCTTTACCTTCTTATTATTATAGTAACGCTTTATTTATTATTTAATATATTCTAGTTCCTTCTTTATTTCCTTATATAGATTTTTAAGGTTATCTGCTTTTAGTATTACTGCAGGGTTTATTATTTTAGGATCTTATTTATCGTAGTAAGCGTCTAGTATAAACCTAAAGTTAATATATACTAGGGTTAACTTAGTGCTTTTATTATAAGCCATATTATAGGTAAATTAGGCAATAGGTAACTTTTTAACCTAGTTATTTTATTTATAATTAATATAGTATTGCAAGTATTATTCCAGTACTTAGTTTATTTGTTTAGTTTATCTATCTATTTATGGTTTAAATGCAGTAGATATCCGGTGATTTATTCCTAGTAAGGCTAAGAGTGCTTGCTAAAACTTGCTAGTGAATGTTATACCTCTATCCGAGAGGATCTCAGATAGTAGTCTATAGTTCCTGAAAATTCAATTATAAAAGATATAGGCTATTTATTCTGCTTTAGTTATTTCTTAATAAGGGATACAGTAATAAAACTTATTAAACAGTCTACTATAACTAATATACTATTATAAAAGATTCCAGTTAAGGGTTCTTCTAAAAGTAGTAATTTAGTAATAAAGTCTATTATTATTAAATCCTATAGTTATTATGCCACTGGAAGTAATTATAACCCTCTATAGGGTTTATATTATTATGCTTTTATCCTTGCGCATAAGTTATACTATTTAATTGCATCTTCTACTTGCTTTCATATAGGGTTATATCCCTTATTTTATAGTCTTTTTAGTGTTTTTATTATACCTTAATAACTATATAGTGGATATATATAGTAATTCTATAGCATTTTTTATAGGTCTTCTTATTCTGCGAATTTCTTTCCTTAACTCTATACGCTATCTAGGCTGCATTTTTCGCATTTATTAATAATATCTTAGATTTATTTATTTAATCCTTTAATTAGGAATTATTAATATTTATATTTCTTTTTTATTTCTAATAGGTTTGCGTGGTTTTATATATAGTGTTCTTCTAAAGCGTTTATAAGTTCTATTATTTTAATAGTATCGAGGAGTTCCTTTCCTCCTATAATAAGTCCTAGCGTATATACTTATTATATACGCTTATATTCTCCTTTCTTTATTTCTTTAAGGATTTATTTATTAGCTTTAACTATTCCTATATCAAAGTCTAGTTATCGGCTAATTGCATTAGCCTTCCTATTATCTAATCCCTTTCGATATATAATAATAAAGTTAAATTTATATAAGTACTTAATATACCTTATTTATTATCTATTAAGTTCTTATATTATAGTAAAGTAAATAATATTTTTATAGTCTATATAGACTTTAATCTAATGCTTACTTCCTATAAGGTAATATTTAAACTCTTTAAAGCAGTTAAAGATTACTAAAAACTCCTTATTATATATAGGGTAGTTTAGTTCTGCTTTATATAGTTTATTTAAATAGAATGCAATAGGGTATAGTTTTCTAGTATTATCTTATTATCTAATCTATCCTCCTAGGGCAAAATCTAATATATTTATTTCTAGTTTAATTTCTTTTATTAGATTAAAGATTACTAAGATAGGTTTACTAAGGATTACTTACTTAAGTTATTTAAATGCTTATTAGGCTTTATTATTCTAAGTGAATATTTAGTTCTTTTTAGTTAACTCTATAAGTAGGTTAGTAATTTTACTAAAGTCTTTAATAAATCTTTTATAATAGTTAATAAAGCCTAAGAAGGCTTATATCTCTTTAATATTAATAGGGACTTTCTAATTGGCTATATCAGAGATCTTATCTTTCTGCATATATATCTCGCCTAGTCTAATAGTATATCCTAGGAAGTTAACTTTAATAATATAGAAGTAATATTTTTCTAGTTTAATAAATAGTTTAATATCCTATAGTAGTTATAGGACCTTATAGATATATTCTCTATATTCTTCCTTATTATCTAAGAAGATTAGGATATTATTAAGGTAATATACTATAAAGATATTAAGGTATTATTAAAGTATATAATTAATTATCTTCTAAAAGGTTACTAGTGCATTTATAAGACTAAAGGGCATTACTAGGTATTTAAAAAGTCTAAACTTGGTTTAAAATGCTATTTTCTATTTATCTCCTTCCTTAATATATATAAGATTATATACTCCCTTAAGGTCTAGAGCAATAAAGATCTATTTCCCCTGTAATTAGTCTTTTAACTCTATAATTAGCGGTAATAGTATCTAATCTTTAATATTATAAGTATTTAAATCTTAGTAATTAATAACTAGTTATAGTTTTCTATTTTTCTTAGGTATAAATATTATAAGTGCTCTTACTAGTAATATAGATAGTCTAATATATCCCTTCTCCAATCCTTCTTAGATAT